AGCTTCAAGAACAGCTCCTGGCTGCTTGATGAGGTTGACCATACCAGCCTCTTGGGCAATCAGAGGCATGTACATTTTCATGACCTCAACCTCAGCGAACGGCTGGCCCTGACCAACATGGTCGCCATTCTCGACTAGGAACCTGACGAGCTTACCGGGCGAGGGTGTGCGCAGCTGGGTGGGGTCGTTCTCCTGCTCGAGAAGGCAAGTCTTGCCGTCAACGGAGAGACGGGTGGCGCCGACCTCCTCCTTCCAGTAGACGTTATGCGACTTTCCGCTGAGCAGAATCAAGAGACCACCATCGGCAAGTGCCCTAACACCGACGGAGCACTTGGTTCCGTTGATGAACAGGGTGAAGCTGTCGACGGTAGATTTGGTCGCAGTGAACTTGTATCGATAACCCTCGTAGATGAAGTCAACGGGGAACACGGTCTTCAGCACGTCCTTGGAGGGCACCTGACCCTTCTCCAAGCTGGTCTTGTACTCGTTGACGCAGGCTTCGCTTGCCACATGCGCCTTGGTAACAGCACCGCAAATGACAGCGATCATGGTGTCGGGCCGCTCAGCAGTCAGCTTCTTCGAGATAAGCTCGTCAAGCCAGCCAGTGGTAATGGTGTTATCCTCGAAAGCAGGAGTCTCGAGCAGCTTGATCAGGTATTCGACGGTGGTACGGAAGTCACCGCGAATACTCAACTCCTTGAGCGCAACAACCATGTGTTTTCGCGAAGCTTGTCGGTTCTCGCCATAAGCGAAGATGTGACCGAACTGTGAGTCGGAGAAGCTGTGAATACCACCAGCGGAGCTGACGGAGAAGTAACCCCAAACGTTGGAACTACTCCTGAAGTTGAGGTCGTGGATAGTACCACCTGAGGGCTTGAAACCCTCATCGGGATCCTCAGAGGTGATACGGCAGGCGGTGCAGTGACCCTTGGGAGTAGGGCGTCGTTGGCTCTTGGCGCTGCCTTCGGTGGAGAAGTCAAAGTCAATGACAGAGCTGGCGTGTGGGTCGGCACCGTACAGGAGACGAATATCGCGGACACGATGCAGTGGGAGACCCATAGCAATCTGGAGCTGGGCGGCTGGGAGGTTCACGCCCGTTACCATTTCCGTGGTAGGATGCTCGACCTGGAGACGAGGGTTCAGCTCAAGGAAGTAGAACTTGTCGTCGGAGTGCGAGTAGAGGTACTCAACAGTACCCGCAGAGACGTATCCGACGAGGCGTCCGAGGGAAACGGCAGCCTTCTCCATCTCCTGGAAGATCTTTGAGCCAGCAACTGTTACCGGTGCCTCCTCAATGATCTTCTGGTGACGTCGCTGTACCGAACAATCACGTCCGAACAGGGAGATGTTGTTGCCGTACTGGTCAGCCAGTAGCTGGACTTCCAGATGGCGCGCGCTGCCCGCAAGCTTCATGATGAAGATGGGCGATCCGGGGATTTCTGAGGCAGCCGCCTTGTACAGCTGCTCAAAGTCTTCCTCGCGCTCGACCTTTCGGATACCCTTGCCACCACCACCTTCCGAGGCTTTGACCATGACGGGGAAGCCAATGGCCTTGGCCTTCTCCAGACCCTCCTGCCATGACTTTGTGCAGCCCTTGTCGTAGATGTGGTCCTCGACTGTGACGATTCCGTTGTTGTCGACCTGGACCTCATCGACGCCTGTTCCTGACCACGGAATACAGGGCACCTTTGCGTGTTGTGCGACGATTGTGGACGAGATCTTATCACCGAGCGAGCGCATGGCAGAGCCTGGGGGACCAATGAAGACGATCTTCTTGGGCGACGCGGCAAGCGATTCGGGCAGCTTGGGATTTTCCGAGGCGTGTCCCCTGGTAACAAATTGTCAGCCATATGCCCTCATCCGGCGGTTGTCGTTTATACGTACCATCCTGCCCACACGGCGTGCACATTCATGCGCTCGGCCACATCGACAATTAGCTCGACGTTGGCGTAGTTGTTGTTGTTGGTACCGCCGGGTACCTGCATATTCCCCGTTAGCCATCCGGTCGCTCATCGCACGGCCGTGGATAGGGCACTTACCTCGACATACTGGTCTGCCATGCGGATGTACTCCGCGTTGGCCTGAAGATCCTCAGGCGTGGCCATGACGGTGAACTGAATCGCCCGCTCATCGCCAAAAGTCTCGTAGGCCCATTTCCGCACTGAGCGGATTTCCTTGACTGCGGCGATACCGTTGTTCGCAATGAGGACCTGCGGGGAAGGCGATAGTCAGCGCGCCGTCTCTCAACACCACCACCACCAATTCGCCTTATAGAGGAGGGGTTTTCTCTCACATTTGTAATGACCGTGTGTCCATCGTGTGCGGCCACAAAGTCTCTGACTTTGCCCGGCGATGCTACCTTGAGGTTGTTCCCGCCGATGAAATGCGGAGCAAGATCGTACTTGGCAGAGTAGGAGCTCGGGGCGCCATTAGCATCCCCGTTGACTCCGTTCTGTGCAGCTCCGGCCATGATGTGTGAAGGTAATCCCATACACCGAGGGAATTGAGTTTGGGGGGAGGAAGGAATGAAGGCGAAGTTGGGTTGCGGTTCGGTGAGGGATCGGTCAATTTTCCACTGAGGAGGACAAGCTGGAGCCCGGCCTCTAGTGTCGAATGTAGATCTGAATATACCCGAGTGTCGATGCTTTGCGTTCTACGCGTGCGGCTCTAAAGATTCTGTCGGTGGGAGGACACGAGCAGAGTATTAGTAGAGGACAGTTGTAGTGTCGGTGTGGAAATTGGCCCAAAAGCAATCTTTGACGCCAGTACGTTCTATGTGGTGCCGAGAGGAGAGCACCAACAACAAACGAATGGAGTTGGATTGAATGAGGGACTGTAGTGTGTACAAGGAGGAGTACAGCACCAAGGGTATATATAATAAGGGTATGGAGGAGTGTAGTGGAGAGAGCAAAGCAAGACGGAGGGGGAACAGTCGCAGGCGTCCGGAGCAGCTTGAGTATGTATTAAATTTTTAGGAAGATAGCGGAACACCCCAATGCACTTCCCGAAGAGCTGTTGAGCTACCGCATCGCCAACGATGCCGAAGACGGCAAAGCCCTGCACCACGTCCCCCATACCGCCCCTGCCCATCCCTCGCGATGCCACGGTAGACGAGTCGGAAGCCGTTCGGAACCCGATTTTGTACACAACGGTAGGTCTACGGGACAATTTTGACTACTTAGCTATGCTCAATGACTAGCAAGTCCTGTTCATGAATTCAAGATCGCAGGCCTTTTCCATGATCGATGTGCACCAAGATGTTGGGAGTTGCTCGCCATGGCGATTTCTACAATAGGCCTGTTGGGAGCATTTCCGCATTAGTTGCTTCTTGCGAGCCCCAACCCGAGTACGAGTACCTGCATGTTGAGCCCTTGTTATCTCTCATCAACAGCTGGTCAAGCACATTCCACTGCCGTCGATCCGCTGGCGGTTCCAACACTGATATCTGTTACCACCATCTGGTGGTTTACCCCTCCTAACAGCTACATATCCTCTCAACAGCTCATCACCTCTCCCATCCAACGTCTCACCGCCACCGCCACGGCCTCCCCACCCCACCAAGTCCTTCTCACCGTCATATCACCATCCCCCCCAAACTGCCACATATCTGTCTCACCATCACAAAACCACGCCAAGGTAGCATCAAAGATGATGCTCGGGTCTCCTCCCCCGATACCCTGCTACCGGACTCCGATCGTAGCCACCCAATCAGCGCCCAAAGCGGCCGCTTCCGGAACAAATGTCTAGCACACACTCAAATTAGTACAATAATAGATGACGCTGGAACAAAAAGAATCGGCTTTTGGATAGTAATGTCTAGCAATTCGAGAAGCCGGATAGAAGTAGTAAAGAACAAGTTGCGTGACGCCTAGCAAACGTTGTCGGGTGCCCAGCGGCGGTACCTGATCTCAAAGTCCCGCAGTGCCTCCGGTCGTAGCGCTGCGCTGCGCTGCCATGCTCACCGTGGACGTTTGCCTGGTAGTCATTCTGCGAAACAAGCAAACAAACAGTCACAAAGCCAGCAACTAGATGAAGCAAGCTAGATTCCGACGTGCATTCCGAAGATCCAGGGTCCTCCAAGGTTGGGGTTGCGCACTGCTGCTGCCACTGCGTTCGCGGCGGCCAGTCCCGCAGTTTGACATCAGAATCGTACGATTTTTCCCTACCCGACCTTTCACATGTCAACGCGAACAGCCAACCGCCAACGCCAATGCAGCATGCATGCGGCTCTACCCCAGATTTTCTTACCAGAACGATCTGCTAGTCGGCGCCGAGTAGTCTAAGCACGTGGAGTTTTGTAAGATTTAATTAGTACGAATTGGGGAGGTGCCTAGACAGGTTGTTCTGCACAGAAGCAACGAAGAAGCCTCGGGATGAATGTAATTCGGGGTATATTGGTTTCAGACAAAGGAAAATAAGTATAAAGCAATATGTAAATGCCCCTAAAGGAGCCCTGGATCCCCTCGAGTTTCTGCTCGGGGCGGCCCTTCTTCATCCGTCTCATGTGCAACCAGGTTTGACCAAACTGCACCTAAACACCCCCGTCCCTATCCGACCTTCTACAAGCCTTATACCTGTATCTCGCGTACCTGACTCCAGAACGCATGAGGTGTAGTGCTGTAAAAACCCGTGTACCGGAAATTGACCCATATGTACACGCAAATGGCACTGCCGGTCCGTTGACTTCCTGCTACTGCGTCATCCCACCCTAGTACGATTCTTCCTCAGCTTGCGTCGACATCTTCCTTGGCCGTGCAGGAGGGGCCATATCTCCACTGTCCATGTTGTTACTTGCCCTTCGTCCTGCACTTTGACGCCTTGGTATCCCGCTTGGTGTGGGTATGCCCGTCTTCTCCATTGTAAGCCGCCTTCCCACTGGTGTAGAGATGCCGCTACCTTCGCTGTTGGTGTCGTTATCCCGTCGCGACATGGATAGCGAGTGGGAGTGGCCATGCCCGCTCATGGAGCTCCTTGGCCTTGGCAAACGGGGCTCCGTCCCGCTAATCGACGATGACTGGTAATGACCTAGTGGCGTCCTGTTGCTGCTTCTGCTCTGTGGTCTCTGCATTGCCGATGCTGACGACATTGAGGCTCGGCTGGCAGGCCTGCTGTTGGTGGGTTCGCGTGTAGAGTTGGAAACACCAAAGGAGAGCCGGCTTACGGCAGAGCCGGACTCGTAAGCGCCAGGCACCGACGAACCCGCTGACGCGTGAGAATTGCGCTTCCTGCCGCTCCTCAATGTGACGGTGCTCGGCACATGGTGCCCCATGGCACTGACGTTGCGTGGGCTCGCTCGCGGTGGCGTCGTCGTTGGCGCGGGGAGCTTAGATCGTGCTGAGTGAACCCGCTCTTCGAGCTTCTGCATCTTGCCAATCAGCCCTCGGATTTGATATAGTGAGCCTGATCTAGGCAAATCCGCTGGTGGCGCTGCGCTCCCAAAGCTCGGTCTAGGCGCTCGTGGTGCAAGTGCAGTCGATCGTGTAGTAGAAGGCGTCGCCCGCCCACTGGCACTTGTGCTTGGTCTTGATGCTGATAGACTAGGGTTTCGTGAGTGTCTTGGGGCTCGCTGATACAAGCCGGCACGAGGAGTCGCACCGGGATCCAGGGGCGCAATCGAGTTCTTCCGCCTAGGCATGGGTGTTGAGGGTACATGTCTTGCGGTGATGGGCGCGTCAGACAGCGGCGGAGAAGGAGGAGTCGTGTCTGGGAGTAGGCTGTCTGCTTTCGAATGTGGCGGGGTCGAAGCAGCTGTGGGAGACGAGACGGTAGTTGCAGTAGTCGACGCCTCGGAGACGGGTGAGCGTGGCCTCAGGGCATTGCCCGAGAGATGGCTGGATACCTTGCGCTGATGGTGACCTTCAATGGTCTCTTCTGCGATGCGCAACTTCTCCTGCGTGATCTCCGTCTCTATCCGCAGATCCGACAGTTCGTCCCTAAGTCGCTGTGTTTCTATGCGCAGCGCTTCTCGCTCCTGCTCTCCAATCTTGATCTCTTCTTCCAGCATGACACTGCGCTCGATAGCTACGTTGTACTTGGATTCCACGTCCTCCAGTGATGATGTTTGATTGCGTGCCTGACGCTCGAAATCGTCGCTTTGAACTTCGATATCCCGGAGTCGCATCTGGAGGGCTCGTTGGCTTTCGCGCATCGCGGTGATTTCCTTCTGCAAAGTGTTCTGCGCATTGTTGGCCTCGGTCTTGCTCTGCTTGTACTTTGTCTGTGGCGCCTCGTTAGCAATTGTCTGGGTTGGGCACACATCCGCTCCGAATGTGTCGGAAGCCACGAACCTTCCACTCCTCTACCTCGAATCCCAGCCGCTCTGCCTTTTCTTGCAGCTTGCGCTCCCGCTTCTCGCTCTCTTCGACATCGCGCTCAAGCTCGGCTTCCAGTTCCTTGCTTGATGCCTGAAACTCCTGCAGTTCCGTCTCCAGCGTCTCGTACTGGGCCTTGTAGTAAGCCAGTTCCTCCTCTACACTACCCCATCTTCCTCGGCTCGGCGAAGACTGAGCAGCGTTGATCGCCATGGTGGCGGCGGCGGTGTGGTGGTTGGGCTGCGACAGCAACAGCGAAACAGCTCGTGGAGATCAGGGGAATGAGCTAGGCGGGGTGCAGTGACGAAACGTCAAAACACAGTTACTCAGTTGCGGTCCTATGTCGTCACCGGAGCCTACGACATAGATATGCGCCGCTGGTGGAGTGCGCGTGGGTTGCTCTTGCCCTCTTGATGTCCGGGATGTTGACGATTCCACTTTTGTCCAATGCCGTGTGTTGTCGCCAGTCATGCGCCGCCGACTGTCCGATGCTACCAGCCAGTTTTCAGCTCCCTCGATGTCGCCGAAACAATGTTTTTCCTGTTCCTGTGCAGGTTAGTAGTTAGTAAGCCGCTCAACTGCGGCATGCAGTCGAATGTGTCGCCAGCGGTGGTTGTTGATAGAGGCGTTGCGGGCCCGGAGGCAGGTTAGCGCATTGGCCTCCAGGGCAACCGTGGGCGGGCAACTGCAACCAGCCACCGGGATGACACTTGGGACGTACCGTGACCAAACATCCCCACAATAGCCAGCGCAGCAGAGACAACAAAGACTAAAGCCTGCTGAAAATCCTGCTTCGAGTAGACAAGCCGGCTCTATTTTAAGCTTGAACAAGACGTGTTCTGCATAGCTCAGATACAGACTGGATATCGTTGGAACGCTTTCGAGTTCGGTAGACACATTACTTGCGTCAAGCGTGGTTGTGGGTACGGACACCCTGACGTTTCAGATCGCCCAAGGTAGATAGACAGTTCATCCGGAAATTATTTGCTGACGTGCATTATGTGCCACGCTCATGACGCCGAACCATAGCAAAAGAAATTCTCCCTACAGACATTACAAGTAAAAATAAATCGGGTATATGTACAGTCTGAAAGCGCTTGGTAAATCAGCTACCCTATGCCTCACTCCTTGATGCCCTTGTCAGGACCATTGATGTCTTTAATGTCCGCGTCCAAAACAGCACCCTTAACCTGCTGCGATGCGCCGCTTGCAGCCTGCTTGCCCTGCTCAAGCGCATTTCCAGTTTGCTGTGTCGCGTTACTGGCAGCAGTCTGGCCTTTGTCCAGAACATCTTTGCCCTGGCTATAAACATTGCTGGCAGCCTCACTAACAGCGTCTTTGCTCTTCTCATACACCTGTCCAGCTTGCTGCGAACCGCTATGCATGACCTCCTGGGCGGACGTCGATGCCGCTTCTGCTACTTGCGCACCTCTCGAGTAGGCCTCGGAAGCCTGTTGCTTACCCCTCTCTACAAGCTCTTGCGCTTGTTGTGAGCCCTGCGATACGGCCTGTTTTGCTGAATCCGTTGCGTTGCCGACCACTCCGGCGCTCCTTGCATAAGCGTCGCTGGCTTGCTCTTTGCCTTGCTCATAGGCGTTATGAACGCTGTCTGATGCCGACTTTGCGACTTCACTCGGGCTAGGATATTTCTTCAGCGCCTCCTGCACCGTGTAGTAGAGGCTGATGATGACAGCATGAATACGGTCCTTCATCAACATCGTGATACCGTGTGAGAAGAAGCCTTTCAGTACTTCCGCCCCAAGACCCTGGTACAAGCCCCAGATCCCTTCAGTCTGGGCGATGCGTAAGATGGTACTGAATACAGTCCGCTGCCTAGCTTGTAAGGCTTTCGACTCGAGCGGGTCACTAGACCTCTCCTTGTCCGAGGTCTCACCAGTCCCGGAAGAAGGCTTCTGAGAAGACACTTGGGCGCGTGTCTTTGCGAGCGAGAACGGATAGGTAGCAGTGGAGGCGAGGACCTTGCTTATGGCGGCCAGGAGGAAGGTCATGCGCGCTCCGGGGTCGTCTCGCTTTTCCCTAGGTACAACTAATCGAAGGAGAGCCTTGTGCAGTAGCATGGTGATGGAAGGGTTCAAGGTCAGGATCAGGCTGGCAGAGTATCCAGACCAGAAGCCCTGTATGCCCTTCTCGCGCCTAATTTCCCATGCTATGTCTCTGGTGCTGGATAGCGGAGGTATGGTGGTTGGCGACTCTTGTCTCATCATCGCTGCTGTCTGCTTGCGCGTGACAATCTGCTGGATCGGCGTGGTAAAGAACTTGGAGAAGGCGCCTGCCAACACACCTACTCCAATCTCTTCGAGCGCGGGCAAGCTACGTCCACTATCTCGCGCATCGAGCCGCTTCTGTCGCACATATGAATACGCTAGGAAGAAAAGGAAGCTGTCGGCGACGCCCTTGAGAACCTCGGGCACTACGCCGGTGTAAAAGGCCTTGGGCCCGCCTTCTCTCTCGTATATCTTCTCGATGGCGTCCAGGAACCCATTATAGTGTGGGTGCTCCTCACCAGGGTGTAATTGCCGCTGAACCTGTAGGCGCGTGATGACGACGTCCAGAGGGTATGTTAAGAGCTTGGATATAACGGTGCCTAGCGCACCGGACGTGGCGTGGCCGAGGGCAGGGAGTGCAGGACCGACAGCGATGCGTTCGTCCCGTTCGTGGGAAATGTGGTAGAGGGTAAAGGCATCCTAGAGATCAATGTCAGTGTATGCTCGACTGGCACATGCTAGAAGCGCTCACGAGCTGCGAGTTGTAGATGTAGCTCATCTTGTCGGGATTGACGTTTGAGGCCATCGCTGTAACTATGGGGAAATGGCGACTTAAAAAGGATCCAGGAAATGGCACAAAAGCATCGAGAACGCGGGGAAAGCTCTCATGGTTCGCGGAGACGGATCCGCATCGCGCATCCTGTGTCACCAGCTGCAGACGTCATGGAGGCGTTCGGGCGAGGTCAGAGCTCCAGTGGATAACCGAGCTACAACTGGACAAACTTCGCTTGTGAAAATACCTTTCCCCAACAACACCAACACGCGTCAACGTCGCACGCCAACCTATGCAGTCACTCCAAGCCTTGTTGAAGATTGGACGAGCCCCTAATGTCGAGCTTCCATCTCTTCGTCACAGTGAGGGTCTTGCGCGCTCTGGGGATTGCAAAGGTGCCGACGACGCGTCTAAAGCAGCGACACCAGCGCGCCGTATCCGCCATAATGAGGCTCGAAGATACGCAAACAACAATACTATAGTGACAGGAGTACTCAAAGGGACTGCGAGAACTCCTCGTGGGTATTGATCGCAGTTCAAAGTATCCTCCTAGAGAAATCACCGCCGGTAGTCGATAAGACATGGAAGGACTCGCTTGCGAGAAGAACCTCCATTATTTCACCGCTGGCTACATGTAATGGATGATCAGGTCAAGACATTCAATTAAGGCCACTAGTTCTGCCGCCACTGTGAACATAATCGCGACATAAGACTAGGTCAGGAGAATACTCAACCGACAAAAAATTGTGAACACTATGACTTTGTCAATCGCAGCACGGGAGCAACATCACCAACGCATTGCCGTCATACGAGTACTGCCACAATTAGTTCCGCAACGATGTAATGGCCATACTAGTAAAACAGACCTGGTACACAGCACCGCAACCAGGACAATGCTCTACTGCAGGACTTCGACGGATATCAACTTACCGCAGCAATCGCTGTCAAACATTTGCTTCCTTCCGAGATGTACGCTGAAACGGGCTACGGACGAAGAGTTGTAGTGACCGCAATGAAATACGCTTTCCCAGTCAATCGGAGACCTCGAATATCTTTCACAGCCGATTCAAGGTGATGTCAAGAGATGCCTGAATAACTCAATGCAAGAGTCAAGCTGTCTTGATAAGACCTACTTCGGACGAGTTGTTCGTTGAAGCTCCCTCCTGAACTCAATGACTGCGTTGAAGGGGCTGGGTATAGCTTCTTCCTTGTTTATCATACTGTGGTACTCTTCCACTACAACTATTTCATTCACAAAGACTGTTATGTCTTTCTATATATACGAAGCCTGTAGCACGACTTTAGCATATACTGTGAGACCGACTCGACCCTTCAAAGCAAAGTCGGAATACTACACTCCGAACCAAAACTTCGACAATCCTTCTCATCCTCGTTATGAGGTTGAGTGCCCGCCCTAGAGTTACCCATGTTGGCAACGTCGAGTTACACGAAGTATTCTTTGTTTCTGAACTCGACGCGGAAGGTCAGGACACCTCAGGAGATGGTATGGAAAACACATCTGTTGGTCAGCAAAATGTTGTCATCTCCCGAAACTCAATCGAGGCTATCGAGCGCAACCTCACCATTGTTATTCCTTGTATGAACGAAGATAGAGATGTTCTCCAAGCCCTTCTACGTGGTGTGCCTCATTGGTGTCTTGTCATCCTCATATCCAACAGCGAACAGCAAAGCTTCGAGACGGAGCGCAAACTGCTACTCGACTTCGGTAGGATGACGGATCGTGACGTAATCGTGGAACATCAAGGCTCGCCATCCTTCGCTCGCGCTTTTCAAGAAGCGGGTGTGACGAATCTGTTACAAATACCTAGAGAAGAAGGAGATCCTCCGCGCATCAACAACGGAAAAGGAGAAGCTATGATACTGGGTGTTATCATCGCGAAACATATGAAACGTAAGTTCGTAGGTTTCATCGACGCTGACAATCGGGTCCCAGGGTCTGTTCTTGAATATTGCAAAGTGTACGCCGCTGGGTTGCATTACGCCTTACGAAACACTGATTATAGTGGAAGAGAACAGCATGCAATGGTGCGTATCAAGTGGAAGTCAAAGCCCAAAGTCAAGGATGGCGAGCTTGTATTTAGTGAATTTGGGCGCTCCTCACGCGTTGTCAACGACTGGATGAACCGCTTTCTAAAAGCTCTTGGGGGTGACACTACCCCAGACACAATGATCGGTACTAGTAACGCCGGCGAACACGCCATGAGTATCGATCTTGCCCTCAAACTCCGATTTGCAACGGGTTATGCGGTTGAACCCTTCCAATTGATTGACATATGGGAACGATTTAGCGTTTCAAAAGAGCCGTTGTCAGTGCGAATCCTTCAAATCGAAACCTGCAATCCCCACATTCACAACGCGGGGCATGACGCTGACCACATCGAGCGCATGCAGGTCCAGGGTCTCAGCACGATATACCACTCGGAACTTACAACTTCGCGGCTGAAAGATGAACTTCGTGCGTATATGAGAGATAACTTATCCATGTTCATGGGTGACAATGGAGAACCCGAGAAACCACTTGTATACGATCCACTCGATTCACTGGATTGGGGTATCTTTGCAGAGATCCTCCAGGAATGCGAGACTCAGGCAAGGGTGAAGCCAGAAGAGTCGGTGGCCGCTCGGTAGGCGAGTAGACAGAGCTCAAGTCAAGCATTGTATCACTTTCCTATACGTTTCTTTATTACACTTTCGGTGGGCGGTTGGTAGAGGGGACTTGCCAGGTTTGGCTGCTTACACAAGGTCAAGACACTCATACATATTTGGTCTGTAGTCTCGCGATGTATCAATTCCACACTAACATTCCTAATACAGAACATTGTCTCTAGTAGAATTAGTACATGTAGCCTCACCTTGTGCGATCGCGTAGCTGAAACACGCGACGTGGAACGCCCAGACGTATGGAACTTCTAGACTATCTACTGACAGGTGCGACGCTTCTGGTGTCGCCGCCAGCAGATGCACACAATATGGCTGTCACAGCCGCCAAGACTAACATCCCAGGCATGAAACCAAACGCATCACTCTCGTCGACTGTCAGATGCCGGACCATCGGTTTCGAGAACCAGAAGCGCAAACTAAACGCGGCGTACTTCTCAGAACACTACATGCGATCTTCCTCCACGTGCTTTCTGGGTTCACGGCCCCACGTGTGTTCGGACCTACTAGGGCGTTGCATTGATCGCGTCCCACCCGAAGTTCAAGCGACGATAGTTATCCTGCGCTTGGTAGTTTGGAGTTTAGGATATGTGGAAACGTCGTCGTACACCACCGGCATGGAACATGAGTAGATGAAGAGTAATCTTTCTAGACATCATGGCTATAAAGGTATTCTGTGATCCGCCCATTGCAATATCTTCATCCTCATCAGGACCAACGATCTCTTCCTTGCTTCCTTCACTTTCACTTTCACCTTGTCTTCTACAGCTCTGTGCCGGTCACCCTTCTTTTCTTGACTGTGTCATCTTTGCTGGACAATACCTTCATTCTTCAAATTTCATTCCAACTTTCACTTCAAAGAATTTCCCCGAAAACCCATAAAACATGCGTTTCTCTCTTTCCACTGTCGCCACTGCGGCCTTGATCGTTTCTGCCACTGCGGCGCCTGCCCCGGCTCCTACCCGTGCCCATGGTCATCGTGGTGGTGACTATAACGGCACCGACACCAATGGCCTCAACCATGGCTCAAAGCACTCCGGCAACGGCAGGGGAAACGGCGCGGGACGAGGTGGTCAACAATATGGCGGCGCTCCCGGTATCTTCCCTACTGGTGGTGCTGCTCCCACCGGCAGCTTCTCAGGCTCAAGCAGTCAACCATCAGACCCTAAGATGACTGCAATCCCTACATACCTGCCTGGCAACGACAACGAAAACGACAACAAGCGTAGATCCCTCGTTTCTGGCCCTCCTGTCATGAAGCGCCAACTCTTCGACTGGGTCTGGAAGGCCAAATCCGAAGGTAGTGACGAGGCTTCCGATTCGGCTGACGATAAGAAGAGCTCTGGAGACAGCAAGGCTTCGGATGAGTCTGGTTCCAGCGACGACAAAAAGGAATCCAAGGATACCTCTGACTCTACCGACTCTTCCGAGGATTCATCCGAGTCTAAAGATGATGCCTCTGACGCCAAGGACGATAAAGAGACTTCAGACTCATCCGATTCCAGTGACGACTCTTCCGATAACGCGAGCGATAGCACTGGAGGCAGCTCCGATGATAGCGCATCCGACGACAAGGAGAGCAAGGACGCATCCGACGACAAAGAGTCCAGCGGCTCTGGCTCAAGCTCTGGTGGAGATGAAGAGGCAGACACTCCAGCTGAGGGTGGCGATTCGAGCTCTGATTCAGGCTCAGACACCGAGAGCGGCAGCGGCAGCGGAAGCGGTTCATCCTCTGGTGATGATTCTTCTTCGGGCAGCGACTCATCTTCTGGTGGAGAATCGTCTTCTGGCTCAGACGACGAGTCTTCCTCTGGATCAGGCGGTGAATCTTCCTCTGGTGGCGAGTCTTCCTCTGGCTCGAGTGGTGAATCCTCCTCTGGCACAGGCGGTGGGTCTTCCTCCGGCTCTGGATCAGGTAACTCCACAACGCCTGCCTCTGGTGGCACTGCAGCAAGTGGTACTATGCCCGCAGCAGCTGGCGAGTCAACTCTTACAGAGACCATGATGGTAACCGGCGAGTTCGATGGCGGCATGAAACGTTTCGGTCGTGGCGTATCCTGCACCGGTCAATCAGAAGGAGGAGACAGCGATGCAGTGTTCTCTATCGCAGCTGGCGGCACTCTCCGTAACGTCATCATCGGCGCTGATCAGATCGAGGGTGTACATTGCCAAGGTCCCTGCACTATCGAAAACGTCTGGTGGGAGGACGTTTGCGAGGATGCTCTTACTTTCAAGAAGGACGGCGATGGCACAGTCACCGGCGGTGGAGCAATGGGCGCATCCGACAAGGTCATTCAGCACAACGGCGCTGGTACAATCACAGTCAGCGGCTTCACTGTCTCAGACTTCGGCAAGCTATACCGATCATGCGGTAACTGCAAGACAATGGGTGAGCGCCATGTAAAGATCGACGGTGTCAAAGCTACGGGTGGAAAAGCGACTTTCGTTGGCATCAACACCAACTACGGCGATACTGCGACAATCACAAACTCCTGCATCACGGATACAAAGGCCATTTGCGAGGAGTTCGAGGGCAATGACACTGGTGCAGAACCCAAGCAGATCAGCGAGGGCCCTAGCTCCGCTTGTATCTACACGCCTGCTGATATCGCCGCTTGTTAGACGGTATAGACGGAACAGATGGGAAGTTGGAATTCGGGTGTTTCAGAAGAGCATATGGTTGCTGGGAATGTCCTGAGATTGGCGATGATGTATCCATTCATTTACTCTACACTTCTTTGTGTATATACTCTCTTTTCTTACGAATCAACAACAGAGGTCACTCCTCATCCTCACTTTCGCTTTCTTGCCACTATCTGCATATGCTAAGCGTCTGTGCGCCTACCTTGCGGGTATAAGATCGGCTGCCTCCCTCAACGTTCTTTCAATAACAGTCTAAATTAGCAATAGGTGCAACACGTTCAACCTCAGAGACAATTACACCACTAACCTTTAGTAAGCAACAAGTTGTTTTCCTTCAAGACTCCTCCGCGCTTCGGCTTCAGCATTACCCCCAATACTAATGCTACTCCGACATGGGGTTTTGGCTCTCAGTAGGACAACAAGAACCCTCCTACTTCTGTTTCGTCAGCCACCTCTCCAGTAACGTCTTTATTCAGAGGCTCATGGTCCACACATCCAGGCCCCAAGCCCTCCATTTCCACCGCTACTCTACCTGTCCAAAAGCAGCCTACGGTATCGTCCGCAGTATCCCCAGCCACTGGCCTCGTCTTCGCGGCCGTCTCTCGAGACGCCACTGGTAAACAGACCACCAAGAGAATCCCAAACCCCGCATCCGTCCTCATCGGCGACATCCACACCCTCAGTGTCTATCTCTCCCTCTGAGACCTACCTCCAAAGTCTCTGCATGGCATGTTTCTCCATTTCCAAATACAAGGCGCCAACCCCATCCAGGAAATTCATCTTTGTACCCGCTCACTCCTCCTCCCATCCCTCCAGGATATTGACATGCTTTTCATGATCTCTCAGTGAGCTACTTTTGGTACCACGGTCACGTTCTTCTTTTACCGTCCTTGTGTTGAGGTGAATCGGGACCACTTGCAGAACTTTATTGAGAAGGATTTAATTAGGGCGATACAAGGTCTGAAGGAGGGTGTTGTTGAGTTGTCCGAGATAGTCACAGCAAATCGAACAATAACAACATATCTTCGTGATGTTTTCATCAATCGCGCGCTGCAGTTTTTCGTATTGACAGCTGATACGTTGTTTGAATGCTTTATTATGAAGTTTTGAGTTGTAATAATGCATTGCTTTTGTGAGTTCACTCAACGGAGTGCGAATCTTTTTGCAGTCGCGGGCTGATACCCGGTAAAAAGCCTCACAAAGTCTGAACAACATCGCTAATACTCGAACCAATGAACATGGTCACTCCTGACTATAATCCTAATTTTGCGCAATGTCTGGTGAAGGTATTCAATATTCAAGTTGGGGGGGGGGAATCAATGGACCTAAGACAGCAGGCGTTGTTGAGGCGGACCGAAAAGATCGGAGCGGGGGGCGGAGTGACGCTCCACTCCGCTTGCCCCACTAGGAACCAGAACCAAAACTGCATGCTAGTAACATGGAATTGTTCCAGCTCATGAATTTCGCATTCTACGCAGAATTTGGAAGGCCCGATTCAATAATTTTGGGTGTCTAGGAGACTGATGTCGCTGTCTCGATAATAGAACGCCTTCGCGCTTGATGATCGCGTACCTGCCAACGTCGCGAAGTTCCAGTTTTCGTTACATCACACCCTACAGGAATAGCAAACGCTCCATCGGACGAAGCAAGTGCCACAAAATGATTGATCAGCATCCATACACTGCTCGGAAGGGGGTGTACGATCTTTCCTCATATATCAGTCGCTGAGTCTTGTGACACTGATATTCTATTCATCAGTCCATTCGCCCAATCATTCAAAATACATCCTCTCTAACCTCACCTACTTGTCACCATGACCTACCCATCTACCTACACGGCCTACCGCCGCAGCGCGGGTAAAGACACTTCCTCTCGTCAAAACCCTCTCACTCTTGAGAAAAGCCAAGAAACTCTTCCTCAGGAGGAAGACCTCGGACCCAACGATGTGGTCATCAAGATCCACGCCGTATCGCTCAACTACCGCGACGTCGCTATGCTGATTAAGGAATATCCCGTCCCCGTTACTGAACAAGGCATTCCATGCTCTGATTGCGCCGCCGAGGTCGTCGGGCTGGGGTCTGCAGTCAAGAACTTCAAGGTCGGAGACGCCGTTGCTCCGATTTGCAACCAAGGCGACTTTTATCCGACGGATGATGCAATTACAGTGGCTATCGGTGCAAATGCTCCGGGCACACTGAGGCAATATGGTGTTTATCAAGCGAAACATTTGGTGCACTTGCCAAAGAACTTGTCGTGGGAGGAGGTAAGCATCCCAGAGAGTAGGTACACATACATTTGACTAAACAGCGTTCAGAGCTCGATGCTACCCTGTGCAGGTGTCACTGCTTGGAACTCTTTGGACTCGTTGAAAACGGTGCAGGAGCATTCCAGTGCCCTTCTGCAAGGTTCGTGCATATCACCCCAATACCCAATTCCTTTTACTTATAGTTCGTAGGAACTGGCGGCGTTTCCATGTTCTCTCTGCTACTTTGTCTCGCTGCAGGCATTACGCCAATCATCACCTCGTCTTCGAATGACAAGATCAAAGCCATCCAAGAGAGGATCAGCGACAAGGTCCACGGTCTCAACTACAAGACCGACGATCAAGGCGCTAGGATTAAGGAAATCACAAACGATCGCGGCGTCGACTTCGTTGTTAACAACACCGGCGTTGGCTCCCTCATCGATGACATCTCTTACCTATGCGCTCGTGGCGGAACCGTCTCCCTTGTCGGCTTCCTTGCTGGTTGGGACGCAGACTGGAAGCCAAGTCAGCTCATGGCCTTGATGGGTAAGGGTGCCAAGTTGAAGGGCATTGCTGTAGGGTCGAAGAAGGACTTTGAAGACATGAACACATTCATTGAGGAAAAGAATGTCAAGCTCGACGTCATGCTTGACAGGACATTCGGGTTTGAGGATGCGAAGAAGGCATTTGATCTGCAGCTGTCGGGTAATTTCTCGGGCAAGATTGTGATCAAGGTTGCGGAGTGAGGAGATTGTCAAAATATTGTTGCGATGTCTCATGTCCGCCAGTATCGTTTGTCTAGGTAGTGAATCGTATCATGATCTGCATGGGTGTTCCTGTAAAGAGTCAAATGCGTGGCCAAGCAAAGGGTGAAGCGCAGTGCTTGGGCTTTTCAATACAGTCATTGGTTGCATCTGCATTCAAGCAACAAGATTACGACGCTTATCCTTGATTAAACCCAAAACGGCAAACACAGTGTATGCGATGACCGCATAATGGTGGCTTGCCGGCTGACACGGCCCCACAATTCCATGAAACTTCATCGCTTCCATTGGCTGTAACGGCGAAGCACAGCCTCCACAGCCCCTCGTAACATCCTATCATCCTATCATCTCATTAGGCATACAGTCTCATCACTAGCCTTGAAGCTTACGTGAAAACCGGTAGCAGCAGGCTGAAAGACATAACAGTGGTGCTGTCGCTCGTTTGATCATACGACTAACTACTCCTTACTTACACACCATAGCGATAACTTGGTGTTGAATCGCAAAACATCTAAAGATGGGTATCCCTACGACCCCACTAGAAGCAGCGCCCGCATACGAAGAAGTGTTCAACGATCATCCCGTGAATCGGCACGCACCCTCTGGATCAGCTTCAGCTGTAAGTCATTCTACACGACCGCGTGTTCAAGTGTCAGTCTTGCTAATCCATCACTTCTTAGTACACAACTATACCCCAAACCGACGACCACGACATCGAACTCCACGCTCGACAACACAACCACACACATGCCTCCACTACAACACCCGTCACCTCGTCTTCCCCGGAGACTTTAGCACAAACAATCACTAATTTCCTACGACCGAATCCTGAGCCACACATGCATTGCGAGGTATGCGACAACCAAGTGCAAACTGAGGCGAGGCGGAGGCGGGAGAGTGAGAAGTATTGTTGTACCATGGTTGCAGCGACATTTGTGACATTGTTTATCTGTGGCATGTTGTTGGGTGTCGTGATTGTTACTATGGCGGCGAAGAGAAGGAGGTCTGAGGATTAAAACGATGATGTCTGATCGCGCGACTGAACATGTATTGATTTATAAGATATAAATTTTCTAGAGCTTGACACAACTCAAGTCACAAAACCCCACAGCAGGCCTACAACTCTATCCCTTGAACGCTCGACCGAAAGAATCTCTCTTCACACCCGTCTTCGCGATCCTAAAATCCACGCAGGATTCATAAGTCTGTTTCGCAGCCGTGCCATACCACCACCACTGCAATACCTACAACTCTAGTTAGCAACCCGCATACATCATTGCACCATGACCGTTGCGCTCATGATAGACTTACACAGTCCCCAGCCACCGCACACTTCTCCTCTAATCCCTCAGGTACCTTCACACTAAACTCCTTCTGTCCAGCTGGAACATCGCTCTCGCTTTTCCCCGGCGCATACCCTTTCTCCCACACCTTCAACATATCTCCCACAATCTCATTCCGTTTCGTATCCACGATACTCACGTTCGCCGACCCTTCGTGCGGGATTCGTATCCACACTTTGAGCGGTACGACCTGGCCAGCCGACCATACCTGTGTGTTGTTGGCAGGATTATCAGAAAATTGCAGGCCTTTGCAAAGCCATAGGTTGCAGGTGGAGGCGCTGTAGGGGGAGGCTAGGAGTTCTGGGAGGCCTTCGACGTGCGAGGTGTTGTCATTGTTGATGGTGCGAGTGATGGCAGGGCCGCAGAGAGAGGTTACGGAAGGGCCGGTGGGACGGGAGGGGGGCGAGGTGATGAGGCCGTGGGAGAGAACTGTAGGGATGAGGGTGAAGAGGGTAGCTGCCGCTGCGGCTGTGAAGTACATCTTGGCTGCAATGGAGGCGTATATTGGGATGAACTACGAAGAAAGATGGGAGGATACTCTGCTCTGAGGCTAAGGTTCGTACGACGGAAACGGTACTTTATACATGCGTTCTTGTCGTCACTAACCGTCGCTGCGTATCTCCGCCTCTACTGTCCCCTTATCCGTGATTCCAAATCAGACCCCAGTCAATCATCCAGCATGCCACTTTATCTGGAGATGGTATATCGTTGTCGAGTGGAGCTGCTATGGAGTGAGTGTAGATCGCCAAGGATTAGCGAATGAGACGGGGATGTGTATAGTGCCGCCTCGGTAAGACTGCCTCTCCGCTGCCGGATAGTACAAGACAATATATTCGAGGAAAAGAAGTAAGGCTAACGTGACGGGTTACCGATGTATAGCCGACTCGAACATTGAGCGCTGCGTGATGTGATGCCGCTGCGCTTGGGCAGGCCAGGGTTAACATTGCTTTCGAGGCACAATACAAAGTCTACCCAGAGATGTCTTACTATGTCATGTGTGGTCGTTATTAGCTAGTCACATTGGACGTCTAGCATGCCTAGCCATTTATGCTTCTATTGTACATAGCTTTGGGAGTCGTCAAAGTTCCCCTTTCCGTGTATTACTCCAATAGAGAAGCTTGGTTTGTGTAGAGCACATCGACCACGTTGCTCAGCTTCTCGAGAGTACTCAATGCCGCATCGTAGCCCTGGTCGCGCTCCGATTCGTCGTATACGATCAGACAACCAGCACCCTGGTCTAAGACTCCAATGATGACTTTGTCGAGGATCATCTGTGAGAGCTTGCGCTCAACCTGTATCGTATCGAGCCCAACCATCTTAGCGACGTGGTCAATCTCTACCCTGCTGAAAGGCTCAATCACCTTGATCAGATTCTGCTCCAGCATGTTGTCGTACAGGCGTCGGAGGTGGGAGGTGATGAAACGATCGCTACCAAGCTGCTGACGGTAGTCGGTCAAGGCGGTTTCATACTCTTCGAGACTGCGGTTGGTGTGTGCTCGCGCTACGGCCTTCATGGCTTCTAACCGCTTGCCCGCGTATTTGACAGCGTGCTTGGAGGTCATGAGCGAGGTGACGTCGTCTCCAAGATTGAGCATGATCTTGCAAAGCAGCATGTACTGAAGCGCAGAAGTGGCCTTCTGTTCCTCATCTTGTGAATGATAGCCCTCCATAGCTTCAATAAAGTAAGAGAAAGAGGTGTTGAAGTCGCCGTCCTCTGCATGCAGCATACCACTCTGCATGTCCAGTCCGGCCTGTAGCAGAGGCGGGGTATAGACTGAAGCGGCAGATGTTCGTGCCGATGTGAGGGCAGCCCGACCCTTTGGTATGTTGCCTAGTGCGTGGTAGACCCTTGACTCGAGCAGCTGAACTTCTACCAAGACCAGCTTGTCGTCCAAGCGCTTCAGCTCCTTCAGTAGGCTGTTGATGAGTGTGAGAGCTTCGTAGTAGGATTGCTTCTGCATGTACAGGGACACGAGTCGGGTTTCTAGGTTCTGTCGAAGGAAACCTCTCCGCTCTGACACCGCCCACTCTATGCATGATTTGGTGACGGCGATCTGGGTGTCGGCGGTATTGGGGATAGCGGTGAACAGGTCAAGTAATTGTCGAACTGTGAGAATTAGCTACAGGCCCTTGGGTGAATACTGAGAGTCGTGTCCCTACCCAGCTTGGATGTCTTCGCCTTAGCAAACGATGACATTATCGACCGCGCCTGCTTGACCAGCTCCGCCAACGCATCCACCCTCTTCTGGTCACGGTACAGCTCACCGAGCCCAATCAAGGCACTCTCATAGTTCTTGATAGCTGTCTCGTTTTGACCTGGGTCTTGCGAGAGAACATCTTTGAAGATCTGCTCGGCCTTGGAGGCATCCGACTTGGCCAGCTTCTGCGCCTCCGCTATCCGCGAGCTCGTTTCCGGGACAGCCATGGTGGTTTGCTAGATCCTGGGGGTATATGCGGTGATTTGTGGTGATTTGAATGCGCGAGTCTTCAAGTGGAGCGTGCGATGAGGTGGCGGGGATGGAACTGTTTGGTGATGTTGAGCTCACCAGCTCACATGGAGATGCGGCGGATGCAAGGTCGGCGGTACGTAATTCCGATTGGGCAAAGACGCCACACCGCCGCGCCACATACATCCAGGGCACATGGCAACCGCAGTTCCGTCAACAACGCGCGACAGGACGGAACCATGACATCCACTAAAGACATTCGCCTTAGTATTGACTTGCACAATCTATCCATCTCCGTGCATGCGAATCGGCGAATCATCCCAACCGGGGCCATCCTCTTCGCGCCGCTGCTGCCCCAGCGACGGCTGAGTTGGCAGTCGCGCCTCCATCGTCATCGCCTATTGGCCAGTGCACGTAAACAAACCCCAAGCTATTGATCAACACACCGCCCGCCCTGCATCTCCAGTCCACTTTCCCACACTTCCACCCTCCACGATATCACGAACTATTATATACCCTGCGCTGGATCGCTGATAGCATTTCACGATCGATACCCTCAGCTGTATACCCCAATTCAACTCACGCGCTCTCAATTCAACTCGCTCCCACTCCCACCTCAGAACTACCATTTTGGGTTGAACACACACCAGACTACATATCATAATGCCTTCATCAGACAGAGAAGTCTCCCGCGACCGGGAACTTGTCAGACACTCACATTCATTCTCATCAGACAGGATGATTCCCATGTTCGTCTTCCTCACCGCCATGTGAACCATCGCGATATGCCACTAACACAATGCTTTAGGTGGGATAGTGCTGACCCGGATCGCGCACCTCCGCCACTGCCTCTCAACCCAGGCTCCCCTACTCTCGGCGTTCGCCCAAACACATCTGCAGCCATCATGAAGGCGGCTAAAGCGCTGGAAGAGAAGGCGCGAGAGAGTTTACCAGCGAGCTCATACACTACTAACCCCATGCCACAGAAGTTGCAGACGTTGCAGACATCTCCTGAGCGCTCTCTGATCAAAGGCACACAGCACAAGCGCATGCAGTCATTACAGCCAGGCAGTGTTCGAGATCTACGCAGCTACCTTGACAACCGCTCACCTGAGCGCGCCTATCTCGACACTCGGTCGCCGGAGCGGTCACCCGAGCGCGAGCGACCATCGAGTAGGGGAGGACGGCCCATCTCAAGGGACTACGATAGGGACTACTTTGGAAAGGATGCCGATGTGAGCCCTATCCGACAACTTACTCCTACGCCAGCATCACGATTCGAGATCAGAGACACACCCGCCCTACGGCCTAGTCAGAGGGCCATCCTGGGAGAGAACACACCGCCTTCGGCCACGATGCAGGCATTGCAGAGTATGACCATTCCTCAACACATGCTTGACCCGCCATTGTCGAACATCACCAACCGCTCGGCGCACTCTTCACCAGCGGCTACACCGGCGTCGGCTCCAGCATCTGCACCAGTACATGGGCCACCGCCGCCGCAGAATTTCGATAACATCTCTAGCCAGCTCATGAGCATCAACAACATCGTCTCCAGCTTGCAGAAGGACATGTCGCAGCTCAGCCGGCGGAGCAAGGACAATGCAACTGATCTCATCAGCCTGAAGGAAGCCACCAATACCCGCGACGAGGACATCCGCAAGTCGCTGAAAGATCTGCTTTCCACCATGTCGCAGAAGCAGCAAGCTCAAGCTGCGGCAGCCGTGAATGGCGATACCTCTCGCTCTAGCAGCCTCAACCTCCAAGATCCTCACATGACCCCAACGAAGCAATTCACTTTCCCTCGTATGGCGTCGACTAGCCCCTGGACCGACGAGCGTATTGGTAGCCCTAATCCATACTCTGTCGAGGGAGCCGCTAGTGTCGCAATGCTGGAGAAGATCATACGCGAGATGGTAACTAAAGACGGTCAAGAGCGTCTTGTAGCCAGTCTGCAGAAGCTGGTCGACAAGGCCACAGGAGAGACCGCCAAGAAGGTCACTGAGCTGGCTGAGTTCGTCAAGCAAGGCTCAGCCGGTGGCTTTATGAATTCAGCAGCTCCCGGATCCGCATCGTTCCAGCCTTCCCCAGGATCTGGCGCCTTGACACGAACAATATCGGCTGACAGTAAAGCCTATTCCAGTCCAAAGGCTGCCGATTTTGTGAGCGAAGAGATGCTGAAGTTCCTCCGTAAGATCAAGGATAGCGTCGCTGAGTCTGGGTGTGTCACAATGGCCACCAAGTCACTCATTCAAGATCTTCGCGGTGAGGTTCTCGGTATGGGACGGGAACTTGCTCGCAAGGTTGAGGAGGCAGAACAAGCCAGGGCACTCGAAGCCGGTTCCGGCTCCAGCCCGTCCAACGAAGACATCAACGCCATCGTCCAGGAGGGCCTTACCAACCTCAAGGAGCATATGGACAAGGTCATGCGTGAGCGAAGACGGCAATCCATGTCCTCTGTCGTGACGCGCACCACTGTGGACAACAACGAGGTATATGACGTCGTCAAGCAAGCGCTGGCAGAGCGCGGCTTGGATCAACCAACACCTCAAGCTGCTGCAGTCGACAAGGAGTCTATCATCAGTGCTGTTCGGGAGGCCTTCGACGGTGTCGAAATGAACCCGAACGTCGAAGTGCAACAAGTCGGCTTAGGCAATGACGAGATCCTGCAGTGTTTGCGCGAGGGTCTACAAGACTTCAACGGCTCCGGTGCTGTCACCAAGGAGGAGATTGAGACAATGCTGCAGGACTCCCTGCAGAAGATTCAGCTCCCTCCTCCTATCAACGAAGTCCACGAGATCCGTGAGGAGGTCCTGATGGCCGTGCGTGAGTCTTTGGAGGAACTGAAGCCTGCTCTCGCAGCCCAGAATCCGCCGTCAGATGCTTTGTCAAGGGAGATGCTCGAGGAGGTGATTCGTCATGCACTTTCGGAGCAACAACCTGCACCAATGGAAATTGAAATTCCTCAAGAAAGCATTACAGAGGCCGTACAAAGCGCTTCACAAGCTCACAATGATGCTGTCATGGAACGACTACAGTCCATGCTAGACGAGGTACACACCGAATTCCAAGGTTTCTCTTCAGCCAACGGGCGTGACACCGAGCAAGTCCTCCAGGCCCTTCGCGAAGGTCTGGAGAGTCTTCGTACCGACCTTCAAGGCTCTGTTAACCGGCCCCGAGAGATCACCCAGGATGGTGAGATGGTCGACCACATCAAGGCTGAACTCGACAAACTACGCGAAGATGTTCAAGGCTATGTTGCTGAGGGTCCTCGTGGAGATCAAGCCTGGAGCCGTGGCGACATGGTAGAATACATCAAGTCTGAGTTCGAGAATCTGCATGAGAAGCTTAGCTCTCAGTTCCTTCCTTCTTCCAAGACCAACGAAGAGCTGCTCGCTGCTATCAACGCCGGTTTTGACGAGATGAAGTCACAGGTTGCCCTTCGATCAGAAGATGATGACTCTAACGATGACATCAGCGAAGCCATCAAGCATGAGTTTGATCAACTGAAGGAAGTTGTTCTTGGCGATACCTCCAGCAACAAGAATGATATCCTTGAAAAGCTTCAGGCAGGCTTTGACGGACTCCACGTTCTGATGGGCGAGAAGCAGACTGCAACTACATCCAACGACGACATGCTGGCTTCGCTGAAGGAAGAGTTCGAGCATCTCCGCGAGACTCTAAGTGGGTCACTGATGAAGTCTGGCGGTGCAGCCGAGAAGGACGATATTGTTGACGCTGTTCGGGAGATCATTGATGGCTTGCACACATCCCAGGAGACTACGTCAAAGGACAACATTGCGCTCATTCGTGGCGAACTGGAGGCCTTGAAGGAATCACTTGGCAACGCTCTTGTACCATCCGGTGACAACGATAAAGCCGAGATGATCATGGTCGTCAAGGCTGCGCTGGATGACATCAAGAACAACCTCAAATCCGCTGGTGTCAACGAAGAACTTCTGGAGGCCTTTCGTGGAGAGCTGGACCTTCTTCGTCAGTCCGACAATGTCACCCGACAACACAACAGGGCAGATACCGAGGAAGTTCTGGAAGCTCTCAAGCTGGGTCTCGACGACCTTCAATCGCATCTGGACAAGAAGCTCGACACTCCTGATCGCAACGTATCTGGCACTAGCGAGATCATGGATGCGATGAACGAGGGTCTTGAAGGTCTGAGGGCCGACGTTTCCAAGATCGCAGAAAAGCCGGTCGACATGAGCATATCTTACGAGATTTTGGATACGCTCAAGGACGGGCTGAACGCATTGCGTGATGACATCGACATGCTCAAGGGCGTGAGGCAGGAAAATTATGTCGAAGAATATGTTCCTCTTCCCCCGGCTGGAAACGAGATTGCTCTCGCGAACGGCGCAGCAGGCGATGAATCAATGTCACGTGAAATCGTTGAGGAAGCGACGCAAGCAGAGCTACCACCATCACCATCACTGCCCCCGCAATCGGCCGACTTGTCTAGGATGGAGCTCATGCTGGAGCAGATCCAGGATAAGGTTGAGGCCATGGACGCCGCCAGGGCAGACCCAGTGCCATCATCCGAACCTGCTGCCGTGGCAGCTGGATCTGCTATGAAGGAAGATCTGATTGCGATTGAAGAACTCTTGAAAGATGTGCAAGCTGCCGTCCTTGTCATGCAGGATCGCGAAATGGCACCACCTACCTTCGAAGGCATTGCCAGGAAAGAAGACACCGACGCCATCGAGACTCTTCTCGCGAACACCAAAGCCAAGATCGAAGAGCTCGTTCTGCCCGACCCAGCGACTGCTATCACCAAGGAGAACTTGGAGGACGTCGAGCTTGTCGTGCGTACCACGTCCGAGGCCTTGGAGGCGCTCGCGAAGAAGTTCGAGGACGAAGGCGCTACGAAGGCCGACGTTACAGTCATCCAAGTCATTGCCGATGATATCAAGGTTGCTCTCGACGAGATGAAGGCAGCCAAGGCTGACGACGAGACCAATCCACAAGCGACCAAGGCAGATATCGATGCCGTAACCCTCCTTGTGGACGACCTCAAGGTTAAGCTCGACGACATGAAGATACCGGATCCAGAAGAGCTGCCATCTAAGGCGGACTTGGAACAACTGACTGGCTTGATTCACGACTTCCGCGACAGCCACGATAAGATGAAGGACACTTACGAGGAGGACATCATGAAGACCGCGACAAACTTCGACGAACGCCGCGCTGAAGCTGCTCAGCTTGTAGAGGACATTACTGGCGTCAAGACCGCCCTGGACGAGATGCGAGAGGAGATCAAGACCAATCTCATCGAAGGCGGTCCCATTGAAGGTCTCCAGGCTTCCTTCAAGACATTAGAGGAAACCATCGGTACCAACAACGTCACCGCCGATGTCAAGGAACTCATGGAGATCCTTACCAGGGAGTTCGAGCGCGCCCATGGATCCATCGAGGGCCTCCAGAATGACCAAGCGGAGAAGTCGGCACTTCATCTTGAGAAGCACGATGAAGTCAAGGACGCGATTGTCGCAGGTTTCACGGAAAGCCTAGAGGACAAGTTCAACACCCTCATGGCAAAGTACGATGATGCTCAACTTCTGGCCGACGAACTTGCGAAGGTCATGAAGGAGAAGTCAGAAGAACAGGAAAAGATGCTCGAGAGCACCAAGGCAACGGCTGATGAGCTTCGTCTGACCATCGATACTCTTGGCGCTACCATTGCTGGAATGAATGATCGATTTGAAGGCGCCACCACCCAATTCGAAGGTGCCTCCACCCAGTGGACAACCGACTCTTCCGCTGTCATCAGTAAGGTGGACGAAACTCTTGCCAAGTACGAAGAGCAGAAGCTTGCGTTAATGGAAAAGCTCGACGAACAAAAGTTAGAGACCATCGCAAAGCTTGAGGAGCAGAAGAACGAGACCATCGCCAAATACGAAGAACAGAAGCTTGACGACAAGACTGAGCACTCCCACACTCGCGACGAGATCAAGAACGTCGAAAATATCTTCAACAACCTCCAGGACAACATTACTGAGTATCATCCTAAGTTCATGGTCGCGTTGCACGAGATCGAAGCATTGGTCAAGGCGCACTATGAGCACGCACAGAAGACCAAGGAGGAGGCGGATGAGAACGCTCGTGCTTGGAACGAAGAAGCCAGGGCCCGTTCTGAAGAACTGCAAACGCACTTTGCCAATCTGCCTAAGCTCCTTCCAGCGCCCGCACCTGCTATCGAGCTTCCAGAGAAGTATGACGATGCACCTGTGCAGGAGAAGCTCGACAAGCTGCTCGCGATTGAGCCATCGCCCTCTTACGACGATGTCGCGGTACACGAAAAACTTGACAAGCTCCTTGGTCACGCTGATGAAGCAGGCAAGGCTGCGGGCAACCTTGAGAAGCTGGATGAGATCCACGCCCAAGTCAAGGTGACCGCTGCGGAGTTGAGCGAGTTCGTCGCCAAGCAGACACAGTTCATCACCGATGGGAACGAGTCCAAGGAACGTGAAGCTGAGGAGCTTGGTCTGCTGATTGAGCGCCGGACGACCCAGAAGGAGCAGCTGGAAATCGACCTGGAAAGCTTGCGAGCCGAAAAGGCGACACAGAAGGAGCAGCTCTTTGCAGACATCCAAGAGATGAAAGCCGAGAAGGAGCGCGTTGTGCAAGAACTGAAAGAAGAGAAGGAGCGCGTCATGGCCGAGTTGCAGGAAGAGAAAGACCGCACTATGGCCGAGCTCAAGGAAGAGAAGGATTCGCTCCTTGCTGCTGTCGCCAGTCTGCAAGCGGAGCGCGAGAACCTTGCCAACCAGAAGGTTCGCCTCACTGGGGAGGTCTCGTCTCTCCATACTGCGCTTGACATTCGTCGGGAAGAGCTGCACTTCATGGACACCAAGGCTGATGCACTAGAGCGTCGCATCTTGAACGGTATCATGGACCACTCCCGTGCTCTAATGATGACCAAGGGCGGGTCGAAGAATGCTGCCAAACTCAAGAAGCGCATGAATGCAGACGCTGGCAACGAAGACACAAGGGCCATGCCACCTCCAAGCACTGCGGCCAACGGTCTTTCTCTCGCACTCAAGCCCCGCCCTGCTATCCGTCGTGGGGGTGCACCCGCCAACCCAGCACAACGCCGCATCCTGTCTCTCAGTCAGATTAGTGGGAACGCACCCACTGGAGCTCAGGCTTACCCCACAACCACAACCCCGACCAGTAGCAAGACTGGACTGGGACGCAGTCACTCTGTCAAGACCAGTAACTATTCTCGGAAGGGTTCTTGGGGCGGTCGTCCTAGCGTCGCCATTGCCAACAAGGAAAATGGTGTTCTACCTGAAGAAGATGAGCACGAGACGGCGCCGATTGCTCACTCCATCATCGAGGAGGATGCACAGAGCGAGACAGGTACTGAGCGTCGCTACAGCCTCGACAGCCGCGACTACGCTGAAGGTGAAACACCAGGGTATGATGGACGCTCTAGCTTTGGCGGCACAGGCAGCGAGTACACGTACGCTTCTGGTTCATCGTACATGACCGGTAGCGACATTGATCACGACCGCCGCACCTCGTACGGTGCCCAATCGACTCGCTCCGCTGCTCGTGGCGAAGAACCCATCGACGAGGAAGGCTCCGTGTACTCTGATGACGAGGAGGACGATGAGCCCACAGCTACTATCAACCCATCCGACATCGCTGGCTCCGAAATCTCGACTGCCACTACCGAACACGACGTCGAGCTGCCAACACAATCGGAGATTGTTCGTGCTGTTGACGCCGTCCGGGCCGAGATGAAAGGCAACTACTCTCCACCCAGCGATTCGGGAGTTGGCACCGATCTGCCTACTGCCGACCTTGGCGACCAGTCTTTAGTTGACGCTGATTACTTCCGGCGCCAGGCTGAGGAGGAGGCGAGCACTGTTGGCTAGATCAATCTCTACCAAATCTGTGGAAGACTTCTGAAGTTTACACGCTCTGGTGTCTCGCTCCGTATCTTTCGGTTTGAAGCTTCGACTCGCCCTCCCAGGGTTCTAGAGTTGGCATCACTGATTGATATGTCGAGCTTGACTATAGCATGTTCTTCGGAGTTGCAATGTACGATTGATGGTTGATGTGTATATGTCATGTCATGACGGAGTTCGGTTGGCATTGGTGTTGATTGGGTTCCGTGTTCACGAGGAACGATTGGTATGATGAGCGTTGGGATGTCCATGAAGTGTTGTTTAAGCGGTCTGCACTGGCGTTGGGGGAAGCTATCGGCGAATATGCATTTAGGCGTTTTGGTCTGGAGTTTGTTCGGTCAGGTCGCCGGAGTAACATTGCTGATTACACACATGTTCTTGTTTATGACTTTAGTCGATACGTAGGCTCTTCTATGAGCGTAATGAAACGATCGCCTGCAGCCTCATGTCCATTACTGTGATAAGATGTCCTTCTACTTGCCGTAACTCCAGTTGCGTTACCCATGTTGAACATGTGAAGACTGGTCAAGTAGTGGTGGGCTCAGAAGACATCCGATTATTATTACTCCTCATCGTCTTCGTCTTCATCTACTCCCTTCTTTGGAGCCTCATCCTCTTCTTCCTTGTCTTCAACCTCTTCCTTGTTGTCCTCAGTCTTCGCACTTAGATCAGCCTCATAATCCGGCCTGACAACCTGTATGCCCTTCTTTGTAAGTGCGGATTCTATGAGCGGTGCCGAAGCGAGTAGAGCGTTGTATTGATCGATTGCAAGCGAGATGCCCTGTATGAAATAGTCGTATCAGTAACCCGTCACCGTTGGAACAAGCAGACGGCAAAGATAAAACAGAACAGTGTAGGTAAGCAATCCATACCTTCTTCCCCGGCTTCGTCTCTCCAGCATCGGTAACATAGTACTCTCGTATGCTAACGAGTGTGCTCTTGTTGAAGTCGCTTACTGTCACGCGTCGTTTTCCGCTGGCGTTTAGCTGGAGTCTTGTTAGCACTCTCCTCTTCGTTTTTCTTTATTCTTCCTTTCTTGTGCAACTTACGCTCACATACGTATCACCATTGTCGTCCGTCTTGAGCTCCGGCACCACAGGTATGGACTCATCGTCGTTATCATCTCCGGCCTTGGTCTTCTTACTTGCGCGCGGCGCGTTGTCGTCGTCGGCGTCGGGTGAGGAACGTTTCTTTGTGAAGGTTTTCTTGAAAGTGCTGCCTCCTCGGGCGCCGCCGCGCTTGAAACCGGCCATTTTGTTTTGGAATGTGTAGATTGGAGCGTTAAGGGTGCGGGATTGAAGTCTGCTCACAGAGGACGGGGCTGCTCGTGACGATGACGCAGGGCAGGCGTGTCGCGCTAGTGAAACGCGCTAGAGACACGGTCATGTGATAAGATGTTGCTCGAGTTGGTCCGCTACAACGAAAATGGACAAATCTTGCTTTCGATCATTGTTCTTGTTAAGCGAGTGTCGAGCTATCTAGTTTAATGGTAAAGGGTCGATGCTTCCTACATGGCATGTATCACTTCATCCGCGTTCTGTGCCTCATGTACTTCACTCCATGGCCGCGAAGGTCGCATCTGCTGCACCTTGGACGGCTTCTCTAAACTGAGCGGCCCGGAAATTTCCTTCTCGAATTCGTACGAAATCCTGCCTTCCTGGCTAAGAACCGAGTCTGCGCGTCCCATTTCGATATCCTTGCCTACCGACGCTCTCCCGTGCGCATTTTGCTCGATCAAAGTCGATGGTATGCGCGGATCGTACATGGTTGGTACGCGACTGCGTGAAGGAGGCGGGACAACAGCGACGTATCCGTAACCCATACCGAGTGCCGATGCCGTGGGCTCAAATGAGCAGCTCTCTTTCTCTCGGGCGCGACGACATGCATCAATCGTTGCCGTGATGAACGTGATCAAGAAGAGGAACCATCCCGCGCCGGCTGCGATAGTATAACCCCGGCTAAGGTCAACCAGCATCGCGAACGTTATGAGGTCTGGAGATGTTGCTGTGTCGAGACGTGTTTTGCTGAAGGTTGCGAGGCTCATGTTGAAGCTGAGAGACACGCCTAGGGCTGCAGCCATAACACACATACACAAGCATTCGATAGGGATAATGACTGATGAGGCTATGCGCGTACGTTGGAGCACAGTTGTCAATACGATAACAATGCCGGCGAGCGAAGCAAAGGCGGCCTGCATTGTTAGTACAATGGTATCGATTGATGGTTGATTCACGCACAGAAGCGATCGATATCCAAACCTTGATGGCACCATCTATAACCGTGACGAAGTAGTTCTTCCAGAGCAGCGCCATTTGCGGTTCTGGCTGGACCATCTCTAGGATTTCAGTACCACGGACATTGATATCGCGAATGATGAACTGGGCTGCGACAAACTGTTAGAAACATCCATCTAGGTCGTTGTTGGGGAAATTGAACACTTACACCAAGCACCTAGTCCTAGTACTCCTAGTGCCACAATCAGGGCCAGGACCCTCAATGACAGCAGGACCGATTTGCCATATCCCATCCTCGTACGCGAAGCCAACGAAAGAAGAAAGGTAAAATCAGTATATTTGTAAGCACAGTCCAGCTGGCAGCTGCTCACAGAGCGCTAAGTTAAAAGCAAGTGGTGTCTAAACGAGTGAGTGGTGGACAAAGGTGGAAATCCTTTACCAAAGAGTGGATGAAGCATAGTTATTGAGGCAAACGTCATAATGAAGATGACTCGGACTCTTAGGAGCCGGACCGTTGTTGTGATGCCTTGTGCAGCTCGAGTGGGGTGGAAACATGCTAGGTGGCTGGTTGTGCCTGAGCATGCAAGCAGACCTGAGTCAAAACCTTTGATATTGACGCGCCACGATATATCCCACGCGGAGCTCTGCTCCCCGACGCGTACCAGGGTGTGAGGTAAAAGATTCCGCTGAGGCACTGGTCTCTATCTGTACCCTTGTCTCTTACCTCGCAGCTCATTGTTCAAGCGTTCGGGCCATTGAGGCATAGTAATTGGCCAGCAAGCCCAAGTACTTTCCACGGAACGTTGTGATCCGCCATACGAGAGATGCATCCTCGCGCATTGACGATGCTGACGTCCCGATAATCGGGAACGGCTGGGGTGATGCTTGCCCTCCCACGTGTTGACCTTGTTGAGACAGAACCTGAGGCACCAAGGCGTCGCCGTTGCCAGGCTGAAACAAGCGTCATACCCGGGAACTGCACCAAGACTGCCGGGACGTTCCGTCATCATACCGCTTTGCTGCTCCACAAGAGGTGAATTCGACTTCGACATTCTGTGAGGTCACAATAGCTGGACGGTCCTAAGCACCACATTATGTCGGATGCGCTAAATCGCTTCGGGGTTCGGGTGATCAATAGCCGGAGCGATTCCATGCGCTGGCTTCCGAGAGCGTAGAACAAAGGAAAGATGACGGGGTCATGTAAGTGCTAACAAGGAAGCATCACAGTCAAGTCATACATCGCGACGCTACAACCGCAACTGCGATACACATCCGTCGTGCCTCGAGCGAGGGAGTCCAGACGAAAGCTTAATCACAAGAGATTCTTGACCTTGTTCGACAGGATATGCTCAATAACTTTGTTCAAGTTTGGGATCGCAGCGGTGTAATGAGTAAGAATGGAAATGTGCGTTCATGGAATGTAGGGCGGGGCGACGCGACGAAGAAATGGCCGCCGGAGCTAGCCTCTCTCGGCAACAGTCGGGTCGGCCATCCTCCATACAGCAGCCATCGACACTTGCATCCGCTCTCCCCTCTCCGCCAAGACGAAATGCGGAGAACGGTTGGAGAGAACGGTAACATTGCAGAGGGCTCGTCACGAGGTCGCAATGAAAGCCCGTTGTTTTGCCGAATGACGTCTCCAAGGTTGTCAATCGTGAGATGCGTGTAAAATTTTCAGAAGTATTTAGCCTGGTGTGATCCAAGAGCTGCAAACATATCGTCGAAAGCGGAAGATTTGCAAGATGAGGTATTCCAGTGCAGCCGCAGTGAGCTTTGCTCTACTGCCAAATCTAGCAGTCTCACAAGGATACACCAATGAATCAGAGGTCCCACTATACGGGCTAAGTCCACCAGTATATCCCACCCGTAAGTACTTAGTTCATATCTAGTTGTCAGGAAACTGATGGTACATAGCTGTTGGCAATGGAACAACTTCATCCACTTGGGCATCCGCATATGCTCGTGCGAAAGACCTCGTGGCTCAATTGACGCTGGAAGAGAAGTCCAATCTCACACACGGTGTCTCCGGTCCTTGTGTAGGCCAGACGGGCGCTGTACCTCGTCTCCAGATCCCAGAACTATGCTTCGCGGACGCACCTGCAGGTGTGCGCGGACAAGAGTTTGTATCATCATTTCCTGCTGGCATTCATCTTGGAGCCACCTTCGACAGAGATCTTATGCTCAGATATGGCCATGCACTCGGTAGAGAGTACAGGGGCAAAGGAATCCATGTCGCCCTCGGCCCATTCATAGGTCCTATTGGAAGAGTCGTACGTGGTGGCAGGAATTGGGAGGGCCTTGGTGCTGATCCCTATCTTGCCGGCATTGGGGGCGGACTGATTACTAGAGGCACGCAAAAGGAAGGCGTAATTGCCACACCAAAGGTATGGGACTTCCTCAGAGTGAAAGAGAATAGAAGCTAACAGCATTAAAAGCACTGGCTTGCGCAAGAACAGGAGTACAGGCGACGCCCCGGTGATGAAGGCGAGGCAGTCTCCTCTAACGTAGATGATCGCACGCTTCACGAACTCTACGCTTGGCCATTCATGGACGCCCTACGGGAGGGAGCCGGCTCGCTAATGTGTTCATACCAGCGGATTAATAACTCGTATGGATGTCAGAACAGCAAGCTCCTCAATGGCATCTTGAAGGAAGAGTTGGGATTCGAAGGCTTTGTGGTATGTAGTGTGCTAATTATTCCTAGGACCTCTACTAACGACCTCTAGGTATCTGATTGGGACGCACAACATGCTGGTGTCGCTTCGGCCAATGCAGGTCTTGACGTAGTGATGCCTGTTCCCAAATTCTGGGGTGGAAATCTTACTGATGCTGTCAACAACGGATCCGTTACCACGGAGAGGCTAGATGACATGAACACACGTCTTCTCGCAGCGTGGTTCTATCTCAACCAGGACGAAGGTTTCCCCGAAAACGCCGTGTACCCATACAACGTCGAACACGAAATTGTGGACGTACGCGAAGATCACGCGTCACTCATTCGAGAGATCGGAGCTGCCGGAACTGTGTTGGTTAAAAACGTTAACAATACTCTACCACTTCGCAGCCCCCGCTTTCTGAACATCTACGGTTATGACGCCGAAGTAAAGGCTCAGCCCTGGAACAACCCTTCTCGCTTCGGTGGTGGCTACGAAGAGAACTTTGGCTGGAACACTCTCAACGGTACTCTAATCACGGCAGGTGGATCGGGCTCTAGCACTCCGCCATATGTGATCAGTCCCTTCAAGGCCATCCAAGACCGCATTATTGCAGACCGCGGAACACTACGATGGGACTTCTTTGGTGTTAATCCGACCGTATACGCCAACGCCGATGCGTGTCTCGTCTTTATCAACGCCTACGCTTCGGAAAGCTTCGATCGCATTTCCCTCACAGACGATTTTAGCGATCAACTCGTCAACAACGTTGCGACCAACTGCTCAAACACGATCGTTGTAATCCACAATGCTGGTATCCGCACCGTGGACGCCTGGATCGACCATCCCAACATTACAGCCGTTCTCTTTGCTGGCGTCCCCGGTCAGGAAAGTGGCAACGCCATCGCGGACGTCTTGTACGGTGACGTGAACCCATCCGGTCGCTTACCATACACCGTCGCCCGTCAAGAGCTTGATTACGGCCACTTGCTTAACGGGACTGTCGATCTTTCTATCCCAGCTTTCTTACAGTCGGACTTTACAGAGGGGTTGTACATCGACTACCGTGCTTTCGATGCGAAAAACATTACGCCACAGTATGAATTCGGCTATGGCCTTTCGTACACAACGTTTGGTTATACGAACATGACTGTTGAACCTGTGGCGAACGCAAGTCTCGCTGCCTTCCCGTCAGCATCCGTGCCGATAATACAAGGCGGTCACCCATGGCTATGGCAAGTGCTATACCGCGCCACAGTTACCATTACCAACACTGGAAAGGTTGCCGGTCATGAGGTAGCGCAGCTGTACCTGGGCGTACCTAATGCGCCGCAGAGGCAGCTGAGAGGGTTCGAACGTGTGGGTTTGTTGCAGCCTGGAGAGAGTAGGGAAGTTGAGTTTATGTTAGATAGGCGCGATTTGAGTGTCTGGAATGTTACCGCTCAGGCATGGGAGCTTCAGAGAGGCAGGTATGCGGTTTGGGTGGGAGCAAGCAGTCGTGACATTAGGCAAGAGGGCGAGATTGTAGTAGCGTAGTCTAGCACGACGACTTAGTAATACCTTCAATCGCTACCTATCATCCTCAAAATTATTACAAATTTTGTCAGTGAGCAGATGATATGGCAATACAGCCTGCTTGGTTGCGTGCACTGAGCTCATAAGAATGCCGCGCTATACCGTAGATTAGCACTTCAACTACAAAATTCTCGACTTGTTGAAAACGCTCATAGAGAGCGCTCAGGACTAGTCATGGATGATTGCTAGATTGGATGGCGTATCGAGAAATCGTATGTCGTTCGTAAACTTGTGCTTCGATTAGTGGTTTTCAACCTTGGTTCTTAGCGAAGATTCGATAACACCCTAACCTAGGTACATCTCAGTCATATGCTTGCTATGATGCTGCAACGGACCGAGCGTTTCTATCTGAAATACATGTTCCGGAACACCAACTTCAAAATCGCGACTTGGTTCAGCAAGTTCCCTAGAGGCATTCCGGGTGGCGACAGTCAAAAGACAGTGAGGCATCCCAACTTTCCACACACGCACTGGTTCAGCCATGAGCGTGGTTCACATGCCCTCACCAAACCGAGCTTGGACTTGGCTGTTGTTTGCAAGAACCTGCGCAAGCTCGACATGACCCTCCATGTCGACAAGGTGAGCATATACAACGAGTCCACGAATTGGGTCCGCAAATCACTTCCCCTTCTTGAAGTCATCGACTACTTCAACATGGAGACAATTTTTGGCTGTACCAGCCTGGAGGAGGTATATATCGATGGCATCTACGTCCGACCATCGCGAGGCGGCGATGTGACTAATTTGAACGTGCTAGAGGACCTTGGCAAGTAGAAGATGAAGGGCTTCCTCGTTCAGCGTAACATGAAGTGCGGTATCCAAGTCAAGTTGGTGCGCCGATGGGGTGCTTGGACAGGACGTGTTCGTGGGGCCTTGATTACCCTAAATGATACCGACGTGGCGGAAGTGAAGGCGCGCATCGCGTTCCAGAACGCGTATGCAAAGGCTCTCATTATGGCTGGATCCGCTCTCATCATCTAGATAAACGTTGTCAGTCTTCTGATTAGGGAATCATCAATCCGAGTATGCTAAGGCTATTGGCTGAGCTCGGTAGTTGAAGCTTGGTTGGATGAAACCCGGTTAAGCCCAGTTACCTCGTGTCATGTGAATGCCGCGTAACCATCTGACTTCTTTTGCGCCTCACGAACAAGAGGGACAGGATCAAGCCGGAAGGTTAGCTGTTCGTAGAAGCTTCGAAAGGCTCACGTTGTGGGGCGGAAGCTCGACGCGTCGTCCAATCAGTGGTAATATGATGAAGCTGACAAAGGCGCTAGCGGCATAATCCCTGCAAATCTGGGGTAGCTTCAAAGCGGCCATGCAAGGTGCAGCAAGAGTCTGGCGCTTGCTAACAAGTCCATATACACCACTGATACCCCTCTTCACTTCTTCTCAAGCCGCGACTTTTACATCAAACTTTGTAATCACCAACAACACCTCTATCAACATGTCTTGCCCCGTGATCGGAACCACCAACGATGTCCTCCCGCCGAACCACCCCTCTATCGACCTCGCAAAGGATGGCCAGGTTGTACGTACTCGAGAGTATTTCCATACCCCCGAGCTATACTGACATATAACGACAGTGTCCCGTTGTAGGAGCGACAACCGACCACCACCACAACCTCCACTCACACCCTCCTGTCCCTACCCAAGGCAACGAGGCTACATCCTGCCCCGCGCTTAAGAACACCGTCAAGGAGACGAGGGCCCAAGAGATGGATGATGCTCTTTGCCCAGTTGTAGGCACCGCTACCACCGTTCTTCCTCCCGACCACCCAGATATGCTTAAGGCAAATGAGGGCGATGTATGCCCAGTCACCAAGGCAACAGTTGGACACCACAAGAACAAGGTGGCAACACACCCAAGCGTAGAGGGTGCGGCGGATGGTGCCGTATGCCCTGTTACTGGCCAAAAGCAACTTGCGTAGAGGTATTATGAATACGAGGGATGGTCGGCGTTTGTATATATATATATACCCAATCAATTGTAGTGGGTTAACGATTCGACATTAGATCGAAAACAGCCCCATCTGCAACCCTCGTCCGTTTTTGTCTATCTGTGACAGTGTAAACATGTTGTAGCTGTTGAGCGCTGACGATGCAGTGTCACATTGGAGATTTTGGAGCTATAAGAGCACAAAAGGTTCTGCTGCCTGATACGAACTTGTTTTGCTTTCATTTCTACTCTACGACTCCATCATGCGGCTCCATACTCTGATTCTAGCACTTTTTACTAATCTGCCTGTCCCAAACAAGCAACATCTGCTACTAGCCCAATGACGAGGACCAACCGATTTGGGAACTGCCAGCAGAGGAACGGTAGTTGGGCCATAACGCGAACGAGCAAGCGGTATGAAAGGAAGGGGAGTGACATAGGGGCCACGCTATCGGTTGAGCAGCAAGATTTGCCGAATATTAGATATATACACTAGACAATTAATTCTTTCACTACACGAGGAGAGCGATCTCTATTAGCTTGTCTTAGACCAGATGTAAGGCCCCTACAGGACTCGGGAGACTAGCGCGTGCATATGTTGAATTCCAACGTCAGAGGCGATTCATTGACTCAACATCCGCCATGATCTTTCAACACAGTCTGTCTTGTTTCACTGATGTGATAGGCGATCCTCAGGTATATGGGCTACCGACTAAGTCCCATGGTTCCTCAAACTTCCGCTAGAGATACGTGAGAAGATCTACGATTTCGCAATGGACGATCCGCCGACACGGTACCACGTCCGGGATTACAAGAGGATATCACCCCTCACTGTATCCCCCGCCACCCTTCCGTATCCATGTTATGCCAGCAAGCAACTACACAAGGAAAAACTCGCCACCTGGATTCGCCGTTCACGTTTCATCATTGGAGAGAGCGAACGAGGACATATACACCCTCTAATGGAGCTCCTTTTTGCAGGTCAACGGCTTCAGACATGTGCATATGCTCTCGTATTGTGACCTAACTACATATGTCGGTAAATTTGTGTTAGGGAAGAGTAAAACGTACGAAACTCTAGCGGCCAAATGCATTGGACTTCGCAGTTTGATTCTCGGATTGAGTGGCGGCTGCTGCACAGTAAAGCGCTACTCAGGCTTGGCAGGGAAGGTAAATGGCGCACCGTCTACGGTTGGGGTCACTCTACAAGCTAAACAGCTTGAGGGAGTTGAAGATCGAGGTGGTTGCAGCACACTACTTCGCAGATAGCTCGGAGCTCACTCGGCTCGGAGGACTGAAAGATTTGGAGGAAATGGTCACAGAGGGCTTTGAAGCGGTAGGAAAAGGTAGGGTTGTGAGAGTGAAGTCCGAGATATTAGGATGGGGGTATTGAGTAGAAGGGGCACTGCAGGGACTGGTCAGCTCCTTTTCTTTGTAGCTATAGATATATTGGTCATGTGTACTACTACGGGGAACGAGCTCGATATGGTAGTGGCGAACGCGATGGTTTCCTCCGGGAGCGCCCTGTGTCATCGCCATCAGAATCTGAGCGCCTTCGCTCACGCTTTCGATGTCGATCGCGTCTGTCTCTGGAATCCTCGCTCCGATCCCGAATTCGTTCTGATCGATGGCGACGATCTCTGTCCTGTGAGTCGTCCCGTGGCCTTGACTTTCGATGTCGACGGTCGTCGTGCGGACTTTTGTCGCGGCTCTTGCTCCTCCTCCGCGAGCGTTTATCACGTTCATCATCTTCTCCGGCTTCCTTGATCCTTCTTCGATCCCTGTCACGATCGCGGTCTCTCGATCTATCTCTGCGACTATGCCTGTCCTTGCGCTTTGCCCTCTCCTTCTCTTTGCGTTTTTGCTTCTTCAGCTTCTTGACTGCGTCGTCCACCTTCTCTTGCTGGCGCTTGATCAGGGAGTCGCGCATCGGGTCGTCTTCATCCAGCTTCTCCATGAGCCGCCCTAGCTCGATCTCTTCTGGAAGCAGTGGCCGGTCGTCGTCCGAGTCGCTTTCGCTCTCTGTCTTTCTCCGCTTCCTTCTGCCACCGTCAGACTCATTACCAGGGTCAAGGTCGAGCTCTCCCATGGTATTGTCCCTCATGTCTTCGTCGTCTTTGGGCTTGTACCGCGCGTGGTCTACCCTAATGATTCGGTCCATAATGCTCGCTCCGCCCAGGTTATCCACAGCCAAGTCGCAGCTCCTTTGGTCTTCGTACTTGATCCATGCGAAACCTCGCGACTTTCCCGTCTCTTTGTCGCGCGCAAGCTTAACCCATACCGGCTCGCCGTACTGGGAAAATATGGTGATGATGTCACCCTCTGAAAGTTCGAAGGGTAGGCCGCCGATGTAGACGAAGGCCGTGTCGCGGTAGTCGGTATGCCATGAACCTTCCGGGTTGATGCCCGCCTCAAGTTCTCGCTTATTCAACTGCTGGATAGCGCGCACTGAGTTCATGATGGGCGTAGTACCAACAGAATGGTGAGGTGGGAGAAGTGAGGAAGGCGCGTTCGGAGGATGGGCTGGATGTAGCTTCTTGGTCCACTAGCGTCGAGAAGGCGATTCAGATGTGCATCGCGGGTATCCGAAGTCTTGTTTTATGTCGCTGTCGTCCTGAACACAGTAATGGCAGTGTATTACAAACGTCGTGTCGTGTGCGCGGAGGTAGTAGGAAGAGCCGCTGGAACTTTTGAAGCTCGGGCTTGGCCAGCAGCAGCATCCCTGCAGAAAAGGTACCAGCGAACATGCGGCCAAACAAGCACACCGCAACCCCACTAGACATTCACTACGTGCCGCATTAGCCCTTCCGCTTCCGTCGCATATCTTGTATACATCATCCACACATCATCGCCTAGTCGACAAAGCCTCGTGCCACCGGCGACGAAGCTCCGCAGCACCTCCGCAATGGCGAGCGCGCGTCGCACCTCCAACTTCCCCACACGCGTCCCCGGAAGCCACGATCGACCGGGGAGCCGAGACACGGACAAGGAGGAGATATGGAAGCCTATGTTGGATAATATCTCGAGTGGAAAGCGACTGCCAGAAAAGAGTCTATTGGTACTGGGTGAGGGCCACGACAGGCGGAATAGGGGACCCAGCCAGCTAATGCTCAAGCCTAGGCGGAACACCAGAGACACAACGAGAATTCCTAGAATCAGTATCGACAGACTCTGCAAACAACCGGCGACCGCCCGACCGAGGCAGGAAGCCGCCAATTGCGAACCAATTCGCCTTGGGCTATACCTATCAAGATGTTCTGGACACGGATCACGAGGGTGTGTAATGTCGGTGATTGTGCAAGCATGAATCACTAACAGAATCAGATACTCTGGCTCGCCTCTCGCTCTACCTCCTCGCTAATCCGTCGCCATCCTTCACGCCCCTAATCAAGCCCTACCTCAACCCACGAACCCTCCCGCACATGCTTATCGTCATACTCCTAGACTGGAATCACCCATGGCTGTGGATACGGCAACTTCGCGACTGGATCAGAGTGCTGCGATCGCTCATTGTCTCGCTCGATGACAACTCCAAGGTGGTTCTAGAGGAGAACATTCAAACACTACAAGACAAGGGACGCAACCTGCCATCTGAAGGCAGCAGCATGGAAAATGTGAAGATACCACTTGGACCTGGAGAATGGGATGAGCCTCTCGGCATACCACTGTGCGTAGTGTGCCAGAACGCTGACAAGATCGAGACTCTTGAAAAGGAGAGGGGCTGGAAAGAGGAGGAATTCGACTTCATACTACAGTACATGCGCACTATTCTTCTCAAGCATGGCTCAAGTTTGGTCTACACCATGCCCACGGCACCGGGGTCCTTGCGAACACTTATTCACTCCACCCTGGGCATCAAGTCTCTGCTCAAACAAGAGCAGCTTAGGCACAACGTGACGGATCGCGACCGTGTCTTGGTTCCACCCAACTGGGACTCATGGGCGAAGATTCGTATCTTACGAGAAGGGTTTGATGTTGAGGGCATCAGTGAGAAATGGAGTGTTGACATCGATATTCCCCAGCACATGCGGCCAACCAACGGCCAAGTATCCACACCCGTCGACGGAGAAGCCCAGCCGAACAGCGAAGACACACAGGTTGCGGAAGAGGAAGAGGAAGGACCGTCGGCAACTTCAATCTACGAAGAGACGATCCGCAACCCAGAGTCAGACTACGCACTTTCCAGCTTATCGAAACAAGTCAATGGGCTCGAAGTGTCGAGCAAAGACCCACAAGCCTTCCTCGCCGATCAAGTCAACGTTCTTGAACATCTCCGGCGGGAGGATGAGAATGAAGCTGCCATTAAAGCTGCGCGCAAAGAACAAGATCCCTCGACTACTAGGACCTGGACTGACGATGCATCGGGTGTTGTCGAGGAGCATATTGGACCTGTACAGTTCAACATGGGTGGTATCCAAGTCAACGCCGATGAGATGGTGAAGAGGCTACAGGTAAGTGCAAGATTCACATACACTGTCCAATGACATACTGACTTCATTCTAGGACCGTCAAGCCAACCGACTAGACGAACCAGAGACACCACCCCCCAAAACACAGGATACCAACATCAACGACAACGAGAAGCTGAGATCCTTCTTCTCAAGTTTGGTCAATAAGGCGCCTTCAAACAGTCCAAGGGGATCATAGAATAGGTCTACTTCCAAATGAGCGCTTTTCAACTATTCTGGCACATGTATCGCGCACATGTTTGCTCGACGTTTTCGATAGCAGTGGCTTTCTTACTGGTTCACGGTCGTCATTAGCATGGCTCTATACCCACAGTGTATTTCCGTACCCAATATAAGCTTTCCCATTCAATACCCGCGCTCTCAGACTATGTGCTCTACAAGTTTCGCTACTGGATCTGTCGCTGGTAGTTTTGCTATTCCAATGATGGTGAATATCGTACAGTGTATTGCACATTAGCTTGACGATTCGACATCTTCATGGCTGAAGACACGCACCCTATGCTTCACACCTTGATTCCACGCTTTTGCCAGCTCATTTTTCATTCCTGTGTCTTTCTACCCTACCTCCCTGCCTAATGTTCTACCCATAGCACTCCCACCATACAACAATTCCAGATCGAATAACAAACCAACTATTCTATCAAACCTAAAACCACTTGGGCTCGCCAAACTTTCCATCATGACAGGCAGACGCGTCCGCTGGGCTGATTACCGCCGCCCAGACCGCATTACAGGAGAGAATCTCGCTCAAGTACCTGACGCACACTTCAACTGGGGACAGTGGAGGTACATGGCTAATCCACAGGGGATGCAGGGGTATTGGAATCAGAGGAGAGGACAGTGGGGTTGGAGAAACGGGTATCAGTGGGGAGATGCTAGGGGCGATGGGCGGTATCGCTAAGTGATGAGGCATTTGGGCATGTAATAAGGAAGTAAGCACAAGCTGCGCGTACCATTTCGTTTGAACCTGTTGAACAAAAAGATCCAAACTCTCCCCCCCATTCTACTTCTCTAATAACCACCTCACCCCCTTTAACGTATCCCTCACAAACTTCTTACTCTCCTCCAATTCCGGATAGTTCGTCCAGAACATATGTCCATACCCAGCGTACAAGTCAAACCTCGTCAGCACCCCACTCTGTCTCAGCACCTTATCATAAAGCACTGCTTCGTCCCTCAATGGATCCAAACCGCCGACTTGGAAGAAAGCTTTTGCCAAACCTCGATGCCCATCAGGGTGGTTAAAAGGGTCCCAGAGAGGGGACTTGGGTTCAGGAGCGTAGACATGCTCAATCAACCCGGGTAGAATACCTTTCAAGACGGGGTCATCGGAACTCTGTGTCCGAGATTGGTAGAGAGGAGCTAGCTCGGGTGGCACATTGGTATCTGGTAGCAGTGCAGGGACGCAGAGGTATTGGCCTGTGATGGGCGGTTTGAGATTCTCGTCCCGAGCGAGGAGTGCGAGGACGGCGGCGATGTTACCTCCCGCTGATGCGCCGCCGACGAGAAGACCGCGTGAGGGTGTCGCGTTGAGTATAGCACTATTCTTTACACTCCATAGGAGGGCGTCGTAGCAATCGTTCACTCCGATGGGGAATTTGTGCTCGGGTGCTAGGCTGCGGGGTTATGTGTGAGTATCCTTCTTTACCTCATGCAAGTACACAGGTGGAATATGGGAAGACATGAAAGAGATAGGACTTGAGGAAACGAGGTAGTCTTCTTACCGGTACTCAGCATTTACACAGACAGCTCTTAGGTCCCTAGCAAACATCCTACAATTCATGTCTTCGTCCGTTAAATCGCCCATGCTCCAGCCTCCTTCATGATACATCATAATGAGCGGACTACCATCTTGCGGCGGACCGGCAACGGGCTGGTAGACTTTGACGCGGATAGATGCACCATCTCGAGTCGGCACATCATGCAAGGTTTCTTTAACTTGCTCTTCGATCGGACCGGGGATAGGGTAGAGATGGCGCAAACGCGAGAGATGGTCTGCGCGAGCTGCGCGTTGGGCGAAGAAGTCGCCGCCAGCGATGTCTGTGGGGTGGGACTCGAAAGCCTGAAAGTCTGGTGAGATGATGATTTCTGCTTGGTGTTTCTGTTTCGAGGGAACAATGTTGGAGCTGGCGATGAAGCATCTCAAAGCGAATCATGGAACTCTAGTACCTTTCTGTACACCTCGGATACCTCGCCTGACTTGAGGACCTCTTCGCGTGTAAGATGTGCCATATCTGCCACGGTATTTTATGGAGACTGATTCCAACAGGATCTCGCTGGATGGCAACAATGATTCTTGCGAGGTATTTGCACTTGCTTTCTGACGATGATACACCACGTGTAAGCTTACGTCATTCTAAAACAGCTCAATCCAGCTCACAGTACGGCATGGGTTGTTCGTCTTGTCAATACTGCTATCAGGGTTGAAACCCTACAGCGTGCTACGAACTAGCGAAGATTTTCATGGATATGTAAAATATAGCTTAGGATTATGTTACGAGTCAAAGGAGGTAATATCTCGACAACTATAACCCCACTACCTACCACAGAAGAATGTAAAGTGCTAAGAGAACCAAAATATACGCCATTCATCATCTCATCTCCTACTCAGCATCAACAAGCACAGTACTTTCATCTACCTTCTTCTCACGTTCCTCTCCCGCCAAACTAGGCTGCACAACCTGCCTGCCCTTCCACCCCTTCATAAGCTTACCCAGTCTCTTCCTAAGACCATACTGCATCCACAACGGCCAGCTCCTTACTTTCGGCAGCATGAACCATGCTGTCTCCGGCAGAATAAGGTGCTGACTCTTGCCACTCAAAACCGCCTTGACGATACTCTCAGCAACCGTCTCGGGATACAAAACACCCCTAGAATCGAATCCTTCGAACAGAGCGGTGCGCGTGTAGTTCTGGCACATGACTACAGTCCTTATCTTAGGTGCGTTGTAGCGAGCGACGAGTTCGGCGGAGAGGCCTTCGTGGAAGGATAGTGCGGCGGCTTTGGACGAGGCATAGTCGACCATTGAGGGGGCGGAGATATAGCCGGCTACAGATGCGACGGTCACGATCATACCGTGGTTGTTGGCGATCATGCTAGGGAGAAATTGCTGGGCGAGGTAGTAGTGGCTGAAGGTGTTGACCTTGAAGGTCAGGTTGATGTCCTTCTCGGTCGACTCAAGGATGGTTTTGCCTCGTGCAACACCGGCATTGTTGATAAGTACCGTGGGGTTGCCGAGGGTGGAGCGAATGGAGGAAGCGGCGGAGGCGATGGCCTCGGGAGAGCTGAGGTCGCACTTGAAGAAGCGAACAGATGGTGGTGCTGGTGGGTGTTAGTAACTTTTCAATGCGTCCCTACCACTTAATGGGTAGACGTACCTTCGTATGTCAGATCCTGGACGTCCAGGACTGCAACCTTGATACCCTTCTCTGCCAGCAGCTGTACAACAACCTTGCCAATGCCATCACTGCCACCGGTTACGACGACAACCTCGCGACTCCACACATAGGCGTCGTTACTCCAGTTGTTGGTCACGGCGCTGTTCAGCCACCCGTTGACAGTACTCAGCGCACCCAGACCAAGCAGTGCCTTTAAGCCCTTGAACACTGTGGCATGGTCTGCTGCGAGGATGTTGCCTTGTTGTGTGTAGCGCGCAAGGAGGACGAGAGGAAGCGTGAGGGCGGGATTGAAGGCCGTGTACCTGATGAGGCGGCTTATGGTGTCGCCAGTTACGCCTGTTTATCGTGTTAATATAGCTTCCCAATTGATAGCGCATTTCGGTGTGAGCCCCAGTAATGGGCGGTAATGGCCCGTGGTACTTACCTTCACGAGCAAGGGCCCAGTCACTTCGGATAGGCATCGCGACTATGTCGAAGGTTGTTTGGTGTTTAGGATAGTAGTGAAGATAGCGCGTACAAGCTGCAACTAGCAACCGACGGATAAAGTTCACATGTTGCGCGTCAGCTCCCTTTAAACGGTCCGTCTATGATGCTCCTTCGTCTTGGTGCTGTGCCGCGCCCGCCAGGTAGAGCGGGGTCAGCTAAATCAAGGCTAACGCGTCCCTGATCGCGCGAACAACCGAGGAACCAGCGCTGTCTATCGTGATATCGGTGTTGCCATGTGTAAGTGATCAACGCAAAAGGGTCAAAGTGATGTGCGGAATGATTATTATTTGCAGCTTCTCAGCTATCGTGACTAAACCTACTATCGTACTATATCCGCTCCAAGCAATGCTATATAAAAATCATCCCGGATGCTAAACATAGGAAACGTCGTAAAGTGATTAAATAATTAAGTATCGCGTCCCAAACGCCAAATGCAGAATCCTCCCACGCTATATGAATGATGTGGAAAGAAAAAAGTGTAACCCAATCGGTCGTTCCTCTAAAACATGTTCTTCCCGCCTTGCTCGTAGTCCATGATGGTACTCTCAGGAGGCGCGACGCTCGTTACCCGACTGATGCGACTTCCTCGTGAGTCGGGACGATTGATCGACATAGCTCCACTCATGACTCTCACGACCTTCTTACTCCTGGTTCCTGCGACCAGCACTTGCGCTGGGCAGACCACAATCTCATCCTCGCCTTCGCCGAAGTCATCGCCCTTCTTGACAACAAGTGGGAAGAGTACGACCTTGACTACTGCACCACGGGCTTCGAGTTCGTCGTTAGACGTTGTCTCGCCTGATCGTTCGTTCATCAGAGAGGCATTAAACGTGACCTTGGCGACTAGGTCGCCCTTGGTGTCGTACTCAGGCTGTAGTGGCGGCAGCATGATGTATTCTGCGCGTTGGGTGCGCATTTCGATTGATAGTTCGACTGCTAAGCGCATAACGTTGCGCAATGATTCCTGGATCTGCTTCTGTAGATGCGATGGTGGCGGAAGAAGCGTCGAAAGCGTGCTGTAGATCTCGTGTACGACAGCTTCTGTGTCTTGGGCACGCTGCTGCATGAAAGGTTCTCTCCTCGCAAGAAGGGTAAGTGTGATAGCTCGCCATTGTGCCACGGCGCGAGGTGGGCCAACTTCTGACAACGTCTTCTCCAGCGCCTTGAGTTTCTGGCGCTGTTCTCTGTCCATACCGAAAAGGTACCTGGTGAAGACGTACTCCCAGATCATAGTCATGACCACCGACATGAACACATCTCGACGCTTAACACGGTCCGCCAGGAGCGCGTCGACATCTGACCCATCGAGAATGGCATTATCCAGGCGAGTGTCGATCTTTTGGCGCGTTGACGCATCCAGTCGAGTGTCAGCAGCGATCTCTGACGAAAGGCGACAGGCGCGAGTGTCGGAAAACTTAGAGAACCGTAGCACCCATTGCTGGACATGTTGACAGAGTTGTTGACAGGCGCTGTCAAAGTAATCCTCATCGCGGACAGTAAGGAAGCTTTCACTGGGCTTCTTGGAAGCTAAGATCTGCTTTTGAAGGTTCTTGATCTGTTCGCGTGCGGTTGCAAGCTCTGCAGTCAGGCGATCAATCTCGGCGTTGCGCTCATCAAGTGCCTCGCCGACTTCGTCGCGAACCGCATCCGCCAAACCTCGCTGCATCTGGGTATGCTGGCGGCGAAGTTCTTCTAAATCTCTTTGTGATGTTTGCCATTGCTGCTGCATGGCCTGGCCTTCAGCTTGAAGCTGAGCGTACTGATTACGAAGGCTTTCCAACTCCCGTTGTGATGACTGCCATTGCTCATGCACCATTTGGCCCTCGGATTGAAGGTGCGCATATCTTTCATTCGCATCATTGGTCAGGTTGCGATTCGCGTCTGTTAGTGCGTTATTGAGTTGATTCAGACGTGCAATCTCTTCTTGTAGTCGTTGGAGCGTATCTTTGAGTTGCGCAATGTCGATATCCCGTTGGTGAATCTGACGGTCACGTGCTTCTACCTCTTCAGCTACTAGCTGCTCGTCAACCTGGCGCTGATGTTGTGCAGCCTGCAAGGCCTCCTCAGCTTTGACCTTAGCATCCTCGACAGCTTGATTTTGCGCAGCTAGTTGGTCGAGTTGAGTCTGCAAATCCATGATTTGCATGCTTTGACGTTTGCGCACACTTGGTGGACGTGAGGGCGAGCTAGGGGACCTTTGGGCTTCACCCCATGCTTCCTGTAAAACACAGTCAGTAACAGGAAACGAGCGTCACAACAACATCAAACCACTTACAAAGGTTTCGGCCATACTGGTCCGGCGACCTCTACCTGTACCCCGGACTGGGTCGTAAACTGGTGGGGCGGCGATACCTGCGATGGCTGCTGCTCCAGCCGCAAGCACCGTGCTTGAGAGATTGGGTTGCGCGCTCTTAGCGTCCTGCGCACTGGCCGCGCCAAGCCTGGAGGCGGATCTCAGGTCACCTGACACTTGTCGGTCAACTCTTCGCAAGGAACGCTCGGAATGGTTGCTCAAAGAGCTCAGAGGTCGCTCTTGGTCCGGAGACCTCAATCTTGCAATGTTACTTAGAGAGCGTTGGCTTTGAACACTTGGCGACCGCTGCTCAGCAATGTACTGCTTCAACGGGTCTGCGCTTGGGGATGATCGTGGCATACGGCGTGCGGGACTGAGAGTCATGGTTCGATCTACGCTCTCGTTGACTTGTTGCCATGGCGAGTCTCTTCCGGCTGTGTTTTCGACTGTGGAATGCACACTTCGGCGACCTGTGGGTGTTGGTGTGCTAGGCGGAGGTGATCTCAGACGATCAGAAAGTTGCCTGAGACTCTCGGTGCGACGGGCTGACTTCAATCCTCGATCAGACACACCCACATCGGCTATGGACCGTGGCTTTTTGTGTGTGGTGGTGTCATCCGGACTGACTTCTGTGATAGATTCAAGTTGCTTGGTGCCTGGCGTGCTCGTGCGTTCCGGCTTTGCGACGGGTGCTGAAATGGTCTCACTCTTCTTCTCATTCGGATCACCAAACAAGGATTTGTATGGCTCCTTCTGCGTGAGTTCCTTCGTAGGTGATGCCCGGCCATGGTGCGACTCGACGCGCGGTTTCTTACCTGCTCGCGACGATCCACTGTTATCTTTGGACGGGGTTTCAACGACCATCTGGGTGTCATGAGCAGGCGTTTGCGGCGCAACTGCTGGCGAAGTGCCATATGCGCGCGTTGATGGCGAAGAATCGAATAGGTGTGAGGATCGCTCCTTCGTCGCGTACTCGTCGCTCGGGGTTGACGTGCTAGGAATCGTTGGGTATGATGGCAAAGCAGGGCTTTCTGCATCTCGATCACTTGCAATTGAGCGTTTTGATGCACTCAGAGGAGTTTTTGGTTCCTTCGAACGCCTCAGCTTACGTGCTACCGTCTCGGCTGGCTGTTCCAGTTGTGGCGTGGCGGGGGCTTGGTCGACATTGTCCTGAACTCCAGCAAAAGACCATGATGGTTCATTGGCTGGTACTGCACTTGACGCCCGCCTATTTGAGTCCTCGTGGAGATGTGCGAGCTCTGGCACGACGACACGCGAGGGTGACGCTGTTCTTTCGGTGGCGAATTGAGGCTCTTGGGTGGGCTCTGATGTATGTAGACGCTTCTCGTGTGGTCGCTCATCATCAAAGGATACAGGATGGGTCCTACGTTTGTGGACTTCATGAACGGCAGCTCGTGTCTCAATTGGCGGTACGTCTCCCATCGTGGTTGTAGACTCCTCCTCAGCCTTCTCTTCAACTCTTCTGCTCTTTTTGCCCTTCTTTTTTGTCGATGGGGCCCATGCATCCATATCCCTCTCTTCCTCTAATTCACGCCTGCGCGATTCCTCCATCGGCTGCTTCGAGATCCCCTCCGGTGACACCACTTGTGGAAATGGGTACTCCCTCGGCTCTTCAGCAGTCAGTGAGCGGGGCTCCTGATCGAACGTCACTGGTAGGATTGGAACATCTTCCGTGCCTGCAGGTTCCTCCTCCTTGACTGTCTTCCTTGATCTCGCCTTCTTCTCTTGCTTTTTTGAGTGTCCCTCGTCAACGTCAGTAGGTGTAGCCGATATGTTTGTTGCTTGTGTTGGTACGTCCGGGAGGACAGCAGTACGGGTCAGCACTAGAGGCACGGACTGGACAGGCTCAACCTCGCGGACTGTGGAGTCAACTGGAGTCTCAACAGCAAGAGGCACATCTTGGAGAGCCTCAATCGCCGGAGTCTCTGCAGCTGCGTACTCAACACCGTCTTGCTGAAGTGGAGCCCGTTCTTTGGCTTCTCTTGACTTCTTGACTTTTTTAGCCTGTGCGACCAAAGTGTCCTCTTGCGTGTTAATCATATCGACATCTACTGGTATCTCTGGCAGAGGATGACGTTTCTTCTTGCTCTTAGTTCTTCTAAGACTTGAAGACCCAGCCAACTCATCAGGGTCAGCCTCCTCAAGAACACCGGGAGGTGACTTTCGTGCTGCAAAAGCAGGATCGTTGAGCACGTCTAGCGGATCGAATGATGCAGTTTCCATGGGTGCCATTGCCACTTCGATCGGTGGTAAGACATCAGGTCCGGCAGGCTGTAGTGGTCGGAGTTTTGGAGAGCCAGAAACTGATGAAGAGCGGCTCAAGCTACCGAGCCGAGATCTGCTGGCTCTCTCCTTTGCAGCGGTAATGTCATCATCTGGCGCAATGTCACGAACTCCTGAGATAGAGTTCGAGCGATGGAAAGATTTGTCGTTGATGACGATTCCAGGATCAAAACCAGACTCTTGCAAACTGGCCGCGACGGTGGCTGCAAAGTCAATCTCTCTTGCTGGTGACTTCGAATCTGATCGTACTGGTGACGCTAAGCCAAGTTGACTACGGGACGCAACTCGAGCCACATGACGCTTCTCAGGCGATGGGGGTAGAACCGGCGTAACAGATCGAGACATATAACGCTTTTCGGGGGACGGGGGTAGAACAGGTGTAACGGATCGGGATTGACTCTCGTATCTTTCGGCGAGATTTCTGACACTGCCAGATCCTTCCCTGCGCAAGTTGCGTTCCGCTGTGGGACCATCTTGCGATGCACCGCGCTCAAACAAGGCTGCTAACTTGTGCTTTTTGGATGACTTCTTGTGCAACAGTGGCTGCTGAGGAGTGTTGTCGAGTTCGGTGGCTCTGGCCTGAACATCAGGGATTGAAACGCTGGATTTGGACCTGGAATGTACCCCCTTTAGCTTGCTAGGAACTACTTCAGCCACTACCTCAGGCGCTGATGGTGTCACGGGCGCGTTTTCGAGAAGAAGGGCGTTGTTCTGAGTCTCCTTTAGGTGGAAGTCCTGCGTAGTCTCACGTACGACGTTCGACTCAGGTATGGCGGCTATCTCCTCGACCGGAACGATAGGTGCGACACTGACTGGCTCCTCCTCCGACGTAGTAGCAGTCTTTGACTTGCGCTTCTGCTTTTGGTCCGTCGTTGTGATTGTCTCAGCCTCGGGCGTAGCTTCAATCGCGGGAGATTTGACAGTCACACGTTCTTCCGAAACCTCCTTTGGAATTATGATCTCTTGGAGCTCGACCTTGGTGAATAGGTCACGCCGACCCTCCGTCACTGGTGCGACAGGCGCGTCTTCAATGGGCTCAACTGGAGCCACTGCGGGGATCGGGAGTTGACGATTCATAGGATCCAATGGGTTGACCGACCGCTCTTCGGCTCGAACGTCTTCGGCCATTAACACACCATCAGATCTCGGCAGGGGAGCCTGGTCAACAATCGGATCCTGCTTCTTACTCTTCTTCTTGTCCTTGCTGTCTTTGCGTACTAGAGCAGGAGTAATTGCGGGCTCTTGTTCTGGCTCGTGGGCAGAAACAATGTTGCGAGCCTCCTGGGTGCTTTCCGAAAGATGAGTAATGACGGGGACGTCGGTTCTAAAAGGCTCTGGTTGGACCTCGGTGACTGTGAATTCTGGTTCCGCATCGAATCGTGGTACAGTAGTCGGCTCTAGTCTGAATGTCTCTTCTTCAACGGTCGGTGCGCCTAGAGGCTTGACATCTGCTGGCTCTTGGAAGTGGCGTTCCTTCTCTGATGCATCTCTCGTGGCGGACGCTTCAAGCTCTTGCGCCGCTAGCGCATCCTGCTTGGCTCTTTTCCTCTCCTTCTTACTAAGCTTCCGAGATGGAATGGAGGGCTCCTCGAGGATCGTTTCTTGTTGCTCAATAGCCACCAGTGGCAGGCTGTCGTTGGTCGTCTCTGTTGGCATGGCGATTGGAGTATGAACCGGTGCCTCCTCATGTTGACTTGACGTTCGCGGCACATTGGGAAGTTCCTCCACAGCGAGCTTAATGGATGCCTCAACGCTCATCACAGGGGGCTCCACGGCGACAGGCGCTGGAACTGGAGCAGTTACCGTATAATCAGGGAAAGCTTCCTCTTGAGACTCAGCCACGGTAGCGGTGGAAACATCCTCAGATAAAGGCGCTGGTGTGTCTTTGAACGCAGTAACTTGCTCAGCCTTCTTCTCGTCTTTCTTGCTAAGCTTCCTCGACGGCACTGGTTCCTCTTCCACGACTGTTTCTTGGACGTCTTGAGTTTCGGTCGATGGGGGCAGCATCTCGACCGTAGGTGACTCAACAGGGCCCATTCGCTCAGTATGCATAGGCGGCATAGTTTGAAGGGTATCACTGGATACGATGGTGCCGACTAGAGGCTCAGTGGCAACCGGTAGATCCTCCCTTGGCTGTTCTATGACTGGCTTTAAGACCTCGTCGATCGGCGCGATCGGTTGCGTTGATGTTTCGTGAGGCTCATCAAAGCTAGTTGCAGGCTCCTTGTCCTTCTTTTTCTCCTCTTTCTTGCTCAGCTCACGGGAAGGCGCATCGGTCGAGACTAAGTTCTCTTCTACCAACATGGGTGTGTTAACAGCTTCCCTCTCCTCGACAACTTGCTCCTCCACCGAAGCAGGCGCAGATACGAATGCAGGCGTTTCGACACTCTCCCCCGTCTCGACCGCAACCTCAGGTTTGGCTACAGGAGTCGTCGGTATAGTATCGGAATCGTCCTTGCTCTTCTTTGCCTTTTTCTTATCCTTCTTTGCCAGCTTTTTGACTATGTCGAATACAGAAGTCGGCTCAGTAGTAGAGGGCTCATGGATGTCTTCTCGCCTGGCGAGCTCTGTATCAAGGGATTCAGCACGAAGTCGCAAATCAGTAGCTTCGTCCTGGATCACTTTGAGGGAGGGTGATAGTTCGCTTGCTGGAAGGCTGTCGTCTTGGGTAACATGGCTGGCTTCTTGACGTGCGATAGGAGACTCGATAGGCTCGATAGACTGCTGCTCACCAAGACTTTGATGGGCATCTTTCGACGTAGCATCGGGGATATAGGGCACTTGGCTTTGCTCGGCCTTCATGATGATCGGTACACTCTCCTCGACTGGTGTCGCAGGCCGTTTCACTTCCCTTGTGCCTTCAGTGATCGTGGGTAAAACGTCAGTCTGTTTAATCGGATCATCAGCGGTGATTACAGGCGGGATGTCGTTGATAGGTGTAGTTGAATCAAAAGGCTCAAAAGACACTTCGTCCTTTAGGATTGGTGAAGTGTACACAGGAACCTCCGGAATTGACGACTCAACGATGCTCGGCTGAGTACCGGTGTTCTCAGACGGTGTCTCCGGAACATTCCTAATCTCATCCACTATCGTAACTGGTTCCGCTGACGCTCCAACCAGAGTACTGCTTTCAGATGCCAAGAAGCTCTTCTTGCCCTTCTTCTCCTTTTTCGACCGCTTGGACTGAGGAGAGTCCATCACAATATCAATACGGTCATCCATCACTTCTTGGGTCGCTTGCGATTCGTGAGCCACCTCGTCGACGGGTTGAGATGAGGAAGGTATGGAGATTGATTCGGCCTCCACACTCTGTGGCAGGGGATCTACGGTAGCTGGTGCGACTGCCGCGATATCTGAGGACAGCTCCTGAGAGGGTTGTTGCTCAAGAACTTTTGCAATTGGTGGTACCACGGTCGGTATGGGTCCCTCAGCTTCAGGGACGGAACGGTCTAATACTTCGGGAATGTCCGATGGAACGCTTTCCGGTAGCACAGCAATATCCGTTTCTGGTGACGAAGCTGGCTTTCTAGGCTGGTCGAAAAACTCCGGAGCATTGCTGACAGCAGCAAAAGGCTCAGTCTCAGTCTTTGTTGGCTCTTTCGATGGCTCCTCGATCGGGACCGTGGCGAACTGTTTCGTGTGTTGAATGCTCTCGTCTTGACCTTCTGAACCGATAGACTGTGGTAAATTAATGGTGGCAGGCTCGACCTCGAACGTTTCCGATGCTTGAGTTTGTCCAGGAAGTTCGGATGTCTCACGGACGGGCTCGTTCGCAAGGTCGAGAACAACAGGCTGTGCCTTGTTCTTCTTATCTTTCTTGGCCTTTTTACTCTTTTTTGGGCTCGCAGCGATCACTTCTTCTACGGCTGTCTCTTGAGGCAGTGATTCAATCGTCCTTACGGTAAGGTCTTCTGTCACAGGTTCCGGTACTCCGCGAGAAGCCTCATGCTCGACAACAGGCTCTTGAATCACTGGAACAGATTCTTGCGTAGGTTCAACAAGAGTAGTGTCAAAGTTGTCAGCCACAGGCAAAGGTTCTGCCGTCGCTCGCTCAGTGGACGGCTCGATGGTTGGCTCGATCGGTAACTCGGTGGTCGGCTCGCTGAGAGGCTCGACAACAGGCTCGACAACAAGCTCACTTTCAATTATAGGTTCATCAGCCAGAGCGGCGGCCTGCTTCTGAGCCTTCTTCCTTTCTTTCTTGCTGAGCTTGCGTTCAACAACAGGCTCCTGCACATCTGTCTCATTCATGACATCCTCTACAATTGCCGTCTGTGGCGACAAACCCTGTTCGCTGGCCGCAGATACAGCCTCGGTAGCAGGCGTCTCGATAATTGTTTCCGGCAGTAAAGGAATCTCTGGTTGGATCGCAGCCTCTTCTACCGTGGGTTGCTTATTCATGGCTGGTACAACAGAAGTATGTGCTTCGGCTACGGGAGGCACGATATCCTCGGTAGCCGTAGCACCGTGGTCAGGCTCAGCTGTAAGTTGGGCTTCGAGAGTTGGCGTCGCAGCATCTGTCTTTTTGCTCTTCTTCTTCTTGCTTTTCTTCTTTGACATAGATGGCGACGGTAGCTCCCCGGCTTGAGATTCAACAACTACTGCTGGTGTGTCTGTAGACGGCTCTTCGACAAGTGCCGGGGTGGCAATAGCGTTAGACCCACCAAAGCTGACACCTTTCTCAATTGGAGTTTCGATAACGATATCCTGTGCAACGGGAAAATCTTGTATCGCAGGGACTTGCACCCCCTCGTTCACACGCTCGGCGGCAGGCTCTAGGGTAGTATCTGGCAAGACGGTTTGGATATTTTCAACGAGAGGCGTAGTGGAACCAGACTTCTCGGTTTCCTCCTTGATCTCCTGCATCAGAAGCAGTGGAAGAGCACTGTCATTGAGTGAAGATTCGCTGTCGATCGAGCGTACAGATGTCTCAACCACAGCATCATTCTGAGGCATATCAATTGGCGCATCCCGAGTGGCTGATTCGTTGCTGCTAGCGCCAACGTCTTGGACAACTTCAACCTTAGACTCCGCTGTAGCTTCGTCAATAGTCGTGAGGGTATCCAAAGTCTCCGCTTTCGTCTTGTTAGCTTTCTTCTTATCCTTCTTGGACGAGAGTACGTCATCAGCTACTTCGACTGAGGCCTTTTGCTCTACGGTCGTTGTTGGAAGTTGATCGGCTTGAGCATACGATGGGATCTCGAGGTCAGATAGTACAACCGGTGTATCATTGGTCGTCTCAGTTGGCGGGCTGGTGGTACGGTCTTCTGGCAATGGTACTTGAGATGCCAGTTCTACAGGCTCTGTGGTCGCTTCTGGCTCAGGCAGTGATTCCACAAGCTTTCGGGCCTCGCGAACATCCTCAATCATCGGCACTTGAGCATCGCCGATTGTTGTCGGCTCAATGGTGTTATTCTCTGGAACAGAGGCAACATCTTCTGGCTTTGATACGAGCACCTCTCCAACTGGTGTTGGTTCAGCAACCGGCTCAGCAATGTCTGGGTTCAGTTGAGCCGGCACGGCTTCGGTAATGGGCTCTTGTGGTGATCCTAGGGCAACATCTTCGGCCGGTGCCGTAGTGTCGAATTCCTCCTTCGCCTTCTTGTTCTTGTTCTTCTTCTTGTCTTTCTTCGAAGGTGACGGTACTGAGAGCTCCTCAATAGGTATCTGAAGATCATCAGATGTCTTTAGATCAGGTTGTGTTGCCGCTGACTGCTCAGGTACGACTTCTTGAACCTCGACAGGCGCTTCACGGTCGACGGTTGGTGCCGGTGGCTGTATTGTCTCTTCGAGAGGCATCGAAGTCAGTTCTTCTGGCACAGTTGCCGTCACATCAGCTGGTGTATCAATAGTTGATGCGACGGATGGCTGTACATTCTCGACCTGATCAGGAACAATGACCTCGCGCGATAGTTCAGGCTCATTGATCGGTCCAGAAGCCAGCGGAGTTGATTCGAGCTGCACAGCTAGCTGCTCCTCTGACTGTGAAGGCTGAACTTCAGGAACAGTCTCAAGAGGTGCCGCCGTGATAGACGCTTGCTTGGCCTTCTTGTTCTTCTTGCTTTTCTTAGAAGGACTAGGCTCCTCGAACGTTGGCTCTTGCGTCTGTTCAATCTCCGAGGGAGCAATTGTGGCTTGTTCAGTACTCTCAACAGCACGCTCCGTGTCTTTGAGTGTAGGCTTCGCGATGATTGGCTCGTCTCCATCTCCATTCATAGATGTGGACGTCTCGGGCCGTGTAAGCACATCCTGGCGCTGTTCTGTTGCGGTCGGAGAACGTACGGGTTCTTGAACTATAGCAGCTGCCTGAGCGTCGTTGGAAACGGAGACGTTTTTGGTAGCGGGCTTTGCATCGGCTTCCGGCTCGGAAGAATGCGCAACCGTATTGTCTCCAACGATTAGAACATTCTCCTTAGGCCCAGCATCTTCGCTTAAAGACCTGACTGGCTCCTTGGGTCCCGAAGCTGTGATATCCTCACCCAACTTCTCCGTAGTATCGCGCTCAGGCTCGAGGGTGCTGGTGGCCTGCTCTGGTTCTTGAACAATGGATACGCGTTTGTCCTTCTTGTTCTTGTTCTTCTTCTTCTTCTTAGGGGGAGCAGCCACCTGTTCGTCAGCTTCTTTGAATGAATGCGATGGCTGTGCCGTTGATGTCGAAGTAGCTTCTTCCACAACGTTCTCAGTCTCCTCTTCCGGGCGAAGAGCCGTGGCCTGATTCTTCTCAGCTTCCGAGGAAGTAGAAGTATGTGGCTGCAGCATCTCTAGTGAAGTAGGGACTTCTGACGTGATTGTTGGCTCGACGTCCACAGTTGGAGATGATTCTACGACAGTGGGTTCGATAGGAATGCTTGGCTCGAGTGCAAGCTCTTTCACAGTGGACGTTTGCCTCTCTATATCCACCGTTGGCATATTTGCGCTTGCAACCACGGGCTCTTGGGACTCGGTCGAGGTAGCCGGTTTTTCAATGACCATCGGTTCCTCTGTAGCAACGCTGGTCTCCGTAGCACTCTCCTCTGCCACTTCTTCGCTTATGATCATGGGCTCTTGCTTTACAGCCTCAGCTGCAAGTTTCTCCACCTGCTCCTCTGGTCTCTCCTCCAGCTCTTTCTCTTGTACATCCTCCACTGCCCTCCCCGTAACCCTATCCTTGGTGTCATCCTCTTTCTTCTCCTCCCCACGTCCATGCTCTTCTCTTGCATCTTCAATCTTCGCATCATTATCATCAACAAGCTCGTTATTCGTAAAAGGCTGGGAATAGGATGTCGGTATCCCCGAGAAAGGTAGTTGGGTCTCCGAAAGTGTAGGAATCGACAGAGACGGCTGAGTATCAGAGTTGGCTGCCTCAGGCGTCTCATCCGCTAAAAAAGACTCCGCCTTTTTAGCTTGCTTCTTCGCCTTCTTCTTGTCCTTCTTGGACGGAGTTGAAGGCGAATCTGCTTCCTTGTCCGGTGGCTTGGGATCGCCTGGAGGTTGTTCTGGAGTAGCGACGGTGGTGGCTTGGTCTTCAGCTGGCGTCGGGTCGGTCGTTGGCTCTTCGGCGGCAGTGGTCGGCTCAAGCTGCGCTTCGACCTGCTTTGCCTTACTAGTAGATTCCTCACCTGGAACTATGGATTCGAGGGCTGCATCTGCTGGGGTCTGCTCGTAAGTGAGCTCTTTAGCTGCTTGAGGTTCGGCTGGCCGAGGCTCGGTAGTAAGATCCTGTTGTAGATTCTCTAGAGGTGCTGCTGGCCCAGATGGTTCACCATCGGTAACGGATGCACGTTTGGCCTTCTTCAGCTTCTTCTTCGCCGACTTCGATAACCCAGCCCATTCCTCCGGCTCTTGCTCATCGTCCTGTTGGAAAGTTGTAACAGGAGCTGTGGCGCTAGGTAGAGTTGATACGTCCGAAGGTGTGATCTTAGCCGCAGCTTCAGATACAGGCGCGATATTGGCCTGATGTTCTTCTACGGAGGTCTTCTCATCGTTGTTGATAATCGGCTTCTTGCCTTCGTTTCCCTCATCAACGACTACAGCTGGAGTAATAGGAACGTCAATATCCGTTCGCGGCGCCTCGTCCACGGTGCGGGCAGTTGTCATGTCAGGCACCACCGAAGAAGGCTGCTGACTCGAGGATGTGCCAGCTTCTTCAACTAATGGTTCAGTGGAGACAGGAAGTTCAGAAGACTCGGTTTCAGTGATAGAAGCACGCTTGGCTGCCTTCTTCGCCTTCTTCTTGTCTTTCTTCGACTTCGACGCAGCATCTTCTTCCATAGTTTCAGTACCAATCTGCTCCATCGCAGGAGTAGAAGGTCGTATATCTTGAGAAGATGAATGAGTGACGTTCGAGCTCTCTGTTTGCTCGACGACTGGTGCCGCAGGCTCTTGTTCAACAGTAGAACCGTCGTTGACTGCTTCCACAAGCTCTTTAACAGACTCATCGACTGGAGCAGAAGGTACTGATTGCTCGGCCTCTGCAACTGAACCACGCTTGCTCTTCTTTGCCTTCTTATTGTCCTTCTTAGGAAGCATCACTGGCTCATCGATGGCTGAAGATGTCACTGCAGGCTCCTCCGTGGGATCCTCGATCGGGATGACAGCAGAAGCTGGCTCGAGGGTCACCGCGTCAGATGGCTGGTCTTCTACAAGTGGTGTCGCTGAAAAGCGCTCTTCTTCAACGGGAACGGCGGAAGACACCTCGCTTTTGCTAGGTTCTTCAACAATCACCGATGTTGCGGTAGGCTCCGTTGATGCGACTTCGGAAGGCTGTTGCTCAACAGTCGGAGCAGCAACATCGAGAGAGCGCTCTAGTGACTCCACCACCGGCGTCTTGACTGGGGTCTCTGCTTCGGTTTCGGTCATCGATTCGCGCTTCGAATTTTTCGACTTTCTATCTTTCTTCGAGACTGGGCTCGCGGTCTCTGGCACTGCCTCAACTTGAGTGAGATCTTCCAAAGCAGGCGCGATATTGGCAGCGGAGTCTTGGACAGAAGCAGGTAAAGTTGCTTGATCTTCAGTAACCTCAGGAACAGTGCTTGACATCCCCTCGATGACAGGAGCTTCAGAGATGGATTTCTCAGTAGCTGGGGGCGTGAACTGCGTCTGTTCCTCCAATACCGTCTCAACCTTCTCCTCGGTAGCAGTGGGCGGAATAGAAGTAGCTTCGTCGGCGATCGAAACGCGTTTCGCCTTAGCCTTCTTTTTGTCCTTCTTCGAGAGATGCACGGCGGCTTCTTCAGTAACATCCAGTGCCGTGGGCCCCTCGAGCGTGGGTGCGTCAGCAGATGGAGTCTTCTCAATTGACTGGATTTCAGGCACTGGCTCATTCGGCATCGATGTTTCATTTGTCTCTGCGACTGATGTCTTGGAAATGGATGGGAATGTAGCATCAGTAACGCCATGACGTTCGAGAGACACTTCCGGCGCAGGTGTAGTGTCAAAAGTAGGCCGTTCGCCTGAAGCAGTCACTGTTGTAGGTTCCGTAACCTCAGCAGATATAGATGCTGTTTCTCCAGCAGGTTCGGGTACAAACGCCGGTTGCTCTGGTTGGTGGATCTTGTTCTCTTCGGAAGTGACAGTGGACTCCTCAGCGATGGAAGCACGCTTTTCCTTCTTAGCCTTTCTCTTGCTCTTCTTGGAAGTAGAGTCCTCTTGGTTCTGTTGGACTACAGACGCGACAACCTCAGGTTGTGTAGCCATGGCGTCATCTTGGCTCCTGGGTACAGCTGCAGCATCGGCCATGGTGGTGGCTTCAGCCTGAGAAGTGCTCAGAGGAACAGCATCCTGAATAGTAGCATCCAACGGCGTTGATCTCGGAGATGTGGCCTCGGGAACGGTCTGTGTCTCAACGACGGGCTCTTGGATCTGTTTGACTTGAGCATCCGGCGCGACTGACTCCTCGATAGCCAGCTCATCGAGCGTCTGCGGCGTGGTCTCGATCGGCATGAAAGATACCTCGGGCGTCTCAGTCTCAAGTTCGGCCTTCTTGGCTTTCCTGGCCTTCTTCTTGTCTTTCTTTGTAAGCGGTGTTGCCTCCTCGGTACTCTGTCCTGAGATGGGCTCCTCGCGTGTTTGCTCGGCATCGATCGGTTGGGCCACATCCTGAGATTGAGCAGGCCCCGTAAGAGTGGTAACATCTTGCTTGTCAGTAAGAGCCTCGATGGGCTTGGTCAAAATGTCAGCAGCAGGCTCAGCTACAACGTCCCGGGTGGTCGGTTCCTCAGTCGTGGGAACAGTGAGTGGAGGCGCATCTTGGATAGTGGTTTCAGGGACGACTGACGCAGACTCGGTAACGGGAGTCTGAGGCTCGGATACCAACTCTCCTTTCTTGCCCTTCTTCTTTTTCTTGCTCTTCTTGGGGGTACTTGGAGCTTCGGCTTCGACCGGTTCTTCTGCATGCGAGGTCTCTGGAAGTGCTTTCTCAGTCGCCTCAACGTCATCGAGAGGTGCTGCAGATGAGACGGGTTGTGTGAGCTGATCGGCTTCAACAGCACGGTCTGTATCAATGACCGGGATGACAGGAGTGTCGAATACTGGCTGCTCGTCCGTAGCAGTGATCTCGAGAGGTTTTACTGGCTTAGCAACATCGGCAGCGAAATCGACCGGTCTTTCGGAAGAAATATCAGCGACCTCGGGTTCGAGCACTGAACTTCCCGCCGTCGGGTGTTGCTCAGCGGTATCTTGTGGAGCTGCCTCAGGTGTAACATCAAGCTTGGCAGCTGTCGCAGTATCGTCCGTAGCAGGTTCAGGTAGAAGCGCATCCGAGTTTAGTTCAACCTCAGCGTCTTGGCTGACCTTCTCCTCCCTTGCTTGCTTCTCAGGGTTGGAAAGCTCACCAAAAAGTGGAACATCAGCGATTGTGCGAGTTGTCTCTTGCGAAGGCGTAACATCATCCTCGATGCGTTTCACATCTTGGGCAGAGTCAGAGGGGACGTCGAACTGTGGTGCTGGCTCCTCAGTATCCGGTGTGCTGGGTTCAGTAGTGTCGATGGATTTGCCTTTCTTGCCCTTCTTCTTCTTGCTCTTCTTCGAGATCGGCTCCGCTGGTTCGGCTTCCATGGCTGGTTCAACAGGCGCCGCGAGAACGACATCGTCTTGGGCAAGGTTCGGCTGTGTGCCAACGACGTTATCAGGGAGGTCGGAAACAACTTCGCGAACAGCAGGGATATCCTGAGTAGCCTCAGCTTGGGAAAGTACCGGCTCTTCCAGATCTTTGTCGTCGGTTTCGGGAAGAGCTACAAGTTCAGCCGACGGTGCATCCTGCTCTGGCTTGGCGGGCTCAATTTGCATAGAAGGAGCAGTTTCAGCTGTAAGTTGCTCAGGTTGAGCGGAGTCAATAAATGGGTCAGGCTGAGAAGTGGCTACTTCAGCAATAGGCGTACTTGGCTCGGTGTCGGTCGACTTGCCCTTCTTAGCTTTCTTCTTCTTGCTCTTCTTGGATGGCGTTGCTGACTGATCACCAGCGACGGGCTCATCAATCTCTCGGGCTGGTGTTTCTGGAAGAGGCACTGCCTCAGGTTCTGTGACCGACGCCTCTTGCAATGGCTCGCGTGGAAGATGCTCGGCAGGCAAGGAAGGCCGAGAAGCCTCCGTAACCGATTCGACAGGTAACTCAAACTCGACATCGGCGGCGGGGTTGGCTTCGGTTACTCCAGTCTCAACCTGAGGTTGTTGTGGTTGCTCAGAAGATGCAGCCGGAGCAGCATCTACATTCGTCTCAGGTTTAGCAGCTTCGGTAGTGGATTGGGTCTCCGTCTTTGCATCGGCTACGTTCACCTCGACAAATTTGGCCTTCTTGGCTTTCTTCTTGTTTTTCTTCGATGGCGTTGTAGGCTCTTCCTCCACAGGCGTAGCAGAATGTGGCGGTTCCTCGACTGGAGAGACTGGTACAATAACTGGATCGTTCGTGGTAGATTGCTCTCTGACAATCTTGGGAGTTGACTCAATATGAATCACAGTAGATTCAGGTATGACATCAGTCGATGCTTCGCGAACGGATTCGGGTACTGATCGCGATTCAGACGCTGCTTCGGGAATGTCTTGAACTTCAGCGACATCTGAAACAGGCTCTAGTGCGCGCGGAATGTCAGTGGTTGGGACATCTATTGATGTTTGCGCATCCGTGCTCCTCTCTTGGGCCTCTTTCGAAGGAGTTGCGACTTCTTCCTCGATCGGCACTGCAGGCTGTGGTGACTCCGGCTGCTTGGTGATGATAGAAACTGCGTCCTCGACAGTAGGCTGCTGAGTCTGCACAATGCTTTCTCCTTGCATTGGCACCACACCGTCAACGATGCGCTCTGATTGCGACGCGGCTTGTGTGGATTGCTCCGGCGCAGGTTCGGAGGAAGCGAGATCAGGTTCCATTTGGACGTTCTCAAGCTCGCGTTGTTCCTCAAGAACGGGTGTGCTAGGCTCGTCGACAACAGCCTTTGCCTTCTTGCTCTTCTTCTTTTTCTTGTCTTTCTTGGAGGAAGATGCTGCGTTGGCAACATCGTCGACTACAGGGTCCGCCAGTGGGCTTGGTTCGACTACCGGTACGTTGCCCATCGATACAACAGGAGCTTCAGACTGGTGCTCGAGGTGTGTCGGCTCAACTTGTTCAAGTATCTCGTTCATGGGCTCTGCGGCTTGCTTGGTGGCTGCTTGATCGTTCAGAAGGTTGGTCTGTCGTTGCTCCTGAGGCAGTATTGATGCAACCTCCTCGGTGCTTAAATCCTTCCCATCGATATCCGGGATCTCGTTCTTCTCGGCCGCTGGTGTCTCCACACCGACCAGTCTCTCTTGAACAGTCTCCCTACTTTTGGTTTCCTCCATCACATTTGGGTTGACTTCAGCATCATCGTCGTGCTTCACAACCTCCTCCGCAGGGGCCTCGACAGTCTTACTCTTCTTGCCCTTCTTCTTCTTGTCCTTCTTCGAAGTAGGTGTTGATGGAGCATCTTCCGCTTTCGGCTCAGCGGGAATCGAGGTCTCGGCTGCGAGTGTTGGCTGCTCTAGTGGCGTAGACAGATCCTCGTCGAAACTGGCAGTCGGAAGAGGGATAGCTGCGGGATCAGCAACATCGTCAAGCTTCTGCTCTGAGAGAGAAGCTTCTACGGTGTCGACTCGGTCGATCGACGGAAGTTGCGCAGTATCGCGGGATCGATCAACCGCCTCCTCTGTAGCTACTACTGGTTGACTTGTTGACGCAACAGTCTCGATGGGAGCCGTAGCCTGCTCAGGTGCGACTTCAAGCTCAGGCTGGGGCGTCGCAGTACCGCTCTTTTGCTTGCTCTTCTTGTCCTTCTTACCCTTGGGCGTAACAGGGAGCTCAGCTTCTACGGACACCGACGGAAGTTCGGATGTAGGCTCCTGCTCGGCAACGATGCTTTTGGGAGTTTCCTGCTTGAGAAGTTGCGCAAGATCCTCGTCGGCTTGTTCAGCAGGCAGAGGTATATCGGTAGCCTCTACTGCGAAGTGCTCAATGATGTCCGTAGCGAGGGTCGGTTGATCAACCAATTTCTCACCTACAACAACAGAGTCAAAGGCAGTAGCAGAGGAAGGTTCGGTAACAGGCTCGAGTTCCTGCTGGGGCGTAGAAATACCACTCTTCCTCTTACTCTTCTTGGTTTTCTTGGTCTTTGGCACATCGTTTTGGATAGAAGACAAGGGCTCGACTGGTGCTTCACGGTCTATCGCAGTAGGTACATCCTGGGGAAGGGAGGGGTTTTCACGGGCAACCTCCTCGGCAGTCGGTGTAACTTCCGATGCGAGGTCAATGCCCTCCGTCTTTGACGGTACGATCTTTTCTTGCACAGTCTCCGCGAATACTGGCTCGTTGACGGAAGTATGTTCGGTTGTGGCCACAGAGTCGTTTGTGGGTTTCGCGCTGACTGGCGCACTCGCTTCCTTCTCGCTGCGCAATGCAGGATTCCATGACGCTTCAAGCGAACGTTCAGCAGAGGGGGTGACAGGTATCGTAGCAGTCGTCGCCTCAACCTCTGTGCTTTCCGGTTCAGCTTTCTTGGATTTCTTGGACTTCTTAGCCTTTTCCTTAGTAGCAGCCGGCGTGACTTCGTCATTGGCGGAGGTAGACAATTCCGTAATCATCGATTGCTCGGGCTTGACAGCAGGTTCGGTAGGAACGACGACGGAGGGCTCTTCGCTTGAAGGCGTAGGCTCAGGTACTAGCTGTTCGCCCCAGGCCTCTATCGCAGTCTCCATGGGAGTCTCCACGGGTTGCTCAGCTTCAAGCTCACGCTCAACAGGCTTAGTGGCTGATTGATCACCCCAGGCTTCCACAGCAGCGTCAATGGGAGCATCGATAGACTTAGTAGCGTCAACTATAGGCTCATCGAAGTCGGGAATTGGTACGCTGCTCTTCTTCGTCTTTTTCTTTGGCTTGATAATCTTCTTCTTCGATGAGCTGGATTCGAGCGAGATTTGATCATAGGCAGAACCACCAGACTCGGTCTGGACTGAGTCAGAAAGCGTGCTAGTAGGCTTTCCATCACCAGTGAACAGAGCATTCCGAGCAAGAGACAGAGGCTCCGCAGGCTTCTCTTTAACGACAGTGTCTTTGTTGATCGATGCCGAGGGCTCAATAGGTGTAGAGGCTGATGGAAAGGCAAAAGACGGCTTTCCGTCATCAGTGAAGAAATTGCTCCGAGGTGCAATGAACGTGGGCGTTTCTGGTTTCTTTTCAAGCTTCGTATCACTAACAATCGAGACAGCCTGCTCGGCGGGTATTGACGCTGATGGGAACGCAAACGACGGCCTCCCGTCATCAGTAAAGAAAGTGCTCCGAGGCGCAACGAAGGTAGATGGCTTTCGTCCCTCTGCAGTTTCCGCATCCTTCGTGATCGGCGGAGCTTGCTCTGTAGTAGCAGATGGCATCGAAGGGAACGAGAAGGAAGGCTTTCCGTCGTCAGTGAAAAACGTACTGCGCGGCGAGACATCCACATGAGCTGCGAAATCCTTTGCGATGGGAATTTCCTTGGTCGTGACGCTCGGCTCGACAGCAGGGGAGGTTGACGTTGTCGGGAAGGTGAAGGATGGCTTTCCGTTATCAGTGAAGAAGGCACTATGCGCAGGAACGTACGCAGGGCTCTTTGCCTCCTTCGTGGCAGGTGGTTCTTCAGGCTTGGTCGTCGATTCAGCTGCAGGTGTGGAAGACACCGGTGGGAACGTGAAAGATGGCTTTCCATCATCTGTGAAGAAAGCAGTAGACGGTGTAGCCACTTCAGATTGCTTCGTAGACTTCTCTTCAACAGCAGGGACGTCTTTGACAGTATTGGAAGGCTGTTCTTGAGATACTGCTGATGGCTGAGGAAATGCGAAAGGAGGTTTCCCGTCATCAGTGAAAAAGGCAGTGTGAGGAGTGACGCTAGAGCTTGCTTGTTCTTGCACGAGATCGCGGGTTGTCTCAGTAGGTCGCTGATCAGGTACAATAGCTCTCTTGACCTCGGTCTCGAGCTGCAACTGCGGCTTTGACGATTCATCTTGTGTGGTCTTTCGGGAGAGAGTAGGCCTGATTCCGACTGTGGCGATCTTCTTGTCAGGCACAATCGGCGGGGATGGCAGTCCCTTGCGCTTGGCCTCTTCTCTAGCAGCAGCTAGCGCGGCGAGGACGGCAGACTGGGGTTTGGGTGAAGATGGAGGCGAAGATGTGGGCGACGGTGCCTTCTTCTTGCCCCAACCAAGAGCACCCCATAGGCCGGAACCCCAGCCTGATCCACCCGATTGTCCTTCGATGGTAGAGGCGCGACGCTGCTCCTCAACGTTGCTCTTACCTTGTTCGGGACCATCAGATGTGCTAGGCCGACCTTGAAGCTCAGGAGTAGCAGGCCCAGCCGGGACATTCATCTTGGGTTCTTCAGGGTTTGCGGGAGTAATGGGCGCAATAACTGCCTCCCGTGGAACTGCTTCATCGATCGAAGCGGCTGGCACGTCCTCCTGGACTAAGAAATCCATGACATCTACTTTGTCATTCGTCTCAGCGCGTTCGAAGGATGGCTCGAGAATCTCGCGTTCAATGATGTCTTGTTGCGATTCAGACGAAGGCAAAATCTGGTCGGCTTGAGTAGCGACTTCGGGTAGAGATGATGGTTCAGACTCGACTTGTTTACTGCCGCGTTTGCCCTTCTTGCCTTTCTTGCCTTTCTTCGCCTTCGGTGTAGTCGCAACCTCCTCTTCGATGACTGGCTCGGTGACTGACTCGGTAACTGGCTCAGTAACTGGCTCAGTGATCGAGACATCAGCAGACTTAGAGTGAGTGGGTTCAATAGGTGTATCTTGTGAAGCCGTCGCCGTCTCGATAGTAGGAACGGTTGGTAGCTCAAGATCCTCCTTTGCCTCTTCGACAGGCTCGATTGACCTCGCAGCTTCTTGAGGAACATCGTCAAAAGTAGCGCGCCTAACATCAGTGGACTGCTCTCCCATTGGTGCAGTAGCCTCCATAACCTTTTGTCGAAGGCCCTTAGCATCCGTAGGTGTGGCGACCGGCTCACCAACAAGTGTAGCATCGTCCGTAACGATGGACTGAGACTCGTTCTTGATCCAGTCATCCTCGTTTTCTACAAATGTCGGAGCGTGGCTGAAAGTGTGGCTGAGGGTGGGGGAAGACTCGATTTTCTCGTCGGTCGGTGTATGCACTGGAGACTCAACAGGAACAGTCTTCTTACTCTTCTTGCTCTTCTTACCCTTACCCTTGCTCTTCGGGGATGGTTCGACAACAGGTGCAATGGTTTCGGATTCAGGTTGCTTCGGCTCAGCAACTGGCGAAGCCTGCTCTGGAGCGTCATCGCGCCGGGACCTTGTTGGTGAGGAAGAACGCTTTCGCAGAGCAGCTGCTGTCAGTCCTCCTACCATTGCGCCAAGAGAAGCATCCTGAAGTCTTGTTGAACTACTTGAAGGCGCAGAAGTAGCTTCACGAAATGTAGACACGTCACGCATCATCCTATCATCGAGCGGAGCGCTTGCATCAAGCGGAGTCTCTGGCTGTGGAGAAGTCAAGGTTGACATGAAGGCATCATCGGTGGACTCATCCTGTTCCTGTGCCCGGGCATGCTCCAGCGCCGCAGTAAGCGATTCATAGTTTGGACCGCTAAACTGTGACGATGCTTCCTGGGCACCCGTGAAGTAGTCGGAAGCTTTCGGTGTAGCTTGGCCAGACTCCTCGACTTCCTCAACCTCGCGATGTGCAAGCTCAGGATGCTGGAGTTCCGCTCCATAGCGAGGCGAGATGAGGTCAGATACAGCACTTAGGGGATCAAAAGACTGGTCATTGGACGACTGCCCAGTGCTCTCGTAAGGTGATTCTAGAGCGGATTCGAACTCTTCTTCTGAGTCTGCGCCAGAGACAACTGAAGAGGCACTACTGGGTGGAAGCGCTGGCAGTACCTCGTCGATCTCATCGGTTTTGCGGTTTCGCTCCACAAGATACAATGGTCGAAACTCACGAGAGTTTCTGAACTCTGTAGAGTGGGTCTTGGCATGGCGAGAACGAGTTGGTGAAGGAACAGAGACAGGACTAGTTGCTAAGTTGGGATCAGTAGTAGAGGGGACAACGGGCTTGCGAAATCGTATAGGAACTGCGGTAGAAGATAGCCGACGTTGAGAAACCGCAGTCGAAGGACGCGAGACGTCTGGTGACCGGGTGGGCGAACCTGGCCTAGACAGCGGCAGGGGAGGAAGCTCGTCTGGGAAAGCTTCCAATTGCCAAGGCTGTAGACCTGTGAGACGGGTTAGTAGCGCGCGACTGTCTTCGAACGACAGCTCGGGTGGTGTTCTGGGTCGGTCGGTGTCTCGAGAGGCGGTGAGGCGTTGGGCATCGTCTGATGTCGAAAGAGGAAATTCGGGCCGATCTCCAGGGGTTATGCCACTACCCTCGTGGGCCTGATCGACAGGCTCACTTACGGGCAGTGGACTTGGAGTGGCCGTGGCCACTGCCCGATCGCCTAAAAAAGACTGCTGTTCTGATTGTTGTTGTACATCGGCATGCGAGGGCGGGGTTCGAGGGTGTAAAGTATCCTATATACACAACATCAACATTCATTCTAAATACATTGCTAACCACGGTGCTATCGCACATGAGAAGAGCGATGTACCTTATCGTCATAAGCATCCCTCCTGTCTCCATCTCCTCTCTCGCTGCGACTGCGACTACTCCTCTTTTCGCGTCGGCTACTGCTTGAGATCGTGGAACGCATGTCATCATCGTCTGAGCCGCCATATGTAGAACCGCGATCCGACCGATGCTTCCGTCTACGATGTTTGCGTTCTTCATCGTCGTCGTCCTTTGATTTCGAGGACTTGCTCGAAGCTTCGGCCAGGTTCTCCCTTGACTTGCTGCTAAAAAGGCCCAAGAGGCCACTTGGGCGCTTCTCCTTCTCTTTCCTTGAGTTGCGATCCTCGTCTAGATCTGGGATAGAGGACACGACAGAAACCATGTCATCGTCCCGTCTAGAGCGTCTTCGGGAGGACTTGTGATCATCGTCGTAGTCACCGAATTCGGAAGCTGCTGACGAGCGCGACCGTCTCTTGCTCTCGGGCGATACGTCCTTCTCACTCTCCCTCCTCTTGTGTTTTCGTCGTCGTTCGCCGGGAACTTCTGAACGAGTATCGGAGATGGCAGACTTCGTATCCCAGTCATCATCGCCTTCGTCAGTCTCATGACGGCGGTGTCGTCGCCTTCGTTCACCACCCTCCTCAAGATCATAACCGCGGTCATGGCTCTTCTCACGGGTCTCAGACTTGGCTTCCCGGCGTCTACGACGTCTCTCTTCGCGGTCTGGATCCTCGTACTTGTAGCTCAAAGAAGCGATTGAACCAATGTCATCGTCATCGTACCTGCGTGGCCTGTCGTCCAGATCATCGTCGTATTTGTCGTCGACATCCTCATCTCGTTCGTCTCGTGTGCGCCTGTCCTTTTCCTTGTCGTTGGAGCTCGCGGGATAGAATCCATTGGATTCCCTTTCGTCGCTCGCCCTGCGTGGCATATCGTCAGGAGCATAGTAGCCGGAATCAGTTATGTTGCGAGCGTTGGCTGAGTCAGGTGCTGTTGTGAACGGCGACGAAGTGGGAACCTTTGGAGCCTCAACCATCGTTTGATATCTCGAAGGATCAGCAATGGTACGGGCACCCATGTAGTCTTCATACTTTGTCTCGGTTCTGAGAGGAGAACTGATGCTAGGTGACCATTTGCCGCTGCTGTGTCTTTTCTGGACCTTCGGTCTGGGTGTCTTGTCGGCTAATTCGTCAATGCCCTCGAATGCGTAGCTTGGGATTGTTACATTCTTCTCGTGTTCTTCAAGTGCACGTGCGCCGTTCGTCGGAGACACAGGAGAGTCAGGAGAACTATGCTTCTCTGTAGACTCCAGGCTCTTCCTGGCGCGTTCGAGATCTGAGGCCATCCTGTTCTGATCCTGGTTCATAGTCATACCCATAAGAGCAGCGAAACCACCGGCCATCGCAGCAGTGGCAGTTTTACTGCCGCTGCTCTCCTCATGACGAGAACTCTTCTTTGGAGAAGTGCTGGGTGATTCTTGGAATGCTTCTCCTAGGCGTGGTGGTTCGATGGATCGAGATGGGTCGTTATAGCGAGACGGTTCGGGGAAGCGTAAGGTTTCAGCAGGTCGAGAAGCCTCGACATCCCTAGGATCCCGAGAGGGCTCAATGTCTCTAGGATCTCGGGAAGGCTCAATGTCCCTGGGGTCGCGTTCGACGATCGGGCTGGAGGGCGGACTAGGCTCACTCATCTCCCAAGTATCTATACTAGCTCGCTTCGATGCCTTCTTGGACTCCTTGGACTTCTTCTTCTTGTCCTTCTTGCTTGTCTTGGCTTCCCGTTCGACATCCTTCTCCTTGACCGGTGCTGGAACAACGGCGGGTGTTGTGTCCACACGTCGAGAAACGTTCTGCATAGCTACGCTTTTGTTAGTATCCTTGGACTCAATCTTACCCTTTTCGTCCTTCTTCGTCGAGTATGCTGAAGACTCCCCTGCGAGCACGTCCGATTCAGGCATGTCATCCCAGCCGCCAGGCATATGCATAGTCGCAGGCGGTGTAGAAACCTCTCCCTCAACAAAACCTGGGCCCACTAGAGTCTGCTGGGGTGCCCTCCATGCGTCGCGCTCCGGTTCAGGCTGCCAGTATGCTGTTTGAACACTGCTCGTAGATGGCGCAGCAGAAATGATTGACGAAGAGATGATGGAAGAGGGTGCTGCGGAAATGGTTGATGGAGTGACGGTGGAGTTCCACGATGGTGCTGCCGAGATGGTTGATGCCGAAATAGTTGATGGAGCAATGGTGGAAGGCGCCATGTTCGCATCGGAAAACGGGTTGCTCAAACTGGACGCGGTAGGTCTGAAGTCACGCAACTCACGCTCATCGTTTTCCTCTCGGGAAAGAACGGCGGCGGTGGTAAGAGCTGCTGCTGCCGCCGCTGCTGCGGACTTCTTCTCCTTCTTTTTGCTCTTCTTGGAAGCAGCACCCACGACACTATCCCATGTTGAATCCTCCTCGTCACGAACGCACTGTGTACTGGGCGCGGTGTCCTTGCTCTCGGAGACTGTAGACATCTCTGGGCGGTAGGGCGTATAGGTAGGCGTCGTTTGGTTGGACTTGGGCGCCTCCTGCTCAACTGCAGTCTCATCGACTGGATGCTTCGGTTCACGCGACTTGAGATCACCGTCCGAGACGAATTGCTCGCGGTAAGATTCTGGAGTCGGGACATCAAAGTGATGGAACTGGTTCTCGCCCCAGCTTACCCTGGATCTTGCTCGGTTCGACTCGTCGTCCCTTGGCTCGCGTCTAGTCTCCCTGATAGGCTCCATTGCTGGCGATGGGCTGCGCACAGAGGGAGCGCGACTGCCGGGGGGTGTAGGCAATATGAGGTTCAGTGATGGTACAGGCGGTGGTTGCGGTTGAGAAGGACGGCCATCTCTGGTTGCGGTGAACGAGTACGATGGGGGATACGGTGGGACCTTGGGTTGGCTGATTGGGTAGTCTTCATACGACTGGTATACAGGGAGGTCAGGAGCACCCTCATTCGGGTCTACGGCGTGAACCTTGGGCAAATTGTCGTTGGCCAGAAGCTCTGTCGGTGCAAAGAACTCAGCTTGGGACACTGGCTTGGCATAGTACCTGTCTTCCCAGTCTCGTAGGACATCGCGGGCTTCTTGTCGAGAATTGTCCTTCTTGAAGATGTTAGGATCGAAGATCTCATCGTCAAATATGTCCTGTTCAATTTTGCTGGGCTCAATGGTCTTGACGCTGGTTGACTCTCGCTTCTTGCTGCTCTTCGAGGAGGAGGACTTGGAAGACGAGGATTCACGCTTGCGGTCGCGCTTCTTCTCGCGCTCTCGCTCCTTTTCCTTGTCCTTGTAGGAGGAGATCGCCGCAGTTGCGATTGCTGCTGCAGCACCGGCTGCTACAGCCCCAGCAACGGAAGACTTCTTGTCAGACTTGAAAGCCTCGCGTTCACGGTCTTGCAGCTCTTGTTCCTTTCGCTGTACAGTTGAAGCGATGGAATCTCCCGATGGTTGTTGTTCAAGCTTGCGCACTCTGTCGCTTGGGTACCGGTCGGTGTAGTCCTGTTCGCGTTCTCGAAGTCGTCGCTGCATGTCCTCTTGAATCTCAGCTTCGCGTCTCGCAGCCTCGAGACGCTCGGCTTCTTGTTGTTGAGATTCACGTCGCTCTCTCCGCTTTCGCTCAGCTTCAGCAACCTCAATTGCGAGCTGTCGCTTGTGCTCTATTTGGGCCATGCGCTCCCGACGCTCCCGATCTTCTACTTCTCGAGCCTGGCGTGCCTGAACCTCTTGTTGTTCGCGACGGCGTTCATTCTCAAGCCTGGCCAAGCGTTCGATGTCCATGAATTTTCGGGCCTCGTCCTGCTGCCGCTGCAGCTCCTGACGACGACGCTCGTCTTCGTCGCGGCGCCGCTCTTCTTCTTGACGTGCTGTCTCCTCTAAGCGGAGCAATGTCTGCCGACGGTCTTCTTCGATTCTACGAGCCTCGTCCTCTTGTAGTTGCTGTTCTCTGCGCAGGCGATCCTCCTCTTCCCGTCGCGCAATTGCTTCTCGTCGTGCCCCCTCATCCTGTCGCTGCTGCTCTCGACGAATAAGTTCTTCCTCTTCCCATCGCGCCTCATCGTCTATTTTTTGTTGTTCTCGACGACGGTTGGCTTCTTCGTCTAGTCGCTCTTGCTCCTTGCGTCGCTCACGCAAGTCCTTCTCTGCTTGCTCCTGCGTTAGATTGAAGCGTACGTTACTATTTGCGGACAGCGGACGGCTAGGGGGACGATCCGGGTGTTTGAGTGCGGAGACTACTGCAGCTCCTGCAGTCGCTGCAAGTCCAGCCATAGCCGCGTCTCGCTTCCATGATGAGCTCTGAATGGGCGAAGAGTTCGCTCGACGGAACTGAGGATGCTGAGGACTTTGAACAATAATGTTCTGCACTTGAGATTGCATGGGGTATGGAGGGGGATATGGTGCTTGCGAGAAGACTGGAGGGCCTGCTGGAGCGGGGTAGCTAGATTGTGGTGGCGCTTGTGTTGAGTAAATAGCCCCAGGGACTTGTTGTACTGGTTGAGGGTGTTGGATGGGGATAGGGCCAGGGCCTGAGGTGGTCAAAGGCTGATTGGTGACGATAGAGCTTGTGCGGCGTGCATCAAACGACGCATTGGGATCAAGAGGTGCAACAGGGTAGACCGACTGCAGTGTCTGTGCGCTGCTGGACTCGCTGTCGTGATGTCCATGAGCAGTTGCAACAGCGGCGCCAGTCAAGCCACCTGCGGCGCCAGCTGCGGCAGGTCCGATAAGTGATGTGCTGGCAATGTTGTCGTAGAGATTATTTGATGACCTTCTCTTCTTCTTGCCAAAACCCCAGCGCCAGCCCCATTTGTTCGTGCCTGAATCGTTGGATCCAATTGAGTCGTTGCTCTTAGTCTTCTTCAGAGCGTAATCACCGTAAACAAGACCGCCGTCACTCGAGGAATCTGAGGTTCCGTCGTCCGGTAAATCCTCCCACTCGTCGTCTCCGTAACGCGAGCCGGGCCGTGAAGTTTGGCTTGCTTTGCGACCAAGTCGGTTCTCCTTCACAGCTACAACCTCGTTGTGGCGTTTACCTTTGCCAACCTTGGCAGCCGTGATAGCAGCAGCGGTAGCGCCAAGGCCAATCAGTGAGGCTTTCAGTCGCTCATCTGAGTTCCGTCTCTTCGGTGATGATCGTCCTCCTGATGATCGTCGGCGCGTCCTCCGCACGTAACCGGTGCCGAATGCCATTTCAGAGTCGGATGAGGATGATGAATTGTTGCTGAAGTTGAAGAAGCCCTTCTTCTTCTTCTTTAGGCTGGTGGTTTTCACTCGCTTCTCCTTCGGTGGAGGTGCGGCGAAGAAACCACCGAGGAAGCCACCCTGGGGTTCGTGAGTCTCGCCAATCTCGATGACGGAGGCTCCGGATGTGGAGCTTCGAGATGCTTTCCGTCGAAGTTGATGGGATATTCTCCTACGACGCTCATCGTCACTGCTGTCTCTCCGGGGATGTATAACTTGAACCCTCTTAGGCGACCTGGATCGGCTGTGTTGCTTCTTCCTTGTAGCCGCTCCAAGGGCGGCTCCTGCAAGACCTGCACCGATAGCAGTACCGATCAAGCCAGTCTTGCCGCGTCTGGAGTTGTTGCTTGAACTGGAGCTTGATCGAGAATGGCGACGAATCTTGTAGTCCTTGCGGTCGTTCTTGTCGTTCGTAACGCCTACAGACATGACGGACATGCGATCGCCAGAGTGGCTCCGGTGACGGATGCCAGAGCTACCATAGCTATAGCTCTTGCGGTCGCGTGATCGGCTGCGGCTATGCCGTGAGACCCGTGAGCGTCCGGACTTGATACTGTAGGTGTCATCAAAGTCGTCGCGACCGGCGGTCAAAACAGCCTTTCCAGCCTTGGCCAAGCCAATGCCGCCCAGACCTGCAGCTACCCAGCCTGCGGCACTGCTCTTGGTTTTCCGTCGCTCCTCGCCCGAAGAGAAAGAGCTTTGAGACTTCTTCTCTTTGAGTGAATATCGGGACTGCTTCTCAATGCCACCAGATGGTCGCATGAACTCACTGGATCGCCTCTTGTAGTAATGGTGCTTCCGTGGAGCGTCCAAGACGGAAGAGCGAGGGTCAAAGCAACCCTTGCAGACTCCGATGTACTCAGTGTACTCTTCCATCTTCTGCACATCCTCATAGTCCTTCCACCAGTCGACGAATTTGGAGACAGGCCCAGTGTGCTGATGCTGCTGTGCCATGCCGCCCGAGCTGTATGAACTGTGTGGAACACCATTATGTTGATGCCCGTTGGGTCCATGCGTCGAGGTGTGATGGTGCGAGGTGCTATGCGAGTGTGTGTTGGTGTGGATGTGATTGTGGGTGTGATTGTGGGAATGTGAATCATGTTGGTTTAGGCCATAAGCCGCCAGTCCCGCAGCACCAGCAGCGTACAGTCCAGCAATACTGCCAGACGAGTGCTTATCTGGCTTGGCCGGCCGAGGTGGCTTTGGGGGAGGCGCGCCTTCCGCACCGTAGGCGGCGGCTGCAGCGTAGGGCGGGAGGTAGCTGCTGTCATGGGCAGCGGTATTAGAAGAATTAGGACCCGGGCCGTATATGTTGTACATGGACGTGGAGGCCGGAGCAGCCGGGGTGGTATTATTAGTATAAGAAGTGTATGAAGTAGAAGGACGAACATTGGCTGGGCTGTAGCTCGTAGAGTGTTCCTGATTAGACGAGCTATGGCCCATGGCATATCCAAGAGCAGCTCCGCCAGCCATAGTAGCAGCTGGCCCGAAAGTGCTTGGCTTGTCGGGTCTCGACGAAGATGCAGGCCGTGGTGGCTTCTGAGGCATCGGGGCGTCGTCGATGAAGGCGCCGGGCATAGATGAACTCGATGGCCTTGGGGGTTTAGATGGAGGCACATTCGTGCTGGGCCCGTAGAAGTCTGCGGCGGCGCCCGATCCGGTGTCGGCAACCGGGTTGGGCTGCGCAGAGGCAGACATGAGATGGGGGGTATCCTGTCCTATTATGACAGAGGGCGGCTGAGGCCTCACGCCAGGCTGCTGATGCACAGACTGGCCCTGGTCGTTGTAGAAGTCAGCAGCAGCTCCAAAGGGATGGCCGCCAGGTAGCGCACTTGAGGTGTACTGCGCCGGATTCTGGCCAGGGAACTGGCTTTGCACGTGATTGTCCATGTCTTCGGGGCGTGGTGGTGGGTGGTGACTTCCTACTGGCAGAGCGCCCGACATCATGGGCGCTCCTGCCTGTCCTGGGAACTGCGAGAAGCCGTCGCTGCCAATCTGGCCGCTGAAGCTGCGCTGGACTGACTTGGGGCTATCGACAATGTCGCCCCTGTAGCCGGCGCCAGTTTGCGACGCACTGCCAGATCGCACTGAGCGCGTCGAACGGCGCTTCTCAAGCTTCCATTCCTTGCCCTTCTTCCGGTCCTTGTCGTCGCGCAGTGTGGAGCTGGACGACTCGGCATAGCTGCTGCGGCGATCATCGCGACGCTTGTCGTCGTCGTAGGGATCGCTGTTGGTGTTGTTTGTCGTGGCCCGTGAGCGCGGCATCTCGTCGAAGGCAGTGGTGAAGGAGGCGATTGAGGAAGAAGACGGCGCAGTGTCGCGTCGAGAGCTTGCGGGCTTGCGGGCTGTCGACGATGACACGACTGAGCGGGCGTCTGGGTCTCGGTCGCGCTTGGAACGCGTGGAGTCGCTAGTACGGCGACGGCGACTTTCTTCGTCCTTATTGCTATTGGAGGCAGCAGAGCTACCAGTCAATCTGCTCCACATGATGGAGGAGGGATGCTGGATGTTACGCGGGGTGCGCGGGTGCGTTGGTATTACAATGTAGTGCTGGCAATGGGTCGGGCGCAAATGAGACGAGTGCCTGGGTGGGATATGCTGGGTATATCGCTGTAGACAGTCGCAAGAGATGGAGAATCGTTCAAATCGTCATGTCGTGATGATATAGTACAGGTTTCCGATGCAGAATAGCTAGGAAAGAATGCGCGCAATGCCCAAGGACAACCAAAGCAGCCTCTCACAGTACTAATTCAAAAGACTGGTGTGGTGCAAAGCAGCTGAAGTGCTCGGCCTGGGTCCTAAGCCCCAGCAGCCGACTGAGTTGGCGGCAAGGGTTAGCTCGATCCACACGGGATGGAGGCGAGGCTGGGCCAATAGCTGCCCGATGGCAAACGCTTCTTCTGCGGATCTTTACCGGGGCTTCTTCCGGGGCTGTTCTCTGAGTGTCATTGAGAACATGCGGATGCGAGAGAGATTTGACTGTAGGCTGCAGACCTGAACATATAAATATGCATAATGACCAGATATGCGTTTTCTCAACGTTGGCAAAACTGCAAACTTCATCTGGCGTGCGGAGGTTCCCGAGCCCATCAATGTAGTTATCTTGCATGTTCAATGTTGGTTAGGCCGCCGAAATCCTTAACCTGATTCTGATAGTCAAACATCACCCAGTCTCATCGACAAGGGTTAATTCAAAAGCAAGGCGCGCATGTGACATGGTGTGCATATTTCCATTATTCAAGTCTTGTGCGACAAGTCCACATCTCATCGCAATTGCATTAAGCAGCCCTTCTGAAAAGCCACTCGTTACACTCCCACAAGTTCCCTTCAGAGCCCCTGCACGTCCAACTCAGAATCGCCTCCATATCCTGAGCTGTCCGAGTCAAATTCGGATTCTGTTGCTTCCCCCATATCCTGCATGAGTAGTTCCCAGGTTTCCTTTTCCTCTGGGAGATGACCTGGACTGTAAAAACCGTGCGCAAACATCTCTTTTTTCAAGCACTGTGCTCTCGAGCAGCGGTCGGAATATTCCATGATTTCCAATAAGCTCCGTGCGATAGGTTCAAGCTGCGTTGTGCTCTTTCCTACGTGGAGTAGTATGCGTTGAAGAACCTCTGTGCCCCGCTTGTCGAACAATCGGTCCTTCAAAACAAGATCAAAGCGAGGCTCCTGTTTCTTGCAAAGTCCCCAGCGTTGCCGGCGTAACTAGGGCCGTCCGCCAGCCATTAACATCTGTCGTATTTGCAGAATCTGCGCGCGGTATTCTGGTTGCAACTGGTCAATCTGCTGCTGGGACAGAGCCATGACTTGGGCGTATAACGCTTGTTGCTCCATGGGAGGTGCTTGTTGTTGCTGTGGAGGCTGCGCGTACGCCTGTGGGACGGGAGGCTGGGGTTGGGAAGGTGTAGGTGCGACTTGCGGGGGGTATCCGGGGTAGTTCACAGGTGGTCGCGCAACTTGTGGTGGTGGTTGCTGGACTTGCTGAACAGGTGGAGCCTGCGCAACTGGGGCAGGCGCCGCCGATGTCTCCACAAGCGAGGTCAGGATTTGTGGGTCAACCAGCTGAAGGAGCAGCAGCGACTGGAAAATGGCATAAGCCAGCTGAGGCGCCTGTCGCAGCAACTCTGTTGCCTTGGCGGGATCCGTCATGACGAGGCCTTTCATCTGGGAGAGGATGTCGAGGAGCTGGTCCGGAGGCAGTGTAGATAGTGTGCGCGAAATGGCATCGGGGCAGGTGAGGTTGGGCGGCAGCTCGACGCCCGGTGGGAGGGGACCTAGTGTGCTCGACGATTGTGCCGGCGCTGGTCCTGCTGGCTGTTGGCCGTTCATGCCCATGGTCGGTTGCGCATTTTGGTCGCGATTCGAAGGCGCGTTGTCGCCGGAGCCGCTCTCGTTGGACCAGTCAACCCTCAACTTCCTCCCCATCAAATCGTAGTCGTTAAGGTTGCGCACCGCTGAGGCTGCGGCATCTGCGTCAGCGAACTCTGCGAAGCCAAAGCCCTTGGGACGCCCTGTTTCCTTGTCGTATACCAGGCGGAAGTTAAGGACCTGCCCGACGCGACCGAGGGTTTCGATGATGAGCTCTTCAGTTCCGCCTGATTCAACATGTTAGCTCTGCGCGCGCGCGTGAAACATGAATAGTCGCATACCGTAGGGAATGTTGCCGATGAAAACCACCCTGCCCGCTTTGTCGTTGGGCGCCATTACTGTTTAGATGTGATTCTATCGAAGGAGCTGCGTGTTTGGTGATGAATAGCGAAAAAGTGTGGAGATGTTGTGGAAGGATCGAGTGTTTGGAGTGTTTCTTTGAGGCTTCCATGAGGGCATGAGCTTTGGACCATAGCTAGCGCACAGGGCTTGGCGCGTCCACCAGTAAGCACGCGACTAGCCTCCCAGTCCTGTTCGCAGCAGTTCTGCCAGCCATCACCCTGTTGCAAGGAAAATCCTGAACATGTGTATCTTAGTCTTCTATCACTTTGTAGTCTATAATAGTGTATAATAAAAGAACATTAGATTTTTAATGTTAATGTAGACTTCTAGCTAGCATATTTGTATGGATAATACCTATATTAGTACAATTGTAGGCTGCAAAGTAATAGAAGACTGGAGTGCACCTGTTCAGGATTTATCTTGTATGGTGTGATCCCAACAATAAAACATATCTGCAAACTTATAATAATGAAGTGTTTTACGTGATAGATCTTCAATTCATGAAAACCTTACATATTATTACTACGTAACGCATCGAACCCCTCCTACAACTTTGCCGTCGTCGGCGTACAGCATTGACCATTCTCACCGATTGTTGCAGTCACACTAGGCTGCTGGTGCTGCTCACTCAGCAAGCTACTCTTGTTAAACGCCTGCTCACTCGGTGGCACATCCAGCGCAGGATTCTTATCGAAAAAGTTGACCGGCTTCATGTGGATCTTGATAATCTCACACGGCATGACCGGGAAGTCTTCGATCCTAGGAACATGATTGATTCCTGCCTGGATGTAGACTACAAAGTCGGTATCCTTGACGTTGTCGTTCCTCTCCGCCCATGAACGTACTCCACTTCCGCCCCTCGACTGGTTGGTGTACGTACCGCCTGCATACAGCTCACCGTCCTTGTGCTTGACGACATAGATGTTGTGGTCGGAGAACTCGGCGCGCTTGTAGTTGAACGAGTCCTTGTCTGACAAGATCTTCTGGAAAGGTGGTGCTTGGATCTTGTACGCGACCGGCTTTCCGTTGACAGGGTTTCGCACGTTCGGATTCTGGATCTTGAAAGTACGGTTGTTCTCGTATGCAATATCATAACCACCAGACTTCTCTACGACGGTCTCTTGGACATAGTAGCCAGTGCCATGAGGGTTCCAGTCCGAGCGCGGCATAGCGAACGCTTCATCGTATACGAGACGGTTGTCGTAGCCGTCGATCATGGGGTCGACGCGCAATGAAAATATGTGCTGCAGAGGTGAAGGTACGAAGTCAGTGTATGTCTCGTGTGCATTTCGTATAGTCAAAACTTACCTGATGATGTACAGCAAGCACACCGGGATGCACAACTGTACCAAAGGGCACTTCAACTCCCTCATCGATTGGTTGTGTACTCAAAATACCAGTGGCTCTGATCTCATAGTCGACCTCTCCAGCCTGGTTGAAGATGAAGGCTAGGATGTACTCGTAATTGCTTACGGTGATAATGCTTTGGAGCACCAACTCGCGGTTTCGAGCGACGACTGCACGGCCAGTTCGGTAATTAGTGTGCTTGAAACCGATTCCAGCATCTTGCTCGTGGACACAGACAACGTTAGGCATTTCGACAACACCCCCCTTGTTGTCAGCTAGTACGGAGCTCAGATAGTAGATGGAGCCCAGGCAGTCGCAGCCCAGCTTGAGATTGTTCGCCATAATACCAGCACCAACATCGCCCAAGTCAAAGGCACTCTTCTTGTGGAAGGGGTGACGTGGGTCTGCGTACCTAAAAGTTGGTGTACGAAGTCAGTATATGCCTCACATGCACTTCCTCCAGGGGCAATACTAACGGAATGTTCATGTCGCTCAAGCTCAATCGGTAGAATAAACTACGGTTGTCGTAGCGGACGTCATACAGCACCATACCCTCGCGCTGGTTGAATCCAACCCGGAAGTTCCATTTCTGCCATGAGATGACGTTTGATGTACCTTGCTGTTCGACTTGGAAGCTCGCGCCTTCAGGTTGGACAACATTAAGGGGCTTGAGATCCGTCCGCAGAGTTTGAGCCTCGGGTATATACTCGTTGGGTGGTTGAATCTTGTACTTCTCAACTGGTTTGATTGTGTTGTCTGCACCAGTCGGTAGCAAGTCAACGCGAATGACCTGCATGCTTTCTGTGCTTACAACGGGTGAGATCGGAAGCGGCATTGCGTAGTGGTTGGAGTCAGCTTCTGATGAGTTCATCGGGTCCCTGAGGTACAGGAAGCACTGGTATAGTCTGTCTTCGTCTCCGACACCATCAGAACCGTAAATCCAGGGATCACTAATCACCACTGTTCCTTCGGGCAGCTCGAGCTTGGCTATCTCTGCTTGTACCTTCTCGTCTGCCAAGACGAGCTTTTCGATCTCGACGATCTCGTCGCCATCTCCGTTGGCATGAACGAAGGGGCCTAGAAGAATGTTGGAATCCACGCGGCCTGAGGTCAAGTCTACAACAGCCTCATGAAATTTGCTCTACGGACTAATCAGCCATACATCCTTTCTACTGAACATTTTCAACATACAGTGTTCCGAATGTAGTAGTTAACGAAGGCTTTTCTTGAAATAGAAGGTACTGGCTTGCCGCTATGCTCCGCTTCCAAGTACTTCAGTACTTGGACCTTTGGTGGTTCCTGCAGCGTGACAACCTTGAAGTGCAGGTCCGTGTGTGCCGGCCACGAAGCTTTGATGATTGCCGCAGCATTCTGGAGTTCTGATGCCGATAGCGGGGCCAATGGGTGGGAAGATACTGCTTTCTCGCTCCGCGGGCTCGGATCAGTGGCGACTTCTGTTGACATCTTGTCGATATATGCACGAACAGAAAACAGTGAATATATTCAGAGTTCAGAGATAGATGGTAGAAGAAGTGTACTCCAAAAGAAATAACTTATAGCGCCCCGAGCCCTCAAGGCCGTAATGTTACCTAACACAGCATTTGACGCGATAAGAATGTGGATCTGCCATATCTCCGTACAGGTAGTCGCAAGGACCTTCCAAGCTAGTACTAGACGCATGCCGAAGCCGACGCGAAATGCAACGAAATCACGTGTCATACCCCGCTTCCAACTGTGGAAGGTTGCTTCTCCCACGAACGACGTGGCGAGCTTCCTACGGAATCCTCATAAGCTGTGCACCCCATGCAAGGAAGAAACTGGACAGTTGCATATAAGTCTTCCACTGCCCTGTAGCCTAGAATAGTACTAATACAGGTGTTACTTATATAATTATGTAAGCCAGAAGTCTACATGAACACTAAATATTTTATATTCTCTTAGTATATACTGTTGTAAACTACAGGATAGTAGAAAGATTATCTACACTTGTTTAGGCGTTTGCTTGTATGCGGTGTGTGCAATTCGCGGCGTTGTGCGATTTTTCTTATCCGATCCGATCGCGTCATGCCACTGCAGTACAACGGAGTTACGCTCGCGACGACCGCATCAAATCATCGAACGCGTTCTCTCGAAGTACATCCATGACGCGCTGTCGCTTAGAATTTCCTCAACGTTATCACCACCACAACACAAAGGATCTGTGCATGGAGAATTTGCGCGTTATGTCTAGCAAGGAAATGCAAGGGGTGCGCGATTGAGGACTGTCCTTTAGAATGCTTCCCTCTAAGCTGCCGGCCCAGCTCAGAGTACGCGGTCCAAGCCCCGAACTCACGGGACAGGCTGCCAATCCTTTTATCTCCAGATTTGCTTTTATCCAAGCTCTGCGACACGTGAGGAGATTCGACCAGCCACCAAACACAGCGAGCACTTACAACAATCACAAAGAAAGGCGGAACCTGCACCTGCGGGACCTCGTCAGAGCATGTTCGTTTAGTGAGAGCACTCATTGTCCCTTTCCAGATTCTTGTTTCAATAGCAAGGCTGTGTCGTTCGAGACATGGCGACGTTGACTGTATGACTCGGCATGAAACATCTCTTTCGTAGCGACCTGTCGCACAAACACCAAATCTTCAGACGCTCGCACAAGACTCATATTTTACCGTAGTAAATGTGCGACAATGAGCTTGGTCGACATCAAGTATCGGTTTTGCTTCCTTTTCCTACGCTCCGCATTAGCTTGGCCCACGTTCATCTAAAAACATATTACCCCATATATTAATCTATCCCAAGCGTCCAGTGTTGTACAGTTCCAGCAAATGCGCCAATCTCCTTTTTCGACATATCGAACCCACGCCCATTTCCACATTCACCTTTCCTATTCGCTCGGTATGGACTTTTCATGCATGCATGGCCAATGATTGACAGTCCTGGATGGCAAATGCCATGCTCGTGATATTGCCTGCCATGCCCTCACTTGCTCGCCTCATCGATACCTGTCACAAGGTTAGCTCTAGAGGACGCTTTTATTAACAACCACCGGCAATGAGTATCCACACTCCACCTCACGACCCGGGTTCGTTGCCGCCTTGCAGTACCCCGTTGTAGGTATCCTGTGACGTTTGTTCATTTCGAGTTTCATGCTTGGTCCAATCATAGTTTGGTGTTTACTCTCTTTGGCCATGTCCTGAGTGGTGCAATATGGACGTAGAAGCCATTCGAGGCGTCAGGTTCATGAACAAGTGTATATAAGACCTAGACACCGTTCTCTCATATTCTCTATCAAGATCATCAGCACATTCGATTTCACTCGCTATCAGCCTCACCAGTCTCTCACTTCCCAACCTCGACCATGAAGTGCATCGCGATCGCTACCGCCCTTGCGGCCTTTGCTAACGTTGCGCAAGCCCATTGTGAGTTCTACCACCAAATGTGCACCAACAACCCACTTACACACATCAGACATCTTCCAAACTCTTACTGCGAACGGCGTCAAGGGTGGCATTTTTCAGAATATCAGGCCTGTCCCAAATAACAGCCCTGTTACCGACCTTGCAGACAAGAATCTACGCTGTAATGCAGGAGGAAACTCGGGCAGCGGGACTACAACCGTCTCTGTAGCTGCCGGCTCCACCGTCTCGTTCACCGCAGACCAAGCCGTCTACCACCAGGGACCTATCTCGTTTTACATGACCAAGGTCGACTCTGCAGCCGCTGCAGATGGATCTACCGACTGGTTCAAGATCAAGGAGATTGGCCCCACATTCTCCGGTGGCCAGGCTACGTGGGACATGAGTGGTGAGTTGCGCACTCCAATATTGTGATAAGGGTTTGCTAACACTGTCGCAGCCACGTACTCCACGACTATCCCCAGCCAGATTCCTGCTGGAGAGTACCTACTCCGCATCGAGCAGCTCGGTATCCACAACCCTGGCAGCCCACCCCAGTTCTACATCTCTTGCGCTCAAATCAAGGTCACTGGCGGCGGCTCAGGCAAGCCTTCTCCTACTACCAAGATTCCCGGTAAGTTGTGACTGTACGAAATAGAAGTGAGACATACACTGACTTCGTATCTTCCCCCTCTGCAGGCCACGTCAAGAGCACAGACTCTGGCTACACCGCCAACATCTACAACAACTTCAAATCTTACGTTGTTCCTGGGCCCAAGGTTGCTACCTACTAGGCATGTTCTAGTGTGGACACGCGAAAGGTTGGGCGCTAAGGTCGCCAACAATTTCTCGCACTTGCTTTGAAGCCAATATCTGCTTCATTCTACTTCTACGTATATACTATTGCATACTGTTGTCTGTACTTCTTCTGCTCCCTGAACTTGCTTGCTTCTTTGCTTTTCGAAAACTTCCGTCACATCTCACTTCACAGGGAACGACACATTGTGAATGCAAAGCCAAACGCCTCACTTCCCGACTTGGGATCTTGCCTTCCGCCAAAGAAATATTTCGCCCACCACTACCACTGCTTTCGTACCACATCATCTCAGTAAGTGGCATGTAATGATGTTCTGCTAAGATCCACAACGGTTTTCTCCAGTCACGAGGCCAGTTCTCGAGCATAGTGTGTGCGTACGATATCTCGAAGTTTTGTTTGCGCAAGATGATCCACGCTGATTTATCGACGTGTTCTCCATTCAAGCATAGCTACATTCCCATCACACTATCATATCCCTTGATGGGCACATTCAACTACGGTGATGCTATGTGAGCTTCTCGCTGTTCGTAGCATTCAACACTTCCATCTTCACGCATCGCAAGCCTCCCGAACGCAGGCTCAATACTAGCCTGTACATATAAATGACCGGCTCAAATTGCTATCTATTCTTTTCTTATCCTCGTACACATTTTCTCTCCACTTCGGTCCTTATCAGGGTTCCAATATCAAAGCTACAGCATCTGCCAGCTTGGTTAGGTTGCTTTGACGCCAACAACCAACCTTCGCTGTCCTTTCCAAAGTTCTTCCTTGCTCGTTACCTATGGCCGCTGGCCCTCCCTTCGGTCAACCCTGGCTCGCGAACGTCGGTAACAACCCCAACATCAACCGCGAACCTCCACCACCTCCTATCAACGCTGGTCCAGCACTTCAAGCACAACACTCCGCCGCAGTAGCAGGAGGAGCCCGGGTCGTTGTAGAACAACAACACGCCCCCATATACGGCCCTCCTCTTCCCATTGGTATCGGTGGTCCAGCATTCGGCATCGCTCCATCTTTCGGTGGTGTCGGTATAGGTGCGTTTCCACCTGTCTTTCCACCTGTCGGTGTCATGAACCCATTTATGATGGGCGGTTACATGGGTCCTGGTGGCGGACCACTAGCTCCTATCCGAGCGGGCAACTTTCTTCCTGGTGCTCATCACGGTATAGGCTTCGGTATGCATGCCAACGGCGTCCCATTCCCACCACCTCCTCCCGGCGCTATCGCCGGAGTCATTCCCCCTTTCGCCCCTGTTGCGCCGCTGTGGGCTGGAGGCGGGCTCGCATTCGGAAACGTACCTGCGATGGGGGGAGTTGGCATGGGTGGAATGATGCCTGGTATGATGATGGCCCCCGGTATGGCAGGCTCCCAACACTTTCGCCCAGCACCCATGTTCCACGATGGCAACCATGGCCACCCGGCTCAGCCTGAACAACAAGATGTCGGTCAAATCGCCGGTGGCATCCCGGCAGGTGTTATGCTTGTCGAGTCTGCTGAACATACCATCTTCTATCGCATTACAGGCAATATCTGCCCTTGGCTTTCTCCAGGTACCCAGTTGGGTATTGAACCGCTCGCTGCAGCTAGTACTACGGGTCTCAATCGCCTCATTCAGATCTGCAATGATGGTACATCGGCGGATGAGTTGGAGAATTGCGCAGTTACGGAGTGTATCGAGTTGGGCAATGGGATGTGGGAGAAGGGTCAGACGTTCAAGTACAACGACGCTGTCTCTAGGGTATTGACGATGAAAGATGCTGGATGGGACAACACAAGGAACAGGCAGAACGGTAACTCCCTTCATCTTTGGGGCCACCGTATCTAGGTGCTGGTTGGTTGGCTTGTTCGGTCTTGTATAGCTCTTGTATATCTAGTGACTTTCGGACAGTGCCTTGTTCGAACGTTTTCCTTTGTTCTTGGGGATTTCGGAGGGGGGTTGCTTGCTTCTTCCAGCTGTCAACGAAGAACTATGACGAAAGGTGAGTTGGAAATCTTGTTAGATTCTATATTTACAAAACCTTGGAGACACAAGCTATCTCTCGTGACACATGAGTACCTGCTAACTATTCTGCTTGGGGTGTCGAAGTCATCTGTTTCTTTTTCCCACCACCCAGCTTTCTGTATAGTCTTCCCAGCCATCGCTCCTTGACCATCTTGAGCACGACGTACGCCAGGAATCGATACACGATAGCGCAAATCCCCAAAGCCATCAGGTTCATCTCCGGATTCTTGTTCAGTTTGTACAAGTCAAGCACCTGCTCTCCAGTCTGGATAGGACACTGTCTATTAACCCTCTGCCAGTCTTCGCATGTGAATTTGAGACCACGTAGCGTATACGGCGCCATGTTTCCAACCGCCCACTTGACAGGCGAAAGATGGTTCCAAGCCTGCAGGAAGTCTGGGACGTCAAGGGACAACACGCCGCCCATGACTTGCGCAACGCTCAGAAAGACTGACATGCAGTTTACCGAGAAGCCAGTGTGCGTAAAGAGCGTGTTAAACGCGATCCCTAGACTCTCGCCACAGCTGGTAATACAGAAGGCGTTGAAGGTGATGATGAAGTAAGTTTGCGCATTGCGTTCTAAACCAACAGCAAAAACGGCGAGCACCGAGAAGACGAGGCAGCTTATGATCTCAAATGGGGTAGTGATGGAGATGTAGGTGAGGAAAAAGGCTTCAACACCATAGATGCGGTCGTCATAGTCCCGGTAGAAGACGTCTCTCTCAATAGGATAGACGGCGATGTTGTTAAGCACTGTTTGAGGTTAGTATGGCAACGAGAATTATGATGAGGTTTACATACTGCCAACAAAGTAAAGCGGTGCAATTTCCACGAGGAACCCCAGTCTGTTCTGTACGGAGAAATAATCGGTCTTCAGAGGCGCAAAATAGAGAGCAAGCACGATACCCAAACCCACCACTTGCATAATCCGCGCGATCAGAATATCCGGCTGTCGAAACATGTTCTTCGTCGCACGTCGAATCAGAATCGAGTATGCTGAAGCAAAAGACGATGGTTCGCGTGCCATACTTCCCAGTTCTGCTGGTGTTGTAATTGACCCATTTCGAGCGACAGGGTAGACACTAGCATTCCACGATTCGACCAACTTGCGTACTTTCTTCCGACTGGCCGCCTCGCGTCTCTCGTGCTGAAGGTCAACAGTAATCAGATCGAGCGCGAAATCAGCTGGGTTGACATGACGTGGGCATTCGTGGCCAAGATTGGCAAAATGGGTTAACATGCCGTCGGCAGGACCGGCATAGATGGGATGTCCACCACGAGCAAGCAGCAGAATGTTGCCGAAATGAGCGAAGAGATCGCTGCGCGGCTGGTGAATCGTGACTATAAGTGTGCGACCTTCTTGAGCCAGACCACGGAGCACATCCATGATGGACAGTGCCGTGAAAGCATCCAATCCTGATAACGGCTCATCAAGCAACAAGACGCGTGGCTCAGTGAGGATCTGAACAGCAATCGTAACTCGGCGCTTTTCACCGCCACTGATGCCTTTAATAATGTCGTTACCAACGAGGTTGTCTGCACAGTCCTTGAGGCCCATCTTCAGCAAAATTTCCTCAGCTTTCTGGGTTTTCTGCTCTCTCGACAACCACTTCGGAAGTCGCAGGCCAGCTGCATAACGAAGCGTCTCGCGCACTGTTAATGACGCCAACAGTGCATCGTCATCCTGTGTGACGAAAGAACAGATCGAATGAACGACTTCTTGGGCTGGGATTAGGCCATTGTAGCTCATGGAGCCGTACTGCTTGTACCGCGTCGATGTATCGTCATTGAGTCTCATCGCCATGCTATTCAGTAGTGATGTCTTTCCAGAACCCGAAGGCCCCATGATGACATTCAACGACCCAGGGAAAAAGTCGGCGGTAAGCGGCTTGAGGATAGTTTTCGTCCAGCGCTTTCGTAATGAGCGTTTCTCAACATCCATCCCGTAGCCCTCCAACCGAATATCGATCGTTCTGACATTATCTGCTACATGCTCGCTCATCTTCTCTTTACCAGCTGAGGCGTCCATGTTAGAGGGTCTTGCACGAGCCATAGCGATCTCGGCGTTCCAGAACTTGAGCAACACTCCTGCTCCGATGTAGAAGGCAATGGCGAAACCAAGAAGGGCAAGTATCGGTCTCCAAACCCAGTTGTCTGGGAAACCAAGGGAGTCCATGATGAAGTCGCCGTCATATTCTTTGCAGGCTGGATTTGATCGCCCACCCTCCAATGGACAGTCATAGAATGAGCCAGTGAACTCATTGGCGCATAATGCTCCGAAGGCGTAGAAGACATATGCTATCCACTTGGTCCAGCGTACGTAGATGGGGATCGTGTTCGACTGGATGAAGTAACCGCATGCCATCGATTGTAGAGTATATGCCAGATTAGCTACCAAACTCGCTCCAGCGAAGTGTCTTGAGCAGGCGACACAGGTCATCGCGAAGCACACCGCGATATACTGGTGCAGCAGTATGATCCCGAAGAACGTGAGGAATTGGCCGCCATCCGCGCGAAAGCCGCAGAAGAAATAATAGATGAGCGAGAAGATGAGAGGTACGGGTATATCTTCGATCAAGATTCGAGCCAGTCGTCTTGACATGAGAAAGGCCGGTATGCTGACAACACCTTGTCGCGCCTCTTCGTCGAACAATTGGATATCGGTTGTAAGCCGGTATGTCTCGTAGAGTAGAATCAGATATCCTTGCAGCGCAGCTGCGTTATACAGGGCTCCTTGTCGCGATCGTATGCCAGATAGTGAACCGTCGAGTTGCAAAAAGATCCATCCTGTGATGACCGCCATCCCGATGGCTTCAACAAGACTTCCAAACATGCCTAAAGTTCAAAAAGTTAGCGTATGCTCCATCCGTAGCCATCTTGTCAAGCGCCTTACCCATAGGGTCACGAATTGTCACAGTCCACGTGCGGGCGGTAAGTACGCGTGTCTGCTGCATAAGTGATGTCTGACTGGCACGTTGCTTCTTCCGTTCTGTATTCGCCACAGTCGTGGCTGGGGTGGTTGATTCATGCTTTTCTTGAAGGTTGTTACTGCAATGCGACCGCCACACCTCTATCACGCGACCAACTCGATCTTGGGCCGCCTTCTCTGCCTCCACGCTCCGGTTATCGACACTGACAACGTCGATAAGATATTCAGCTGGGTTAGTGAATGGAGGCATTTCGTGACCCAGCTTCGCAAAGTATGGAAGGCAGTCTTTCGCGCTGCCTGCATACGCAGGGCTGCCCCGGGATAGAAGGACTACATTGTCGAACAGATCCCATATTTCAGAACGCGGCTGGTGGATGGTAACAATGATGGTCCGCCCATTTCGAGCAAGATTCTGTAGGGTCTTGATCACCTGAAAGGCACTTGTTGAGTCAAGTCCGGTGGTTGGCTCATCCAGCCATAGTAGAGAAGGGTTTGATAAGAGCTGAACTCCAATACTTGTCCTTCTCTTTTCTCCACCACTGCAACCCTTGTGCGCATTATTCCCGATCCTCGTATCTGCAGCTTCTTTCAGGCTCAGCTCCAAGATGACTTCTTCAACCAGCTGCTTCTTCTCTTTGTTGTCGACCGAAGAGGGTAGTCGTAGTTGGGCAGCGTAGGTCAAGGTCTCTCTAACAGTCAATGTCGGAAGGAGAATGTCTTGTTGGATGACGTATGCGCTTCTGATGCGCGATGCATCCTCGCTACCATTGAAAAGTGTCCGGCCCGAAGTAGCCAGCCGATTTCCCACTGCTAAGCGCCCGCTCATAGAGTTGAGTAATGATGTCTTTCCACTTCCACTTCCCCCTATGATGGCTGTGAGGCTTCCAGATGGCATGTCCGCCGATATATCGTTAAGTATAGTCTTGACATGCTTGTGATCCGATGACGACTTCTGCTTCGAGAAGGCGCGAGTAAAGGCATTTGGCGATTCATCGACTGAAACTGTGAGGTGTTCCAATCGCACAGAAACGGGATCAACTTCGCGCAAGGAGATGCCGTGGTTGTCGTTGTAAGATGTGCTTGTGGAGTCTCCGCGGAGCGGTGTCGCAAGCGTCGTGTCTTCTTCTTTCAGCTTATGCGGAGCAGCAGCAGATTCCGATCTGCCCTGCATAGACCCCGACTCCATCTTCTCTAGTGACTCTATGCTTGCGGGACTCTGGTTAAATGTTCATGGTCAGTCGTTCGCAAAGAAGAAGCGCGCATGAAACCAATCCTTCGCTCACATGTCAACGCGCGGAGTTTCTTTCGCGCGATACGACGATGTTCAAACACGCCGCCTCGCTTGCCAACCGAACTGCATGCAGGGGCTTGGCTGGACTCTAGAAGTCTCATATTGCTTTACAAGGAAGGTTCGCAGCTGTGTTCTTCAAAACTTCTAGAATCCATCACGACGCCTTACGCTAATTTAGTAGTCTACAGCGCGAAGAAATGCTGTCACTGGACAAGTCCGGCTACTGCTTACAGTCGACCAAAGGTTCAATCTCACTGAACTGTTCAGAACTGGGGGTGGGAAGGACCCCAGCTTGCAAAGCCACACTCCATATAACCTGCCAATCTTGGATAGCGGAATCCTGCGCGATATGCATCTTTATGCAAATGGAATATAACCGCGCAAAATAAAGCATCTAGGCCTCCAATGAACTGTTGGAACGCGTGTGGAAGTGCTGCGAATATAGACAAGCTTTTGCTTGGGTAAGGGATTGTTGCATCAAGTGGTGTTGTTGCATCTCCCTAAATTCTTGTCGGTTGCGCACATGTGAGGCTCCAGTTGTGCCAACCCCACATTACGACACTCTTGAGAATAAGGATAATTTAAAACGCAAAACGCATTGGATTCTTGGCGAGCATTGAGTGTCGGGTAAGAGGCGCAACTACCGAATAACTACTGATTCAGTATATCAACGATAGGTGTCCGTGATACAGGCCTAAAAGTCTGCGGACCACAATTCACTTGCCAGTGGTACGTATCTAAATACGTACGCAGCGTAGTTTTCCTACGCGAGGCTTTGCGGACGAGAAAGATTCGGGTCACTCTCCTGAATGAGGGGCTGGCCAGGTCTTGCGGCCCGATTGCAAACCAACTCCACATAGCTTCCGAAATCTCACATTTCTAACTTGCGGCCACAAGTGGGCCAGCAACAAAGTTTGCGCAATCGAAGCGGCAGCGGGAGGATTTGTTCGATCCCCAGAAAGAATGATATCCACATGGGCAAGGGACCGGAAAAAAGCCTCGGTATGTTGAAGTTGGCAGCTATTGGGCGGGGCTAATCTTCCGAAGCCTCAATTCCAAGAAACTCGGCCAACCACTTTTTCGCATTGATCTTGACAGCCTGATTTGCTCGGGAAGATAGAAGCCGATGGCATTCCAGGATTGTCGATGCGAACAAATGCGAGGACGGATGACTAGACCTAGAACCTGATGTCTTGATGAAATGCAGGTGGCAGGCGCGAGGGACCGCGGGAGATAAACCATCTTGGTCCTCCGATATGCACTAGCATCGAGACTACGGCTTTCAAGTCCGGACCCTTGAAGATGGGAACGATGTAATAGACATTGTGAATGCTCCGCTTCGTGGTTGAGAAGACACTGGACATGATGTAGAGCCGCCGGAAGATTGGGCAGAAGGTCTTGCATCCTCAACTTTCCTGGAGGTGCGGATGTGACCTCCAAGCCTGTCAGTGTTGTTCCATCACCTCCATCCTGCAAATATTGGCAGCCCCGTCATATGTCACAACGGTTTTGCGGCTCATATGATCGCCATTAGGCACATATCGCCCTTCGCCATTAAGCAGTTTTTGCATGGTAGATATCTTACACTTAAGATATCGCCCGCCGCTTTCCGATCGACGACAATGACAGGCCCCATCCTAGTGATTACTCTACTATCTATCTGACACTCGTCTTGGGCGGCCATTGAGGCCGAAAGCCATACGCTGCTCGTGGAATGCTGATACAACCTCGATCTTCGTGTCAGCTGCAGGTCCATTGGAAGACGTCAGCCAACGAGGGTGCATATGACCCTTTCCGGACATCTAGTTCGCATGGACAATCAATCACGTTTTTCCACACCGACTAGACTGGGAATATTGATGGCTTGCGTCAACAGCCACGCGCGCGTCTTCGCCTCGTGGACGGGGACGAGGTAGCTACGCTTACATCGGTGTGAGACTATTCACAAACAAACGGTGTGGGGCTTGACCTGTATGCCACACAACCGGTGATGCAACCTGCAATCTGCCGTTTTGACCGGCATTATCTAGAAGAAAAAGATTCTATGCAGGTCGCATATGCAGGCACAGCACGAGTAGGTGTTGATGGCATTTGTGTTCCATGGCGAGTCGTGTAGGCACATTATTTCAAGGACGGACTTGGACCCGTATCTGGATCAAGTGTATGTGCGGGATACCTATACAGGCTCGGCATATACCGATAAGATGAACATGTATCACCGAGCAAGTGAGTAGAAAGTAGATCGGATAGTGGCCTCGGAAATAATCAGGATCCTATCCACCGTATAACGGACGGCCTAATGGCCCTAGAATGTGACCTCTATGGACTACTGATATCGCTCTCGTCCTGCCCGGGCTTATTCGCTGGGGTCGTCTGGGATCATGTGGTTGTAGGAAAGGCAGGGGAAGATTGGGTTGAGTGACGAGAACGTGTCTGGTTTGCCCCCCTCACAGTTCATCTTGCGTGGATGACTACGTATACCCTCCATTTGGGACGTCTTAACGAAGCACGCGGATAAGGTGTCACGCCATGTGCGTAATGTAGCACACGATTTCATGGCATTGGCCCTTTACTGAACCATGAAGGAAAGCAATATCGTTTCAGAGCTATGGAGTTAGAATCCTCCTCTTTTTGTTCGTCCATTCATACGCTAGTGCCAGGTACCGACGGCGTGTTTTCCTCGAATCAGGCTATATTTCGACCTTTCCACCGGATCATTCGGATTATAACCCCAAACTCTGCCTGAAAAGCGTGGGGGTTACATGTCAGATCGCCAAAGCGAAAGGACCGATTCTGTGCCGTGAATTCCTGCTTTGCAGTCGTTGTTCCCGCACCGCGGGTATCAACGTTCGTCATTGTGCCGCTGGGGAAAGTGTGCCGGTCGTATCGGATGCGCGTTTGGGCCAGACGAACGTAACCGTAAGCGCTGCTCGAGCGCGCGAAGACGAGATGTGCGACAACACCCCACGCATGCCGTCGTTTAAACCTGGTACCCTGGGCCGATCTGCCTAACGGCTTGTCTTGCTCGTCCGTGGGTTCCGACGGCGCAGGTGAAGATGCATTTTCCTGACTGTGGGTACCAAACTTGCACTCGCGCTTCAAAGAAGTTCTTGATGATCGTTACCCGGTTGTATGCACCTGAACATTCTGAGAAGTAGCTGCATGCTAAGCCTACGAGTCATAGGTCTCACAACGACGCCATGCGACGAGTTCGTTCCAACGAAATCGCAAAGGGAGCTCGCCAAAGCGTTTGATTGCCGGCAACGGGGATTGGAGGAAGAACGTCACCGCAGGGCGTGGAGAAGTCTAGATGCTGTGGCACGGGTGGTGCTTACTGTAAAGTTATAGCGCACCAGCGCCGCACTATAGCTCCTCACCCTATCGCCGAGGTAGATCGTGATCGCCCATTAAGCCATGCGTTCCCTGCGAAGCTGCGTTGAGAATTAAGTGAATGGAGTGGGTACCAGCGTGCATTTGTGTGCCGTGAAACTACCTGCATACATACGTGTCGTCATCGTAACGAGAACATAAGAGAAATGCCGACCAGCAATCGGACCTATTTCGACAAGTGCTGCAATGCCATGTGTACGAGTATGCCTTGCCCATGCATGGGGTGCGTGCATCGCGATCTGACATGCACCACCCAAAGCCAAACGCCGCCCAGCTAAACTCGAAGGCTATGTGCGAGATCAGTATCACAAACAAGAAACAACTGTCCTAAGAAATTTCGACATGAAGTAAATGCAAAAACAAACAGTGCCGTTTTTCCCGTATTGCAACACATTACCGCCGTGTGCTATAGGGGAGCGTACCCATCCAATGCAACCTGATCCCAAGGCCGTAGTGCATCGTTACCGGTCCGAGCCTTGTAAACCGCTCTCCGACGACCCACCAAATACAATGACTCCAGTTTGCGCCCGTAGAAACACCGATTGAATAAGAAACCCTGGGCGCCAAGTCTATATCCGAAAGGTCGTGTCGCCTTTCAGGCTACAGGTTGACCCTATGTCATCAACATGAAGCCGTGCGCCAACCCCCCATAGGTCCGACGCCAACCATGCTAACAAGCCGCAAGCGACGTGATGACTGCTCCCTTGAAGTGATAAGCCGAAAGTGATGCGTGAAGATCGCGCGGAACGTTGAGAGCCCGGACGACGCCAAAAAAAACTTCGCGGATCCCCTGGGGTTCATGTAGCGAGGAAATCCCACCCACGAGCATGGATAATTTTCTCCCAATCCCATGAGTCCAAATCCCCCTTGTCCATCCTTGTCCAAACCTCATCAACAACCTCTTTCGCAAACCCGATATTGCCTAGGCCGGTGCAGGCAATCAGGCCGGTGAATGCTCTGTCAATCTCCACACGTTGCTCCTTTTCGAATGCAGCGCACCCAATCAGAAATAACGGAAGCAGAACGTTACTTTGTACCCAACCTTCTGCAGGTAGTTCGTTGATGTATCGTATGCCGTCGTCAACAGCGCTCTTAATGAATGGATGTGGTTTCGAGTCTTTTGTTGTGCGATAGAGATAGACCCACGTTGCTTGACGATACAGCATAGAGATAGTATAGCGCGGAGATCCAGGTATATGAGGGCATACCCATGTGCGAAGGCCAGTGTCGATAGCGTGGGCGGCAAGCAATGCCTCGTAGTCCATGACGGGGTCCTGCTTCTCATCAATGCGACTACGTATTTTCCGTCGCAGGTTGCTGATCTTGGAGATGAAACCAAAGAGTCCATCAGATACGCCGATCAATCCTGCAGTCTCTGGGCTGATTTTGAAGGGAAGGTTGAAGTCGTCCATCATGGGAACCTCGGTACCGTCAAGGGAAGTGATCTGACTAGCAATCCAATGGTAGTAGAAGAACTCATCGAAAAGAGTTTGGAACTCCGGATTCGAGGACTTCTGGGTCATTGCGATCTGTTTTGCTGCAATCATGTGCATTCGGTATTCACCCGAGGTGTTACCATCGCAGATAGAATGCAGAAGATGTAGTAGTATCTGGGCAACGTTAGAGTCCTCGTAGACCATAACACCACCTTCGCCGGCCTTTTGTCGTTCAATGTCATGCTTGAGCAGCTGCAAAGCTTTGCCCCGGTGAAAGACCTGTCTGTCTTCGTACTCTTGTAACGGGTTGACAGAGTACATGTGAGAAGCCGACAGACACAGCACTGAGTGCATCAAGCCTTCGTGTTGAAGGGCCATAGGCAGCAGAATCTTCGTGAAGGGGTTCGATGATTTGTCTCCATGTAAGGTCAGGACAGCACTCGCTCTGCTGGAGAAATGTTGCAAGAGCTGGCGGTCAAGATCATTCTCAACACCTTCCATAAGAGGCGGAAGGTCGAATTTGACATCTTGACTTCGCTTCCGGGCTGTTGGAAAGTTAGCTTGGCCCACTTCCAAAAAAGCAAACCCGCGATGCAAGACTACATACCTTCTGCTGCCCGTTCCTTTCCACTCTTCCAAATCTCGACGGGCTTGTAGCCTTCACAATGGATGTTGTTCTTTTGACATGACAAGCCTGCGCAAGATTAGTACCTATGTGATGACCAGGAATCAAGGGCGCAATTACAGAATGGTTTGGTCTCGTCACACTTCTTTTTCCGTTTCCGGCATGTCGTGCATCCCGTCTTGGATCGGGCTTTGGCTTGCTTAGCAAGAGTGGTGGGTGAGCGAGGAGGGTGTATCCTTGGTCGACCACGCGCGCGTCGTATCCGTACAGGTTCGGTTGGGGAGATGGGTGTGTCTTCCGGAGATGCCTCTTCCTTGACATCGGCAAGTTGAAGTTCCGTCTCTTCCACCTTGGGCACTACGTCAAGGGAATTCGTTCGTGCATCTGTTCGCTCCTCTGATTGTGACTCTGAAGGGCTAAATACGGTGGAATCGAAGTTGGGCGTGGTGAATGGGGAGTCGCTAGCGGACGACATGGAGGGCTGGGGTGATGAGCTCGTGCTCAAGCGGTTATGAGCGCCTGGCGGCGAAGGGCCGGAGGAAACGGTCGAGATCATTCGAGCCAGAGTTGAGGACGTTGGTGGACTAGTGGTGGAAAGAGGCGCGCATTGGATGTCCAGTCCGTTGTGCGCGTCGATGGTAGCACGAAAGAGTAATGTTCTTCTAGATGCGTCTGAGCCTGGCAAGATCTAATGCAACAAGTGGCAACCAGGGGTTATCTTGTATTGCTGCCGGTCAATGCTAAGCAGAATAGTACAAGTGGTACAGCAACGCGGCAGCTGTTCCAACGAAAGTTGAGCAGAGCGTCGCAGAAGGGTCCAAGCGGTCCGCTCCTGATGCCTTGAGCGATCGCACGGTAGGTTGCGTGAGAGCGGGGGAATGCGTCTTTAGCGAGTCGTGGGCGCCCGCGGAACGTCCAATAGGATTTGGGTGGAACTAACGGCAAAACTGCGTTGTTCCGAGATGAACGGCTGAGCTGAACACAGACCCGGTGCAGGCAGGGGTGGGCGAAAACGAGTTGTGATGGACGGTAACGGTGGTAAGCGGTCGATGTCAATATCGATGTCGGAGTCGTGCACACGCAAGGTGGATATGAGCAGCGTAAGCGTGCCGAGGAAATGACAACAGGTGTGTGAGGGGATGTGCTTGAACGAGTGGGATATATGTCGACTAGGTATTAAAGTGCAGCCTGCGTAGCTTCGAACCAGGTTGCGGAGCAAGGTAGAGGCGAGAGGATATAGTGTGTTAAAGTAGCGTCGCAGCAACGACACCAATTCGCCTCTAATACTGGTAATGGAGGATAATCCTAGAACGAGTCCACTGGTCCCGCTGTAACCATTGCCCTGGGCCGCAGTCGACTTAAAACAGTGAGTAGGCCGACACTCGACGTGAAGCACCGGGCACACAAAGGACAGTGTTGAAGACAGCCCACGAGGTAGCGAGCGCTGCAGTTGGCTTCGTGAACAGTCGCCGGTGTGAGCGCTAAGTCTTCTTGAGGCTGTAAAGCTCGTGGAGCATTGAAATGTGATATTCCTAGTGTATGTATCGAATGATGCATGAATCGCTTTCGAGCGGCTTCATATCTTGGTTCGCAGGCCTAGCCACTCATCAGATCCCGTTGGCTGCACCATCTTCAGCTCAAAGTGGGCGGTCCAGGATCAGCAGCACGTCTTGGGTCAAGGCCGTGGGAGGTCTCTACGATGCATCGCAGTGCTCTGATTGACCAGTTGTAGACAGCCAAGATCAATTCGCCATGTACATGATCTTCTCCATGTGTTTGTTATCACCACACAGACGCTGTCAATTCCTGGCGGCGCGCGCAAACAGTTAGTCAATACGCGATATTTGAGGCGCTCCTAGTCGACAATCAGCCCCACGCTAGGATGCCCAGTCCATCGTGCTACGCCTCCGCGATGCCTGGTGTGTGTGTGTGACCTGACGACACTACTTCTCCACAATTACGATCCGGTCGAATCGGACCTCGTTTTCTGGTTATAGAGAGTTATCGAGCGCAGCAGGCAAGACGATCTTAACATGCTGGCAACCCGATCAGACCGCATTCAGTATTTCCTGCATCAAGCCACACCTGGCATACCAGGGATCGCGAGGCCTGAAGATCCTCACAACAATGACAGCAGCGTCTGGTAGGCCCAGCGATTAACGGCCGACCAAAGTTTGTTTGAGAAGTCATAAGCTCCCATGCACCCACCCCGCAATCGCTTCGCCTATCAGCAGGTAGCCCTCCAAACATTACCAAATTCTGTCATTGGTTTGGACGTTTCTGGCAAGCAACACAAATGTTTTCCTAAAGCAAAGGGCTTCCGTTTGGTAGACATGGTGTTTTTGAAATTGTAGTGTCGCGCCGTGGGCTTCCCTGCGTACTGAGGATCTGGTTACTTTGCGGCCGGAGCGGGACGGCGGGCACAAAGGCACGCTCCCAAAGCTGGCTCCGAGCGGGTTTCCGCAGTACCCTGACCTTCGGTCCCTGCCGAACGCTTTGACAGACTCGAATGCAGAAGACGATAGTAACCCGCCTCTCCTTGCTTTAAAGTGCTAATGGGTATGGTCCGTCTACATGATCGTTCGAGGCTTGAGGCAAGTCTGGATGAGAGTTGGGCAGCATGCTACAGAGCTCTTCCGCGATTCTCGTAAGTGTTGCGGCCTACAACCGGCACTCGCCCGTGAATCAAGTTGTCGAGGCTGTTCATTCAGCATGATTCGGTGGAAAGTATCATGTCTTGGACCCGCCGTCTCATCGCTATGTGGAGCCTAGTTTCTACTTTCGATCATCTTACCGTCTCCAATTTGGAATCAGTCTTTTCCCAAGTTAATGCTCACGCCGATAAGCGTCATGACGTATCCACACTCACTGCGCAGTGTTGTGACCGCCTCGAAAGAGATCAGATGAAGTTGGGTCAGATCGTTGTCCCTGCGTTGTGACGGCGGCGCTCTGATGGCTGACAGTCATTAGCCCGTTCTTGCGTATTGAAATCTCGGACGCATGCAGCCGAAGAGGGCAGGCGAATGACTTGCATTATTAGCGGCGCGGTTTAGCTGCGGGGTCACTTCCCGTCCTATTCGTCAAGGACGCAGACAACAGTTGCAGATGGCTGCATGTGCAGCGAGGGTTGAGCCATGCTCAAAATACCTCTGGTCTGGAGCCAGCTGGGCAGCTTGCGAGGCTAGCACCTAGGGCTCCATGAACGACGTGCGAGAACGAACGATGTCCCGCTTGACACCCGTCATGACGTCTCCTCTGGTACTCGCGTGGGTATATTATCAGGTGATGATCGGATGCGTTCTTGCTGGGATGATGTTTGTTGAATGCGCAGTGCGACTCCTGCATATTTGTGGCGGGTTGGGTGCTGTGCATGCCGGTCTCGTTCCGAAGTTCCGCCCTGTATGCTAACACGACCTCATTTGCAGCCTTACACCAAACTATTTCAGAGGGCAATGGTGCTCGCAATGGTGTGAAAGATCCGTTTGCAGCGCCTCGCAGTGCCTCTGTAGGTCTTCTGTTTCGTCCATCTCCCATGTTCTCCTGCCACAAGAAGCCCACGGCTCTCTATCTTTCTCAGCAGATGCAGGTGCGGGCGGGTGATCGACTAAAATCGAATATACGGGAGTGTTTGTTGGCGCTGTCTGCGAACACGTATGCGGCGGGGCCTGCTTGACTCGTCCAAGATTGACTTGCAGTACAAGTTGCATGCTGCTCGCACAAGCTAACGAACTGCACCAAAACGAAAACATTAGACGGAAACGATGTGGGTGTAGAAAAGCCTCTAGTGGCATATAGTGCTGCGAGTGGCTTACTGGTCTCGTTTCGGACTTTGTAGCTGAGCTCCGTTGCTGCAGGTATCGTATCCTTCCTCCAACAGCGGCGGCTTGTAATGAGGCCCTGCAGTAGGTCATAAGGCGCATGCGACGAACAGGCATGTAGCTTTCACTATGCACAGGTCTTGTTATAAGTCTCAGGCATGCTGCAAAGAGGGATAAAATGTTTCATTTCCGATCTGAGGCCGTACATGGCTGTATCGTAACTCGGGGAGACTACTATTTCCTACTCTTCAACATGTGCCCAAGCCTTGGAAAAGACGTCGTTTTCGCCGTCTCTCCAGCCCCACGCGACGCAATAATGCCGGAGTAGCATTTCCAGCTCCTCCAGCTCATCCAAGAACTCCAGACCAGCAATGCGCTCCTTCTCCTCGTCGTTTATCCATCTCCGCCAGATAGTGTTTGTATCTGCAACCTTGGCTCCGCCTGTCAAGCCATAGCCCTGCAAGCGTGCACGCTGATCGCCCAACTCGGGATAGGCCGTCAATGTATGAAGGTGGATGTTGCGTGTCTGGAGGTTCGAGATCATGGTCCGGCCAAAGGCATCTTGGGGTAGGATGGGCTCGTAGAGGATGAGAGAGGTGGGCGTCGCAGGTCGTAGATAGTGTGTCAGTAGTGATGACACTATTGATTGCATTGTCGAAGGCTGCAGGTAGACGAGGCACATCTCAGACAGGATCAGTGTAGGTATGCTCGGGTCGAGATTCGGAATCGGAGGCAGGGGCGTCTCCTCTGACGAGCTCGCCAGAGAGCGTAGATCGAGCGCATGAATGTTGTATGTGTCGGAGTGGTAGGAGGCTGAAGTTGATGGCATGTGTAGTAGCTTCCGGTGAAGCAGTGGATGCCTCTGGATGGCGGCTATCTTGGCGAGCGTATTCGTAGGGAAGTCAATCTCATGGTATACGAGGCGCATCTGAGGGTACAGGTCAAGGAGGCGGAAGAATCGCGTGTCAGTGCCGGCACCCAGGGAGATGATTTGCTTCGCCGACGACGGATAGGTCATGAGGAACTTGGCGACGAGGAGGTCAATGGCCGAGGTGCGAACGTAGGTACCCCTGTTGAGCAATGGCAGCTTTCTTGCCGTCTGCTGTGTCGCGAACAGCTTCGCATATGGGTCGTGAAGATAGCCAAGCTCTACGCAGCTCACCCTGCTCCCCGCCGCATCTTGATCTGTAGCCTTGACCGCATTGTCGAGAACTTGTGCCCGTTCTTCATTGGAACTTCCGAGACCACCTCTTCCATGTCCTCTTCCTCGTGATGGTCCGCCGCGGCCTTGTCCGAGGAGCGTTCTGAGGTTGGGGATTTCGTTTGAGGAGGCCATGTTCAGGTTCGAGATGGGCGGAAGTGGTGGGGTTCCCAGCTCCGGGTTCCGCGCTAGTGCTGCATGCCAAGCCGACGCCCGGCCTGTCCTTTGGAACTTCTGGAGATTTCTTTGACGCGACCGACTTCCACTCACTCGTTGCGCCGTCACCACCCAACTACACTCGCCCCTCAGCATCAACGTTAGCGACGCCAAACATGGACGGCGAAAAGTATAGCGCGTCTCTCATTCGCCTGTGGAGGGTCTGGCGGACAACCAAGGAGATGATGAACGACCGGGTGGGTTGCGCATGCGCTGAAGAAGACCACGGACCGCGCGCTGACTGTACAAAAGGGATACATGATTGTCGAAGATGACATGACAATGTCACTCGAGGACTTCTCCAGGAAATATGCGCGCGAAGACGGCGAGCCCGAGTATGCGCCATCTTGTGCCCATGTCTAGGCCGCAGTACTAACCTCTACCCAGCCGTTCGCGCCTCAACTTTTCCTGCCAGCCCTCCGAAGACATGCTCGCAAAGTACACCGACGCCCCGACCAAGAAGAACCCAGATCCCCAACCCAACATCGGTACCATCTGGGTCGAGTTCAACGCCGACGAGAACGTCGGGATGAAGCAACTGCGCGATTACATGTCCCATCTTGTCAACGGCTCCTTCCACTCCGGCATCATGGTCACCGTGAAGCCCATGACGGGCATGGCCATTCGACTCCTCCGCGGCGCCACGAGCATTACCGACGGTCCCAAGGGCGGTGTAGAAGTCTTTGTTGAGCAAGATCTGCTTGTCAACATCACAAAGCACGAGCTAGTACCCAAGCATGTTCTGCTGAGTGACGAAGAGAAGCAGCAACTGCTCCAACGATACCGTTTGAAGCAGACCCAGCTGCCTAGAATCCAGTCCACCGATCCAGTCGCCAAGTATTTGGGACTAAGGAGAGGCTCCGTCGTCAAGATTATCCGAAAATCAGAGACAGCCGGTCGATACGCCAGTTACCGATGGGTCATATAAGCATTTGAGCGCAAGGACAAGATGCAGTCAGAGCAGGAGAGGATTGTGCGAGTGCAGCGTGCAATGCAAGCTAAAGCGCGCATGCGTAATACCTTCAGCCACGCCAAGGCATTGAAATCGGAGTAGGCATCAAGACTGGTGTAGCATTGGGCGAGGCGTTTGGCGATAGAAAAGGGTTTGGTTTTTGACATGTAACTTTTGTACCATTTGAGAGGAAGACCAAGGCGAACGAATCAAAGTCCATCCTCAGCTTCACTATGTGCCATATGCGCACTTTGAGCTCGCAACCTGATAATTGAACTGAGACATGCCACAGCATATGCGACACCAAACTTGCATCCTTCCACAACACTAACGAGGCAGCCAAACCACAACATCACGCGACACTCGTCTATGTCATTTACGTCCTATCCTCTAACCACGCCGCATCCACACATTTCCAAACCCTCCCACTACCTACAGCCCCACTCCAACCTTCCCGTCCAAGTAACTCTTCCCAAAAACCATTGAAGACAGTAGCCCAGCATTGTCCTGATCGGTCAAACAAACCCATCTGCTAGCTAGAAAAATGCATAACGCGCGCGCTTGAGTACTTTTGTACCGTTCCTTGACCGTTCAGTGGGATGCGGCATGTGGAGCCGGCTTAACTTGGCAGCGGTTTGGGAGGGGTGTATGGCATTGAACAGCTGGGGTTTGGTAGTAATGCTTATGTCAAGCAGGGCGGGCTGGGGCTGAGGTACCGAATTAGTCTGTATGCCGCAAGCCGGATTGGGTAATCGGTAGTGCTAGAGTGCTAATAGTGCTTAACCTGAATTCATCACAACCATAGCGGCATGGGTGTAGGTGTAGGAAACATAGATGCATTGTGCTCGATCGAGGGTATCATGCTAATAACACCATACACCTTACTTACGTAGAAAACATTCATTGTGCACATGAAAAAGATGACGATGGGGTATGTCATGAAGCTGAATGTGAACACGATTAAAAGACAAAATTGAAGAATGGCCCTTGGCTTTGATCTTGCTGCTTGCGTACCCCAGAGATCATCATCTTCCTGCTCAAATCCCTCGGAAAAGTTGATCATAGAGGTGAATTTCTTCGTTGACACCTCAATATCCATGAAAACTTGTTTGGTCTCGTGTGCTAGCCCATCAACATCTATCGAGCGCTGCGCGACTACGTGGTAAATGTGAATTTCTTTCTTCTGACCATAACGAAGACTCCGGGCGATTGTTTGCGCCATGGCTGAATCACAATCGTATTGTGTCTTTGCCAGGAAGGACGTGGCAAAAATGACATGATTGGCATTGGTAAGGTTGCTTTAGGGAGTCAGTACAAGCGAGTCATACGTGGAAACAAGAGGAACTTACGCTCCAGCTGTAGATTCACTCCCAAGGTTGAGTATAATCAACTTCTTTCTCTGCTTCAGATCTCTTTGTTCAGCGCAAACACGATGCCTTGATCAGAAGGTGGAATTCCGTGAACTAATTGAGCAATGGCCTCCAGTTTGTTGCCAAAGCCTTTTCCAGCTCTCTGTCCTTTGTTCAAACCGAGATCAGCCATTCGGATTAGGTTACCTTCGCTGGCATGAGAGTTGCAGCTAGGATGAATGCAGGTCTTGTCGTTGGTCCGTAACTCAAGACCCTCTTTACATGTAGTGTGCCCGCAGTGCGGTATCGAGAAGAGCAATTGAAGGTTGGCTATACCTTTGCAATTAGGCGAACTGCAGCATATCTTGTCAATAGTTGCAGGCTGCAGATGATTACGGATGGATATGAAGAATCATTTCGATCTCGTCCTATGCGCAAGTTCTGAAGAGGCATCTCAGAGTTGTGAAAGTTGCTGTTTGATCATCCGCTCGCGCTGTCGATTTGGTGTCGCTTCAAGATCAACAAAGCTAGCCTTGGGCATCTTCGATGCTCTGTTTAGTAGTGCGCGAACAGTGTGACTGGATTCATCGTCTCCGACCCAATTGTGTTCTGAAAGCCACTTTTTGAAGTGGCCATGAAGGTCCTTGATACCGGACTAAGTATTCTGGGTCTTCTTCACCAAGCCCTCAAAGTCAGAGAGCAGTCTCAACAGTTCATTCTTCCTGTTGCGTAATTGCTGCGATCTTTTTTCGATCAAGAGCTCGAGCGCTGATTTGCCCTCTTCAGTCTCGAAGAGCAAAGCACACCTTAACAGCGCTTCTTCGGCACTTGCAGAGTGTTCTAGGCTATCGTTCAATCGACTGCTCCTATCCGGGCCCGATTTCTTGTTTAGCTTCTTGATCTGTATCCTTTGAGAGATGAGGTATTGTGACAGTTCTAGGTAAACAGCATGTTGTGCGGCATCCAGCTCCACCGACACAAGCTTTTCAGAGCATTGAATATACCGGGCGTCGGCTTCATCCTGTCTTAAGAAATTATCAAAGAAATTTTGTGCTCGTTCGTGTCTGCCCTCGTGCCATTATCGTGACATAACTTCGGTTTGCGACAAGAAACTCTCAACGTCTGTCTGGTCAAGTTCCGATGCCTTTCCGCTGAAAGACTTGACCGTACTGTCGCCACAGAAACACCGACCAAGTCTGATGCCGAGGAAGGACGTCAATCGATCGACGTCAAAGAAGTTAGCCAAGGCCGGCCTGCCTGAGAGGACCCAGCGTTTATGTGCAGCAATTTGCTTGATGCTTGTGGCCATGAAGTTGCTTTCGATCCTATTCGTATCATTGAGATAATGATACTCGTTAACTATGATTCGATTGAATCTAAAAAGATGCAGCAGTGGCACTAAGTGTGACGAGCTATTCCTTCTAGATTTGGTGTGAGCCTTAGCTTTTGCTTTTGCGTTTTTCGAAGGACCTAAGATTAAGAGCCTGGCAGCGAACGACTGGTATTTTCTGCCAAGTCGGATACTAATTAGTAATGCGGTTTTCAACTCAGGATGTTGTAGCTGCCCCTCCAGGAGTTTCTCTGCCAGTCGTTCGAAATTCTTATAGTCATGACGCTGGTACACAGCCAACTGGCTTGAGATCTCGCCAACCGCTTTATCCAACCAGCAACTAGACGCATGGCGGCTGGCCATGAGAGGCTTGGACATTGTCGTAAATCTTGCCAGCTCCGAAACATAAGCTTCCTCGGCAATAACGTCCAAGACACAATGGTGACTTTACTTCGTAGATCTTCGATCGTAAGACCCTTCAGCTGATTGCAGCATTCTATAACACAAACATTATATTCTTCATATTGCTTTGGGCGAAGGAGTCTCTCCAGCTCGGTGCTCCACTGATTACTGATGTGCGGAGGGGAAACAACCAATGTCGCAGCAGAATCCAGAAGTTGGGGCTGTATAGTTACCAGAGGCTGGTTATTCTCGATGAGCTCTTCAATTCTGTACCGATCGAATTCACTCTGAATAAGCCCAATGCTGGCGACCGTTTTCCCGACGACGACTGGTCTGCCGGCACACCACCGCGGACAATCTGCTGTCTCAATCCGAGCCCCTGCCCTCCAACCTAGACTCAGATGAACGGATTCTTCTATTTCACAGATGGTTATCGCTCTGCCTAGCTCTCGATTTGCCATCCATGACACGGATTCCTTTTGCGCACCTCGTAGATATCTCGGTGGCGTAATTAGGGAGCTCTGGATGTCGTTCGGATTGTTTTACAAGCGAATCTTCGGGATAGGCTGTGGAGCTAGATCAAAATGATCAGTAATCAGTCTCCAGGCGGTGTCTGTTGATTTCGATTTAGGAAGTCGCCCTTGAGTGCGATGTACCAAAGACAAGGTACCAACACCGACTCGAATCCGTGTTCCTGATGCGTCACTAGAAGCTTCCAGTTGGACTATCGCAGAGCGCTGCTTGATGGCGGCGGCTCGACGATCCTCGTGTGCTGTCGCTACACCTTTCTCGTTGACATTCCAAAGTATCTCCGGATATGTTGGCGCGCAAGAACATTCTCCGAACCAGTCCAAATTCACTCTCTGCCAGGATGAATATCCCGGCAGTGTCTCGGTAGTCCCAGGTGCCCACGAATAGTCCGTTAAAGTTTGGACCGAAACTTCGTCGTAGAGATAGACATCTAGGGAGGTAAGCGCCTGTGAGTAACCTGACAAGACTTTGTCAACCAAACGCCCTTCTTCAGGGAAGTCCACGTTCAGAGGTACGCTTGCTGATGCTAGCGTCATCACAGCAGGAACCCAAACGTCAGGAACCGTGGTCGTAACGATGTGTACACGCTCGTCCTCTACATGCCACGATCGCCAGGACGGATGCACGCGAACAAGCGACCTACGACCTTCTCCATAATGTTCTCGAGTGTGATCATGGCTGAACACGAAGCTGTCGTGATCCAGTCGACCTATGGGGTCGGGATCAAGGAACAGGTACATGCTGTTGTCCTCTGTTGACCTTTTGTACAAACTAGTGGATGCGGTCGCACAGTGTGGCAGATGTCGGTAGTCTCCAATGACGACTGCCGAATCCTGGTCATCGCTCTGGATATCGATGCTCTTTGGTACAGTCTCTTCTTTGTAGTCGGAAAGACCAAGTCTACTTTTCTATGAGATGACTCTCTCAGACGAGCCGCTCAAATTGAAAAACGAAATCCTTGATATAGGGTACACGTTGCTTCCACTCAAGGCCAAAAAGCCTATTTGTAGCCTTGCTTTGCGCTGTCGGGTTGCGGAGAGATTCGCGCAATGGACTATTACTAGGAATATCTGGTGGACATTTGATGAATACTAACCAACAAATATCGTAGCCAACCTTCATGTGTCCGATTGTTCGCGCTAAAAAAGTTCTCTAGTGTTCTCGTGTTTTCGCGCAGATTTGACCCTGATGGACATGACATCAGGCTAGCAACCTGTGTAAACTCCTTAGGTGTGCTGTCAGGCGAAAGCTTTCTGCGCTTCGACCTAGCCGTGCCGCTGCAAGTTATGCTGCATCTGGGTCCCCCATGCACATTCTCTGGAGTGTGCTGTGCGTCACTGTCAATCTGATGTAAGTCGCTACGCCTGGTTGTTCAGCCTCTGCTGGACCTCTCTGGTGCGGCACCTTCAGACTTTGGTGTGATCTTGCTCTGCGTGCTTGGGTTTTAAGACCTCTTTTTCTTCTCGCGTAGTCTCTGGCAGAGATGTGAGGGTTTGTTTCGCTGACAGCTGTCGCAAGGGTCACCTCCGTCGCACTTCTTGAATCCCCGCATCGTGCAGCGTGGACAATGCGCTGCTATCGCTGTCGATTCTTCGGGTGTAGGGAGTTGGCATTTTATTTTATGGTTTCGCACAAACCCTGTACACAGATCTTCTCCGTCTTCCTTGAAACACTCGTATGCCGTGTTACCTCCACGAGTGAGGCAGACGATGCAGAAATCTGGAGGGACCTGATGGGCATCTTTGCTCGATCGAGGAGGTACCATAAGACTGGTTTGCGTAGAGACTGCGTTGACTGCTTCTGATCAGCCATTGAAGCATAAAGTGGGGTTACTAGGGTGAACGGCATACCATGCCGGCGAACTTGATTGCCTCGCGTCAGAGTCTCGACCAATGGGATAGGCTCATTTCGCGCTGTGCGAGCAACAGTGTACCGTGGAATGGCTTCGATGGTGTCGTTATTCCACTCAGGTCTACTGCGTATGGGCGATAGCCGCTACGCGCTTACCCAAAATGCTAGATGCCATGGTGAGGGAATCCGGATGCAAGACGCAAGATTCATCATAGAAACAGTAGGGAATGAGACGAAGTGATAATGAAGTCGCTGAGTATGCGCATGGCATGCCGTTCGTGTGTGTGTAGGGTACAATCAGTTGCAAAGATGCGTCGAGGTTTACGCGGCACGCTGATCTATAGCGCCCACGACGCGTTCCGAGGTCGCGCTACTGAAGCGAAAGCACGTGTTGGCTCTTCCACGGCATCTACCCGCTTGCTGTCTCCTCACATCAGACAGCACACCCAGGAAAAGGCCCGAAGAAGATGACCAGGTTTCAGAGAGGCAATTGGGCGAGTGGAAGCACAAAAGATATATGCGAGACCACTTGAAGCATGCTTAGCCAGTGCGGATAGGTTGCTATGTTGGGCAAGGTGCCGTTCTACACAGCGAAGTCGCAGCTCGTGTATTCCCGCGGCCTTGGTATGGTATCGGTCCTATCCTTCACAGCAATGCCAAAGGAAAATACACAAATCTTTTAGTTTGTCCAACTTCACGACGATTAACAGGAAAGCATCATGTCTAATCAAGTCAACACCTTTGAGGACCTTACGGGTGTCTCGACTTCCTCATTCAGCAACCCCTACGACGCATTGATTGCGGCATGCGAAGATGACCCGGTAAGGTGCTTGTATACTTGGCCTTTGCACATACTGAGCACACGTTGCAGACAAAGATCCAAGAGAAATATCAGTTGCACCGCACCACAAGGAATGCCCAGCAGAAGGCGAAGATGCTCGACAAGAACTTCCAAGGTGTAAACATAGATCCAATACTGTTGAGACTACAAGATCCCACTGTCGAGCCAGGATTCAAAGATCCCCGCAACTGCCTCGTAGGAAATCCTGTGTGCGAACCGCATGTGAAACAACCACTGATTCCGTACACCACAAGGTCTTTTGGGGTCGTCCGACAGAGCAGGTCAAAGATATGATCAATCGAGTGCAACAGGAACTGCTTACGGTGGCACCTAGTAAGCTGGATATCTTCATTATGCGATTGTAACGCTAATCCACACAGATCTCTGGCTCATGCCCCGCGACAACCTCCATATTACAGTACTGGAGGTAACGCATTCGAAGACGGCACCAGAGATACAGAAACTAGTAGATGGAGTACGAGACAAGGTACCTGCCATCGCTGACTACACACATGGCCACCGTACGCGCCTGATCAAGCCGTTCATCGGGTACGACGCCTCAGCCATAGCATTAAGCTTTGTACCTGCAGCCAGCGAAGGTCTACATTCCGGTCGTACACCGGAAGACGACAAGTTTACTTACCACCATCTCCGCCGAGATATCTTCTCCATGTGTCGTGACGCAGGTCTTCAAGTGGAGTCGCGGTACGTTGTACCCTCAAGCCATCTCACCATCAGCCGCTTTCTCTATACCAAAGACTTGGAGGACGGAAATGGGGCGCCTGATCCTGCGAAGACGAAAGCCTTGATAGACAAGATTGAAGAGATCAACGCTTGGCTAGAAAAGGATTATTGGCCGGAGCATAATGCAGGTGCGATACCTGCTGGTGGAGAGTTCAACGTGGGTCAAGAAAAGGGTCTGCACTGCGGATCAGGTACTCTGTGGTACGGTGGAGGCGAGGCAGTGCATAGTGGGAAAGGTTACTGAGCAGCATGGATGCCTCTGAACTTATGTAACGAATAACACCAATGACTCATCTAGAACCAGGTCGTTATGGAACGCGACTGTATCCGTATTTGTGTGTGGTCTTCTTCTCAAGTGAACATGCCCGCAGCTTCCAGACGCGACGTCGCGGCATGGTGGCGGCACTTGCGGAGCGGCGGGGATGACGTGTGGCTTGTGGCTTGGTCAAAGCGCGTTCCTGAAGCTCCCCACGCGGCATCTCAGACCCTGACGGCCAACTTGTATCACGCTTGTTTCTGCTTTGACTTGCTTAGTGGCAGTTCTTAGACCTGACACATCATCGAATAGTTACTGAGGCGCGAGCGGACAAAAGCTGCCCTTATACTGCACCCTAGACACCTTTGCGACCCTGTGAGGCCTCATTACTGCTGCCTCTTCAAAGACCATACGTGGCATACATCACTCCTTACACCTTCACCTTCGATAGCGACTCCCAAACACCAAACATGTTCAACCGCGATCGACTTCCAGGTCTTCCTGGTAGCTCCCCTCGACCACCGCCACGCAACGACGGTTACGGACGACCACCACAACAGCAACCACCACCAGGGCCTCCACGAGGACAAGACACAAGAATGGCCGGCTATGATGACCGGCAGCCACAAGGCTATGGTGCTCCACCACAGGGTGGACAGCGTATGCCTGTGAGGGGACCACAGGGAGGTGGCGGGGGTGGACCTGCAAGACAGTTGCGGCCCATCAAGAGCCCTGGAGGCAATGCCTATGCCTTCGGTAACATGTAGGTACAGTCGGCAGGTTGGGGATACCTAGACGTTTCCACACATGCCAGATACAACACATTCGCGCGTCATTGCTAACACCATAAAGTGTCGCAGTCTCCCCTCAAGACTTCCAACCAAACGCCGATGGCTCCGACGTCTACATTATTCTCAACGGAAACTACGCCCTCTCTGCGCGGCCTACACAAGGATGCAATCCGGGTGAGATCGGTCTCACCGACGCACAGCGAACATGGGCCGGCATATCACTTGGTCCCCAGGAGATTGTCACAGCAGCACCGTACGATCACTTTAGTCAAAGCGGCGGAAAGTCATACTTGGGTGCAGTTGATGTGGAAATCGGGTTTGCGGGAAGAAAGACCACCGAGACACCGTACGACCAGGACGAGCTCGCTATGGTCTTCAAGAAGAGCTTCGAGAATCAGGTCCTTGCGCCAGGCCAACAGCTCTTGATGGATATCAAGAGTATACCACTCAGGCTATCGATACGAACTGTCACGCTTGCGGATCTGTCTATGGAGAAAGATGAGACGAATGCGCCATCCATCACCGACCCGCGCGCTCGTGGAATTCTCACAAGACATAGTCAGGTCGACTTCTTTAAGGATGCTCGAACAGATATCAAGCTGAAGGCATCAGCGCGACGCGCAGCGGCAAACTCCATCATTCAGCCAGGTTTCAAGTTCGAGGACATGGGCATTGGTGGCTTGGATGCTGAGTTTGGTGCCATCTTTCGACGAGCTTTCGCTTCCCGTATCTTCCCTCCAGGCATTAGGGAAAGACTGGGTATCGATCACGTCCGCGGTATGCTTCTATATGGACCTCCCGGTACTGGAAAAACCCTGATTGCCAGGCAAATCGGAAAGATGCTGAACGCCCGGGAGCCCAAGGTCATCAATGGTCCCGAGGTGCTGAACAAATACGTCGGAGCGTCAGAAGAAAACATCCGAAAGATGTTCGCGGACGCAGAAAAAGAACAGAAGGAGAAGGGTGACGAAAGTGGTCTTCATATCATCATCTTCGACGAACTTGACGCTGTATGCAAGCAAAGAGGTTCTGGCGCAGGAAGCGGTACTGGCGTAGGCGACAGCGTCGTCAACCAACTGCTATCCAAGCTCGACGGTGTCGACCAGCTACACAACATTCTACTGATCGGTATGACGAACCGCATGGACATGATCGATGAGGCTCTTTTGCGTCCCGGTCGTCTCGAAGTGCACCTGGAGATTTCCCTGCCTGATGAGTCTGGCCGAGCCCAAATCCTCAAGATTCACACAACGAAGATGCGCAAGAACAACGTTCTTGAGCAGGACGTCAGTGTCGAAGAACTGGCAAAGCTTACGAAGAACTTCTCTGGAGCCGAACTTAACGGTTTGGTCAAGGCCGCCACATCTTACGCCTTTGGTCGACATCTTAAAGACGGCACTACTGTCAAAGCAGACGTAGAAGATATCAAGGTTACTCGACAAGACTTTTTGAGCGCACTTGACGACGTGAAGCCGCTCTTTGGAGTTGCTGAGGAAGAACTCAGCAAGCGACTTCGACACGGCATCATCCACTATTCGTCATTCATCAGGGATATACTGGAGGACGGACGTCTATACATCAACCAGGTCAGAAAACCGGAATCTAGTCCGCTCCTTTCTGTTGCTCTACACGGTCCGCCAGGTTCCGGAAAGACAGCACTGGCTGCCAAGATGGCAATCGATTCAGGGTATCCATTCATCAAGTTGATTTCGGCTGAAGATATGATCGGTTACAGCGAGATGCAAAAGGTTCAGCAACTTGACAAGGTATTCCGAGACGCATACAAGAGTCCATTGAGCGTCATCGTCATTGACTCAATTGAGTTGTTGTTGGACTGGGTGCCGATTGGTCCTAGATTCAGTAACAACGTTTTGGCTGCCTTGAAGGTTCTGCTTGGCAAGGAGCCGCCAAAGGTATGTAGATTTCCCATGCCGTGCATCTATAACATCCATCTAACAAACCCAGGATCGCCGCCTACTCATCTTCGCGACAACAACCGAACGCTCGGTACTCACACAGCTCGATCTCTTCGCCCGGTTCGACGCCGAAATCGCCGTCCCGAACGTCAACACACAAGCCGAGCTCGCAAATGTCCTGCGGGAATCCGGCGCCTTCTCCGATTCTGATCAACAGCGTGCCATCAGTGAGATCCAAGAAATGACGGGTAACACTGAGATCGGGGTTGGTATCAAGAAAATCCTCACCGGTATCGAGACGGCGAAACAAGACCAGGATGTACCTGGCCGCTTCGCTCGTGTCATGTCTCGCGCCATTGCTGCGAATCGGGGTTCGATATAGGCCGACTAGGGCTCAACATCGATGAAGTCCTTGTGAACTCATCTACGATGAATTAGCTATAATATCTGTAGATGACGTCCCAGCCACTATTATTATGGCATCCGTTGTTAGAAGTATAGAACAACTACAAGGAAGAATAGACCACACTGATGTCTTGTTCCTCGAGCTTTTCACCATACTTGCACTTAGTCATGCCCAAATGTGCAAACACTATTCGCCTCACTTCTAATTACAACCCCTGTTCGCTTCCAACAAAATCAAGACGTCCAGTTCTCGTCCGGAATCCTTACCGTTCCACAACATGTCGTCTTTTCCTCGCACAGCCGCAAACCTGTCAATCACTTGTCAGGCCGCTTTCCAATAACCTCACATCTGATACCCTTGGTCTCACAACGCACCTTGCGGGCACGGCTTCCTCATGTCGGATCCCTGCATTGTAAGTAGATATTCGTTTGCTTCGGAGACCGCCGCCGCTCTTCCCCTCTTCTCCCGAGTCGTTCTTGGGCCGCCTTGCTTCCGATTTGGTGGGAGGATTGTGGTAGCGTGGGGTTTGGGTGGGGTTTGATGCACGACATACTGTGGCTTGGGGATACACTGCATATGTTTGGATCACTGGTAAATCATGTTTATTAGATGAGTGTGGTGGTCTGACTTGTACAGTAGTGGGTTTCAATCTGAAACTCTAAACCGGTGTTTTTCGTGTGGTGGGGTGTGGCTTGCTGAAGAGATGGACGGTGAGAGAGCTTGTCTCTAGAGTTGGTATACTCGTGCTCGACGCAAGTAAGATACAGAGATACAAGTGTTTCAGTAGACCAAACTTGGGAGACTTGGCTACTGATTGGCCAGGTTTGAGGATACCTCGTCACATGATGTTGTTACTACGCTGAAGTGTGGAGTGTGCATGTGCAGTCGGCAAGCTCACGAGTGCGCCCTGCGGATCCGCGACGATGGCTCACTCATACGCGTTCACAATCAAAATGGTCTGAAGTTTTCCATGTTGTGATTAGGTAGAAACAGATGCCATTCAGGTACATGTGGGTGCATTTACTCCACTGGGAGATGCCATAGTAGTCATATAAGCCGTTACATAAACATATGATTAAGAATGAAGAGGCCATACCAAAGGAAACCCCGTGACTGACTAGTCAATTGTCAGCCACATGGTATGATACCGTCATGACGCCGATCCAGAAGAGTCAAGTTCCTAAACCAAGGAGACGAAAAGAGAACACCCAGCCGGATCCAACGCCTCAACACCGCCAGTCGAGCCCCGCCGTCTATTCGTCCGTGTTTGACGAATGAACATGCTTGCCAGCTTGCAGCTCGCCTGTGGCCCGTCGACCGTTGTCAAGGGATCACGCCAGTGCCGCACTATTCAGGTCCCCCAAGTCGATTGAGAGCCGCCATTCGTTCGCTAGCTATCGACAAGCGCGCAGCACTTGCGTCAAGCAGCGGGCCGAACCGCATCACATTTGCTGGAAAAAGTAAAATGCTGGCGTGTGGGTTCGCTAAAGCAGCGAGGCCGAAAGTGGATCGGAGTGGAGCGGGAAATCGTGAACGACAGTTCGCAACTTGACGCCTACCACAAACAATCTGGAGACTTCGTGAAATGAAAAAAGGAGTAAAAAAATCCGTATAACCCAGAAAGTTGTAAAGTGACCGTATACCGCCTGTACTTTTGAAGAAACCGAGAAGTTGTATGTTTGTGTCATCCACAGGCCGTAAGGCAGTTTTGTAAAAGTTGCGAGGTTTTAGTAGTCGACTGGTGTTGGGTATCGTCCTTGGGCAGTTCGGAATTGATCTGGGTATTTGCGTGCCGCTCGCTCGTTGAGTGAGCTATCAGAAATATCAGTTATGCTGTTCAGTGTGGCATTTTGATGCTCTTACTCTACGCGCTTCTGTGTCCATTGCAAATCCTTCTGTACCTCTTTCGCAGCCTTCATGCCATCGGCGAAGTTCATGCGTGCGCCAGCCAGTCGACGCTGAGCAAGTGCCTGTAGTTCAAGGAGTTCACGGTGCTTGGCGTTGAGTTCACCAGATCTGGACGTGATGTCAGCTATGCAACCGCATTCCAAACCACACGATCGACGTCGTAGTGAGGAGTCTTCGAAACTCACGTTTGTGCCTGTCTCGCTAAGCTTCGATCTAGCGGCATTGGATTGAATGAGCCATTCACACGGCTGCCCATGTAATCGAGGAGATCCACGCTGGCAGCGCCGCTAGTCGACTCGTAATCGCTTGCACTGCCGGCGTAGTTGCTAGATGTCGCTGACGGCTCGTACGACGGCACACCAGACGTTGTGACGCTGTCCGGGGCCTCGGGTGGTGATGCTGACACGCGTCCGTAGCCATGTTGTTGAGGCGGGTAGTAAAACCCTGGCTTTTGTGGCATGTTGATCGGGTAAGAGGACTGGGGGTATTGGTAGAAAGAGTGAGTAGAAGCCATTTTGGATAGCTTTTATATCTTTGATATGTGTTGAGAAGGGACTATGCGATATGTTGGCGCGAAGCTCAAGTGATTTGATAATTCGACTGCTTGGTAGAAGTACTGAAGCTTGTATTGCTCGAGTCAAGGAGGCGGAACGTTATATAGTCTGATGATATCTCCAGAGAGGTGAGTGAAAAGGAAGAGGAAGGGAAGCTCGTTTGGCCTGTGAATGGGCCTCTTTTTATATTCTCCAGCCATAGCCATGCTAGGAGCATGCTGGTCAACGGGGCATAGCTTTGACCCCTTCATGCCGACTCAGGCTCGCAACCCCGCCCTTGTGGTGATAAAGGTGCATAGTCTTACGCCCACTGAGGTCTGCTGCCGCTAGAGCCGGTCTCAAAAGCGTCATTTAGAATGGGCTGGATGAATGCCCTTGGCCATGGGCCGCAGCCGATCCACGATGCCTCGGAGCGATACTGGAAGCTCAATGTGCCAATTGGTCGGGAGAAGAGACTAGTGGAGAAAAGGCTCAGCTCGTATCAGTATAGAAGGTTCAGCGGAGCGAATTGGCGTGCAATGGCAAACGGTTGCGACTGTAGAAGCAGTGCCGTCAATGACCGGCATCAGTGCGTTGCTAAAGGCAGCAAGGCATAGTAAGCGCATCAGACGCGAACACTAATGTCAGGCAAAAGCAGCGCCGGTGGAGCTATGTACATGCATGGGTAGTCTGCCGGACGGGCATGCTAAGTGTTGTCAAGTTGATGCGTTGGCTCGACAGCTGCCAGCGCCTTTGAGCATGCAATCTGGAACGGGATGCGGAGGATCAGACAGTGCATGACACCAGTGGCGGGAATTGTGTGCACAAGATTGTAGGAGAAAGACTGCGTGCGCCGAAGCGCAGCGCAATGGGAGGACGACATTTCTTGGACTTTTGTCATGGTCACCGTCATGGAAGGTTGTGGAGGAATATTCGGGTCCTAGCAGAGCCCCGCCTGCTCGTGCCCCTCCTTGGGTCAGTGCGTCATCCTTGCTAACAGCGACAAAGACAGGCCCTTTCATTCGCAATTGGCTATGCACGCGAATACAACTCCTGGCTGCAGGACAGACTTGGCTCTTGATGCCTGAAGCCGATGTTCAATCCCTGCACTGCGTAACCACGCACGACACCTCACACGCATCCGTAGGCGTTCCAATTACAAGTCCATCATAGGGTAAGAGCATGTATAGTGGCGGTGAAGGATTTCGTCTAGCTCCATCTGATGACATGTGATCATTTCGGTATGCACCTAACGTCCTTGCATAACCCGCCCAACGGCCTCTTAGTGTGGCGATTCCACTATGCAGCCGTTCTTGGTAAGCCTCCTCCTCCAGGGTTCTATCTCCTGATCGCAGAAGCTCATGGAATTACTAGGATCTCAGGGTCAATGACAAACGTGCAAAGCATCGTCTCGAAGTCATTGTAAGCTTGTGTTCCAACAACCCGTTACATTGGCGCCTCGATGGCGTTTTACAAGCCGATCCGGTGTCACAACTGTCAAAGGCAGCCATGTGAGCTGCGCGTGGTAGCTACTCAGAGCCGTTGTCGTACAGAATTCCCAGTATCTGGTCCAGCTACGGACTGAGTCCTCGCCAATGGAGCAATGCGATAGTTCTTCGGACCACTCCCATGCAGGAACTATGCGCCGAACCTGGTATGCACTGTCGGTAGCACTGTACCACTAGCATAGATGCGCTGCTAGGATATCAGGAAGCGCGACCCGTCGTTCGGGCTACGTTAGGCACAACGTCCAGATGGCTAGCTCACTGTGTGGCACTTCGACGATCGTATCCATGCGCATGGGCTGGCTCTCGCCTATGCTCGCTGCATATGGATAAGGTCACTTTTGACAGCGGGAGCCATTCAAAGTCGGTTGCAGTGGTGGAAGCTTGTCGTTCGGAGGATTTATGCACCTCCGGACACTGATCTCTCGGCATAGCTGGGGTGGCTCCTAACCTAACTCGTTACAGATTTGTAGTCAAGTCTTCCTAGGGCGAGGCATGAGGATGTCAGTTGGTAAACATCGTGTCTTCTCAGTACAGCACCATACCTTTCTATGAGATACTGTTACCACAGGTATACATATAGAGTTTGTTCGTGATCACCACATTGGCAAGCTGCATTGCTCTGTCTGAATGAACAAGTTGCTCATATTCAACCTAGGTCCGCCGCCGGCCCGTCCAGAATGTTCAATCATCTTAGTCCGAGTTCAAATTCTCCAGCAGAGCCTCCACCTCGATGCTGAGCTTCTGTAGATTAGTAACAATATCTCTGAAGTAGGATTTAGTAAGAGGGTGACCCGTAGGATCAAGCGTAATCTTCTGCAGCTTGGGGAAGCCGCCACGTCGACTATGTGCGAAGGAAATACCATCTAAAATATCCCAAATGTTGGTTGTCTGCTCGATAAAATGGGTAATGACCAGTTCCTCTAGACTGGCAGGCAGGATAACACCCGCCTCTTCGACCAGCAACTCTATCATGCGGCCCGTAAACCATTTATGGGGGATCTCGAGGCGGCGTAGCTTGGTAAAGCTGCTATAGTTGGAATCATCAAGGTATTCACCGTAGTGTAGGCTCTCGCAGCCGTTATCTGATAGGCTCAAGGTCAAATCCTTCAGAGTATCTGTCAAGCCTGCAAGTTGCTCCTTAACAAAACGATCTAGAAGCAAATCCCAGGTGTAACGCGGAACTTCAATCGTCGGATTGTACTGGCGATTGGAATCTCGACTGGCTTGTGTAATCTTGGTGTCAGAGAACCAGATTTCCAAACCCTTGAGGGGCGAGAGGCGCGAGAGGAACTTGCTAGTCTTTTCGGAATATTCTAACCCAAGTTCCGAGGCACACATTTCCCGTGTCAGCGTACCGATAGACGATGTAACGTCTTCTGGGAGATCGGAGTCCTCTAGACTGCAGCCGCGATCGATGTCCAGGACCTGAAGCGATGGTAGCTCACACCAAGACCAGTCGAAGACTTGCGCGTTGAAATGCAGCTCTTTGAGGTTCGTCAGTCCCTTGGGTTGGAAAGCATGTCGCGCATCTTTTGCTCCTTCGTTCCAGTGAGGGCCAAATACTAGCTCGACTGGGCTTTTCGCATCCGTATAGCAGACAAAAGTCGCGCAGGGACACGGATGGCGCTCCAGAGTTGGTCTTGGGCGAAGATTTCCATTTGTTTAGACACCAAGGCTAGAGAGCGTAGACTCTTCATGTCTAGATCGGACGCGACTTTTATAAGCAGTCCATTTGGAAGATTGACCATAATTTTTTTTGGAGTGTGTATCGATGCTATACCAAGACGGGTTGAGTGTCCTGTAAGGTAACAAAGATCGGCGCTTGTAGTCAATGATATCTTGTTCGCTGTGGGCATTCAGTGTGCAGTTTGAGTTAAACTGAGGCTGTGTAGGTTGAGTAGACAGCGAACGGAGTGGAAAGCCTAAATAAATACCTATAAGAATGCGTTAAAGAGTATGAGAAAGCACGGACTGTATGTCGATGAAGCTGCTCGTAAACAGTACCTCTTACTAGCGAATTGAGCAACCGCGCGACGTGAGCCTAAATATCCTTTGAGTTTGTAGTATTCCTACAAGTTCGCCTAGTCTCCGATATGATCAGTAAAGTGACATTGCAACGTTAGAATCGTGATTGTTTGGAGAGCGCTTTCGATGTCATGGTCATGTATGATCCGCCGGAATCGCACTCGTGGTGACGAATATGGGTCCCACTTCCTCGAAGGCAACCACAAGCTACCGAGGAATTCTCATGTGACACGAGAGCTGATTCGAATCGTCTTTGTATTTGAGTGCGGATCTGAGTGAGCGCACAATGTTGGCGTAGGTGTAAGGCTGTGGGTGTTGCAATCATCTAGTGTCCTAGAGCTTCCCCACAACGCGCTAACGCGGGTAAATTACCCCGAACTCAATCGTCGTTGCCATCTCTCGCACAACAGCCACCAGAAACCATGACTTTAAGCAAATTCAGCCTCGAGATATTTCCGAGTCAGCCTTATTTCCATTCCTGAGACAATGTAGAATAGAGAAACTAGCCAACCGCGAGGTGGTGGTGGCGCCCCTTTAGCATGATAAACGAAGGAACGAACGAATAGCACCCCGCATCCTCTTCCCGCCATGCATCGCGGAGCAACAGTAGCGAGCAAGAGCAACTGCCGAGCGTCACGTTGGAATCTATAGGATCGCCTAAATCCGATGTTGTAAGTACATATTGCTCTCTGGGTTCTCGTCCGCTCTCTATAGTGTCAGCGTCCATCATCTTGCGCGCCTTTGTTGACATGGCGTTAGATTCTCTTCTTCACCTGCCACCCTACGTATGGCTTTCTCTCGTCCTTGCTATACCCCTCGCGACGCTTCTCCATGATGTCTGGGTATGGCTCCGAATGCCTCCAGGTCCCATACCTCTTCCGTTCCTCGGCAACAAACTCCAGCTCCCAAAGTCGAAGCCCTGGATCCAGTTTCAAGAATGGTCCAAGACATACGGTTCCATCTTTACGATATGGATTGGTCGCAAGCCTACGATTGTCATATCCGACCCCAATATCGCTGTCGAGCTCATGGAGAAGCGGAGCACAAAGTACTCGTCGCGTCCGCGTATGGTGGCTATGGGCGAGATACTGTGGGATAATGCTAGTATACTGGTACAACCATATGGCAAAGAATGGAGCGTGAGAAGGAAGTTGCTACATCAGGCCTTGACACCCAAGGCGCTGAGGCTGTACAAACCTGTTCAGACGGCTGAGGCATCGCGGCTTTGCCAGCAGCTCCTCGATAGCCCGGCCAACTGGGAGAAACTCCTCGAACGCTTTACTTCCAGCATCGTCTTTTGTGTTGCATACGGACATCGCATCGACTCGCTCAACGCCAACGTCATCCACCAGCGCTTCAAGTTTATGCATGTCGCCGCGTCGCTGAACGTACCCGGGAAGTACCTCGTCGAGTCCTTTCCTGTCCTGAAGCATGTTCCAGATGCCCTGGCGCCCTGGAAGGCGGTCATCAAAGCGCGTGGTCGGGAAGAAGCAGCCGTGAACATGGCCTTGGTTGATGTCGTACGCTCAGATCTTGCGAGAGCAAAGAGCCAAGGTGATGATATCCCCGATTCGCTCTGCAAGCTTCTTCTCGAATTGCGGGAAAAAGAGCATATCCCACTGTCAGATCGTGACTTCTCCTATATCCCAGCATCTCTCTTCGGCGCCGGATCTGACACTACCGCCTCGACCCTCTGCACCGCCTTCCTGGCGTTAGTTACGCATCCCGAGACCCTACACGCTGCCCACCATGAACTAGACACTATCGTCGGCGCCGACCGCAGCCCTACGTTCGAAGACGAGGCGAATCTTCCATATATCCGCGCTCTCGTCAAGGAAGTCCTTCGCTGGCGTCCAGTCGCAGTCCTCGGAGGTACCCCTCATGCATCTACAGAGGACGATCGTTACGAAGGCTACTACATCCCTTCTGGCACTACCGTCCTAGGAAACTCATGGGCTATCAACCTTAATGAGGATTACTACCCCAACCCACACCACTTCAATCCTACACGTTTCCTCGACGAAGCGCTCGCTGAACGCTTCAAAGCACCAACACCACTTACCGGTAAGCCTCATCCAGCGAAAGCAGGACACTCGTCATTTGGCTGGGGACGGCGCATTTGTCCCGGTGCCAATCTCGCGGAGAACAGTTTGTACATTGCGCTGGCGAAGATTCTGTGGGCGTTCGATATCCGGCCCAAGGAAGGCGTGAAGTATGATACGTTTGCCTACACTGAGGGCTTCAACATCCGCCCTCAGAAGTTTGAGTGCGAAATCAAAGTTAGGAGTGAGGCGCACAAACAGGTATTGATGGGGGATCTGAAGGAAGCCGAAAGTGTGTTGGACAAGTTTACACCTTTCCAGGAGTAGTTGAATATACATGATGAAACAATGAATATAGTGGAGAGTAGTCGGGTTGCTTGATTGATGGGATCGTATTTCATCGTAACATCATATCCATCTCTACTTAGGCTACATATCCAGACGTAGCAAAGCGTAAAAAAAAAGTGCCGCGTCGATCGTTCTTTCCCAGAACGATAAAAAATGCATTCCACCCAGTGTATCCCAAACCGAACATCCAAAATCCGGGAGTTCTAAGACCAAAACGCCATCGCCATGCAGATAACCCAAGATGCCGCCAAATTCCAGTGCTGATTTCTTTCTCACTTATCACGCTCCAAACAAAACGGCGACACCAACTGCCAGAACCACAGCCAGTAGGCTTCCTCTCTCCTTGACACCTGCACCCGTACTCTGCACCAGTGCCTCTGTGCTGAGACTCTTCCTCCCCTGCGCACCACTGACGCCGTTTGCGCGATCCACGCTCGCAATCGCGGGTCCGACATTGAAGAAATCCACCATGACAAAACTGGCAGGCTTGCCGTACACAGCCTCGCACTCCTGTATCGACTCGCCTAGGCTACCAAAGCCGGTTTCCGCGTTTGTGACGTTGGCGTAGGTCTCGTTGGGAGATTGGATACCGAAGAGTTGCGTCTCGTACAAGAAGTGGTTTTGCACAAACATGCGACCGGACTCTAGCGCTGTAGACGGGTTTCCAGCGACGGCTTGCGGGCGGGCGGGGTTGCACGAGTAGTTCGAGGGAGAGACGTTTTCGAAGTCGTTTTCGAACATGTAGACGAATTGGTCCATGAGATATGGGTACTCGGGTGACGGGTTCGAGAGACTGGCGACGAAAGACATCAAGCGGGTGTTGTTGCCGATTAGAGTGTCGAGCGTAGGCCATGTTTGCGGTGTGGTGGTCAAATCTGGGGGACTGTAGGCGAGGGTGTCAAGACCTGAGGATGAGAAGACGGGGCCGAGGTCCGCAGGAGAGGCGTTGTCCGAGTTTACGAGGAGGAGGGTTACGACGTCGTTTGTGTTGGCGTCCATCCAGGTTTTTATTTCGCTGAGCCAGCTCTCTAGGGTTCCAGCGTCAAGGAGGTCGCAGCTGCTATGGCAAAGATGCCATGCTGCGTTGCCAGTGCCGTTAGCTTTGTGGACTTGTCCGGAGAGGAGGCGCACGCCGGCATCGAGTTGCGTTGTAGTATTGTAGTAGTGGTTTCCAGAGGTAGAGAACGATGTCTCTTTATTCCGGAGGAATGGAGAATTGTGTGCGCCCAAGTGTGTGATGTTGTTGTATGGGCGGGTGCAAAGATCGGGTGAGTTATTGCAAGCATTTTGTGCGGAGGTGGGTGTGTATAGCAAGGGCAAAAGAGCCGAAGCTTGGAGTATTATGCTTCTTGAAAACATGTTGATGTGTGAGTTGGATGTGTAGGATATTTCTTCTCGTGCAGTCAGCTTAGTAGCCGTTTCCCGTGGTCGTCGTTTTCGTCGTCAAACGGAAGTCGTAAGTCGTATGCCGGAGAAGAATCAAACAGTCTATGCAATATTCCCAAACAATGTCAAAGGAACACCGTCGTTGAATGTTGTAAAACCGTTGGAAAAAGCAAAAATAGTTACTCCAGAACTATCAAGGCCGGGGATCACAGTGCTATTATACTATTACGCAGCAGTCGTCTCAGCCTAGCCACCCAAGCCTGTATACGGTAATCATGAAAACAGCTGATAGCTAGGCGCAGGAAAAAAGTGGCGCGCTACCAACCATCAAACTGCCACAAAGAGTGGAGACTTGCCAGCATTTTACAAACGGTGTTCTCGTACTCACTGCACAGCCCACGAAGCGACGCGGACAAACTGGTGCAAGAGTTTCAGGCCTCGTCAGCCCCCGGCCAACCGAGAGCCGCCGCGACGCAGCCGAAACATGGGTTGCGATGCATTAACTGGCGAGGTCGGCTTCTGGGAAGGCCGTTGCTTGTGGGCCAGACACGGGAATTTTGATGGCATTGGCAGGGCGTTACGCGTCCAGAGGCAGGCAGGCGGGATGGTGATGTCAGGTTATTCGATTTTCGATGGACCCTGGGTTGCTGAGGCGGAGTACGGAAGTAGGTAGGATGATCTATTGTTGGCGTGGCGGCATGCAGCTGGTGGCTTGGCATGTGCCCCTCGGCTGCATTGGCTCCCGATAGCGTCGATCTGTCAGCCCTGTCGCGTTATCGAGTGCTGATGAGAGACGCGATGATGATGATGATGTGTTAGGGGAATATGGGATCTACAGTTGATCAAAAGCAAATAGGAAGCATATAGCAGCTTCGAAGCTCCTATCGCTAGAGGACTGAGCATCACAACAGGATCGCGACTTGCCCGAAAAACGTCAGACCGCTTCCCCAGCCACATCGAAAATCCGTTGGCCGTCCAACCTCATATATACATCCGTCATCATCATCATCCTCTAATACCCACAAAAATCTCTCCAGATTCCACGCGTACAACTCCACACATACACCGCCAATCACCAACCGCACTCACCCCACCAAACGAAGCCACCTCACCATGGTAACCCTCCGCGCTCCATCCTCCCTACCGTCCACCGAACCCTCCCCCTCGCTCGCACCACCCACCCTGTCATGGCTATCAGGTTCCTGGAACGTAACCCACTCGACGCTCCCCATGTGGAAGAAGTCGCGCAACGTGCGCATCACATACACGGCGGTTCCCTCCACGCAGCCCGCGCAGATTGACGACGTAGTCACGTATCAATCTCTGGGCGCTGACAAGATCAAAACAGTGCATGGTGTTGATAAACCCTTTGATGTACCAAACACAGCCCCAGCGACAGACGCAGATGGCGGAGAAGTGGCAAGCCTGGGCTACAACTGGCGTGGCAAGGGATGGTTGGTGATTGCGACGAGCAAGTGGGAGATACTGGGTTATGGCGATGAGGAAGGGACAGGCAATAGCTGGGTCGTAACCTACTTTGCGAAGACACTATTTACGCCTGCGGGTGTGGATTTCTACTCGCGGAAAGGTAGTTTGACGCCACAGACGATAGAGAGTATCAAGGCTGGACTCGCTGGGCTCGGTGGCGATGTCGCGAATTTGGCAGGTGAGGTGTTTGAGGTCAAGATGGACGGGGACAGGAAAGATTGAGTATAAGAAAGATGTTGGAACGATTTGAGGATTCAGCTATATACCCCGGATATGAGGCGTTTGCGCTTGAGTTGCTATGCATACCTTCTACCAACGCCCCGTATCGATGCACGTTCTCCTAGTTTGACCTTGAAAACTTTGCAGGTAGCTACACACCTGTATGCCATGAACCCGAACGACTCGACTTCGCCGAAACCCAATATTTGTTTGAAGACATTCAATCGAGAAGGTTGACGTAGGGGCTTGCAGCGGTTGGATACGACCGCGTAATTTGGTGATGACTATCTGGAACCAGTGGCTCGACATCAAGATCGAGGAGCAAGTGTGTGTTCTTGGAAACAGTCGCCACTTTCTCCGGCGACATCTCGATCAGCTTGCCGCCTGTATTGGAAATGCTAGTCCTAGGTGTAGATGCTCGACGTGCGTAATATTGCGCGTCCTCCTCTTGCAACTTTGCAATAGCTCGCGCATCATCTTCCTGTACACCGCCGCCATTAGCATATACATTCCACTGCACCGTAGTGCAATCTAATAGACCGGGGGGCATCATGCGTAAAGTGGGCGTATACGTATGGATCCCACGTCTGGAGGATCCAGGGCCGGGCAACGTGTCTTCGAGCATCAAGTTCCGCGTGTTTGGCCAGGCTCCACGAAACGATGTCGCCCCGTTTGCTGGTTTCAGAGTCGATTTGATGCCACCACTGCGACGCTCGCACATGTGGCACTTGCACGGATCACAACACTCCGCTGTAGACTGTCAGTGAGGGGGTCTTGCTTGTATATGCATCAAGGCAGTACGTACCAACGCAAGGATGACCACAAGCCTCGAGGCGCCTGGAGCATTTCTGCGTGCAATTGATCCTGTCGTGCTCGAAGGGGTGACCTAGTATACCGAATTAGTATGTGTCTCCTATATAGTTCGTACATCGGTACACTTACATGGGTATGGGCAGCGATGGCCACATGGCAACGATCCTTCGCACTTGATGTCGCAACCACCTTTAATGAGTTCGAAGTCCTCGGGAACTTCGCACCATATCTTCCGTCCATGATTGAAGCATTCAAGCGGGAGATGATAACCTACTCGCCGCTCCTGACCTGTCGTCACCTTGACCTTCTTGTTCCTCCACATAATTTCAACGACCGAAGCCCAAGTACCGCTCTCGCACGCGAGAAGCTCTGCGTTTCCGAAAATGTAGGAGCCTCGTTTAGCTCGGGAAAGGGCAACACAGGCGCGGTTCTCGGAGCTCAGGAAGCCAATAGAATGCTTGTGGTTCGATCGTACCAAAGAGAGCAGGACGATATCGTTCTCTTCGCCTTGGTAACTGTCCACCGTCACGACCTGAATGTCGGGCAATACTCCACGCAAATTCGGATGCACCCTGAGTCTCCGAATGATCTCTTTGCGCTGACCGTTGTAGAAGGTCAATACTGTAATTTTAGTAGCATCAATACCGTTGAGGACTAAGTAGTCCAAGAACTGCACTAGCATCTGTGCTTCCATCGGATTGAATGCCGACATGTTGATATCGCGGGACTCTTGCCACTCATGACAGTAAAAGAAGCTGTTGTTTCCGCCCATGCCTTCAACTGGCGGACGGTTGTCGAGATCCTTTACGCTCTTGTGGTCCTTGAGTGTGTCCTGGTAAATGGGACACAGGAGCCGTCGTATCTCAGGTATCATACGACGTTGCCGGGTAAGCGTATCAAACGCGACATCGTTCCAGACTAGACGTTCGAAGAGTGACAAGTTCAGGAAGTAGGGTTCGTCTTCAAACGCACGCACTTGGGTGTGAGGGCGCAGCTGCTGGTGATCACCGACCAAGATGAGGTGCTCGAGACTCGGGAAACAAGCTGCTGTGACGGGGGCCTCGAGTGTTTCCGCTGCCTCCTCCACAACACAGATTCGTGGCCGGAGGGCGCAAAGTAGAGCGCGATACTTCGCAAGACCAGTTGTGGTGCAGCCGATAATACGTGCTTTGCTGAGAACACGTACGTCTTCTTCCCACATGCCCACCTTGCGCTGCACGACTGCCTCTTGATATAGTTTTGCGATCCTGCGAATCTCGATAACAATCAAATTCTTGGCTTCGCGCTTGAAGTAGTTATAGATTGCACCGCGATCGACAACACGAATCGTCGTCAAATCATCCGTTTTTCGTAATGTATCTTGGATATCAGCATTGCTCAGCGACATTCCTGTGCCTTTCCAGTTGTCGCTCAATTGAGTTACTGGTCCACGTAGAGCTTCTATATCGTCGTCGTCTTGAGCCACTGCTTCTGCCTCGAGCTCCTTGAGTTGTTCGATCTCGAAGTCATCTTCTTCGAATCCCCAGTCAAACTGTTCTGGTCCGATTGGCCGATCACATGGAGCAAGACATCTACCAAGCCACTGCTCCATCAGGATGCCTGGGCTATCGGAAGGTGAGCTTCCCATGGTGCACTGCGATTCCATCTCTAGTGACTCGGCTTGGCTTTGGGTGATCAGTCCAAGACTACGTAAGACTTTATGATCAAGCGGCCCTTTGTTGACTTCCAAGGGCGCTAGCAACATCTGACACTGAGTCGTCAACTTCTTCATCGCGATGGTAGCTTGCACTTTGTGACTGCCAGGCTGCTTTTGTTGTGGTAGATCCGAGCGAACTTCGAACAGTGTTCGTCTCTTGATCTCCTTGTCCTTACTTCTGCCTCCCAAGCGAATGTAGTTGGGCTCAAATTGTGACGTATGTCGGAGCAACTGGTCCAGTGCATGGTTGGTCTGAGCTGTAACAATGATAGGCGCATCTTCTTTGCGCAAGTTGTCGCAGGCAATCTGGAGTGCAACAACAGATACGAACGTCTTTCCCGTTCCTGGAGGGCCTTGTATGATGGCCAATTCGCTTGTCAGCATGCGCTTCAATGCCTTGCTCTGAGAGTTGTCGAGCGAATGCGAGGACATTGTAGGCCAATCTTCCAGCACATTCACATTCTCGTAGTCTGCACTTTCTTCCATACTCACGAGGGAGCTTAGGTTGATGTAGGGGTTGTGTTTGATGTAGGCTGGAGGATCGACCTCTTTCTGGACATGGACCAGGTACTTGGACATCGGAAATGGCTCCCTCATCAAGTGTTGAAGTGCAAGCAGTGTATGTTTGCTTGCTTCGAAAAAGCTGTTTCGACACTCCACCATGATCCACTTGCGCATGGGATCTATCTCCTGGTCTTTGGGACACGCGAAGAAGAGATCAATCTCAGGCGGGTTCTGTTCTAATGCGGAGATAGGGCGAGCGGCAATTATAGCGAGCACACATTGTGTCTGAAAGGCATCATTGGTGGGTGATAAGGCAACAAGGGTGCCAGTGATCAACCTCTTTGACTGCTCCCATCTACATTCGTTAGCGGAAGTTAAAAATGCGCTCGCATTGTAGTTTACTTGATATACTTCTTTACCCGACCGAGCGAGAAGGCGACACGGGTCGCTAGACCTCGTGGTGAAAATACGAGTGACGTGATGTACACTGGATCGTAGATGCCGATGCTTTGGTTGCTATACTCCGCTTCATCCTTGAACGGGTCGGCACGAACCTCGTCAATAGCTTCGCGGAGCGGTCGGACAGCGTCCTCGCGTAGAAGCTCGTACTTGGTTTGCAGATAATCTTCGTTGCCATTGTATGCGCCTTCGGGCCTGTGTGGATGAATACTCTCTTCAACCTCAATAAGCGCCTCGTTGCCTTTCTTGAGGTCGGGTTTTGCGCGCAGGATTTCCGACGGGCTTGGTATCTCTGGCTTATCCAGCCATGCCCCACCAACGACAGGTTTCTGAGCTAATCGAAAGTATTCACGGATATCGTTGTTGGCTCGAAACGGTTCGGGCATGGGAATGTCATCGTCTGGAACAGAGGTGTTTTTGAAGGTGTTGGGAGTCATGCCATGGAACCGCTCCGTGAAATTGGCATTCATTTGGGCATCTATTCTGGTCTTAGTAATGTTCATAATGATGTCTACTGATACGAGCAAAGATGACAACTCTTCAGAGCCAATAGACAAGAGATGTAGAGCTTTTGTTGCTGCAGTGGAACACGCCGTGCTAAATGCGAGACATTAGACAAGACTTGCCTTTATTATCCAGTCTTTCTAGGCTTGCATAAGCATTGTTGGACGGTGGTGCTTGTTGGCCTCTGCGAGAAGCCGCGCTGCCGCGTGCCCACTGGTTGGCCCGGTTTGACCTGTTGCGAGCGCCTCGCGCCATGTTTGTCTCCAGATTGTACCTGAACGAATGGAAGTAGTATGTGCTGAATTAGGTAGTGATATGAGATGACTGGTTACAGAAAGAATTGTTGTTGTGGTTCTCGAAGTGAAGCTCGCATGGTAAGGTGTAAACACGCAGTTACCGGTGAACATGTGAGGAAAGAACGGTCTAGCCACCGCAAACGGTCCACTCAGCCAATCAAGAAAGGTTCGAAGATACAGGAAACTCGATACAAGCATGATCGCGGGATGCAGTAATAAGAACAATCGATCATCGATGCAGACATGATACCATCAACGAGCGGAGGGCTAAAGTTGTACAGTCAGATGGAGAGAAATTAGAGTACATCAAAGAAGAATATGAATACAAACGGAATTATGTTGGAGGCGAAACAACAGAACTCCGAGCTCTCAACAAGACATGACGAGGTGATCATGGCATGCCCCTTTCATCTTACTCATGAACTCGGTATGCTAGCAAACCATTAACCAGTTGCCGTTTGCATGCCATAGTGGTCTTTGCTTACAAAAAAACACGATTAAACCGATAGTTTTTACTCAGAAGTTTGATATTCCTATGAGTAAGCACATGAACCTGAATTTGATATACGATAGCCGTAGTAGAGTGAGTGAGAAGGTAGATCTATGAGACTACTGCGGCACCCACGTGGAAGGACAAGAGAGGAAATGTCGCGTATTGAGAACGAACATCAGGTGAGAACTAACGGAAAAGTGCATAAAGCATGAAGCGGCGGTAGTAGGAAGTGCTGGACAGAATTTCGAGGTTGAGGAGTTGGCAGGTGGAAGTTCGCCTTCTTAGCGTAGCCGTCGCGCGGCAGCCACGACCAGGCGTGGGGATGATTAGTGCAGCCTACGCAGGGCTTCAAGAACTACATGTTTACAATTCTCAGACATCATAGAACAAACAGTAAAATGCGACAATGACATGCGAAAGTCTTACAATATTCTGATGGACTTGTCGCAATATCATAGAGCATACTCACATGCCGCTGCCTGTCCGCCTCCAAGGGCTCCTCCTCTCGTCATCTCTCGTGACAGGGCTCTGATTATTGCGTCGTATGTCTTGCAGAAGAATTTTTGCTTATTGGTTACTACCAGAATGTCTTCGAATCCCATCGCTTGCTGGGGAAATTGCGGTCCAAGGGAGTATGCCCGAACAACGTCATCTTGCATGGGGTGCTGGGCAAGAGATGGAGCGCACCGGGGGGGGCAGCGAGCACGGGAATCAAGTCACAAGCCAAAGATTCTGATACTGCGTGTGAGATATGTACATGTTGAAGGGATATCCACGAGATGAAGTTCAGGGCGAGATAAGAGGATTTGCAATGTGGTACAAGCGGGTCGTCTCGCGCCGTCGCACGCTGTTTGGGCACGAAGATCTGACGAGATTCACCAACTACAGAGTCTCGAGCCTGCCGATCAGGCTGCCCCAGCTGGGTATAAGTTCCATGGTAATAGTGTTCCCGCAGCTGTCGTTCGGTCAGGTAGCGACTCCATGTGGCGCCTGAACTGTACCTGATTCCGACCTTGAATTTGGGTAGGTTTCAGCCTGGGGTTGAGAAGATCCAGGGTTAATCGGCGCGTCTGCATCTGGGGCTGTACTGTAGTAAGACTGACACAAGCAGCCCCAGCATGCCTCGTGGGGATGGTTCTGAACGTGCCCAGTGACACATGACAGAACGACACATGTCCACCGGCCTTTGTAGCCATGTTCACTTTGCAACCAAATCGACCGCGTCAAACTCACCGGCAGTAGGCCTGCAGGCGATTGCTTCTGCGAACTGGGCCAGAGGTGCAGCGGCTTTGGCGGCCATTGGGCAGGAAGGATCCTGGTGATCAGGGTGGGTGGTTTAGTGCAGCGTGAAGGTTACGTCATTGCAAAAGAGCGAGACAGCGCCCGACCTTGGTCCTGCTACCAACCCCACTACTCTCGCCGGGGAGTCAACTGGGCCAGCCTTCTCGATAACGTCAGGCCACGGCACAAGTCCATTCTTCTCTCGACCTTGATAACCCTCCTTCTTTCCTCTTCGTGTACTTGCCCGTGCTCCTTCTTCCACTCTATCCGCTGTCTCTTGAGAGCGGCACGTCACCCCACCACCATCCCCCCGCTGTCGCTCACTTGTCGCTTAACCGCACAAATGTCGCGACGCTACCCAACCGCTGAGCTTTATGAGGAGCGTGAGCGCGATTTCTACCGCGGTGGAAACCGCAGCGAGCGCAACTATGAGGAGCTTGACCTCGAGTTGCGACGCGGCTCAGGCCCTGACCCGCGGCGCAGCGCCCCCGACTTCTTCCGCGAAGACTACAACCGCCCGACTGCCGGGCCCATGGTGCTGAGAGGCCGCGATGAAGACAACTTCTCCAGAGCAGGACCCCGCAGCAGCCGTGGCGGCTTCGACGACGATGTGCGCTCAACTCGAAGCCGTCCCCCACCTCCGCCGTCTGCTATGCGGGGCATGGAGCGGGACGACATCAGCATCCGTCATAGCGAGGCCCCTACACGCCGCGGTCGAGGAGACGACATTGATGAGACCGACATCACAATCAAACGCCGTGAGCAGTCTCGAGGCCCGCCTGAGCGCGATGACATTGTCTTCCGCCGTGGTGACGGTCCCCCAGTAAGGTCCGTCAGCCGACCTGCCCCGCGTCAGGTGGATGACGAAGACGTGCGCTTCCGGGGCCGTGGTGGAAACGACATCGACTTCCACGCTTCTCGCAGCGAAGTCAGCCGCCACGGCAGGGACGTCTCCGCTGAACGAGGCTCCATTCGCTTCCAGGAGCGTGACGGCAACTTTGAGATTCGGGCGAACCGCCGAGAATTCAGCCGCGATGGCAGGGACACAAGCAGGGAGAGGAGCTCTCTGACGATTAGAGGTCGCGAGAGGAGTCTTCCTCCCCCAGCACGCAACCGCGGCGACCTGGTCGCTAGGGAGCGTGAGGAGTTCGTTATCCGCCGTCCACGCGCCGAATCTCCCCCTCAGAACAACCGAGAGATCATACGAGACGAAATCATCATCAGACGCAAGGAGGAGCGAGCACCCACTCCCTCTCCCTCTCCATCCCCGCCTCCTCCACCACCGCCGCCAGCCCCTGAGCCAGAGATCCGTCCTCCGATTATCCAGGAGATCATCACACATCACAGGCACATTGACCATGGTGAGTGGTATCGCTGACAGAACCTAGTATCAATACTGACAGTCGTACAGGTGTCGTCAGGGCGCGTACGCCAACACCGCCTCCCCCTCCTGCCCCGCCGTCTCCTCCCCCACCACTAAACGAAACCCTCGAGATTGAGATCAACCGACGAGAGTGAGTATCCACTACAGATGCCATATAAATAACACATCCTAACCATCCTCCAGGAGCCACAGCCGTGGACGTGGAAGGAGCAACTTCGAGGAGCTCGATATTGATATCAATTTCAACCGCGACCAGGTACGTCACCGCGAGCGGTCGTTTAGTCCCCCAAGGCGTGTGAACACAGCCCCTATGCTCGATTCGGACTTTGATTTGGAAGCCGATTTCTACAATCGCAAAGCACTTGAGCGCGCATATCCCGGTGAAGCTTGGAATGGAGTAACCAAAGACTGGTCCATCATCGACGTGCCACCCGGCACCAGTCGTGTGCGCATGGATGGTATCGGTGGTGCTGCCCAAGAGATCACCTGGCAGCGCTATAATGGCGTTCGCAGATCAAAGTTCATCAGCGGGGACGACGAACATACCACTGACATTTACAACCAGGGATCGGTGAAACAAAAGAAGAAGGACATGTGGACTGAGATCACAAAGGACCTGGTGATCCGTGAAGCCATTGACTCTATGGGCTACTCGTGCGAGGAGACAGACGACTTCTTCTACGTCATGGAATACCTGCGATACGTAAGTTTATGTCGATCTGCGCAATATGCATCTTACTGACCCTCTTCTAGGAGGACGTCTTGCACCTCGTAGAGATTTCCGACGAAATCCGTCGCAAGCGCAAGAGCCGCATTCGGGAAATCGAGATCGAGCGCAAATCAATTCACGACTCTCGCCCAGCGTCATCTTACGACGACCGCTTCTACGAGCACGAAGTATCCTTCGACAGCCGTCGCAGCCGGTACCGTTAGGCCAGGGACGTGAATGAGGATCTTCGTACAGTTTTTATTTGACGCCGGACCTGCGGGTTGGACTCGAGAGCCCATGAGAGAAGTCTTACATCATTATTGAGCCTGCGTCAATCCGCATTGTTCGTCTCGGCGAGCAGATTCTTCGATTCGACCAGCGTGTTTTGGACATGTCTTTGCGTCCCCAACTAACGCTCACGGTCTTCCAGCGCGCTCGTCGGGGAAAGTCTCAACATGACACCAAATGACTCACAAGATCTCTATGACCTGCAACGAGGATACGGCCTGTAGCACTAATGACTATGACGATTATGACTAGCATACCCGGGGGAGTAAGAAAGAGGTGACCTTTGCAGTTTTTCTTTGATGCTTTTTCGGATGTGGGAATCGATCAAAGTGGCGGGTGTTAGGGAGGTACATAATTCCCTTTTCTGCTGTTCCCAATCAAATTCATGAGTTTATTGGCGTTGACCGTGTGACCTCATACATTCAAACTATCGATAAAACCTATTCTGGTGTTCTATGGGGTTGAAGTAAACTGCTTTTAGTGATGGCAGTATGCATGCAGCAAAAGCAAGGGCGCACACGATCAGACCACAAGTTCATTGAAACCCTTGCCCTCTCACCGCACCACCATCGTAATCGCTTCTCTATGACTTCCGAACTCAACATTGCGCGATGTGTTTCCGAGTATTCATCTCTGTCCCCTTGTGTCCTATATACAGCGCGGAAAAATGCACTAGATGCTAAAAATACCAGACGACCAGCCTTCGCCGATTACCCCGCTTGGCACGTCCCCCTTGTCTTTTACGGGCGCTTCCACGACTGTTACACGACACACAAACACGATGAAACCCCTGTCTGCGAGCGCGCCGTCCCTAAGCGCCCACTCCACATGCTCAATCTCACTTGGTCTCGCGCTGCTGACTGGCTCAATGCTCATAGGTACTTGCCAAGATAAGACATTTTAAGCTGGCTTTGCTGCAAGGCGAGTGGTTGGATGCGGTGATGGGGTCGCGTTTTTGGCTGTTTCATGTGAGCGATGGGGTTGGATGTGGTATGGCGTGTGTGAGTGACGTTTGTATGCAGAGTATAAGGTTCCGATGGGAGGCGTTGGGACTAGTTGTTTATGCTGTGATACTTTGAAACTGGAATTGGAGCTGCTGTGTTTTCTTCCTTGGTTATTTTTCTTTGGTTTGCTTCGAACTGAAAGTGTCCTGTTGCCGATCTTCACGCGCTTTTGAGGGTTGCTAAGTACTGAAGTATGTTTGCGATGATGGATGTGAGGCAGAAGGTTGGTGTAATGCTTGCGCTATTAGCATGTAAGTTGCCCTCTTGGTGGCTTTTAGCTGCGTAAAACTGCGAGTCTGTCGATGTGCGTTACTAACTTGTCTCGCAGTCTTTCCAGCGCTCATATCATGTCAAAACACGACAACGAACATCACCACCGCATCGACCTTTTACCTTGATCGAACGGAAACCCAGTTCTCAGTCAACATCGCAGATGATTCGGACGACGTCTTCATCTACTATGCCAGTCCAGCGTATTCGTGGGTTGGCGTCGGTTTCGGAGAGAAGATGGAAGGAAGCCTGATGTTTATCATGTACCCCAATGCGAAGAGCGATAGTACGTGCTACCCCACATTCAGGTCAAGTCAACTTGCAAGATTAGTATTAACAAATACCAGACGTAACAATATCCCCGCGCATCGGCTCCAAAACTTCAGAACCAACCTTCAACTCCTCGATCTCCTTGACTGTCCTCCCAGGAACTAGGATCGACGACGATATGCTCATCTTGAGAGCGCGCTGTGGTAACTGCCGCTCCTTCATTGAAACTGAGGCGACAGTTCACCCTATGATCTACGCCTTTGGTCACGGACAAAACCTGCAATCCAACTCGCCTTCTGCAAACCTCAAACGCCACATCCGCTATGGTCACTTCACCATGGACATGGCAACAGCAACTGGACCAGGTGAAGTACCTGTAAAGAGTAGTGCACTTAATGGCGTAAGCATGGTAGGCGAAATGACAAGAGACCATGACCGAGCGAATCTTGCACATGCCGTAATGGGATGTCTAGCGCTCTTCGTACTCTGGCCACTCAACGTGCTCATCGTATGTCTCTTCAAGAACATCAAGATACACGTTATATTCAGCGTATTCATCATGGTCTTCCTGATCGTGAGCTACGTACTGGGAGGAATCACCAGTGCGCAATATAACCGCGTAAGATCCTTCCCCTCTCACATCAGCATCTCCATACTAACACATTTTTCAAGTCAAAAGCCTTCAATACACCCCACCAAATTATCGCGTTTATATGTCTTCTCCCTCTTCTCCTCACCAGCGTCCTCCCCTCGCTAAAACCCTACCTTCCCCGCCTCCAAAAGGCTGTCCACGCACCCCTCGTCTCAATTTCCCTGGTTCTACTCATCCTAACCGGCGGTCTGGGTCTCCATCTTTCAGGCCAAACCCGACCGATTATCCTCGTCTACACTGCCATATCTATCGCCGTCTTCCTCTTCATCTTCATCCTGCAGTCGTGTATTCGGAAACGTGGGTCCGCGTATTCGCGCGCCGCGAAAAGGCAAAATCGCGGTTCGGGAGAAGAGAGCGATGAGATGGTCATGCTGGGTAAGATGGATGAGGCGCCTGTGTATGGGAATATGCCATATGCGTATGGTGCGGGACAGAGTGGGAGTGGAGAGTTTAGTGCTGATGGGCAGACACCACCACAGCAGCAGCACATGAGGAGTCAAAGTCGCACGCATTATGGAGGTGGTTCGATGCCAGGTCCGCAGTATTTGCTTAATATGCATCCGGGGGTGCCGGTGCAGGTTAGTCGGATGTGAGTATAGAAACTTCTGGGGCTCATGATATTATGGTTAGCATGGCGTTTGGGTAGGCCACAATGTTTGGGCTTTTGTACAACTGATCTTTGTTGTTTTGGGACGTTTATGGAGCGAGAGATACCATGGAGCGTTTCTTGGGCATTTTTTTTTGGCGTTGAATTACCTGGCTCTTTAAACATTCGAAATGGTTTTATCATCGACATGTTTTTTGTTTGTTTCTATATGCCATTCGAAACCTTCTAATCGCCACAAGCAGACTGAATGTTATATTAGGAAAAAGGCTTCTTACACTTTGGACCTCAACGCTCAACGTCCTCCACAATAGCCCAGCCAGGGATTTTCTTGCGAAGATAAATCCACTCTCCGTCATCTGCCTTGCCAACAGATTGGACACCTATGCGTTTCTGGTCGACGCTGACCTCGCCAAAGACAACAGGAACGATAGGATAACCTGCGAGGCGAAAGTACTGCGACTTGGACCCTGTGAGCCGTCTGATAATGATACTAGGCCAGCAGTTCTCAAGCTTCGGATCTTCAAAGCAGCATTCGAGCACAGCCAAGAAAAGCTCATGCCTAAGTGGTAATGTATGCCAGGAAACATTGAGAGTTACAAGGGGTTTTCGGATGCGCAGCTTGATTTTGACGCCCCGATTTGTACACGAGAAATCCTCTTCTAGCCTATCCTTGTCGTCGAGTCTACGGTTGCCTATTCCACTTGAAGCCACGAATTGCCTAGGGTGGCTTGCGAATATCGATCTGGGCATCCCAGGAAAAGGGGAAGAGCGTTCGTCCCAGGCGAAAAGGCTGTGGTCTGCGGAATCCTTCATGATTTCTTCCTGAAGCCGGACGAAAGCCTTATCCCCTTCACCATACAACAATGGCATATTGACGTCAAATATGCCCATGAGAGAATACGCCATATCCTCTGTTCGTGTCGTCGTGCGTTGAGCCATCCAGCTCATTCGCTTTGCGATGCTTTCGTCTGATATGCGAATGTTACCCGAAAGCACACTTGCGCTGATACCAGTGATGTGTTCCAGTCTCGAGCCCAATAACATCTTCTCGCCGAAAGGTCTCCATTCTTTTCCGTAGAATATAACACGCTTTGGAGCTATCAGTTCTTGTAATGTCCATCCACGGGTGAACCATCGCGACCTGGCCAAGTCGTCTTTGTCGTGCTCGCATGAGGGAACTTTGTTGTACTCGTATACGGAGTCTACGTACACATCATCGAGATAGGCATAGCAGACTCTTGCTTTGCGATACCATCGAAACATGCTGTTGATTGCTTCACTTAGCTCAGCGGAAGACGACTTGTCGATACAGCAAGTATCCACCCAGACATAGTCGAGACCGTCCTCGAGGGCTTGTTGACATGCTTTTCTGATCTTCCAGTAGCCACCTTCCGTAGGGTAGTTAGCCATTAGTGACCGGTCCGCGAACTGCTGCAAAGTAACTTCGTCCGCGCCCCAAGTGTGGGACAGAATGGCATATGGCGGTATCTTAGATTCGTCCATAAAGCTACATAGCTCAAATTGAGTGGCATGGATGAGTCGCATCGTTTCTGTCAGCGCTGCGAGCCTAGATGATAGCACTAGTCACGAGTACTGTCTCTTTCGTGGTGAGGTTGTGATGATTGTTCGAGGCTGATGCTGCCTAGCGAGCTTTATTGAGGGGGTCCTGGACGCCCATTGTGGCTCTGCTTACACCCGTCACTGCACGCCTTAAAGTATCAACATTGCCATCGTACACTGGAGATGAAGTTGTCAACTTCAGAAAATGCCGCATGCAACGTCCTGCTCTGTGCATAGATGACTGAAGATGACTGTCGGAGAAGCTCTGGTAAAGTATCATCTGAGGCGCACAGAAAGCCGCCTACACATCGCAGGGTTCGTCGCAGCGTGAGTTTTTGCAGCCGGAAGAACACTCTGCCAATTAGTTAACCCCATTGGTCGATTTATGTAGTTCAACGAACGTTTCGCGACGTACGTGCGACACATTGACAGCTAAAGTTCAGGGTCCGGCCCATTCACGTGACAGATGACGCGGCGGCAATCGTAATGCACGAGCAGCTGAGGCAGCGCCTTCCTTTGTTTCGTGTGCCTCAATACCTTCTGTCTGCAACATCTTGTTATTGTTCCCCCTTTTGATTTTCTTCCTGAACACATCCTACAATGTCTCCTAGCAAGTTGGGCGTATTCGCCCATTTGGCGCTGGCCGCCAGCGCCGTGCTCATCCCTTCTACCATGACAACTGCGGAAGAGCTCGGAGACGACCATGCTTTTGAATCTCTCGCCATCAACCCTAGCCAGCGATCCGTCGCATTGGAATGTCCTGGATGCGCCCTTGCGACGTTGGATGGAGAAACTCTCAAATGGAAGGCGGACGCTGGAAACGCTTTCGTAAGTAGTCGGCTATATACAGTACAGCCTTGCATGCTAATAGTCAACAGCGCCTGGACTTTGATGTCGGATCTCACGGAAACGCTCTGAATCTCGACAACTCTCAACTATACCCGCCATCTTTCGGCTTCCCTTCTGAGCCCTACCATGTCACCCAAGTTGACCCTACCTCAGGAGATGGTCTGCGCCTACGCATCACCAGCTACGAGTTTCGCTACGATGGTGCGGAGACTATCTCAGAGGAGGGCACCGAGCTCCTGCCGATGACCTTCCAAATCACCTCAGTCGAAGGCACCGCTGTTAATCCTCCTGCGCTCCAGATCAACGTGCTGAAGGATTCAGAAGGTCGCCTCATGATCGCGTCTTTCGACGAGGCTCAGTCTAGCCCGGCTACACCAACGGAGAAGGAGTGCAACGAGTGGCCGCTTTACTGCAAGTGGAAGAGCATCATGGCAGACCGCATCGAACAGATCAAGCATATGCGCAAGCCCCGCCCCGGCTGCCACAAGCGACCCCACCCTGGTGCTCGTCCCAACAACCCTATGGAGCATGAGACCATGGCTGGCAAGCCTCCGCACCGCTTCCACCCTGGCAAGCCTCACCCGCACCACGGTCCTCATCACATGGGTCACCACGGCCATCATGGCCACCACCACCGCTTCTCCATGTTCGTTCGCCGCACCTTCTTCACCATCTTCGTCCCCATTCTCATCGGTATTTTCGCTGGTACCCTTACCTATCTTGTTGGCATGGCCCTCGGATGCCTCATCGCTATTACGGTTGCCAAGGTCCGTGGCCAGCGCTACCAGCCGATTGCTCTTGATGAGGAGGATGTTGAAGAGGCGGAAGAGCATGGAGAGAAGGAGGAGTGCGCCGAGCTTCCCGCATACGATGCCCCTCCCGTCTACGAGGAGGCTACCGTTGAGGAGGCTGCTGCCAAGGAGACTGATGAGACAAAGTAAGATGTGCTATAGCCTTGGATAACAGTATAAGTGGCGAGTGGATATGGCCATGTCACTCCTTGGACTCGACGAACAGATTGCAAGATGACCCTCGTTTATAGTCCGTATTGATTAGTTAGCTTGCACAATGATTTTTTGTTGTATATTCGACGCTAAGGGCATAGGTCTATCTTCGAAGTGGCATTCACTACTATCTCTATTGATGAATTTCTAATCTGGGTCTGTAGGACTACATGCTTGCTTTGTCACTTTGCTTTTTTCGATCCAAGTGAACGTCTGGGTAGAGCAAAATTATAGCATGAAAGTCAAGTATGGGTAGACTCATTCTAAACACCGTTGTTGACACATTCTACTGAAAGCCTCGTATCGAAAGCATCCCCAGGTGGCAGTGCTGAGAACGTGAGTCATACATTCGTATATGAAAGCATGAGTGGTAGCAGCCAGCAGTCGCGTCCAAGGAGCAGTGTGGTATGACGGCTCAATGATGGCTTAGTGTGAACATGGCTGTATGTTTTTATCTGCCTCGTTTTAATAATGTATCCAGTGTGATCATTGTAGGAACTGTGCGTCGGTAAGTAGCTGTAGGGGTGTGTTGAAGAGGTTGGTCAAGCTGTGACATGGCGGTGACAGCTTGGAGTCGGAGTTTTGTCGATGAGTGAATAGTAAATTGAATGTCCAAAACTTGGAATCTGAAACTAGATGCGACGAGCCCATGGGTTCTCTTCGACATAGAACGCGTCCTTGTAGCTTGCAGGTGGCTGGTGTACGGTGAACGCGTCGTGAAAGTGGACGAGGATCGCGCCAATCATGCTACTGCACGCGCAAAGCAGTATGTGGTGTCAAAAGAGTCGATGTAAATGTCGAAATGCCGTTTAATCCTTCTCGGGAGACTTCAGCACCTTCTAGCCGCATGCAGTGGGATTGTCACAAAGTCGATGTTGGTGTTGTAGTCGCGTCGGCAATGCGCGATTGAAGTTCGCGCACGGGCCCACGCCCGACAGTTGCAGCAACCCAGGCAGGCGCGCCTGCAAGCTCAGTGCTCATTTCGAAGTGCTGCTTTCCACGCTTTTGATTTTCCCCCCAAATGTGAAGGCGCAAGGTCTTTGATTTCATGTTCTCGCTCGCCCCACCTGGGCTTAGCGCCACTTCGTGTGATCTGGAGGCAGCCGCGCCCGCCTCCCTTCGTCTATATAACCGGCCCGCCCGCGTCTTTGGAGTTTTCTCTTTCTTCTCTTTTCGCAACCTCCAGCTTTTATCTCCATCCAACTACTGACGCTGCATCAACGCGTCTATCACCAATACCCATCACCTCATCTCCACTAACTTTCTAGCAATATGACTGGACGTAAGTACATGTTTATTCTTTCTTCATCAACTTCGCGTCGACGTTGCTGTTGTGGTTGTCGCTGCCGCGGCTGCAGATGGCGGTGAGGCGCGCTTGGTGTTGAGGCTCAACGCGTCGCCCCACTAATGCACCGCGCATCACGACAACGCCTAGCACTCATACATCTTCATGATGCCGTCGCTATACCTATCATCAACATAAGGCAGCATGCTAACATACCTCTCCAGGCGGCAAAGGTGGCAAGGGTCTCGGCAAGGGTGGCGCCAAGCGTCACCGCAAGATTCTTCGTGACAACATCCAGGGTATCACTAAGCCTGCTATTCGACGTCTCGCTCGTCGTGGTGGTGTCAAGCGTATTTCAGCCAGTAAGCATTTTCAACCTCGTCGCCATGCCAGACATGTCCTAACATTGCCGCAGTGATCTACGAAGAGACCCGTGGTGTCCTCAAGACTTTCCTTGAGAGCGTAATCCGTGACGCCGTCACCTACACTGAGCACGCCAAGCGCAAGACCGTTACCTCCCTCGACGTCGTCTACGCCCTCAAGCGCCAGGGCCGTACCCTCTACGGTTTCGGTGGTTAAACTTCTCATCTTCTCATCACGACACATCGGCGCCCGACAACGACGACTTCTTGAGGATTCTTGTTCGAAGGCAGTCCGCATGGTCACACATTGTTTATGGATATGATCTGGTCACGGCTATCGGTCTTCACGGCGTTATGTTCATGGGTGGGTTGGAAATGATCAATATGAAGCTTCGATCTTCATTGGGCTAGTTTAGTCAATGCATACATATTCATGCACGTCGCTACCATCAACTCGTGCTATGAAGCTGACTTACGTTATCCACCTTCCTACCGCCTGCTCTACTTCCTCACAGCTTCCTGTCACCCCAAATAGCCCTCCTTCAACCTTGATACTTTCCAAACTCCACTTCTTCAACTCTTCACTAACACTTTCCACCCCATCCTCCACAACCAACACATCATACCCCCTATCACTAGCCTCTCTTACCGTGCTACTCACACACGCATCCGCCGTGACCCCGCAAACGACCAAATTTCTGACTCCCTTCGCTCTCAATGCAATATCAAGCTCGGTATGCGTAAAGGCACCCCGACCAGGCTTGTCAACGACCAACTCTCCCTCCATAGGCTTCAGCTCCTCAACGATTCCATGCCCTTCTTGACCCCGTATCAGAAGACGACCCAACGGACCCTGACTCCCTATCTCCGCGCCATTGACTCGACTGCGATGCGCTTCTCTACTACTCACTGTTGCTAGCGAGATATCGTGGCCTTCCCGTGTGTGTATAACGGGGAAGCCTGCGCGTCGGAACGTGGATAGCAGGGAAGTAATGCGTGGGATCAAGGGTGTGAACCGTGTTAGGGAGTACCCTTGTGACGAAAGGTAACCGCCTGGGGAGAGGAAGTCGCGTTGCATGTCTATGATCAGGAGAGCGGTTGTTGTGGGGTGTAAGGAAGAATTGTGTGGCCAGGCGTAAGGGGTCGTGGTGAGGATTTGAGATGTCATTTCATAGCAGTACCGATTCGATATCATATTGGGAGGATGTTCTACGATGTATATCGCAAGGTGTTTGGGTAGCGGACGTGTCGACGTCCATATTTTTTGGCGCATACATCGCCTCTTCAAGTGATATTAGCATGGCTTCTCCGCGCGACTGTCCATTACGTTCATGTACATAGTAATTCTTGAATTGCCATGGGCATGCATGATCCTATCGCGTCTGGTCGTGGTATCCGCTATCGGGATCGGCAGGTACGCACCCCACTCCTTTCATTCTTGCTCCAACTCTCTTACCATCATCGCGCCACAACACGTTCATACAAAAACGAGCCTTCATGCCAGTATTCAGATATCAGATGAAAGAGACACCGAAAACTTGGAGCCGCAAGCTTTAATAACCATTACCCCTTTACTTATCACATCCCATGCACCCCACTTCTAACCTGCACCCCGGTTTCCCTTGATACCGCTTCCGCTTTCTATCTCAACCAATCCACTTCACACGCTCGATACGCGATAAGACATGTAAGAGGTGCATGACTGCTTCCCGAAGTGGAGGCACTACTTGGGGCAAATGGCCGTTATCTGGATGACGCAGGGCTCGGCCGTCGACGGCGCCCTGTCGTTGAATGGCTGGAGGAAAGATAGGTGGACGCGATACCGGTAGAGGTATATCTAAACGGCAGGGTGACACCGTGATCAAGCTCTTTCTATGGTGCTTGGCCTGCTTGTATGTTTATAAGTATTTTTGCATCTTCTTCGTGTTAGTTTTGTGAGCATCAAACTGGTAGAAATGGCCACCAGCCCGGAAGAGAAGAAGGTCTTCGATGAGATCAACAGCGACGATGATGTGCTCGCACAGCTGGGGTATACCCAAGGTGAAATTCATGGCACGTCGACCCCAATCATATACTGACGTGGTTCACAGAGCTCAAGCGCAGTTTCAGTCTACTTGGGATGGTTGGCTTCTCGTTCAGTATTGTTACTTCGTGGACTGCACTTTCCGGTGTCCTCATTATTGGTGTTGAGAGTGGAGGTCCACCGGTCATGATATGGGGCTGGCTATGTGTCTGCCTAGTCACACTTGCAGTCGCCTATTCAATGGCTGAGATGTGTAGCGCGTATGGACAATATCTCCTAACTACATCGACTAGCTGACCCTTCCAAGGTATCCTGTTGCTGGGGGACAATACTCATGGGTGGCTATACTAGCTCCAACGCGCTGGGCTCGTTCAATGAGCTATCTATGTGGATGGTGAGTATCTTGATCACACATCAGTTTTCAACAACATACTAACGTGAACAGGTTCATGCTCATTGGCATAATATGCATGGGCGCAGTCAACAATTTTGTCGCTACAAACTTCATCTTGGGTGTCGCTCAGCTCAACTATGGCTTTACGATAGAACGCTGGCACACGGTCCTTGTCGCCTACCTCATCACTTTCGTCGCGGCGGCGTCGAACATTTATCTGCCCCACATTCTCAACAAACTTTCGAAAGCGATCTTCGTCTGGAACCTTACGTCTTTCGTAGTCTGTCTTATCACCATCCTAGTTACAAACGACCATAAGCAATCAGCAAGCTACGTATTCAGCGACTTCCAGAACTTTACTGGATGGAATGCGCCATATGCTACATGCTTAGGTTTACTCCAGTCCGCATTCGGAATGTGTTGTTACGATGCGCCTTCGCATATGACCGAGGAAATCAAGAACGCCCGGAAACAAGCGCCTCGGGCGATAGTCATGTCGGTTTATATTGGATTTTTTACAGGTTTTGTCTGGCTGGTTGCATTGTGCTTTTGCATTGGCGATCTCGAAGCAACGGGTGCTACTGCGACTGGAGTACCTGTCATTGAAATCATCTTCAACAGCACTTCGAGCGTGGCAGGAACATCTACACTGGCGTCTATGATCGCCATCATTGCTACTGTATGCGCCAACTCGCTGATGGCAGAAGGATCGAGAGCTGTTTATGCGTTTGCACGAGACAACGGACTTCCCTTCTCTGACATACTGAGCAAGATTTCGACAAGATCGGTGCCCGTATATGCCATACTCTTGACGGCCATTATACAAATGGCGTTCAACTCAATCTACTTTGGTACAACGACCGGCTTCAATACCATCATCGCCATCGCCACGCAAGGATTTTATCTATCCTACTTGATGCCCCTCCTCTCTCGCATCCTCGCCCACTTCTCCGGAAAAAAGACTCGTCTCGAAGGCCCCTACTCTCTTGGCCGTTGGGGTATCGTGCTCAACATTATCGGTTTCTTGTACTTGGCATTCATCTGTGTCGTGTCCAACCTGCCCAGTGTCACACCTGTGACGAGCGAGAACATGAACTATACTTCTGCGGCGACGGGGGTGGTCATGTTGATCAGCTTGATTTTCTGGATCATGACAGGGAGAAAGAAGTTTACTGGACCCGACGATGGGACATTGCTGAGCGTGGATGGGCATGTTGCTTAGACTTTGGAAACCGTGGTACTACAGCATTCTAGCTCTACAATGAGACTGGTGGGAAGACATATACATTTAGATTCTTCATACCTAATTTTGATTACTGTGATCCCCACTACTTCTCCCGAGTGAGCCTCAGGGTATGCCACATATGCAGAGCGTGAGGGCTCAGTCTCGCTACCGCATTGCGGTTAGCTCAGGGTCCACACGCACCTGCATCCGGCACCGTTTGATGTCGAGGATCCGATTCTATCTAATCACCTAAACACCGATACTAACATGAAGCATCATGAGCCTTTCTTTTGATGCTATTTAGGTGTCTCAGAAAGCCCATGCCCCGCACAATTCACGATTATATCCCGGCAACCAAGTCTCACATCACAGAGGGGCAGTCACACGATGACCAAAAGCAAAAATGTTCGTGAACGCGAAAGATAGAAGTGCCTTCACGACTTGTCAAAACAAGGTTTCCGCATAAACAACCCAGTCGAATGGCGGACACTCCGGAAGTCGGCAAGAAATCAGATCGCACGAGCTCGCACAGTACGGCTATGGACATATCCCTGGACCATGGCTCCAGTAGGCTGCTACAAAAGTCAGTATCCGAAAGCCAGTCTTCTCGGTCTACCCCAGAATTTCTCCAAAGAATTTTCTATGAAGCTTTCGATATGACGGAGCTAAGCGACATCGTCAAGCAACCGGGAAAGACAGGGGAAGAACTGGCTGCTCTAACCAAAGTGATAGAGCACAAGCTGAGACACCGATGAGAGAAAATACTGGGTACACGCATGTCGCAGTTTGAGAGCGACTCCATCACGATGCTACAGCGGCGCATTGGCGACTCCTGCTGTGTGTCGTATTGATACAGACAGACATGGAGTATGTGGGGAAGCTATGGAAGAAAGATCTCGATGAGCGGCTCGAGTGACAGTTCTCGGCACCGTTCAAGTCGCTCAAAGATCCTAAAGCGGGTAACAGGAGAGGATGCATGAATCAAAAGGTAGGAACAGCACGCATTCCGAATTGATTGAAAGGAATAGTGCTCAAAGCGACGAAGATAGTGTTTGCTGACGACTAGGAGCTTGAGATAGTTCGACCGGAAATGGAAGAGTCAGCCCGAGGACTATATCCTGCCATGATGTCTATGAGAATTACTGTGTTTCTCAGTGTAGCCATTGAGCCCCATACACCAGGTGAAAGGAACTTCCGTCTTCACCTTCACCAGAGGGGAGCGGCTCTTTCCAAGGTACAGTAGCGAAAAACCCATATTGCATGAGCTATTCAACAATAACGCCTGATTGTCAATCGTCGTGTGGGTGAACAGTTTGTCCTGAGGCTTTGCTCTTGTCTCTCTTTCTCTCTTCAAATCCCATACTCGCATCTGCATCTTCTCCACTCCGATCCAAGCACAAAACCATCTTCAAAAATGCCTCCAAAGATGATCTTTGGCGCTGGCGCCAAGTTTCATATTTTTGGCATTGAAAGACCTTACAACACTTTACCCGCTGAGCGGCCGACGTCTGGCGCTGGCGCCAAAATGACTTTGAGCAAGGAAGTCTTCCAGTCCGGCGCAGGGCCGGAGGCTGGGGACGGGGCTAGTGCCGGAAGCGGTGACTTGGCGTTTGCGACAACAAAGCAAGTACCCACGCTTAAAGAGTCTGAGTTGTCGCGACAGGTGGAGCAGGTGAGCAACAACATGTCCGAGAGGGGAGAAACTGCGAGTAACCAGCTAGAGCAGGCTCTTAAACAGCGCGACGCTCTCCAGCAGCAACTCAACGAAGAATACGACCGAGCAGGGAATCTCGAGCTACAGTGCGACAAACTCAAGGACCAACTCGCCTACTGCAAGAACGAGCTCGCCAATTCCCAGCGCATACAAAACGACACGGAATACACGCTTAAGCAGAGCGAGTCGACACTCGCGGAAGAGCAGAGCACGACCAAAACTCTCGAGGCGCGCATCGCCAAGCTTGAGAAAGATGTTGCGCTCAACGAGGCTGCTGTCAAAGACAAAGCAAAGCAAATCGACAACTTGACTGCCGATTGCCAACAAGTTTACCAGACTCTCGACATCGTTGCCCGCGAGCGCGATGAGGTTCGCATCGATCTTCGAAATAAAGAATTGGAGTTCGACGACCTGAAGGATCAATGGCAATCGGATACGGAGCGGATTGCGGAGCTAGAGGAGACCATAAAGGAGCACGAGGATTCCAACCTAGTCGCCGAGCTTGAGAACGACATCGCCGGACTCAACGACAAACAGGAGCAGTTCTTTAGGACTCTCCTCGTCAAAGATGAGCGCATCAGTCACCTCGAGGCGATGCTTCAAAAAGAGAAAGAACGCAACCTCCACAACGCCGACGAGAATGCTCGAGCTGCCGCTGCCTCCCCTGTCGACGATCAAAGGCATATTGGCAGCATGGGAGGCACACTCGAAGACGAATTCTCTATGCTCGATGAGGATGACTTTATGGAATACGAACCTGAACTGGGGACTTTGTCTGCCGTTCACGTAGCTGCCAGTGTTAAACCTGTTGCTGCGCGTGTTCCTCCGAGTACAATCAAGATAAGCCAGGCCGCCAGCGTCGAACCTCGCAAGGCAGCTCCAGCACCACCGTCCACCATCGTCGTCTATAATGCTGCCAGTACCGAGCCTGCGGCCGTGGAGGTGCCTAAACACGCCATCGCTGTGCGCGATGCTGCCAGCGTCGAACCTCGCGATCCAGCGCCAGCACCACCGTCCACCATCTACTTCAACGAGCCCGTCAGCACGGCGCCTGAGGCTGCGAGGGTGCCCGTACAAACAATGGAGTTCTTCAAGGCCTTGAGCACTTCGCCTATTCAGCCCACCCGTGTTCGACTCTCCTTCCACGACGTGCACGATATCGCCAGCTTTGCGCCCGAGCAGCCTGCTGATGCGCCTTTGGCCTATTACACTCAGAAGGTGGCTAGCACTGCGCCCGTCGAGCCCGCCCGCCCTCCTCTCTCCTTCCACGACGTGCACGATATCGCTAGCTATGCGCCTATACAACCTGTTGGTGTGCTTTTGGCTATACACGAGCGGAAGGCAGTCAGCACTGAGCCTATCGAGCCTGCTCGCGCTTCGCTCTCTTTCGACGACGTGCACAACATCGCTAGCTTTGCGCCTGAACAACCTGTTGGTGCGCCTTTAGCTATACACGAGCAGGAGGCAGTTAGCACTAAGCCCGTCGAGCCCGCTCGCGCTCCTCTCTCTATTAATGATGTACTTTACATCGCTAGCTATGCGCCTAAACAGCCTGCTGGTGCGCTTTTGGCTGTGCACGAGCAGGAGGCAGTCAGCACTGAGCCTATCGAGCCTGCTCGCGCTCTTCTATCCATCAACGATGTACACGATATCGCCAGCTATGCGCCTATACAACCTGTTGGTGCGCTTTTAGCTATACATGAGCGGGAGGCAGTTAGCACTGAGCCTATCGAGCCCACTCGCGCTTCGCTCTGTTTCGACGACGTGCACAACATCGCAAGCTTTGCGCCAGAGCAGCCCACGCCTGTTGCCTCCACCATCGTTAGACATGAGATCGCCAACTTTGCGCCGAAAGAGCCTAGTCTTCCAGTGCTCACCGTGAACATGATTGAGGCTGCTAGCACGCGTCCCGTTGCGCGCCAAGTCACCACCGCCGAGCTTCCTACCCAAACCGATGCGCCTGCTGCCACAACCAACCTCTCCACCCAGACCGACGCGCCTACAACTACCACCGATCTCTCTATGCAGACTGACCCGCCTGCGCTCACGAGCCAACTTCTTCCCCAAGCGAATCTCGAAACGACTCCAATCGAGCCGAGCACTCAGACTGCGACCATGAAGCCTAACAACCGCCTCGCTCCCATCAAGGTTACTCGCGAAATCATACCTGTTGCCGAACAATGCGAGACCTCCAACACACTTCCAGTCATGGCTACCTCCTCCAAGAAGGCCGGGTTCACAGGCTGGATTCCCATGTTGTTTGCCGTTATGATCGCGATTTACGCACTCGTCCTCAAAGCCGAGCTGGCTGCCTGGGAGAATGCGAACGGCGTCGGTTTCGGTGGTGGGCACGGTAACATGGCTAGTCGAAGTGGCGCTTATGGCAACGGTCGTTACCTCTTCGGCGCCATCCCCATCGGCATGGACATTGGCAATTCGTGGGTTTCTGAGCAGATTGCGCGACACATGTCTGCCGCCATTTCACTCATCGAAGATTGGGCTGGCATTGCCAATGAACCTATGTACTGAGCCTGCCGGTTACTACGCGCACTCTCTACAACAACTTACTCTCACGACATACACCGACGATACTAGTAAACGCACCTCGAATCTCGTCTGGCCTTCAGTATCTCCTGACGGCATCTACGACGTTACAGAAGTATCGTGTCTCGACACTCTACGATCGATTCGAACTTTTCAGCAGTATTCACGACGACGTCTACTCTACTGCTTCCCCTATTTAATTGCTTCACGAAATTGCATGACCCGGAACAAAATACCCATTTCTTCTTTTCTCATGATACCTATGCTGGCACACACGGCATCTACAACGGCGTTTTGTTTAGGCTCCAGCCTGTCGTTTCAGCGAGATGGTCAGCTTATACCCCCAGATACCCCCCCTTGATTTTTACTTCTTAATGTGAGCCGCAAACGGCGAGCGACGACGGACATGTAACTTGCTGATACGCATCATGAACTGTTTACCAAATCTGCCGAGGACTTGGATGAGCTGTCGGCAGTTAGCGTCGAGACGAGAGATACGATACGATTACGACTTCAGATAGCACGTTAGACTTTACTATGATGATTCTTCACGCCTGACGGGAACATGCAATCTGACTGTTACGTGAAGCCTGATTACGCGTCTTGAATGTCTTGAGTATACAAGCCCTCCGCGAGTCTTTACTGGAGGACGATTGTCATGATGTAGTGATTTGGGAATGAAGCCCGAGGCTGGGGGGAGGACACCGTTGCTGGTCTATCCATTAGAGCCCAATGTCACGGCAGTGTATCAGGCAGTGTGTTATAGCGTTCGGATGAGCCTTAGGGTATTCGTAAGCGGTCACCTGAACAGAGTGAGATCGTCGTCAACCCAAAGGTATGGTGGCGGTGTCGCGGAAAACGCGTGAAGACGTAGTTGTATAGATATTGACTTGATATGGATATGGTAGCTGTACTATACTACATGGCCACTACTATACCTACCGCCACCATTAATGTAACAGGTAAAAGTCGACCGAGGCGCATTCAATGCGTCGAAAAAAAGGTACATATAACTACCCCCACGCGCTCATATCTTGGAGAGCAGTTCCTGGGAGCATTCGGGCCGCTCGCGACAACAGCGGAAGCATCAGCGCCCAAGGTCAATGTCGATTGCACGGCCAAGCAGCGGCAGAATGCATCCTTAGGTCCGAGGTGGCCGGACTGGGATGCTCTGTCGATGTTGGTGATGATGATGAAGTAGTTGCTGTATGAAGCTGTGAGGTATGGTAGCCCATATGGCTGGGATGCCATGATAGCATCGGGGTTCGACAGGTGGGTCGGGCACCCTGACGGGTGCGGATGCAACGGAGAAGAAAAGACGGTGCGGGTACCTGGTTCCACATGGGAATGTCAACAAGCGAAAGGAAACGTTGAGATGAAACTCGTTGTGAAGGGCGCTCGAAGCGGAATGACGATGGGCTGCACGCCGTAGCACCAGAAAGCTGTGATGGTGTCGACGTCGGGCTGCCACCTATTCCAAAGCTCCTTCTCTTTTCGTCTCGAGTGAGTTCTCGACCACGACAACAAACGCCGCCAGCTTTAAAGTTTAATCTGACAGCAGCTTGTGGAAACGACAGAGACGGTTGACAGTATTGAAGATATAAAGTTGCATCGCGTTGAGCATTGCAGCATCGGGTTTGTCCTGGCTTGGGCAGCACGACAGGCTGCGTGCAATCAAGGGCTGCGCATCATCCAACGTCGCAGCAATGTGGTGACACGAAAACACGTGCTGTGCTGCTGGCGGACCTGATGGGTGCCTGACGAAGATTGCGCTGGGAGCGGTAGGTCTGGATTTTCGACTAATAAGAACCAGCCACGACGAGAAAGCACGAGGACTGGAGCGTTAGTGTGCGGTAGAGGGAAGAGATCCTATAGGCAGCTACGTTTGAAGTTTCTGCACGCTCGAGGATGGGGCCTGTACTCGATTCTGTCTGTGAATGCCATGATGCTGTGAAGAAGGATGTGCAGAGAGATGTATGGGCGATCGCATCCTGCACGCCGCTGGGCTCGGCCGCTCTCGTGAGTTGGCGCTGCCCGGGACTGACGGGCATGTCTGCACGGCGGCATGGAGTCGGTGAAGCCTGTCTGGACCGAACGAACGCGTCAGGCTGGCTTCACAACGTCACAGCTGGCCGAAGCGAATGACCAGGGACGAGTCTTGGTTGTTGTTGGGGTGAGATGATGCAGGGCTCACCGGCGTGCAGGTAAGAAATGTTTGTAAAAATGCCAGCGGCTAGCCCCGAAAGCCTCCCCACCACGGGCAAACCTTGAAAACACAATGAGTGCTGCCTTTTTGTCTTGAATTGGCCCAATCACGATTAATATCGCGTTCCGTAAAGAATAATCACCCTGCTGACAAGCGACGGTGCCCGTTTGCAGCACCGTCACTAGAGCTGAGAAGGGTCAGGCTGGTCTCGGGCATCTTCGCAGTTGCTGCCCAAGCGACGCCACCTGAGGGCTGCCCAGGTCGTCTCCACACAGTCCAAATCGCACCAGAAGCTCGAGCTATGGAGACGTTTGGCCCATCCGAATAATTAGATCGGCTGCCGACGGTACGCCGCTCTTTTCGTCTTCTTTTCTCTTCCTCTTGCTGCTTCCCTATCGCATCTCGACGAAACCGGCCTTCACCAATCCCGCCAACCCAGTGTTACAAGCCAGTCCTCAGCGTGCTGCCCAACCAAGCGACCTGCGTCTTGCATCTATCGCCAGTCCCGTCGCCGGCCAATCACACCCCGCACCCACTGCAAGCCATTCTTCAGTTGCGGCTCTGAAGCAGACACGCACCCGCTTTGAGCACTTGAACAAGTACTCTTCCCGTCGCCCGTACCCTGAGCATTGCCTGCCAGAGTGCGCATATTGCTTGGAGCATAGTCCCTTATACTTCCGAGTACCTGCTGTGACCGCCCCCACCAGGAAGCTGCATCCAGCCACGCCGTCAAGGTCCACTCTCTTGTCACAGGCCAGAGCCCCCCTCAAAGTGCCGGTATATTGGTCAAAACCCCGCTTCTGCGTCCTGCATCTCTGAACACCTCTCTTCTGGACTTTCTGGACACCATAGCCCTCGGACTCTCAGAAGCCTGCACTGCCATCCGCTGTGACTGCTTTTGCCCGTAACCTTGGTGCCTAGAGCCCCTCTATCTTAGCTCCCATAGCTTGGCCCCATTTCTGGCATTGACATCACTGTCATCTTTCTTTTCGTCACCTTCCCCCACGCCTCTCTGTAGCCATGTCGCGCGCGAATCAGTGGTTTGTGCCTGGCGACGGAATCGCGAGAGAAGTCATCACGGCCGACATCCAGCGCTATTTGGGCCCAGATGCGCTTGTCAGGCCTGGCACAGGCACCGGAGAGTACCAGGTCCGCACATCTCCTTCTAACGCCAGCTCTACGGAAAACTAACTCTCATACAGGGCCAGCCAGGCTACTGGATAACGGCTTATCGAACGCTCACATCGGTATGTTGAGTCGCCTTTAGACCGTGATCGCGCACAAGGCTAACTTTGTTCCTCAGCAAATGATACAGGATTTGAAGATGGATTCACAACGTTGGCAACAGGAGCGCCAGCCAGGCGAGACGGGACGTGGAGGTAGCCATAGTCCTCAAGTGCGCACTACTAAGGTATCAGGGGGCCCTAACGCTTCATTAGTGGCATATCAGGACTCTCGTACACACGCTGCTCGCCAGCACTGGGGTCCGACAAAACCGTATGAACACGGTGCGCCTCATTCGGCGGCGGATCCCTATGACCAACCACCTCGCCAGTCGTCAACGTCGTCTAGAGCGACAACGTATGCGTCTTCAGGTTATGGTAGCAGTGATCCTCATTACACCACGACTCCCACATCCGTGTATGGAAGTTCGCATCCAGGATACCAGGCTTCGCCCGCCTCTGCTGCCCCCAGGACTCAGCCAGCGGATCCGTACTCATCTTACCAGCAGCCCAGTGGAAGGGATTACCCTGCGCAGTCTGCTTATTCCTCTTACCCAGCGCAGACCCCAGATCCATATGGACGCCAGCCGGCTACCCAAGCGACTCAATACGCTACTCCAAGGTATTTTGGTTACTATGACGAACCCTATTTGGTCTATCGCTAAGCCCCAGTTAGTGCCACAGCAGCCGCTCCTGGCTACTACATTGCCTCGGATGGTCGTCGTAAGTCATTTGAGTCGTCGCGCTACTCCACTACTAACATGTCTTGTTCAGAATATCCTTTATCGCAACAGCCACAATCATCACGCAATCCACAGTCCGGCACCTCTAGGTACAGTACGAGATAGAGTCCATCTCCGTCTTACGGCCTTGTCATTGTTCCTGCGTCGATATACCGCGCCCGGAGATACCCTTTCTTTCCAAGCTACTGGATGGTGCTCTGGAGTCTGGCCACCCTAATTTTTTAATGGATCCATCTTCTACCTTCCGGGTACCGTAGGGAGTTTGCCATTACCAAAAGCATCCGGATAGACATTTGTTTCCCTAGGATCTCAAGCCATGGACTCATATACCTCTTCCAGCCCGGTTGAGCAGCCCAAAGGAGCATTTACTTTCCGGTTTTCCTTTTGTGTCTGATGTTGTGTACGTTAATTGGGAAATTGGGTTTCATTTCTCATTCTCCTCAAACGACTGGATCTTTGCTCTGCGGGATGCAGAACCAATTACTGCCATGGAACTTACAGCCTTCATCGGGACATTTATTCCGCTTATGGCTTATCATTATCATGCAATTGCATCAATTTCCGGATTCTGCTTTTCTTGCTATGTATATACCTACGACACGGGCGTTGCTCCACGAAGTCGATGTTTACGAATGAACGGTTATCTGCGCATGCACAGCATGCGTAGAAGGAAACATCACTGTGTTTGCTTACTCTATTTTGATCGCGCACTGGGTTGCGACTGGACGCTTCATGGTTCCACTCACCGCACTAACGCCTCAGCTTCATCTTCTTTGATACGCGCTCTTCAGCTTCCCAGCGAAGCCACCGCCACCCAGGCTGTATCCTACGATTCTTCGAGCTGATACTTGGTTTGCTCGTTACAGCTTGTCTCAGGGTCACGATGACTAACACTCGCCGCGTGATAATCTCGCATTCAGCCTCTTCCCGTCGATCGACACGATCATCAGTACGCTACGGCAATCCTCTTGCGCCATCTCCTGACCGTTCCCACATGACCATTGCAGATCTTATGCCGACATCCGGACTGTGCCTGACGATGTTGTGCAGTGTATATTATGAACGAATTCTACTCGAGCGTGTTTGCATTCGACGGTTGTGCCCGTATCTTTTGAAACGCATGCTTAAGCAGTTGTGCAGCATAAAGACGCCTGTCTTACCCAAGAAGACGTGAGACTGAGAAGTTCGCGCAAATGCTACGAGGATATGATCATAATTATTCGACTTGCGAAGGCTCGCGAAGCCTCAAGGCACCTAGAACTGAAGGCAAATTGTGCAGCCTTGCAGGATCTTACGATCTATCAAATTTAGCAGGTGTAGCGGCTCGGCCCTTCTGCGACCACATCTTTGAATATGTAAAACCAGTGGCGCTATCTAGTAGATACAGAGCCGTCTAGTCTGCTTGTTGGAATGAGCTGGGTGAGCCACATTGTGGCAGAAACTGTAGCACGAATGTTTGGTTAGTCATGCTATTTTGTCACTATTTGTGGTCGCGAGTCATCGCTTCGTTTTTACATCGGCATCCGAATCCAGCAGTTTCTGCCGCTAACAATACAATTGTCCGGGGCTAACACTACCGCGATTGAACATCAAGGCCGAAGTCACCGTTATCTCGCAGTAGCATATGCCGAACCCCTCAGCATTCAGGTAATCATAGCGGAGATACTCCCGTATTGTCACGCTTGGCCCGCTACCACTGTAGCTACATCATAACCAGCGCCATGTCGCGTGCCAAACTCTCTACCTTTTGCTCTTCGCGACATCCAGTATGATTGGGCTTTCAAAGCTCTGGGTGGCTTCATCATTCCTGGCTCAGCATGTACTTGCGGGCCGCAATCTAGTTTCACGCAATGATACGGAAACGTATGCGACGGGCCTGTTGCACGAGTCAATGGATTGGATGGACATGTACTATGACAATGAAAGAGGATACATGTTCAGCTTGGATGCCGCTGCTCTGACGCACGACACCAGATCGAGCGCGTGGTATGCAGCAGGATTGTTGGCGCGGAACGAAGCCGACGATGTCGAGCAGGCAGTACGAATCGTGAAGAACGTTATTGGAGGGCAGTTCAAGAATGAGAGTGATCAATGGTGAGTTGATAGTCTAGAGAGATTATCCAAAGCCTCTTTAGCTACTCTTGCTAACACGACTCAAGGTTCGGCAATTACCAAAAATATCCAGAAGAGCCGACTGTGGCTACAGAACAATATCCAGCAGAGATCTACAACTCGTGGGACCCCAACTGGCGCGGCTTCATCGGTACAACATTCGTCGTTATGCTAGAAGAGTTTCCTCACCTCCTCCCGCAAGATGTCCAAGACTACATGCTTGAGAGTTTATTCAACACCACAATTGGAGACAGCTACCGTGTCGGCGGCGTCGATGACGATAACCTCTACCCGGCCTACAGCAACCCCTCCATCATGCGTGCTTTCGTCTCCGGCTACGTCGGTCGTCGCGCCAACGACTCTAACATGACGACTGCAGGTGAAGCCTACGCAAAAGAAGTCATCGACCTGTTTGTCCGTGACAATACGCTTTCAGAGTTCAATTCCGGAACCTACGCTGGTGTTTCGCTGTTTGCACTTACACTTTGGGCGAAGTATATGCCAAGCGATAGTCTGATGGGCGAATACGGACCGAAAATGATTCGCGATACGTGGTCGGTGCTGGGGGACTTGTATCATGCGGATTTGAAGAATGTGGCTGGGCCCTGGGATCGCGCATATGGGTTTGACATGAATCGGTATTTGAGTATCCTGGCGCTGCACATGTGGACGCTGGTGGGTAAGGAGATGGCGCCTATCAACAAGAAGGTATGGAGTATATGACCCACTTCCCTTGTCTCCCATTGACAACGTCTTCACATTTTATGGTACGAAAGAATTATGGAAAGCTGATTGATCGAGAATAGCCATATGCCATGGGCCACAAGAACGACTTCGCAATTGGCCCTCTAGTCGCCATTTTGGCCCCCTACCATAACACGCTCGTCCCAAACACCACTCTCTCCTCTCTGTCAAAGTTTCCCGGTACGCATACCGTTAGCACCTCCGCCTTCTCTCCACCATACGACTTTGAGCCCCGCAACATCACCGCCTATCTATCCCCCAACCTGACCATTGGTGCGGAATCCTTCAATGAAACCGTCGTCGGCGGCCCAGCTAGGAACCAGAAATCGTTCAATCCCGCCGTCGTGCAGTGGAAGAGGCAGGATGGTAGTGTGGGCTGGATGAGTCTGTATGCTCAGAGCATGGCTTTGGATGTTGTGGTCGAAGAGGGAAGCTTGCAGCTTGAGTACCCGGCCGGGAATTCGTCGAGCGCATTTTCCTTCTTAGTGGGAACGAATGGCTGGGATGGGAAGAGGGATGTGGCGAGTTGGGCAGACGTAGAGGGTGTTCAAGTCAATGCTACGGGATCTGTGGATTTGGCGGTTGAGGTTACCTTCAATGGGCTGTTTGGTGGAGCGGGCGAGGTTATCAAGTAAGTTCTTCTAGAATTGTTGTGTGTCGAGCGAGAAGGAAGGAAAGAGTACATGCTAACCTAACATAGTGACTTTGAGTTTTGGAACTTTACGTATAAGATGCCAGAAGGGAGCGAGGAGGTCCCGCGGATAAGGCTGGATTTTCAGGTTGTGTGATTGATGAATGGGGAAAGAACAAGATATGTGCATCATGTTGGCGGTCATATACAATCGTAGAGATTGACCAAATGAGTACACACACACACATATGATCAACGTCTCTGGAGCTTAAGGCGGCATTTGAATTGTGCAAAAGGCCTCGAAAGGTAAAGCATTCACTTCCAAACAGTAGGTATCATCATTCAAACATCAACGTAGAGTAATCCACTCACAATCATCAACTTCCTCTCCCAAAAGCCAGCTTCGCCTGTCCCTTCTCAACCCCTTCTCCTCTTCCACTTCCTCTCCCAACTCCGCTTCCCGGTGGCCGTCCCCGTCCCCTAGAAGGTTTTGACCCACCGCCTTTTCTTACAGGAGCCGGAGTAGGATTCCTCTCTTCATTTCGCATCTCCTTCGATAGATCGAGGGCAAAATGGTAGTCTTCGTGTTCGGCTTTCTCTGCTGGTGGGAGGTGGAGGTTACAACGGGAACAGAAATAAGTATCAAGAGACTTTTGCTGAGCTGGGGGTTTGGTACGAGGAACCGGTGTCACTGGGTTATGATCCCGTGGTGGGGGAGAGTGAGAAGCAGGCTGAGGTTGGGCAGAGGGCGGTGTGTTTGGGGCATAAAAGATTATATCCGAACTTTGGTGGTCTAAGGTTGGTGTCGATGGTCGCTCTGCTTCATCGTCTTGTTGTGCTTGGAATGGATCGTGGTCTTCTCCCGTCTCCTCTGCCTCATCTCCACTGTCATCTCGTGTGGACTCGGTATGCGCTTTCCACAACACTGCCCTTGCGGCATCAAAATCTTTCTTCTTCTCGTCTCTTGGGCCAAAGAAGTTGGCAATGTTTCCTTTTATCCTTCTTCGCTTTGCAGGTGGCTCGCCTCCACCAACGGTAACCCTGCCAGTCGACATCATGGCCTTTGCCTCCTCGCCTCGGACTAAGAAGCCGCCAATGCCTTTGTTGTTCGTGATGCCATCTTCAAAACCTCCAACACTCAAGGAAAGATTAGCGCAGGGCCAGGCTTTCCCATCAACGACGACTTGAGCTAGAAGGTTTTTGGCGAGATCGAACAGTATGGTTTCTGATAATGGTTTACCCTGGGGTATGGGTGCTTGCCGACTTCGTGTTTGTGCACCTTGCCGGTGATGCAAGTTGATGCTCTTGGGTCTTCTCTTATTCTCCAGTACACCTTCTTCCACGCATCGTGAAAATATATCGGCCACGAAAATGCGCAGCCACCTTACACCCTGCTCGAACGAATTGATAGCTGGTCTGAAGGATTTTGCTGAGAGCATACTCTTGATCTGCGTGCGCGGGTTGACCTCACTGCTGTCTTCACCCCTGATTATAGAGTATATCCAACTGCCCGTGTCATCGCCTAGCTTCTTCAGCTGGTCCAATGGCTGTTCCACGAGGTCTTTGACTTTATCTGTACCAAACAGGGCGACGACTTCGTCTCCTAGTTTGCCTCCTAACATTCGGATCTTGGTAAACTTCATATCGGAAAGAAAGTGTTTGACAGCGCGGTTCCGGATGACGGTCTGTTGATTCGGCTTCTTGTGTCCTGATCCTAGTTTTGACAGCATCTTGTTCCTCGCAACGCCCCCAGAGCAGGTATAGCCCAATGTATCCTTGATATGTCTCCTGACATCTCGTACAATCTCTGATGCTATGACCATGCACATGTCATCCCAGTCTGGATCCCTATCTTCTCCGTCTTCCTCGCCCGTCTCAACGAGCGCATCGGCCGCCCAGTCCAACACAGTTGTAGGAACTTTTGGCAGTCGCTCTGTTGGGTCATCGTAGGGCGCAGGCCCTCTCAATTCAGGATATCTCTCAAGCAATATAGTATGCACTTGTGCACTCAAATCCATAAAGACCTCATCAATACTCGCTTTTTCTACACGTTGTTCCTTCTCTGGCAAAGTCTCCTTGATGCACTTCAAAATCTTGCGGCTCTCCATGCGATAGGGGTCAAGGCTGACTTTGTGCGTCGCCATGTCCCTGAAGCTGTTCTCATGGTATGCCCATTTCTCGTCTCCCTCCTTCCACGTTGCAACATGTTGTAATATAAGGTCGGGACATTGCTTCAACGCTTCCGTAGACGTGACGTGCCGGCTTAGTCCAAATGCGCGCGCGGGGTAGTTGATTGCTATGAGGCCCTGCCATTGCTGGACTGCGAGGGGCTTGGACGGATCAATGCCGAGGCGGATGGTTTCGCATTGCGCATAGAATGCATCGAGATCGACGTGCGCAATTACGCGGAGGGGTGTATGTGGGCTGTAGGTCTTGAGCTGGTGTAGCTGCTTGTACGTGAACTTGGATTTGGGTATGCGACGCGGCGAGGTTATCGAGAATTGCGATGAATGGAACTCGGGCGATGGTGACGACATGTCGGATGACGACTCATACCAGTTGGTTGAAGCAATCCTCAAAAAGGGAAAAATATAACAGGGTATGGCATTAATGCAGCGGCATCGTGAGTAGAGGAATGCGATGCAGACGCGACATCTGGATAGCGCGTATTCCCGCGGTCCCGTGCATGCGCGTCATTCATCAGCGAGATCGCGCTAGCCGAATTGGATCTGCTGGGTTGATCAGCAGTGCAAACCTTCGGCCTAAAATTGGAACGCTGAATGCGTGCTGAGACTTTCCGTTCAAATTAAGACGTTTAACACATAATAACAATTATATGAATTACTATTGAAGATAGCGCGCTCATAGTGTGACAATCGAGCTTCATGTTTCGTGCATATGCTTTCCTGTGGTGTACAAGGCGCAGGATAGAACTTACGCTAACAGTAGACATGTGTATGCAGGATATCCGCGAATGGTCTAATTTTGAGATGTACCTGAAGATCAAGTCAAGGCGTGGTTCAGAGAGTAATATTACCTTTCGGTGATTAGCCGCGGAACTGCATTTCGAAAGATAGCAGCCGCGAAACAACGTGCAACATGTATGCACACGCATGCACCCCTTGCCACGATACAAACATTACACTGTCGATAGTGACAACTTTAATATTCTTGAGCGTACCCCATAGTCCTGTGAAACTCTTTGAGATATTGCACTGCCATACCAAGCAAGACAGTTTCCAGAGTCATTGACGTCATGGTGAGCCCTTGATCCAATAGGAACATGCGGCTCAGTCTTTGTGACGGCAAAAAGGCGAATAGCTAGGGCGTTTCTTTCAATCTTGCTGTCTTTTGTCTCTTGCGAACTTCCCTAATTTACTACCGAAAAAGTTGCCGTTATGATTGCAAAGATGAATGGACTCGATGGACATGCGGAATGTGGGGAAGACGCTGGGGTACCTGTCTACTCGATCCACAACGTACCCATTACCGAAGAAAGGAAACCATACATCAATGGAAAGAGCTCTCGTCTCCAACATGCAGGTACGCACACACGTCACGGTACTATTGCGCCGTTTTGACTAATTGCAAATAGCGGTTGCGCGCGCGAATCTCGCTCCGTCAGAAGAAACGCCGCAAGGCAGCACGCAAGACGACTGGGCAAAGAAGCACTCCCATCAAACTGTCCTGCAACAACACTGCGACTTCTTCGACCGCGATCATGATGGTGTTCTTTGGCCACAAGACACTTTCGTCGGCTTCTACCGCCTAGGTTGCGGTCTGTTCTTCTCTGCTTTCGCCGTCTTGGTTATCCATATCAACTTCTCGTATCCTACGTGTTCAGGATGGCTTCCGGATCCCTTCTTTCGTCTTTTTTTGCACAATGTGCATAGAGCTCGACATGGTAGCGATACGGGGACGTATGACACCGAAGGAAGGTTTATCCCTTCGAAATTTGAGGAGATCTTCACAAAGTATGCCGATGGACGAGATTACTTGACAGTAGGAGATCTTGTGAACGTATTGAAGGGGCAGAGGAATATCAATGATCCGATCGGAATGTGTGGTTTCATCTTCGAGTGTAAGCTTACTTATTCTTGAGCGTCATGAGGAGGGGTGGTATTAATCTTGAATAGGGACTGCGACGTATATTACGCTTTGGCCTGAAGACGGTCGGATGATGAAGGTATGAAACATGTCAGAATATCTGTTGGTTTACTTCCGATACTAACAATGACAAGGAGGACATTCGCGCGGTATACGATGGCAGCATATTCCAACGAATCGCTGACAAGCGTGAAAGAAAGTTGGCGATGAAGAAGAAGAAAAGCCATTGAAGAGACGGACGATATGCAGGAGACTGAGAGTAGACATCGCTGCGCGCTCCTAGTGGTAAATCAAGACCTCGTTGTAGACCTGGCTTTATGCGCAACACCTTGTGATCGTAACGTGTAAGAGTGTTCGGAACCTGCACGCCGTAAAAGCCCGGGCTCTTTACTGGTTCCAAGTCCCGATCCAAGGTTCCGATTTAGACTGGACCTTGCGGTGCAACATCGACCGTCGGCATATGCTGCCGTTTTAGGACAACAATTCGCCGCAATTTCTCGATTCGAATGCATAAGATAGGGTTAGATAGCGCAGAAAATTTCCCACAGCAAACGCCGGCTGTCTGTTTACGCACATGGACATGCTATTGGCTCGGGATCTCCATCCGACCGCTTGGGAAGTGCATCGGAGTTTGCCTGATGATCAAAAGATTAGTGGCGTGCAAGTCCGCACATGTGATTGGGAAGTGGTGAGCAAATCACCTGTGTCAAGATAAGAGGTTTATGCGGTTCTTGAATGTGTGTGGACGAACAGGTGTAAAGAGAGAAAATCACAATCTAGTACATTGAAGCAGAGTCGTAACCGGCACTGTGACAAGAATATCGTATATTGTATCTGATGTTGATTGTAACTTCCATCTCATCTTATCCCCACCATTCCATCGCTGCGGTCAAAACACAATGCTTCGCCACGTCCTAGATGCCCTCTCTTGCTGAGTTTGTTCAGCAGTATCGTTGGGAAGCTTGAGGTTACCCATGGACTGCAATAGCCGATTCAGACGTCGTTCGCTCGGATCTGAGGTAATGGACTCTACGTTTACAGGGTACTCGCCATGCATATGTTCCGTCATCGATTGCTCCCTCCTATCTTCGTTCTTGATTTGCGCCCAGTCCTTGAGCAGCTTGACATCCACAGGATTCATCTTGTCGCGCAGAATGCGAAATACAAGTTCGGATAGGAAGAAGTTACGGCCTTGGTCACGCAAGCCCTTGGCGCACAGTATCAGGGTGGCTCTTGTAGCTTTCATTATGGTCGGGAAATGCTTTTGTTGCGCTTCCGGGGAGCGCAGACGCTCTATTGAGTCAAAGCCTAGCTGAACGAGGACTTGGAGCAGGAATATGTAGTATGCGTCGAAGCCGTGACGGTGGTAGAACATGTGAAGAAGCGTCTGGAGGCTCGCTTTGGAGGCGGTATACAATCGGTTCGGACTAAAGCCAGCATACTCCTGGAAAGCCCCCCTATTGTTGGGCATGTTGAAAGACGTCTCGTGTTCCAGGAACGGCTGAAAAGTCATGGTAACAAGGTTATGGAACTGCATACTGTAACTCAAAGATTAGTCATTCGCACGCGAAAGACACGTCAAACCTTACTGTAGGAGAAGCTGTGTTGGCATGGCTGCATTCTGTGGCTGCAGCGGCCTCGGCAGATCACGGAACCATTGAATCAGCATAGCATGATAGCGGCCGGCTTGCTGAAGATCAAGACTGTTCTGTGCGTTGTCCTCTGGGAGAGCCTTTCCAGCTATGTCATTCATGATGTATCTAAGCTTGATGAGCGCCAGGAAAGTCTGGCCAAGATAAATGGGGGTCTATTGGTTTGTCAACCGGATTATAAGTAAAAAGCAGGTGATAACATACCAGGTTTGTCGCAAGAGGGTATTTCACCCAAATTTCGCCAAAGAAGTGGTGTGCGTCTCGATAATCGGGTAAGCCATCTTCGGGCGGAATTCGCGCCAATGGTGACTTCATGAGGTAGAAGCAAGAGAACCTGGACCAGCATTAGAGCTTGCCTCGACATCATGTTAGGGTCAATAAGGGTCGTATAAGCTCATACGCTTGCTGTGAAAAGATGCCCCAGGCTGTGATGGTTCTGGAAACGCGTTCTTTTTCGTTTTTGTATTTGGCGGTCTTATCAAATAAGTCTAGCCTATCCGCAAGCGCTAGGGCATGAGACCACATGGTCCAACCCATTTTGTCCATGCCGTTGGCGAAGTATACTCGGCCTAGGATGGTGGCTGCTTGGACAGATGTAATGCTACATGCAGTCTGTGACTGTTCTAGCTCCCATGACTGTCTAGTTTTGGCCATACACCGGTAGCTATAGGTGTTGGGGTTCCAGAACTCAGACCTTTGAGGAAGCGTGGACAAGCCATGCTGTTGATGGTGTTAACTGGCAGTAAGCGAACACAGCAAATGCGGGTAAGCACTTACACAAGCTGCCGTGAGAATGGCATTGACAAGAAGCGTTGAACAGTAATCAGTCCTTCCGGCGATCATATCATCGAGGAAGTGATCCTTGTGGAAACACGGCCATAATGGGAACTCGTACAGGAAGTAAACCTCGAGAAGGTTAGTGAGGAAGACGTCGTCGTCGCTTATCGATGTCCACTTGGACGGTTTCAGCAGATCTGGAGATAGGCGCGGATCGTACATGCGGGCGCCGGGATACGGCACATGGTAGATGGCGTGGTACGTCTGCTCCCGTATTTCGGTACCGTGGTGGGCTGTTTGTTGCGAGAGAGCCTTGTACAGCCTGGAGGTTAGGTAGGGGTTGTCAGTATCGTCAAACAGCGGCATCATGTCAGCAAGATATGGCGAGGTGAACTGGTACGTCGTGTCTGGGACCAGCATGAGCTGCAGGCGGAGGCTGCCATACTCGATGAAGCGCAGGACGGTATTCACATCGGTGCCGCGACGAAGTTGGCCAAGGAGATCGTGGGCGACACCACGGGGCTGGGAGCGCAGGTGGGCCAAGATGTGCTCGAGTGCATGTTGGGGGTGAAACTGCATCTGACCACGGTATCTGCGCCTGGCAGCGACGGGCCGGACCGAGGGCTGAGTGTAGTTGCATGGCGTGTGCCGCTTCCGGCACTCTGAGCACTGGGGACGTTCGATCGAGCACTGCGCCTGTCAGATTAGATGCGTGGGTGGATTTAGCTCACGCATGATCAGCGCGGCCTTACCTTTGTGATGCGGCCGCGACAAGCTTCGCATGCTCCTGCGCCCACAATACGTTGCAGGCTCATGGCAGGACGCCGCCGAAGAGAGGCCGCACGCTGGCCCGATCGGGACCCGGGGAGGGGCAGATTCTTGTCCATGGACAGTGACTTCGCACGCTGCAATCTGGTATTTTATGTGGGTGGTCCAGAGCTCCAGGAGTTCCTTCCCCTCGCCTACGTGCTTGCCTACATGTCCACAACATGACGTCACTGCCTGCGCGCCCATTGGGCACGGCACAAATTCCCTCGTCTAATCAGCGACTTGCTCGTCTCGAAAACTGCCCGCCTGTACCTTGTGGTGTCGTTGCTTAGAGGCTATGTGCTAGAAATGCTACTCGTCCCATCATCACGATGCATCTGCTTCAGACAGCCTTCATCAAGTATACATTCCTGACCTGATCGATTACGCTTGCACGAGCGTCTGCCGTTGCGCACGTGCCCACGGACTTCTCCCCATCACCCTCACATCCAACGACACGCCCGAAGCCCAAAGGCTGACCGCGGAGTGAATGGACAACAGCCGCTATCCGCCTGAGGGCTCCAGCTCCAGAGATGCAAAAGTTGCCATACCAAGAATACCTGGCCATGGTTACCAGATGCCACCCGCCACACGAACGCCTCGGGTCCGCAGCGAAGTAGTGAGCAAGGCCGTAAGTGCTCAGCCCAAGGTGATTGGGCCGGCGCTGACATCCGCTCTAGTGTACCCAGTGTCGCAAACGAAGTGGGCCCCCAACTCTTGTCCACATATCGCCCAACTTCGGCTTGCTGACTACACCCAGAGATCAAATGCTCTGGCAATCGGCCCCGCTGTATCAACTGTCAAAGACAGGGCCATGAGTGTCAGTACGACCTGGAGCGCAAGGACCGCCTCAAAGGGTCTGTTCATGTTACTGCCCATCTGCCTTGTATCTTCATCTGATTTGTAAAAGTGCTCAGCGCAAATCCCACGCCCTGACCGCACTCTTGATCGATATTAGCAGCCAGCTCGACGATGAGAGCAAGAAGCGAGTCGAGGATACCTTGGCATCCTTCGAAGATGACACGCCGCCTGGTCCAGCAACCCCTGCGCTGTCGCATAGCAAGCGCGCCAGAAGAGCTTCATCACCACATGCCCACGACGACGCTTTGAGCACCACCTCTGCAGACGGCGGAGAAGCTCACGTCTCGGCTTCCGTCGGCTCCAACGAAGACCTGGATTTTGTCCAGGAGGACATTCTCCGTACCGATGAGGCAGAGAACACGGGCTACATGGGCCGTAACTCGCACGTCCAGTGGCTTCGAGCCCTCGAAACCAAGATCGAACAACCCGAAGGCGAGCCCTCTGGTCTGCCATATGGGCCTCCTGGTGCTGCGGGAGATGCTTTCAACCAGCGTGCTGAAGCGCTCAGTGGCCGTCAACGGCACAACGATAATCGGCATCCCCCCGATCAAGATCAATCCTCCGGCTACTACTTTTACCTTGACAAGTCCAACATCGACATCGATATCGGTGATCCACATGTCGTACCTTCTGCTGATACGGCTGAGAGTCTGTTCGAGTACTACAAAGCAGTCGTTCACAGTCCGTTCCCAATTCTAGACGACATATTCGAAGCTCAACTGCAAATGTTCTTCACCAGGGATCAGGGTAGCCCTAGATTGGTCGTATGTCCAAAGTGGAAAGCTGTTATGAACCTTGTTTTCGCTATTAGTGCACGCTACTCACATCTCATTGGTGCAGAATGGCGAGCAGACGACCACGACCATCTAGTGTACATGTGGAGGGCGGTACACCTCCTGCAGCTTCAGTCCATCAACACTCTAGTTGCGCAGCCCGATCAAATGCTGATACAGGTAGGCTTCTGTGAAGTTGTGACGAATAGCTCTGATGCTGCTCTAGGCGTTCGGTCTTCTCTCTCTCTATTATCTGACAATTGGCCACGTCAGCAGGTATGTCTCATCGCGACCAATGTCAACCAATTCTGCACAATGTACGCGTGCTAACGATGAGGTGACAGAGCCTGGTACATGATTGGCATCGCCATCCGCCATGCACAAGCTGCAGGTTTGCATCTTAGACACGAAGATCCTTCCATCTCTCCTAAGAGGAGGAAGGCACTAGCCCAGATCTGGTGGTCACTTTATTCCATTGAATGTGTTCTTACTTCAATAACGGGACGTCCTCGCACTGTAAGTGCCTTAGACTGTACAGTACCGCCACCGGGCGCAAAAGGAACTGAAATGGAGACCCCGTCATGGGAAACCATCATATCTCCTGCAGTAAGCCAGGTCTCCGAGTCTTCTGCTGGTGAGCCCGCAACCGGTAGGGGCGTAGATCCATTCTATGTAGCCTACGTTAGGCTCGACATTCTTATGGACAAGATTCTATCAGGCCTGTACTCCGCGCAAAAGTCTGCCAAGTCCTGGAAGGCTGCGCAGAAGGAGATCACTTCGCTGTCTGATGAGTTGGAAACATGGGCTTTACATTCCCTCAATCGAAGTCCAGCTGCGGCAACCGCCGCTACGTCAGAGCACAATTTGAGTCGAGAGCAGCTGCTACTTCATCTCTTATACCACAACGCCAAGATCTGCATCACTCGGCCCTGTCTATGCCGGCTGGACCTGCGCATAAAGAAACAGAGTGAAGAGTCGGTTAGATTCAACCAGAAAACTGCAGAGGCCTGCATAGGTGCGGCTTTAGATATCACCTCCATGTTGCAAGACCCTCCAAACCCTGCATGGTATTACGAGAACGGTCCGTGGTGGTGTGCTGTTCATATCAGTAAGTCTCTAAGATCCTATAGCAATCGGCATGGCTAATCATCATGCGTAGTCATGCAAGCCCTTACGGTCCTACTTCTTGAGATGTCGCTAGATGGTATTCACTTGACGGTCGAAAAGTCACATATCACATCTTGCATCGACAAGCTTATACGATGGTTGAGTTCGATGAAGTCCGATGACGCAGTCAGCGAGAGTGCATACAACGTTGTGGCTAGAGTGTTGAATAAGCAGAGCAAACAAGAAGCGGCCCATCGACAACTACCCCAGCCACAGCCGACTGATCAGCATCAACAGCAACGCGATACACAAGACACGACCTTTGACTTGCAGCAGCAATACCATCCGCACGGTCCCCTTGCATTACAACAGTCGGGTATAGCATGGCCAAGCACTGACCCATTCAATAGCAACGACTTCTACTCGCAATCCACCACAGGCAGCTTCCACTCCAACGATGTCTCTGGGAGTGAATATCTAAACGGCCCTAATGCAGGGCTTATGGATTTTGGCCAGCCACTGAACCTGTTCTATGGAAATCCTTACGAAGCGACTTTCGATCGGTGGGAATGGGATCCGGCGGCGTTTGAGGATCTCGATCTGGGACAGCAGCAAGGCCCCAGCGGAGGCCAAGACGGGGTTCAAGGGTACGGATACAGTGGTAACTAATTGTAATCATATGTCGCGTGCGTACAAAATCACAGTGTATAAAGAAAGATGTGGACACGGGTCGTTTGATGACGGTTATTCCAAGCGAGAGATAGATAGACAGCGGTGTTGCTGAGTAATCATCACTCACAGTCTCTCTGTACGTTGTAAAGCATCGAGAAACATACAGCGCAGTATACGAATGCTCTCTCCATGAAACTTGCTTATGCTCCTGAGGCTAACGAATGTAATCTCACTTTGTTGTCTCCGTTCCTAGCACAAGTATGTTGATGATATCATGAGCCTGAACGACATGCTAGTCGTGGTACAAAACTCAGATCTCACAAGCCTCCACGTTGAACATACCCTGAACAACTTGACACTCTTTCCCATAATGCTCTAGCGCATCCCTTACTGCATCTTCCACCTGCATGGCCTTTACACCAACAATCTCATTCTGAACAGTTTGACCAATATGGTTCGCATCGTCATCACCCTCATAGAACTGGTGACATACCGCTAGCCCCTTTATCGCTTTGCCCATCTGCGCTTTTCCTTCTTCTTGCTCGCCCCCTTGCTTCCACTTCTCCAAGACGATCAAAGCATTTCGATGAATCTTGTCCATATCAACGTGCTCAACGCTGAACGCCGTATCAAGAAGCTTTTCCAGGGTGCGAAGCAGCGTGTTTTGCGTGAGGTTGGACGCGGATGGGAAGGGACAGATGAGAATGGGTCGGTTGAGGATAGGAAGAGGGTTGCGGAGCATGTTTCCAGCTGCGAGACTGACTGTGGAGAGAGGGGTCCAGTATAAGGGTTGGTTCCCGGTGCCATAGATGCGGGCGTGGTGGTTAGGTATGTCTGGCATGGGAGGTGAGGCTAGTAGGTTTAGGAGGATGCATGAGATGGCTTACCGAAGCCTGCGGGACCTTTCATCAGCCCTGTAGTAAGCAAATTAGTATTTCCCCCCCAAAGAATGACATGCTACTCACACATGTCGAAAAACGGCCCTCCATTCAAACTCGTCCACGCAATCTTCCCTTCCTTCCCCAACTTCTCCAGATACTCCCGAATTCTACACTTGCCGCCTACAAACGCTTCTGGCAATCTCTTGAACTGCTCGCGCATTATATTCCCAACAAATTCGTTGGCGAAAAAGAGTTTGACGCCTGCAGCGATTGCTGCGTCGATGATGAGTTTGGATGGCTCATAGTGTGTGGCTCCGCCTGTGATACAGTTTACTACGGCGTCCTGACCCTGGAGTGCGGTTTGGAGAGAGACAAAGGACGTATAGTCCACGGTGCGGTGAGTGATGGTCGTGGAAGTTGGTGTGTAGAATGATGTTGAGCGCGTGACTGCGGTGATCATAAAGCGGGATCCGTCTTTGAGGAGCTCGGTAATGATGGCGTTACCAACGTTTCCTCCTGGCTGTGGTCATGTTAATATTGAAGATGAACTTGGAGTGAAGCGCGACGCGAATACGAAGAATAGACCTACACCAAGGATTGCAATGTTCTTGAGTTCCATGTTCGATGTCTAATTTGCGACAACGAGCTGTCGGATGTAAGATCTGTGCTGTGCTACTACCGATGAATTGTAATGCTACATCTTATGAGACTACAGGATCTTATATCCATGACTGTTCACACGGTTTGGAGTGCTCGCCCAGTAGGCGTGCCACGCATACATGCACTTCTCCTGTTTCGTGAATTTCGTGAGTTTCTGCTGTTCCCTTGCAGTCAGGCTGAAGTAGGCAGCACATCTCCATGTTTGCCTTGCTGCCTAATGTGTCCGAAGGCGTTCGGCATGAGTCTGGAAGCGGCATCCCTCTCGGCTCAGGAGATGATGGATTGCCGATACGCTAGTATGACACTAATTTTGTTTGGTCATGAGAGGTGGGGATAAGGTTAGTCTGCTCACGTGCTTCGTCGGCGTTTGAACTTGCAAGCTTTCGCGTTGCTCGTAAGCGTCAGATGCCGATAACACAAACTTGAATTGTCGCTGGACCTTGGACGCTAAAGACTGCAGAGAATGGAGGGTGTTTCCAGAAAACGAATCGTGATCTGGTTTCTGTCCAGGAATTGTCCAATGTAGCTTGATAGATTCATGTTTGATAACTGTCATGGAGCCTGAGAAATGACGATGGCGGGGCAGCCGAGGCGGCGATGGTGGGGTTGCATCATCGCGATCCATAATGTTTGTAGCAACACGATACTTGAAGCAGACAGACCTTGTGAGACAGCAAACTGCCAGCCTTTCAACTGAGCGAGGTGAATTGCCACACCCAGAGCCTCCATAGTAGGAAGCTCGGTCCGAAATGGACCGGTTGGGGCTGCTCCGCTGGTGGATCTGGGCAGTGGGCAATAAAAGGTTACCAAATGCCGCTGCGCTCAAGACAACATTACCCGGCAACTCTTTCGTTTTAGCCCCTCCATCCTCTTAGGTTATTCAAACATTTCTTTAGCACATCCACAAACACAGGTTCACCATGTCGCAACGAGCAGCACTTCTCATCGGCAAGCTGTCACATGCGCAGAAAGAATGGCAGCAATGTTCAGAAGTAGCCTCAAAGCTGCACGAGTACCCCGATGGCAACCGGGAAGACTTCATCTCAAAGTGCAAAAGTGGTCAATTCGACGGTGTATATGCCCTCTACCGGAGTAACGACTCGAATCCGATTACCGGAGACTTCAACGCAGAATTGCTTGACGCTTTGCCCAAGAGTGTGAAGTTTGTCTGCCACAACGGCGCGGGATACAACAACATCGACGTCGCAGCATGCACGAAGAGGGGGATATCGGTATCAAGCACGCCGATAGCTGTCAACGATGCGACTGCGGATGTTGCCATCTGGCTCATGTTGGGCGCTCTCCGGAACATCAAGCAGTCTTACATGGCAGTCAACAACGGTTTGTAGTCCCAACTAGAGATCGAGCCAACACTGACATTTCTGACAGGAAAATGGCGCGGTAACTTTTCCCTCGGCCACGATCCCAAGAACAAGACACTCGGTATCCTAGGCATGGGTGGCATCGGCTCGGCGGTCGCACATCGCGCAAAGGCATTCGGCATGAAGATACAATACCACAACCGTCATCAACTGCCAGGTAACGAGGAGAACGGCGCAAAGTATGTGAGCTTTGAGGAACTGCTCAAGACATCCGACGTCCTCAGCTTAAACTTGGCGCTCAACCCTTCGACCACACACATCATCGGCAAGGAGCAGTTCAACGCAATGAAGGATGGCGTCATTATCGTGAACACTGCACGAGGCGCGTTGATCGACGAGGCGGCCTTGGTGGACGCGCTGAAGAGCGGCAAGGTCTGGACGTGTGGGCTGGATGTATTCGAGGAGGAGCCGAAGATCCACCCGGGACTACTAGAATGCGAGAACGCGGTATTGCTGCCTCACGTTGGAACGGCTACATACGAAACACAGGTAAGTCGCATCGTTCCGTAGGATGAGCCTGGATACAAGCTAACTGTACTTAGCGCGACATGGAGATACTGGTTCTGGATAACTTGAAGTCGGCTATCAAGAGTGACAAGCTATTGACGCAGGTACCTGAACAGAAGGGCAAGGCGAACCTATAGTTGATGGTCTGAACAACTAGTATCGCAGTTAGAGAGACATTTGTATTTCAATTTAAGCATGGAGGAGAATAACGGAATCCAGCACACTTGTAGCTTGCAGTCATACCAACATGCATTCACTTTGTTACAATCAAGTGACCTTTTCGCAGCTCATCTAGAATGCCATCGGTATTGCTCTTATACCTATCCCAGCGGTCGCACATCGGCTCACAAAACATCGGCAGGTAGCGTCGGGGTTGATCAACTGGGTTCGGCATATGGATACTTGGTCGCTAGGCCAATGAGAAGCTTGTCACAATTCCAATCGCCTAGCTCCCGTGCGGAGGCAAGATGCGGAGGAAGAGAATCTGGGGTCGGTCTTTGAACGGAATGTGGAGAGCAAGACGAACAGAGTAAGTTGACCTTGAGAACCTGGAGTCGGTCTTTGCACTGCCTGTGCATCGTATGTTGGAGAAAATGCCCGGCTGCTGTTCTCGGGTTCACATGCATAAAACAAGCTGATGCACAAGGAACGCTAAGCAAGTGCCTAGTCTGCCACCCGCCATTTTCGCACCTGGGCATCCATCACACACATTCCTGCATATGCTGCATCCGCACTGCACAGCCAGCGATCCATTCTATCTCTTGGCCATGCAAACCTTTGACTCGTCTTAACACACACTGCAGACGAAGGAAGCACGCAAAGGTCTCAACACAATAAAGACTACGGCGTTTGAATGGAGGGATAATTACCATCCGCTATGCCGACCCACTAGCTATGGGGCTCTCCGCCTGTAACTGGCACGTCTGGAGTCCCCACGAACGAATCCCCACGTCATGTCCCCGAGGTCGCGTTGCACTGTGCCGACCGCCAAGACAACTGGTCGCCTTTTGTGTGCGGGCTTTGTGTCGGAGTTTGCTGACTAGGCTCTGCGAGGCTGAAGAAAACTGACGATATATAGTCGGATGTTTGCCGCAGTGTTTCGTTGATCGACACCACTGGCTTCAAACGCTCATCGCATTGCATCGCATTCGTGTGTGCATCTTTTCTGCGATATTTGATTCACCCTGCGACTCATCGCAATCATGGCCAAGCTCAACATGTCCGAGGTGTGGGCAGACATCAAGACGTATCGTCGAGCCTACTTGCTCACCGCCGTGGCATCCTTTGGTGGAATGCTGTTTGGTTGGGACACAGGTCTCATTGGAGGTATGTTTTTGCATTGTACATATGCAACGGTGATGACTAACCATACCACAGGTGTCTTGACGATGGACGCATTCCAACACTCGTTCAACCTCGACAAAGACAGCAAAAATTTTGCCAATCTACAGGGAAACATTGTCTCCGTCCTCCAGGCGGGATGTTTCTTCGGTGCTATGGCTAGTTTCTACGTTTCCGATACATTTGGTCGAAAGTGGGCACTCATCATTGCGGATATCATTTTCATCATTGGGTCTTTGATTCAGACCTTATGTGCGATTGGTACAACAAGCCTTACTCAGCTCTATATTGGACGCGTGATTGGCGGTTTCGGTGTTGGCTTAATCTCAGCTGTTGTCCCTACATACATTGGAGAGAATGCGCCAAGGGCGATTCGAGGGCGCTGCATTGGATGCATGGTACGCTTTGTCTACACCGCTTGACTATACCAGTCTACTAACGTCAGAGCAGCAACTCTTCAACGTAACGGGTATATGCCTGTCCTTTTTCGTCAACTACGGCATCTCGCTCGACATCACCAGCCCTACAGACTCGACTAAATGGCGCGTGCCATTTGCCCTGCAGATGCTCCCTGGCGCCTTTCTGCTTGTAGGCATGCTCTTCATGAATGAGTCGCCGCGCTGGCTCGTTGAGAAAAACAAGCTCAGCCAAGCCGCTAAAGCTTTGGCTCATGTGCGCGGCAAGAGCGTCGAGGACCCAGACGTAACACAGGAGCTGGATGAGATTATCGCAGACTTCAATGGCCACGAGAAGATGCCCATGGTTGCCCAACTAAAGGCTGCCTGCTCGAACAAGAAGATGCTATACCGCTCGAGCTTTGTTGTCATTCTTATGTTCTGGCAGCAATGGACGGGCACAAACTCGATTAATTACTATGCTCCTCAGATCTTCAAGCAGATTGGTCTTACTGGCCCCTCGTCCGGCTTATTCGTGAGTAAATGATAAAGAGACTGCATGCGACACAAGCTAACCTGCAACTAGGCAACTGGAGTTTACGGCATCGTCAAGATCGTCGTGACTGCGATTGGCCTGATGGCCTTTACTGAGCAACTTGGACGCAAATGGTCGTTGATCCTCGGATCTATTGGCCAAGCGTTTGCGATGTACTACATTGGTGTCAACCAAGCAGTCCACCCACCTACAGGCGAGCTTGATGGCAACGCAATCTTTGCCATCATCTGCGTCTATCTCTTTGTTGTCTTCTACTCATTCGGTTGGGGCCCGATCCCATTTGTGCTGGCGTCCGAGTGCAGTCCCAACCACGTGCGGTCTCTGCTCATGGCGGGCTCGTTGATGACGCAGTGGCTCTTCAACTTTGTAATCGCAAAGATTACTCCCCTGATGCTGGACAACATTACGTACGGAACGTTCCTTTTATTCGGGTCGCTGTGCATTGTCATGGGTGTGTGGACAGTGTTCTGTGTGCCGGAGACGAAGGGAGTGCGATTGGAGTCTATTGGCGAGTTGTTCGAGGGCAACATTATCAGGGGTTGTATTCAGGATACCATCCCGAGCAAGTCGCGGGCGAAGCAGCTCAGACATCATCACGCGACGGACGATGCCGACTCGACTAAAGGCGGCGTTGGCAAGGCTGCGCGGGTTGAGCAGATCGAGGATGTGTAGAGCATCGGAGGGAGGAGGCAAAGGCAAAAAGCAAGATGCGGCCAATGTTCAGTGCTTACGTTGCGGCGCGTCCGGCGGATTAGTACCGCGAGAAGTGTTTCGGTAGCTAAAAAATGCCGAAGTCATGATCTGACCGCTCCGTGCCCATGCCATGTTTCCAGACCAATCGATGGCGAATTTGAAACTACACTGCACATCAGGATCTGTACGACGTGTTCATACAGCGAAGATCGTGAACGGAACGGGTTGCTGAGTCGGCCCGCCCAGGGCATTCACACCGGACGAGTCACGAGGCCATGGACGTCCTGGCGGTCAAGTTGGGTATCACAGGGCTATCCTGCCTAAGCGGGGTCAGTTGGGCGGCGGAAGACGTCTGTAGCAGCTAGAGAGACTGCTAGGCGGCGGGGCGACGTTATTGACAGGTCCAGTGCGCATGCGGCTGTAAACGTGCTGACGTGCGAGTGGCAGCAGAGTGAAGCGTGAATGTGGAACGTGGTAACGTCCATGTAGCTAGCAGTAGGATGCGATATAACTAGTAAATCTCTAGTAAATCCCATGTAACTAGCAAAAAAAGCCAACGACACAGCGGCGAGCGGACCCTGTTTCTGTGCAGCGAGACATAACGGGTGCTGAGTGGCTGCATCCTGCAGGGTTCAGCGGGTCCAAGCGAGGGCGATGACATAGTGCAATCTGACTCTCCACGCAACCTCGAAACCAGGTGGGCGGCGGCATACGCACGCTCTCTGTACCCGACCGAATCCTCACCCTCCTCGCAGTCTATCCTTACTGTCCATCTCTTGTCCAGCGCTGCACCCCATCGCTCTCCAACGTCTGATACCCCGTCGGCCGTTACTCCCCCCCACCACACTTGTCCGCCTCATTCGCTGCCTCGCGGTCCCACCCCCGAATCCAGAGTATTCTGCTGGGCCTACCCTGGGAGCCGCCTGCAAACATCACGTTGATTTTGCACCGTGCCAGCACCCCCGCCCCCTGTCACCACTCTTGTCAGGGAACTTGGGCGCATCCTACAACCATCGGCCAACAGGTTCGCGCTGCTAGTCGTCGAGCCAGACTTGGCTGTGCCCACCGGCTGTCGTCCGGTGTTGAAACGCCCTTATGTACGTCGAGCTGCGACTATATTCTTCGTCTTCGCCAGGCCTAATTTCTAATTCCCTTTCGTTTGTGCCATTTGCTCTTTCCCACTTTCTGAAACCGACGACTGGGCTGATACAATGTTGGGCAGCGTTCTTCTCCCCACTAAGCCGCCTGGCCTGAGGAAGAATCATACTTATTCTAGCACCGTTGCGCCGCCCCTTCCCCCACGCCGAAACTCCTTGTCCACTACTCCCGCCGCCAAAACTGCCGCCAAATCCGCTCCCCTCCACATCAAGACGGTTACGCTGTCAGGCGGCATGGACACACGATACAACCGCCCCTCGTCCCCGAGGGGAAGCCGCTACTCTAACCCCGCAAGGTCCTCAACGGGCACCTTCTCCGACCCCTATTACAACTCCTCCTCGTACTCGGGATATGGCCGTCCCAGCTCGCCGCGCTCCAGCGTCGACCGTCTTGGAACATCCCACCACACGCCCTACTACACGCCCACCACCTCGACCACTTCCCACTCCAGCAGCGTCAAGTACGACTCGTACACAGGACGCCCACGACGCAACACCAACGACCTGACCCGCCCCAACGTGAGCACCAGTGCCTTGCCCCAGGCTTCGCTGCCGCTTCGGACCCCCTACTCATCCCACACCCACACCGACCGACCCCGAAGCCCTCTGACCCCTTCCTATGCCAAGGCATCTGATACCTACATCACGCCGGGCGCTTCACGAGGCCATAAGAAGGTCTACAGTGTTGACGACAGCAGCCACTTGACCAAGCTCGTAGCTGAGGTCCAGCCTTCTTCGCACCACCGGGATCATGCGGATAGGGGTTACAGTCTCACAAGTGGCGGCCGTAGCTACCATGACAGCAGCAAGCCTCCCTCGCGCCTTACCGACCTGAGCAACAGCGATGGCTACTCCTACACCGACCCAGCGAGCATGTACCGCGACACCGAACCAGCCTGGCGGAGGCCACGTGCTGGTAGCTTGGAACGCGGCTCTCGCCCCACCAGCATGATCTCGGATCGCCCCGCTCGTGCCTCTACCCGCGAACTTGGTCCTCCCCCATCCACTCGTGGCTTCGATAAGATCAATAGCATCCCGCGACCTCACGGCAGGTCATCGTCGATTGAAAGGGCACGCGAGATCCCCAAGTACGATCCCTACGCAGACGCAAGCCTCGGACGATCCTCTTCCACTCGCACTTCCCGCACTCCTGCTGCTATCCACCAAGAGCCCCGTGAACCTCGTCGAGACACCTATCGCGACGACTATGCTCGCCAGGACCGCGGTGTTGAGAACAAGCGCCACAGCACTGCGTTCGAGGACCGTGAGGTGACTACCCGTGGCTTCGGCATTGCACCAGGTCCCCCAAGCCTCGCACACGACCACCATGCCTTGGATCGACAGCCTCTATACCCCCCCGCCGAACCTCCTCGACCCAGGCCACAAGAGCCCAGCAGCCACTACTACCAGCCTGAGCGTGCTGATGCACGTATGCCCGATCCCCGCGCCTCTCGAGACATCGTTCCCCCGCAGGACTACGACAAGCGACCTCGTGAGCGTGAGCGGGAGCGGGAGCGGGAGCGGGAGCGTGAGAGCGGCCGATCTGAGGAAAAAGGTGGTTTCGTGCAAGCTGCGGCTGGCGCAGCGGCTGGTGTGGCAGCTACCTTGGGTGCCGCTGGTTACATAAAGAACCGCGACAAGGACCGTGGTAGCGACCGAGACTCGTCCGGAGAACGGGAGCGTGAGCGACGAAAGGAATACGATGAGCGCGACAGGCGAGACCGCCCTGATGAGCGACGGGAGAGGAAGTCTGAAGGTCGTCGCAATTCACTCGTACCCCCACCACCGCCCCCGGTTGCTGCTCCCGCCGTTGCCCCTGCCCCTGCACAGATTGCAGCTCCCGACTACCCTCCCATCGAGCCCGAGCGCAAGCACCGTGAACGTCGATATGAGGACGACGACAGGGAAAAGGTACCTTCTCGCAAGCCGCCTTCTTCTGAGGGCAGCGGTGATGAGCGACCGCGTCACTACGTCGACCGCGATGCCGAACGTCGGAGGGATCTAGCACCCCAGGAAGCTGCCTTGGACCCTGACGAGGAATACCGGCGACGCGTCCAACAAGAAGCAGAGCGTGCTAGCCGCAGCACTCGCGACAAGGACAGCGATTCTGACCGCGAGAAGAGTCGAAGGAGTAAGAAGGATGAGCGTGACAGGTCCCGAGGTCCGGAAGACCGCTCACGTGCGTCTCCTCCCAGGGATCGCCCCGTGAGCATCTACGACGGAGGCATGGTGCAGGAGCCCGAAGCACTTGACAGGGAATCTGCAGGCAAGAGCGTCCAGATCGTCGAGCCTCCCAAGGAACCCGTTGTGCCTGTCAAGGGCATCCTCCGCAAACCTACCGAAAAATTCCCTGAGGACCCTGAGCCTATCCGCGAGGGCGTTGCACCCCACAAGGACGCCTTGAAGGGAAAGGACATTCCTGTCGGAGCTCGATGGACGAGGATCGACCGCCGTCTCGTCAACCCCGAGGCTTTAGAGCAAGCCAAGGAACGCTTTGAAGAGCGGATGGACTGCGTCATCGTGCTACGTGTCTTGACCAAGGAAGAGATTCAGAAGCTCGCTGATCGTACCAAAAAGATCCGCGAGAGCAGAGGTAGGCCGACATCAAGTCTTGTTCCTTAATCAGTACTAACATGACTACAGAAGAGGAGTACGAGCATGACCGACGTGATCGAGGCGATCGTGATGACCGCGATAGGCGAAGCCACCGTTCCAAGGACGATAGGGACGACGACGACCGTGACAGCGACCGAGACCGTCGTTACCACGACCGTGAACGACGCCGCCGTTATGATGATGAAAATGACTACGACGATCGCGAGCGAGAGCGCGAACGTGACAGGCCTAGGAAGGTTGAGATCGACGACGGAAGGTGATCGGAATGAACGGCTGTGCGGCTGATGTTGCATGTTGTCGGTCACTGTGATAATGTGAAGCATGCGCTTACGCTGGTCGGGTTGTAGAGAAGAACAATCCTATGGTACGAACAGACCATGTCCTCAGAGAAGGAAGCTAGAACGAAGGAGCCATTGCACAAGGTGGCAAACCCCGCCTCTCAAAAATTTAAAAAGAAACATCGGAAAGAGCGTAACAGCACATCCTCTGGCCGTCTGAATAGTGCAAGCCTCGATTTTTTGCTTCAGCGTCGCTTTTCAAGGTATCAGCGTTGAAGTAGCACCGCGCTGGAGCACAATACCCTGCATCTTCAATGTTCTTCGGCGCAAGGTGTTGACAACGCCATAAACAAAAGAAGTCGGATTTGCAGAGTACTGGATTGGTTATGAAAGTACATGGCACTCTTTTGACATTAGAGTTCGGGCGCTAGGGCGGACGTTCATGGGGGGTTCATTCATATCTTTCGTTACGCATAGCGAGGTGGTAGCATGGTATGGCGTGTGAAGAGCGAGCGAGAGCCCTTCTTTTTGTACAATACTTTTATCTACTTCCACTTCTGGAACACCTATGGGAATTGAACATTTCAAATGGCTACTTGAGGGTATGGGTGTTTATATGATGTTTGGCGATCTGTGCACGCTGTCACGGGAGATGTATATGAGATGTCGAGTGTGGGCGAAGTGTGGTGCAAGATTTGGAAGCTATGAGTTTATGCTCTAGTAAGTACTAAACAACTACTACCGTTATGGAGATGCGGATGCCAGACAAACTTTTAGCTTAATTTCCTTTATTCATGGATCTCTTAAATTTTGAGTGTCCTCATTACATACAATCGTCGCCTGTCCATGCATCCACCTTTACTTCTTACTCGGGTTCGGACTAACAGTACCTTCAGGAAACTTGCGAAAGATATCCGCAATATGATCAATCGGCGCAGCCAGCATACCCATCGGTCCCTCGAAGTAGGGGTTTTCTCCTGCACTAGGGTGACTCCTTGATGGCACAAAAGCCTTTGTGCGGCCAAAGTTCTTGGCCAAGGATTCAGAGTTTCCGCGGTTTTCCTCCGAGGAAAGGGCTCGTTCGAGGGCAGGAAGGTCGTCTCGCTCTTCTTCAGCGATGTGGCGCTCAAGGACGGACCAGAGTTCTTTGAGCTTGGGGATATAGGTCGAGGATGCTGGATCCATGTTTTGGAATTCTTTGAGTAGATTTTTCACCTGTTGTGATTGTTGTTAGCTTCTTATTCTTGGAGTGTAAGGTGAAGTTGGGGAAACTTTTCACTCACCTCGTGATGCTGTTTCCGATCTGATTCGGCATGCTGCTTTCCCTTTTCCCCCATGTATTTCTCCATGGCTGGGTAGACAAGAAGTTCCTCGGCGACAGAGTGGCGAGCTAGCTCCCATGTGAATTGGTTGCCATAGCGTGTTATATGGTCAATGTCGTCTGGGTTGTTGGTGATTTCTTTGTAGTAGGTCTCTAGCTCGCGGTGATCTTTGGTAATGGCTTCTGAGATTGTTGAGTTGAATGCAACTTGGGTGCGGAGGTAGGCTGGGTTGGCGGCGACGCGGATCGTCTGTGGCCTGAAGGCGGCTCGAGCAAGTGGTGATATGATGGCACGAGGAGCGAACATTGTGACGGTGTGATATGAGGTTCAAAGTTGAATTGGGATTGAGGAGGTGTGTTTGCAGATTTAGGTACTGAGCCAGCTTGAGGAGCACCTGGCGAGGTTTTGTCTCACATAGCGGTTGTCACGATACGTCACTGCTTCGCCAGAGGCACGTCCCTGCACCGTCCCGCCCTTTGTTTGCTCTTTCGAGCTGCGTGCGCAACTTGTCGTACAGTATGCTCGCTGACGATTGCCTGCTACATGATTGGGTCGGAAGCAGTACCCATATGCCGTGTGTCAAAGGTACGACACCGACAATAGTGGAATGTGGAGTAGCGTTCCGCGGAACGACGTATTGATGATGTATCGGGACCGGAACGTTGCCATTGGCCAACGTCACTTTGCCATCATGCCTAAACATGCGAAAGTCCAAAATTCCCATGCCCACCATGCTCCGCAATACCCGCAGACTGCAAATATTGCTGCGAATCAGAAGCCAAATATTAGTCTTATCTTTCCGAAAAGGGAGTATCCATTAATTGCGTTATTAAAAGAGGAAGTATCCCCAGCATCTAGTCCATTCAGCTCGTCGCTGCACGAGGCACTAAACCTCAAAACACCAATACCGCTGTCACTTGTCCTGCACGTGAAGTCGTAGCATCTGCTACCCCTCCTCTCTACGCGTCAGAATCGCATCACCCTGACAATATGCCAAACAACGGGAAACCCCGTTTTCCATCTACGCGGCAGGGGCGTGCCTCCATGTTGCCCTCTTAAACTCCCACTCGCTGTTGCTTCTTTATGGAAATTCCCACCTCTTTACCTAGCAAACTCACCGCAGCCATGTCTACCGGTGCAAACGCCTCCCAGAATGATCCCATGCAGCACCCCCTCGAGGCCATTTCTCAGGGTATCCAGAGTATGGCTGGAGAGAAACGTGCACCAAGGCAAAGTCATATGGGTTCGGCCAACGAGGGACCTGCTGACATAGCTGCAAAGATCTCCGGCGCTGTTCAGGGCGGATTGCGTGAGGACGACGGCCCTTACTTTACTACCAATGAAGGTATTCCGTGGCCTGACCCGTAGGTTCCTCAGTCCTCGCATGCCTTGGAGGTACACTTGCTAACGTCTTGCAGAGCACACAGCAAAACCGTTGGTGGTATTCCTGTAGCGAGCGATGTCTTTCTATTCCAGAAGCAGCAGACTTTCAACCGTTCCAAGAACCTCGAGCGTATGGTACATCCTTGTGGTTCCGGCGCGTTTGGATACTTCGAGTGCACTCAGAAGGTTGATTCCCTCACGGTATGCTTGTCGAAAAGCCCACCAGATTAGTAGATACTGAACCTTCTTTTAGAAAGCCAACTTCCTCTCCAGCGTAGGCGAAAAGACTCCCGTCTTCGTCCGTTTCTCGACGGTTACGGTTGGCCGTGAGTACCCTGATGAAGCTCGCAACCCCCGTGGCTTCGCCATCAAGTTCTACACCATGGAGGGCAACTACGACATCGTCGGTCTTAACTTCCCGGTCTTTTTCTGCCGCGATCCCATCCAGGGCCCAGATGTAATCAGATCGCAAGCCCGTAACCCAAGGAACTTTCTTCCAGATTACGACGCTATCTTCGATTTGCTGGCAAACACCCCAGAGAGTAACCACGCCGGTCTCATGTTCTTCAGTGATCATGGCACACCGGTTGGCTGGCGCTTCAACCATGGATATGGCTGTCATACCTTCAAGTGGGTTAACGCTGAGGGCAAGTTCGTCTACATCAAGTACCACTTCATCGCCAAGCATGGCCAGAAGCAGTTCACCCAGCGGGAAGCGACACAGATGTGTGGTGAAGACCCAGACTACTCCAAGCGCGACCTATGGGAAGCCATTGAGAATGGTGAGGAGATCGAATGGACCGCCATGGTACAGGTCATGGAGCCTCAGGATGCGGATCCCGAGAAGCTCGGCTTCGACCCCTTCGATGTCACGAAGATCTGGCCGCGTAAGCAGTTCCCTATGCAAGAGTTCGGCCGTCTGGTTCTGAACAAGAACCCTGAGAACTTCCATCGCGATGTCGAGCAAGCCGCTTTCTCGCCTGGCAGCATGGTCCCCGGTATTGAAGACTCGCCCGACCCATTGCTCCAGTTCCGAATGTTCTTCTACCGCGATGCGCAGTATCATAGAATCGGTGTGAATCTTCACCAGATCCCCGTCAACTGCCCCTTCATGTCGAAGTCATTCTCGCCTCTGCAGTTTGACGGTCAGATGCGTGTCGATGCCAACCACGCAGGAAACAAGCAATACGTACCCAACAGCTTCGCACACAAATTCCGTCCCGATGTCGCTGAGGCGCCATACCAGGTCTCAGACAACATCATGAGCCGCAAGAGTCATTACTGGCACGAGGCCAAGAAGAGCGAGTATGATCAGGCAAGGGAGTTGTGGAGTAGGGTGATGTCGCCTGAGAAGAGGCAAAACACCATCACCAACACCTTCAACATGCTCAAGTTCGTCAAATATGCCGATATTCAGGCAAGTCATTCCACGCTATCCCAACTCATATGGCACACACTAACACCCTACTAGAAGAAGTACCTTGCACAAGTCTACAACATCGGTCCTGACTATGCTCAAGGCATCTACGATCTACTTGCAAAGTCGAATTCCAAGCCTGAGTTCCCCTTCTCAGAGGTCGAGAAATTGTCCGAATCTGCACATGTCTGGTTTAAGGAAGAGATGTTCCGGCCTTCGAATGGAGAGAGGCTGACCGGGTATGCGCCAAGTGCGCAAGTCTACAACTAAATGTTGGGATTGATGAATGCTTGCGACTAATTGTGGAGATACCTAGCGCCGTATGATCCTATGGACGATAATGAATCATGACCTTTGAAACTCATTACATTGCTAGATATACTATGTCTTGAATGCAATTCCTGAAATAAGTCTACTAGTCTACTCTGTTGGCAGGAGATCTTCTGGACACCATTGTTGCAATGCACCTTCTCCAAAGGCAAAGTCGTTTTCGATCTGCGTGAAGAGATATTGGTCGGCTTCGTCTAGGGTCCACGACCAGGGCTTGGGACTGGTCGTGGAAGACGCTGGAGCATCGAGATATTGCGTGTTGCGATTCGGATTGTTATCGACGCCTTGGTGTTGCGATGGCAGTTGCGCGGTAGTACCGGCTGAGGTGGACTGGCCAGTGCTGTTCGGGGAACCAGTATCATCCGCTTCCATGGCTAACCTTGAAGCCGTTTCTCTATCGAGATATTGGAAGAACAACTGTAACACCCAATTGGTCACTTCCCATGTCTTCTGAAGTTCTTGTAAACCCAATAAACATAACTTGGCTCGATGCTCAGCGAGCGTGCGATTGATGCCGCTCGAGCGCCTGAAGTTTACAACGTGAATGCAGAGTGTGTTGAATAGATTCGTGATGACATGCATCTGAGCATGCCCAATGTTGCCGTCAGGCAGCATATCCTCGACTATACGCGAATTGCGGGCTGCGGCCTGGAGCGCGACATTTCCGTCTGTCGCCATGTTACTATTCTCGTCTAAAACAAAGTTGGTGCGGTGGAGTAAAATGAGTAGGTTGTTGTATGCGAGATGGAGCATGCTGGCTTGGAAGTTTGGCGGATCACCGGCGTCGGTATGCAGCTGCATAACGCTTGGGAGGTCTTGTCTCCATTTGTATAACTCATTGCGTAGCTTGATCCTTTCGTCGGGTGCGAGTGTGCGCTTCGGTAAATAACCAGCGTCTACCACCCTGCCCAAGAAAACCGCCAGCTGTACCATGCTTATTGCGTAAACGGTATAACGATGGCGGTCTTCCACAGGAGTGGACGCCGCAAAAGCGGAAGTGAAGTCGGCAGACGACAGCGGTTCGATATCGCAATCTTTGTCGCGTATGCGGCACGGTAGCCCCAGAGCCGATGCGCATTGACGCTCACGCACGTAGATAGCCCACCAAAGTCTCCTCTTGACCCTCGTGAGACTCTCTTCGGTATCTCCTCCGGAACGATGCAGTGCTCTTGTCTCGGAGAGACTAATAGCTGTGCCTAGCCAATGTCGCGCATCTTTCTCCAATAACGCACCAGCTCGCCAAAAGCTCATCAGAAACAGAGATTGTATGACGATGATCTTATTGGTCTCAAACGTAGCATCATATATGTCTTTGGCCCTAATGTAAAAGAACCATTTGGCTCGATGGCGGTTTCCCCACCCAAGATGATTGAGAGTCGACTCCTCGCAGTGAATTACTCCGATGAACATCATAGATTGTAATAGCAAGGCGGAGAAACTGAACTCTCGGTATCCGGTCCAGAAATCCTCTTCGTCTATGATTGGAAAGTGCGGATGAAACCATTTAAAGTATGCCTCCAACAGCTCAAGTCGGACCTCAGCAGGAGGGAATGAAAAGGCTCCTTCCGCTTGCAGAGCCTTCCTTCGCGCAAGACGTCGTTCAGATTCCCACTCGGGTACGAGTGATTCCGCCCTTGCAGCACTGGGGACGGCATGGCGAAAGCAGGACTGCCGCCGCTCTGCTGCCACCGCATAGCGCAATGAGCTGGATTCACCAAGAAAAACGGCATCTTCTTGATGAATAGATTCCGCTTTCGACTGGTTGCTGTTGAGATCTGACGGCGCTGACGGGGTTGGGAGGTGATATTGGCCTCCGGAAGCGGGTGTATGGGTGTTGACAGGGCTATGGAAATTTGACGATAGCGAGGCCAGCACGTGCGACGCAGCCACCTCGTCCTCGTGTCGCTGTGGGCTTATGGCTGATACATTTGGTGGACTTTGCAGGATTAGTACCTGTCATAGAGCGCCTCAAGAATATGTTCAACTCACGTTCTGCTGCGCACCTCAGTCTCCGCTCGCGGCTTCCTAATATGCTTTCCACGCCTTGATTCACGCGTTTCGCACTCGACGTTGCCGGCTGCACAGTTACTGCAAGGATGTCGGTCCGTGACATCACATTTGACGCGTCGCGCGTTGCATGTCACGCAGGCCAACTTCGCGCGTTTCCGTGGTGGTTCGGACATCTTGCCGAAGCTTGACGTTTACTTGTTTGGAAGAAGCCGAAGTCGGTTACCAGAAATGTTCCGTGAAGGATGACGTTATCGATATCGGCTATCCCTCGGCATCTTCTAGCACCACCTTCGTTGTCAACCATCGCGCACTGAATGATAGTCAGTGGTTCTTATCATCTATCTATTGAAATTGAGTCACAGGGAGTTCATTACTACAAGGTAAGGAGCACAGCTGCATCATGACTCATGTAACTCGTCACCTGTTCACCACAACCTCCTCTCGTCGCCAAGCTTCCGCAGCAGAAGCATGCAACGAACTCATCACACGCTTTCACAGCGGACCCGTCTCAATCCGTAAACAGCTGCTCGATGCAAACCAGCTCCAATTGCTCTCCATAACACTGAACCGCACACCATCCTCGTTCAACCCGCCACCGACCGGCACACCGATCCCGCCTGGCTATCACCTTGTCTATTTCACGCCTTCAATCATCGAATCCGAGTTGGGCCTTGATGGTACAGATCGTACTGTGAACCCGCTAAGTCCTTTTACAAGGCGAATGTGGGCAGGCGGCGAGTTGGCATGGGCGCAAGATCGGAACACGCTATTGAGAGTGGGCCAAGAAGTCAAAGAGACAACGAGACTACTAAGTGCTGAGCCCAAAACACTGAAAAACGGCGGCGAAATGCTTCTCGTGGGTGTTGAGAAGAGTTTCTCGAACGACCACGGTATTGTATTAACGGACCGCCGTAATTGGGTATTCCAGCGTGAGCTTACGCCTGAGAATCCGGTGAAAGCACCGCCGAAGCCGGAGGAAAAGAATTTACCGACTGGAGAGCATCAAAGAGACTTTTGTCAAACGCCGACCTCGTTGTTTCGCTTCTCGGCGCTGACATTCAATGCACACAAGATACATTACCTACCCGAGTGGTGTAGAGAGGTCGAGGGGCATAGGAATGCTGTTGTACATGGACCGCTTAACCTTATCAATATGCTGGACTTCTGGAGGGATACGAGTAGGGGTGGGGACACAGAAGCAGTACCTAAATCGATAGCATATCGCGCAATGAGCCCACTATACGTTGGCGAGCCGTATCGGATACTATTGGAGCACGAGTCAGGCTCAAATGGATGGAAAGCAGAAGTATGGGGCAAATTTGGCAAGCAAAGCATGAAAAGCAACATTGTGGAGTAAACGCTATCTACCACTAGTGCAGCATAAAGGGTATAAGCTAAGTGACGGTCCAAACCATAGCCCGGTCTAAGTAAAAGCCAAATGCACTCCTCCCAATGCACAACCATAAAGTCATTACTTCAGCATAATGCAGTCTTACACTCCTCCAGAAGGCCTCAATCAGGCCCATTTGCCGAGAACACTCATGAGAATGAGACCGCAAATCAATGCGAACAACGCGCACACGGTCCTGACCGCACCCGCATTGAGCAACTTTCCATGCATCCAATCCCTCGCCAACATCTCTACAAGTCCAACCCATGCCAGGATACCAGCGGAGAGTGCATCGAGCGTTCCAATGGCGATGATGGTGCTGGGGTCGTTGCCGTTGAAGTGGTCTAGCGTACCGATACCGATGGCCATGCCGATAGGCGTGATAAGCGCAAAGGTACCGCACATGAGGAGCTTTTGTGCTGTTCCGGCCGCAGCTTTGGGGAGCTCCGCGATGCAGGTACCGAGGGCAATGCCTTCGAACATCTGATGGAAGAGGATAACGATGAAGAGAGTGATGAAGAAACCATCGCTTGCTACGACCAGCGTAATACCGATGAGGATAGAGTGGAAGATGATACCCGCCTCGAGGTTCAGCACGTTAATTTTCTCTTCCATGGGGGTAGCCTCACGCATGGGACCGTGGACATGAGGAAGACCATGGCTTCGGTTGAACTCATGGCTGGGTTCCGCGGAAGGAGAAGTGTTTCCAGATTTGTCTCCAGCAGTTGCCACCTCGGTGTTGGGGGCAACATGCTTGCCTTGGCGCCACTGGACAAAGCGCGCGCCGAGGTAGTCAATCAGGAACGACAGCATCAGTCCAGCCATGAATATGGCAGCGGTGGTGGCCTCGTACTCCAATACACCCAGACATTGGTTCGCAAACATGAGTTGGGCGTGGGTGAAGAGATGGACAAAGGCGGTGGAAATGACGATACCGGTTCCGAATTGCTTGAGGACGACAAAAATGATGTTGTTGGCGCCAATAAGGTTGAATCTCCTGGTCAAGACCGGCATAAAGACACCAAGTCCACTGGTGAATAAGATGACGAAAAGAAGACCCACTCGTAGGGGGATGTTGTAGTCGCGTTGAGGAGCATCACAGTTGACATCCTCTGCGCTTCCACCGACACAGTGCTCAACACCGGCGTGGTCATGGCAATGTCCCTTGCTTCCAGCTGGTTCGGCCTCAGACTCCACGGGTGATTCTTCTTCCGTGTGTGAGGAGCTGTCTGTCGATTCTGCAGCATCGGTCATGATTAGGACGTCTTCCCCAGCATCGTCGACGCAGTATCTGATTATGTCAGCGTTCTCCCATTTAGAGTGATAATGGCACCTACGTCTCGGAGCCATGGGTGTGGCAGCCGGTGTACTCTGCTTGGAATTCTTCGGTCGCGGTGGGCCCGGATACCTGGTATTCTTCTTCGCCGACCATGCACCAGCTGTTGCATGTTAGCGCCAAACTGTATTAACTAAGATTGATCAGGGGAAAACGTACAGTACAGTGCTATGGGGATGGCAGTCTGACACTGCCGTGATTGACGGAGCCCCAGTAGTGAAGACCGTGGTAGTTGCGCCAGCTTGTGTAACAGTAACAGTAGGAGTCTGCGCAATCACAGAGCCCGCAAGCAGTAGGACTGCAGCAGAGAGGGCAGAGCGCATGGTTGAAGACATGTTCAAGGTATACCGGATATATCAAGCGAGCGAACCGACGGGTGTAAAGCTGTACAAGAATATACCAGCGTAGTGCCCTTGATATATCGACTTCATTCAAGCTTTTCCTGGTGTCAGCGGAGCGGAACGAATGTACCGTGCTGGGGCAAGACAGCCCCCACAGGGAAGCCGCGAAGAATTCGTTGGTATCCATTTGTCTGCATTGCCTTCACAGAAAGAGCCACGGACACTCTTGGCATTGAGTACCCTGCTGGATGATTTGCCTTGGCATAAGTCTTGTCTCGGGGCAAACACCGAATTAGAAGCCAGATATTCCGAGTCACTGCTTTTACGTAGGCGGCTTCACTAACAGATGCGGTAGGTAGGTGGGATGGTGCCATTACTTAATGTGGCGGAGGTCTTGGCGAGGTATGTTGGGGACGCACTGTAGCTATGACCTAGGAGGCGGCTCTTCGGTGCTCAACACCAATGCTAACCCTTACAGTCAGGCTCGTATACAGGCGCTTGTGTGCCTTCTCCAGACTTCGGGGTCGGTGTCGGTCTGCCTCATTCAACTTCGAAAGGATTGTGGTATTTCGGCTTCTAGTCAGGCTGACCGGAGCTGCCAAATAGTACGAGGTAGCATGTCTGCATAAACCATATTATGCAGAAGATGACTCGATCTTCTCCAGGCTTGCACACCTGTTCACGCTCGACGTGACATACTGCGTGGGAGGCTCGTGCCGGAACATTTCGACCACCCACATCAATGTCCTCGGTCTTCCCGAACGCAGGTAATCCTCCCGACGGTGTGTTCCTTGAATGTGAGAATTTCTCTTCATTGGGCGCCCATCATGGTACTTAGATACCCATAAATCCATGCTCTGGGTGGAAGACATATCGTCCAGGCCCCCATGTACATCCATGCCAAGCTTGACCATTCACATTCTACGTCAAGCCAAGATGTGGATCAACCTCCAGGCCCGTATAGTGTAGCATTCAGGTCTCTGTATGGGGGATATACCGGTAGTAGACCGGTTGATGTACCTGCGGCTGCAGCCATGAGGCGTTTTTCTTCCAGTCTCGGCGGTCAGGTTTGCGGCGACGTCGGTAAATGAGCACCGAGAGAAGCAGTCCTCAGTGGTGAGATATAAAGAGGCCTGTAGCTCATATGCAAGTATTTCTATCCAGCATCCAGCTTCTCGGGACAGTCACTGAACACTAGTTCAAACCTCAAGCTTCAAGACTTCTTCCCAGTCTCTCAAGTCAATCTCGCAATGGCTGCTCGTGCCTCTGCTATTATGCTCCTTGGAGCTTCCGCCGTCATGGCTGGGCCTCTCGCTCCTCGCCAGGCGACCGTCACCGTCACAGCCACTCACACCATCGAGGCTGCTCCTGCATCCACCGCATGGGATGCCGGTGCCGTTCGCGAGTTCCCCATTCACGCTTCTTGCAATGCCACTCAGCGTAGCATGATCAAGAAGGGCCTCGACGAGACCTTGACCATCGTTAGCCACGCGCGTGACCACATCCTCCGCCACGGTAACTCTTCCGAAGTCTACACGAAGTACTTCGGCGATGCTCCCACTGGTGAGCCGCTTGGCTGGTTCACCAAGATTGCCGATGGCGACAAGTCCGGCATTCTCTTCCGCTGCGACAACATTGATGGCAACTGCGACCAAGAGGGTATGTATTGTGTCCCAATTTCAAGACGCCGTCTTTGCTAACCAACAACAGGCTGGGCTGGTCACTGGCGCGGCTCCAACGCAACCTCCGAGACTGTCATCTGCGACCTGTCCTACGAGATCCGTAGACCTCTTTCGACCATGTGCATGCTCGGATACAATGTCGCCAACGGTGCCACCAACACCTTCTGGGCTTCTGATCTCCTCCACCGTGTTCTCCACCTTCCTCAAGTCGGCGAGGGTGTTGTCGAGCACTACAATGACGAGGAGCAGGAGAAGTACCCTGGAACCATCGCACTCGCTAAGAACAACTCCACCTACGCCGCGAGAAACAGCGACACCCTTCAGTACTTTGCTCTTGAGGCTTACGCCCATGACATCGTTGTTCCTGGTGTTGGCTGCGCTGGTACCTACACTCCTCTCGAGGAAGAGTCTACCGCTGCTGCCACCAGCACTGCTTCCGCTACCGCCTCCGCATCTGCTACTTCCGCGGAAGCTTCTGCTTCAGCTACCTCATCTGCCGCTGCCGCCCCTGCTGAGGCCTGTGAGCCTCACGATGACCACTGGCACTGCCCTCCTGGCGTCCCTGAGCCTACCTCTCCCCCTGCTTAAGCGTTCTTACGCTATGCTGTCCGCACATATGGCTACGACTAATGGACCCGCATGACTTTGTCATCGATCTCCTACATGAATCATAAGAGATTACGATAGACGTTAATGATAATCCACGTCCCCTCATGATCTCAATTGACCTTTGCTCCGAATTGTTGTGATGTGAACGTTGGCCGGATGATGTCTGATAACTTAGACACTTTACCCAAGAACCCTTACCCTAAATAAATATCAGTTCCCCGTTCTCGTTCTGGCGATTCTGTTGTCATCGACGGGGACCTCGGAAGCTTACTAAATAGATAGGTGCAGGTCTCGCGTGGGAGGGACATTTGATGAAGGTCAACGAATCTTAATGTCCAGAAAGACCGTGGGTGTGAAGTACAGGTAGCACGTAATACACTTGGAAGAACCTGATGATTCCAAAGAAAGCGAAACAGGAGTAAAACAGACAAAATCGTACTGCAAAGTTGCCAAACAAGTAATACGAACAATGAAGCATACTACAAGGCGGATAGCATCTGCATATCACCCATTATCTGTAACAATCCACACGTACAATGAGTCAGACCTAACGCCCCAACTGACCCTCTTCCGCAAGGTCATCACCCAGCTAAGGAGCCTGCACTTGCTCTCGGGAGACAGTGGGCGCCCGCGTCTGCTCAAACCGATCGAGATATGGCTTCTCGTTACCCAATAGTAGACTAGCGCCTGGCTGAACCTTCCATGTTTCTTTGGAGTTGAGGATGAATTTGATGGTATCGGTCGTACAACGGTCATTAGTACCTGCTATTATGTAGCGCCAGGCCTGCGGACGAGGTGCTTCGCGGTGCGGTGACTCGAGGCAGAATTTCATCTAAGACAAGCTAGGAGCCAGTGTGATGCTCGTCCATACCACTGCCATGCTGGGATTGACTCACCCCGTATGACGTGCTTGGTGAGAGCTGGTGTCTGGACATGATCCACTCCGCCATCCCTGTGCCCAGTCCGTACTGGCTAAAGACAAAGTAGACGGCGAAGTAGAGGCCAAAGGCACCTAGGATGAGGACGGAGAATACACACCAAAGGCAGCAGAAAGTGGCTGCTCCTCTCATGACGGATCCCTTGCTATAGATTGAGTCTGCTTCAGACGAGCTCTTAGCCCCATATAATTCGCCTCAGAAGCCGTATTTTGATTCGTCGTCGTGGTCGTAAGTGCGAGGATGAAGCAGCTCGTGGGTGTCGGCACTGCTAGAATTTTCGCTGGGTGGCATACCGTGGTCTTTCGCTTCCAAAGCAGGTGCAGGATTGCGAAAATATGCGAGCAGAGAGGCGTGCGGCGAGGCAACGCCAATATTTGTGTGAGAAACCCACATTCTGGTCTTTAATATGATAGTTCTAATACAAAATATGAGTGTATTTATGTGTGGTTCAGCAAGAGGCCAAAAGTGATGGATGCGGTGATGTCAACTTGGTTTTTTCCGGGTGTTTCGTGCGAGGTGGTGACAAGGGGAAACGCAGAAGAATAGCATCGTGTCTTATCCACCACCTCATGGACTAGCATGGCAATAACATGTGACGAGAAAGTGCGTTGAGTGCTCTGTAGTAGGTTGGTGGAAGGTACCGACACGTCAAGCCGGTTGTGGTGGAGTGTTCTTGCGAAGAGTAGAAAGCTACCATCACCGCACGCATTTGAGTAACAAAAGGAAGCTGCTAGGGAACATTATCGGCGGGAGCCTTAAGATCAGAGTGAAGGACCGGATATTACAAAGAAAGGACAGAGTCAAACAGCTGAGCTACATCGGCTTTAGATATTGTTGGGACAGAAGCGCCCACATTTACGAGGTTCTGAATGTCAAAGATGGTTGACTTGTCTGTGCATTCCCAGTGTACTAGGAGATAACTGAAAGCTTCCAGATCCGCCTGAAGTACGTGGTGCAAAACCTCCAAACAAGCTGCCTGTGGCTAGAGTACTAGCGGAAGCATTTGCCGTTGAGGTGGTTGTGCCTGCTGTCTGAAAAAGCAAGGGGGTATTGGAGGTAGGTGGAGCAGCAGAAGTAGCTACGTTAGGAGTCGTGTGAGCAACGGATCCAGACGACACAGGTTTCTGAGTGCTCGTAGGTTCCGTCTTCCTCGGCCAGGATTTGAGGAGCAGAAAAGACAACTCATCAATAGTGTCCAGCTTCGACTCAAGCCCAGGTAACTCGGTGATGTCGACCTTGAAGTACGAAAGAAAAGCTTGCACTATCACGTCTCTAAGACCGCGGTTGGACTCTGGAGTGTTCCTATAGGTCAGTTGCACTGCGGCTATGAAGTCCTCTGAATCGACATGGCGATCCAGACTCTCCTGGAACTTGGCTTTTGCCACCTGGCTGAGCCCATCCACCTGGTATTTATCCGCGAGCGCATACATTGTCGCGTGAATCGTAAGTGGATTCGCAACCTCGATGCTGTTGTCAGGCATTCGTGTTTTGATGCAGTGGGGTGCTTTCCTGTCCAAGGCTGGCTGCTCAACGTTCTTTGTGTTCAATGCAAGGCAAGCGCACCGATCGTAAAGCCGAGAGCTGCTGAATACGCGGTGATGGTGAGCGGGCGAAGCTGTTGTGTTGGACTCGTATTGCTTGAGCTGTTCGAGAGCGGCGATGCCAAAGTCACCGGTAGGATCATAGTCGCCCAAGTAAAGGTATGAGATCAAACGTCGGACCATCTCAGGGTCATCGTCCGGCAGATCGATGCATCGTTCCTCGGCTTCCTTATACGGTGTCAGCCGCTAGACTGTTGCGAAGAGCAGTAAACTACCTTTCCACCGAATTTGAGACTCTTCGCGAAAAACTCGCATCCTGAGCCCACAACAACAGAGTGCACATCGAATATCAAGCTGCCGCAGCTGATGACAAGGTCGGTAAAGTCACCATTCTTGTAGGCCCTGGGAAGATCAACACAAGGACAGATGCAACCATGAGCGGCATTTCACCAATCGCCAGTCCGGGGCAAGGAACCTACCTGATGATGTGGGGTGGACAGCTAAATGGCATCTTGTAGATTGGCCAGACTGAGGTTGTTGGGAGAGAGTCGACGCAACGTGTCCACAGTAAGATAACGTTGCGGCGACGCAGGGATACAAGAGCGGCTCGCCATGAGCTCGCCTCGCCCAGAACTAACAAGCGCGAGAGTGCATCTTGGAATCTGGAAACACTGAGACTACTGTTAGATACATCATTACTGCAAAGGACGCAGCTGAACGTTCCTAATGATGCAACGTGAAGCTATTCGGCTTCGGAGATTTAATGCATGCAGGTGTCAGCGCGAACCACGCTAGCGCTAGGGCATTCCGGATCCCCAAAACCATGACCGTCTTATATCATGCCTTGCCCCGCCTGACACCTGCCGTCCATTTTCTGGATTCTCGACGAAACTTCTCAGCCTCTCGACGAGATACCCACGACATTTCCGCGCGATGACAACCCTACCGAACCCGAGGCCTGGATAACCTCAACGCAATATCACGGACAACAATCGACTTCTCGGATCTGATTACCTCCTCGCTCCTAGGCGTACTCATCTATTCTCCCTATTATGTCTTCATTTTATCCATCGACAACCTCTGTCTTGTCTGCCATCCCATCAAAATGGGAAACCAATGTCTTCATGACATGGCGTACGTCGTATTGATGAGATCTTCCACACTACCCCGTGCACTATCTCGAAGAATATTCTCCTCTATCTGACTTGGCCGTGGAGCAAGACACTTGTTGCTTATGTTGATGGTGAGCGATCGCAGGAATGGCATTCGCAGGAAGAGCTTGGGCAGGTCTCTATATCTCCAGTCGCTATCGAGGAAGATAACTGTTGAGACCTTAAGCACCAGTTCTTTGACCTTGGATATACCTGCTGATGCAGCATTCTAATCAACGCTGCAGTGTCGTCTAAGGGCAATGCCCTTCAGACGAGGCAATGTCAGCCAATTCTAGCTGATGTGACGGGCGTGTAGATCCGGCTTCTGGATTCTCTTCAATCCTGGGTCCATTGCGATATCGAGGAGGTGCGATGCGAATTTATTTGGAAGCCTGCATCACCCACTACATGCATAACCATACCGACCGCTATCGAGCTCGTGTAGGCCGCCATCGAAAACGAATTGCATGTCAAACTCCTTCAGGTTCTTGAGCAAAGCCAGGAGCAACGCTAAGATCTGTGTCTCGCCTATGTACACGCGCGTTTGTTGGAAGAAACCCTGGAGTACTGGATTGTCAGTTGCGGACAGTGTGGTGATTCAACTCACACTGCGACCCATCATTCTCCTCGTCGAAGTTTCATTCATCTTCTGTGCGAAGGATATCGATGGAACGTCTGCTGTGCCAAGGAGCCTAGGTGTCTTGTCGTCAAGCTTGTATTGCGAATATCGGCTTCCGAGAGTTTAGCAATGAGATGGAAGAAGGGCTCACTGGGTAGCCCCCACAATGGTGACGAGAGGACAACAGTGGAAATATCTACGCACAGGTCGATTGGTATCGGGGTTTCCTCTGGAGCATGCGGTCCGATTGGCAGCGTATTCAAATGGTCTGATATGGTTGGCAAGGTTCGGTGGTAGCAAGGGCATTCGAAAGAGGCGAGGTTAGCTATGGTGATGGGTAGTGGGCGAGCTCTGAGACGCTGTCGCGCGGGTGAAGAGTTTGCCAGCTTTCAGTTCGGAAAAGCCCGCACAGAAGTGACAAAAACGGTAGACCTCGCTTAAGGTCAGGAGATATACTCTTCTTCTTGAAGAGACTGTGGAAGATGGGGGAAGGCGCGATGAGCGATGAGCGTAGTCATACACGAACGGCACACTGAACCGATACCACGAAATCACACCTTACCTCCAACATTGGAAAACGTCGCATGCTCATACTGGGGCGCACGCCCCTCGAGCATTCTTAAGCCTTTCACTGGCCATATCGGTATCTCAGGACGTTATGCTGAGCAGCGAAGAGTGGCGATAATGCTGAAATACAATATTTGTCGATCGATTGCACATTTATACGCTTATCCCGGCTACCGTTCTCAATCTTTCGTATATATCGTTCGCATCTAGCTATAGAAATTAGCATCTATGCCCTCTGCTATTTCCCAAATATACACACCCGTACCGCTCGCTCACCACAGTGACGGCATGGCGCTGTGCAGCATCAATCTCAATTCCAAGATTACCGCAGCTCTTTAGCGATAGTTGCCCAACAGCGATGATGGCTGTAGTAGCTACCATTCCTCGTCTTCAATGTAGTTGGTGAGTGTGTGGATAGATGAATAAATATGTAATACGATGGTCAAAACCTCAATGTATCGCGAGATTGTGTAGCGAGAAATGATGTGTGATGCGTACACTGTAGCTATAATGAACACCAGTTGTGACAAATAAAAAATGGCACAAAAGCCTCACATCGACACTTGCTTCACCCTCCCCTTATCTACAACCACCAACCGTAGATCACCGGACGAATAATTCACTTGAACAGTGCCAAACCTTGCGTCCGACTCGGTACTTGATCGTCTTTGTGATTTCAAAGCCATACATCAATAATCAATGTAGATCTCCCCATATTCATAAGCAAGAAGACCGAGTGAGCGGACCGAAACGGTGCGTAGATTCTTTATAGGGAATTCTCAATTACCAGGAAGGGACGTTGAGCCCCTCATTAGTATGCTTGTTGGCCGAGAGGGAAGGACCGAGTCATTTGCGATCTCCGGCTTACATGCGGGCACCATGGTGTGGGCCGTGGCAAACGCTATCTACATGGCAGGGATTTAATAATGAGATGACGTAATTCACTTGATTTCATCCTTGCGTGGAATTGGAAGGGGATGTTAGTAATAGAAGGTCATGGAGAAGATCGCGGCAAGTTTCGAGGCACGAGGTGTGTTGAAACAGATGTATTGATGTAATTCAAACTAGACAGAAAAGAGAACATAACATCGCTAACTGGTATCGCTAGAAGTACTGCACAAGTGAACAGAAAAGAGAAAAAGAGCCTTCGACGGGCAGGGTTGTTAGGAATTAACTGGTGGATGTCTACTACTGGCTTAAGCGCACCAGGTGTGACGTTGAACCGCGCGGATGCACGGCTCGACATGGTAAGTAAGACATGCTGACCCCGCATTACGTCGACGGTTGACTGCAGCTGTCGTGAAACACGTTGTCTTAGCCAAGACAGACGTTTGTGGGCGTATCTCTAGCGGGATAACCCTGTTGCTGGACGCGCGTAGGATTTTACACAGAGAGCTGACGAGGCTCGGCATGAACTTTGGGCGTATGCATGCAGCGGCAATGTACGTGCTGGGGCAGGCTGTAGAACAGTGATGAGTGGCTTGAGACGGCAGAAACGGTGGAAAGCACTCTTCAAGAAGAGACAGGCAGGCCGCTCGCCATGCGGAAGAGCTCAAAAGCAAGCCCGGGCGTCTCTCGCACCACCATCTCGACGTCGGGACGCAGCGAAAGGCTGGGGTTGGCACGGAAGGTTTGGATGATAACGTCTCGCAGGCCACGATCAGTGTGGAAGGTCGACTCGTACGCCTCTTGGCAAGCCTCTGGGAATTCAGCACTGCTGAGGTGCAGCTCGACTTCGTCTGCAAATTTGCTACGCGCAAGCGCTTTCAAGCCTGCAATGCCGTACCTGCCATAAACCGTTAGCAAGTCCTACAGTACGTGATGCAAGATAGGTGCGCGATTGGAGAGACAGTTGTACGCTGACGCGGACTGTTTCGAAAATGCAGCCATGGAGGCATGGTGACCATGAAAGACGATTGGCCGATGTGCAATCGTACATAGGAAAAACAGAAGAGAGGGCAGTGTGTGCAAAGGTAGAACGGAGGGGGCATCTCGAAGTGTGATTGGCAAAGCGGAGTGCTTGTGACGCACACCGCGGGGTTTGTCGGCGTTTAAAACCGCCGTGCCATGCACTGCACGCAGATGAAAACCCCCCCACAAACCGGGGCGCGCATTTAGGCAAAACGTAGAAAAGTAAACAATGACGAAGAGTGGTACGTACTTCTCAGCAATGGCGTAGATCTTGGCGTGTGTGACCAAATGCGTCGTCTCAATGTCGAACTCTGTCTCTGATTGCTCGCTTTCCAAGTCGTCGTCCTCGAAGAACTGATCGGCCATCGGTGTGTCGGGCATCTTGGTGGAGGCATCGAGATTGTGGAACGTGGGCTCGTCTGCAGGAGGGGTCATTGGCATCGAGTTGTTGGCTGCGGCCACAAGCGCCAGCAGGGGGTCTTCTACTTGGGCGAGGTCAAGCTGCTTAGGCGGACTCTTTTTCTTGGTGATCGAGGATCTCAGGGAAGTAGGGCGGTTGGATCGTTGTGATGAGCGGCGCGAGAGAGACTTCTTGCTAAGGTAGTCCATGTGGTAGAAGTCTAGAAGGAATTAGTACAACCCAAGATCGCGTCGCCTCACACCAATACGTACAGTGTACCATATGGTCAACAGCTTCTGCGTCATCTTCGGTGAGGTCGATGACTCCAGTCTCTGCTTCTCTGAAGCCATTACGGCAGGCTCCCTCGAAGAAGGTAGATCTGGTTGCAAGGAGTATACGGTGGACTGGATATCTTTTCGCGCCACAAACAATGGTCAGATCTGAGTATTGTCCGCATTGAAACAGTCTAACAGACTTAGCTGGGGATTGGAAGGACAGAAGGGTGTAACTTACGAGGCTAGGGCCGATTTGAGTTCGATCATTGGTGCGTCCATTGTGGTAGTGTTGTGTGTAGTATGTAAGGGGTAAGGGAGGTAAGTGTGGATGAGGTTCTTGCTGTTACTTGAATAGTTTGAGTCGGCGGGCGAAGGCTTCTTGAAGCAAATGCTCGTAGGACCCGACGTTAAAAACAAAAGGCCAACGGTCGCAGGTGTGACGATTTTGACCTTGCGCAAGAACGCGTAGGGGTACGTAGGGGTCGGGCGCTGATCACGGAGGCGCCGCGCGAATCCGAGAAACTGGTAAGGCTGGGGCAAGGATACCGAGATCGCCGGATGCAGGCAAATTTATGCTGTAGGCGATGG